CGAAGAGCGGTTGGGGTTAGAGTTGAAGAAGGAGCCGCCCGAGGTGCGCATGGTGGGGGACAGCGGGGAAGCGGCTTCGTCCCGCGAGTATTGACTGGCGGAGGAAGGGGCGACACCGGTGTTCTTGTTGTACATGGCGCTGGCGACGCTGGCACCGGGGCCGAATTGCTCGCTTAGCGGGCGGCCGCGACGAGAACCGGCTCCGCTGACGGAGCGGCCGAGACCGATGGGGATGGAGGGCGCCGTGTCCGGGTTGGTGGTGATGGGGCTAGGGGCGCCGAACCCTCCGCCGGCTTGGGGCATGAAGGACATGGGGCGAGGGCGGACTCGCGCGGCGACGGTAGAGCCAATGGGACCGCCGCCTGTGGCGGTGGACTTGGGGCGCTGGATGAGGTTGCCGCTGGCGCCACCGGCGGGGGCAGGGGGCAGCTCCTTGTTGGTGTTGGGTTTCGCCGCGGAAGATGGTGACTTGAAGTCGTTGGACTGGTCGAGGATGTGCTCAAATTCCTGGTGCGACAGGAGACGCTCGATGATCTTGTTGATGTACAAGGTCAGAGCCTTATTCTGGTCCTTGACGGTCTTGAGCTCGCCTTCGAGACGCTTCTGGGCTTCGTTGTCGACTTCTTGAATGGGCTCGTGATCGACGGCATCCGAGAGCTCATCGGCCAGGCTGGTGGGGCCGGTGGTTGTTGACCTGCCCTCGAGAGCGGCAAGGGCGTCCTGGTTCGCGGTGCTGCCCATGTAGCTGAAGTCGCTGGTGCCGAAGTCGCCCTTCAGTGTCCTCTCCTGGAGGAGGAGCTGGTAACTTTCGTTGTCTTCCATCAGCCGAGCGTTGGCCATGCGCGCTTCCATTAGTTGCCTTTCAACCTCGCGCAGACGCCCTCCCCCTTGGTTTTCGGACTCGACAAGTTTGATCTGTGCCTCGGCCAATTCGAGCCTGAGCGATTCAATCAGCTTATCTTTCTGGAGCAACAGCTTCGAGTTGTTTTGTGAATTGCTGCGGTGGATCGAGGAAGGCGGCGCAAAGCTTCCGTTGTCGAGGTTCTGCGAACTACTTGTGGTAGCGATTGCTGGAGCAAAATAAGTTAGCGGATACGGTTCAGATGAAGAAAGGGGTAATGTTTGCAAACTTACAAGGTCGCCTCGCGTGCCTCACGCCCTCTTCATCCCTCTGCGCCAGACTGTCCTTGAGTCTCTGGATAACGGTCTGCATCTCCTCCTCGCGGTTGGCCATCTCGTCCTTCTCCTTCATCATGGCGCTACGCTCAGCCTCGTAGATGCTCTCCATCTCGCGCATCTGACGGGAGATCTCGCGCTTCTCGTTCTTGAGTGCCTCGATCTGCTCCTCGTTTTCGTGCACCTTCTCCTCCAGCTTGGCCTGTTCCCTGGTCGCGTCGTCTAACCTGCTCTGCAGGATGTCCATCTGGCGCTTGTGGGATTCTGACGAGGCCTCGGCCTTGGATAGCCTCTCCTTGAGATCTTCTATGATGGCCAGGGTTTCGGCGCGGGCAGCCTCCTCGCGCTCGAGGTCTGCCGATGACGGCTCCTTGGTGATATTGTTGGTGCCATTGCCGAGAAGGGACTCGCGTCTTGACGAGACGGCAGCGCGGGCTGAGACTAGGGTTCCTGATCGTATGGAGCGTGTGCGCGCGGCGCTGGAGGCAGTGGGAGCAGACGAGGGCGTAGAGGCTCTGGCGGCTGGGCGCGTGGATCCCGTTGGTGTTTCCCGGCCTGATGACGCTGGCGGCTTCTTGACGACGGTTGCCATTTTGTGCTAGTGTAGGTTGTGGTGAAAGTGTTGTTCCCGGTAGACGGGAGTAACTGCGATTTCGAGGGTATAGATGTGGTGGTATTCTAGCAGGTAGGTAGGCAACGGGTTGTAAAGAGCGTTCAGGTTTGTGTGTACAGGTCAAGTTTCGGAGTCAAGGTTTGGATGTTGTAACAAAAAGGAACGATGGCCGTTGGAACGAAAGGGCGATCGAACTGGCGGTGGGGGCCCTTGCTCCCTTCGGTTGTTGATGGGGGGAATTGATTGCCGTCGTTAATGCCTTTGGAGAGGTAAAAGAGTGGTCCCCTGTTTAACTGGTTCTTGGGTGGTATTCTGCGCCTGCAGTAGCATGAATGCGTGCTGCGCGCTTGCAGTGCTTGGCCCCTTTCTTCAACTTGTTGTGTTTTCTGTAAAGATTGGGCCTTGGATGCAGTGCAGTGCTTTGCAGCCGGTACACTAGAGGTATGTAGCGCTTGCAGCGGTTGGAGAGAATTCTTTGAGAGGAGGGGAGTTGACAGTTTCCAAATACAGAAACTAAGACAAAAAGAAGGACATGTCAGGAGACAACTGAACACAACGTGACTCGAGGTCGACAATGGAACTGAAGGTTCCTTATTTCAGATTCAGAATAGAAACGGTACAGTGAGTGGCGTCTTACATCCATTCCCATTCATCCTCCAAAAAAAAAAGGTCGAAAAAAGGGTGCACAGGCAGTGAGTGAATGGGCCCCGACGGATGGATCACAGGCTCCAGAAAGGTCTCCAGCAACTTGAAGCGGGCCGGGCGAAAAAAGGGATTGGTTCATGAATCAGCCCTGTTCCCTGGCGTGGTGCCCAGGTACAAGATAAGTCCACTAACAAGCTCCCCTGCAAAACACACATGCCGCAGGCGGAGCAACCGTCAGGTCCCGTTAGTGCCTACTTGTAGAAAAGCGGGTACCATTTCGGTCCATGTCCGAAGGGACTTGACGTGGGAACGTGAGGCATCCATCCCTCCCTCGTCTCTATCATTGGTTTCGTTGTCGGTTGTACAAGAAGCCGCCTCCTGAGGGACGGATGGATGGACGGATGGATGGCAAGCAAAACCACACGGTCAGCCCCGATCCGAGGCGGACACTTGTGAGATTTGTGTCGACTTTGCCGTCTTACAAACTACGTAAAGTAGCTAAAGATGGTAGGGAGCAGCGCAGCATTTTGGTGTCACACATTCTTCGTCTATCTATCTTTGGGTATAGACGTGTTGCCCGAAAAGAAATATTATCCGGATTCTTTCCCAACTTGACCCAATCAATCTATTGATGGGATTCCATGGCTCTTGTTACGCCGTATCCGTGTCAATGGGTCAACTCGAAAGACACTGCTTCCCTGTTCAGAGGCAACTCGTGTTTGGTTTCGAGTTTCGTCTTCGTGTGTCTGATCGCAGTCGTATACCTCGCTAGGTACTCGGATTTGTATCGAGTATGGTACACCCCAAAGAACTGGAATGCGATATCTGAACGGCAAACAACATCCCATTTTTCATGCATATCCCTAAGGGGCAGCTCAGTCAGTCGACTCACTGCGCAACAGATACTTACGTCCCGGTCACGTTGTGGTGCATCATGCATACTTGGAAATTAGATGGTCATGGCTTCATCGTTAGTCTAGTTGAGGAGGAACAAAGTTTTGAAACCCTGAGAAACCATTTCCTTGTAGGGACCTACCTACGCTTGCAAGAAGAATCCCGTCCAGTTATATCGGCTCGATCCATTCCAGTGGAGAACAGACTGGCCGACTTGTTCCAGAAGCCCTGGCATCTGTCCATTGCACATTGGATATTTTGTACAGCACTAGGAGGTCTAATGTTTGTCCTTCTCATTCCTGCACAAATATTCTTAGCCTCGTTCACGTCAAGGTAATGCCGTATCCGAGTTAATCTGAACAAATGTCCAACACACTTTCCGCCTTCTACCACTTATACGTGCCTTTAGGTTCATGGGGAGGAGATTCACTTAGCTCTGCTTAGAGTGAGACCCTCAGAACCCGTGCCGTTGACGTAGTAGGCTAGCTGTAGTGCAGTCTAGCTTCGTTCCGAGACATTTCGACACATTTGACATTTCGATATCCTTCTTGACATTTCCCGATGGCATAACGCATAAAACATGGCCGTTCACATTCCTTCGAACGTTTCCGCCTCTACGGTTGCCATAACCCGTCCGTAGTCCCTTCCCTACTAACAAGAATGGCAGGGGTACAGCATACAAGGACGATAGCGAACGGGCCATCATTATCTCCAAGCAAGCAAGCAAAGCAAGCAAGGGGGCCGGCGGCTGACTAACTCGACCAAGATGAAGTAGTGTAGTAGAACCCATAACCCCTATCGGCTATCCCAGAAATCTCCGGCTCGGCTCGTTGCTCGAACATCCTTTGATCTGCCGTTACGATGATCGCTTAAAGTGGTTAATGTGTGTTTACAGTAGTTTAGTTCGCTTCAGTGTTTCAAGGCTTGAACGAGGGCCTTCCGTCTCCAGTGAACACCAAAACTACCCCCTTTTGTTTTTCAGCGTCTTGGGGTTAACGGCTCCGGATCTTCCCCAGACGGGAGAACCGGCTGTGGACAGCCCTTTGTGGATGTTAATTTCGCTGTCAATGCAACCAACCGTCAGGGCTGTTAATTCCGGACTTATACGCTAACTAGGTAATTCAGAGCATGACTACCGGCCGTTGACAATGGATGGGTTTCTGGTGTGGGTTACCAACATCTTTGAATTCTTGGTTGCGGCGTGGCCGATTTGGTGATTACCATACCATCCTTCACATGTCTTGAACCTCCACTTGTCTGAACAGAGTGTTGACGAATTACAAGACGATATCCCAACCGGATTTCGACCCTCCCTGCGTAATATCAACCGAGCCTGGTATGTATAGGCGGCATACACTTATAACTTGGATGTGCTTTACTCCCGCCACCAAAAGCGCAGCTAGACGAGAAGCTCTCAAGCTGGAAGCCGGCTTACAACAGGATGTTCTGTCAAGGAGCTGGGTGTAAGAGCGTCGAGCAGCTTCACGTATCTCTGGTCATGACCACGGATAAGACGTTGGTTGCTCCATGGACTGTCTCAAGTTGACAGGAACCATCCGCTATGCTCCTTTCTACCACGCATGTCGCTCATACAAGACGTTGAAGGTCAAAGTCGCTTAGTCGGGAACTGCAGTCGGATATATCACGCTGATAAAGCAGATCGGACAATGTTGGACAACAATGGGTATCTTGATAGACTCGTCTTCTATTTTAAGGACTAGCCTATTGAAAGTTGCCCTGGGGCGAGACCTCTGCCCATTCAGGCACAGCGGTGGAAAACCGCCGCAGATTCGGTTCATCAAGCCGTCATGCCATTTTTCCATGATTTTCAAAGCCTGAACGCCGTATCCCTATGCCGAACGAGAAGATAATACTCGACGCAGCATTTACTGCTGCTGGTCGGCGAGGATGTCGGAGTCACCGGCATCAAGGATGGCCATGGTGGAGCAGCGGAAGAGCTTACCGCAGGCGGTACCGAGCTCAATCTGTAGTGGGAGGTTGTGTGTAAGCCACGGAACAGGTACCCTCCAAAGCCTGAAGACAGACTTCTTCTCTGGGTGGACCCGAAGATGGCGCCGAGGGCATCTTCAGGCCGGGAACAGAGAGAACAGCAGACAAAGATCTTGCAATCTTTGCCGTGCCACTGCAAGGAGATGTCAGGCTAAACTTACGTTGGTGCCGGTGTAGTGGTGGACGGCAGTCTTGGACATCATGGAGTAGTACTCAAGCTCAGACTTGCGGAGGGGAGGAGTGTTGGCAGAGATGAGGATGAGCTTGGCCTTGCCGGAGCGGAGGGCCTTGAGGGTGCTGCGGTAGCCGAGGACGACCTTGCCGGACTTGATGACAAGGGCGAGCTATTCGCAAAGACATCATCGTCAGCATTCTGGTGTTTTGTGATTTTGCAGATTTCGCACATAGCGATGGGATTGGAACGTACCTTGGCACCAATGCTCTGGGCGTCAGACTTGGACTTCTTGGGGGCCATTGCGAATGATTTTGTCGATGAACTGAACCGTGGAAATGGGCAAGGTCTCGCTGGTGGTGAGGTCTCAAGTCGTCGTTCGCTGGCTTCAAGAAGGATTCAGCAAAAAAAAGACCATCACGAATATTTCAGATCCCCTCCCATTGCGGCAGTGGAGGCCGTGCACACTTCACCTGCCAGCCAATCACCTGCGAGCAGCTGGGCAACTGGCACAAAGCCCTAACGCCCCACATTTTCGGACCTGGCGCGCACCTGACCAGGCAGATCGGCCTGCCTGCCTCCCACCCACTCCGGCGCTGGATTGGTAATCGCCCGCCAAAATCGCCTCCCCTTGATCTTAAAGTTAGAGGATTTCACTTTGTCGTCGTCGCCCTCTCAACCCACGAACAACCACCTACGACCTCGTACGTGACATCATCAAAAATCAGTCAAAATGGCCCGCCGTCCTGCGAGATGCTACCGGTACTGCAAGAACAAGGTGAGCAGCCTTCATGCCCGGATTTTTGCGACGCCAAAATAGCCATCGAGAGACCGATTTTTTCGCATTGTGTGGGGCGGGAAGCCATCGATGGTGATGGTTGCGGATGGGAGGAAGGAAGGACTTGGACATGGAGGAACATCAAGGTGGATGCACACGGGCAACGATGATGACATGGACATCGCAAGAGGAGGAAATGATTGATGGAAATGGAAGCGGAAGGATTAAGGATGATAGCGATGCGACAACTTCGATGTTCTCTCGATGGCTATGAAGGGATTCACCGTCGGTCGGTCAATTGGACTTGGGTCGTCAATCAAGATCATCACCGACCGCCATGTCAACCACCTCACATCACCACAACACAAACAGTTTGCTAACTATGTCCCTCTTTCTAGCCGTACCCTAAGTCGCGCTTCAACCGTGGTGTCCCCGACCCCAAGATTCGCATCTTCGATCTTGGCCGCAAGCGCGCTACCGTCGATGACTTCCCTCTCTGCATCCACATGGTCTCCAACGAGTATGAGCAGCTGAGCTCTGAGGCCCTTGAGGCCGCCCGTATTTGCGCCAACAAGTACCTCGTCAAGACCGCCGGTAAGGAGGGTTTCCACCTCCGTGTCCGTGTCCACCCTTACCACGTCGTCCGTATCAACAAGATGTTGTCTTGCGCTGGTGCCGATAGACTTCAGACTGGTATGCGTGGTGCCTGGGGTAAGCCCAACGGCACTGTCGCCCGTGTCAACATCGGCCAGATCATCATGTCTGTCCGTACTCGTGACTCTAGTACGTTCTACTCTTGGTCCCCTCCACATGCTGCTACTGTCATACTAACCCACGCTACAGACAAGGCTTTTGCCCTTGAGGCCCTCCGCCGCTCCCAGTACAAGTTCCCCGGTCGCCAAAAGATCATCATCTCCAAGAACTGGGGTTTCACTCCTCTCCGCCGCGAGGAGTACCTCGAGAAGAAGGCTGCTGGCAAGCTCCTCATCGATGGTGCCTACGTCCAGTTCCTCGGCAACCGTGGCTCTCTCGAGCGCAACATGAAGCGTTTCCCCGACGCTTTCGCCACCGAGGCTTAAACGTCGTTGGTCGCTGGGACAAAGAGTTGTTTCTGGGTTTAGGGTGGCGTCAACGGTCTTTTTTAGGGCTGAAATGAGGACATGTTAGTAGCATCATGGTCTTGTTGGCACAGTCAATACACCATTCATCCAGATGGGTTTTAGATGATACCTAATACCGCAGTTTCCTTCCTACGCCCTTTCCCCAGTATTCTTTGTCGGTGACTAGTGACGGGCATTCGTTTGGTGTTGATGGGGGCTGCTATGGGATTGGCTCGTTTGTGAGACCAAGGGGCGATCGCAGGCGTTGATTTCAAAGCAGCGACCCGGCTATTGGAACACGACAAGCGGTTGGTTCGGAAGCATCGGTCAGCACATCAGCCACGGCTCTTATGGCGCTATTCCATAGGAGTACAGGCTTATGCTAGCAATCCGTAGCGGTCCCATACACATCGAACTCTAGACCACGTAAACAAAATTGCGCATTCCAGGCGAATCTCTTCAGTGACATCATCGTAAACAGTGACTGGCCATGTCCGTCCAGCATCCTGGGCCTAAGAAAGATAAGTTGCTGATAAGCCCATCAAGGTTACCTATCGTCTCTGGACGCCATGCTCCATTTCTCCGCTTATGATGGAAAATACACTAGATCAGATAACTCACAATTCCTCAACATGCTCGGCGGTTTCCCGGACTGCACATCATGCCTCGCAAATGGTGAGTGAAGTCATGACTACCGTAGTGTTGATCATGAATGGGGCTAGAAGGGTAGAAAAGGTCCTCAAATCTGGGGCGACGTCTGACACGCCTTTGTTCCGGCAACCAGGGATCGGTTTATGCCCAAAGGATAGCCGGTAGGAGCAATCAACAGCATCATGATCAGTGATGATCTACACTACTGGTGGCCCTCCTCAAGAACCCCCCCTCAAGGTGAAACTGACCCAACTGAAGCCAAGCCAATGCTTTTCGGCTGCCCGTCTCCCCGGTTCGGTCCTGTCCCCGGCCGTGCTTCGGTGGTTTCCATCGATGGAGATTGTCCCGTTCCCATTATAAGGGAAAGGGTGTGGTAGGTAGTGGGTGGGGCTTTATCGCCAAACTAACTTATCGCAGACTGATTGATTTCCTGTTCCTCTCTCATGATCGCGTGCGGTCATGCAAGCCGATAACCCAAAATACACTTTACACAGTGACATTACATCCTACCGTAGCATGGGATCCGTACATATGGACATGAAGAAGTAATGCTTTTGGGCTGTTCGGCTGAGATATTCCTTCTCAGATGCCAAAATCTGTGTTCAAGGATCCTGTCTTGAAAAGACTGCTCACGCCTCATCTTGAGCAAGCCATATGTCCGTTTCCTTATCTATCTATACAAAATGGACTTCTTTAGGTTGCCAATCATGATCTAGTCAAGTGAAGAGGACAGAGATAACAGCGAGTTCGAAATGGGTGGGGGGGTTCTGACTCTGACTCTGACTCTAATTCGCAAGGCAAAACGGGAACGGTTAAAACCCGACGGGGAGAGCACAGCAAGTCGAAAGATAATTGGGACGAATTTCACAATGGTATGGCATGATGAGGTCAGAAGCTCGGTGGGGCTCAGGCAAGACGGGAGGAAGATGGGGGAGGGGGGAACAGAGGGGGGATACGGGGAACAAAATCTCAAGCGACAAAACTGAGCTGAACTGCTGCACTGTAAGTTTAGCGGGTGAGACAATGAGAAGAAGAGGGGGTCAAGGGGGGACAAGGGGACCTCATGGAATACCCTACCCGTCACCAATTGAGCTCTCACTGGTGAGACTTGGGGGTCCTTTGAACCTGACGACGGGAGGAGGTAGTGTAGTGTACATGGCATTTTCGTTGGGGTTGCTTGTTTGTTTGGCGTGCAACCACCACGTAGTGTAGTAGGGACAAGCTACCACCATGATCAACCATTACACCGTGTGACCCTTTGGCTTGGGAGGCAATCCCACAGAGTGATGACATCCCGTGCTTCTGTTTCTGTGTCGATGCCGTAGGGTAGTGTAGTAGACACGGATCTGTTACGGACGGCATGGCTTTGATCGACCTACAGCCTCTGTTGATTTCGTCAGTACCCGCCGTTGGCCTTTTTTTTTTTTTGCCCCGATATGCTTCAGTTGCGCCCTTCTTTTGGGTTGAAAGTCCACTGTTGCCGCGGATAAGGGAAGTTGGACCAGTTTTCAGACTATCAAGAGGAAATCAACACCTCTTCCGGCATATAATTCGTTAGCGTGGTACCGCCACTCTACAATATTCAAGGCATTGGAGGTGTGCAAAGCAGGCATCTTTTGTAATGAGAATAGAGATATCGCCACCAACTCAATTCACCGCGCTAACGTTTTAAATGCCGGAGGAGGTGAAGAAGAAACGACAGGGGGATCACACGAAAAGGGGGCGCAACTTGAGTGGACGCAACGCAGTCAGCCAATATCCAATACCTATCTCCCGACTCTGCACGACTGGCGTACAACAGACAGGTGTTTGGATGAGACTAATAACAGCAAAGGCACAGTGGGAAGATTCGATATCAGAAACCTGTGAGATTCCGCATTCCACCACGGCTTTGTACACGGTGCTATCGACGGCAGTACCGTGCTACGGAAGCTTGTCAACTGGAAGCAGCAGAACACTCCAAAAGGCAACGTCAGCAACAGAAGCAGACAAGCTGAAGAGGAAACAAACATTCAGGCGGGATCCCGAGAAAGTGGAAGGAAATAAAAGTTGGGTAACGGACCGACCTCGAAAAAGTGACGCTGACAACGAGGGAACAAGGGGGTCAAGATATTAGTTGTTAGTCAAAGGAATGGTTCGACGGGACTTGGGAACCCCACGGCCACGCCATTTTGGCCCTAAAATATTGGATCCAATCTTCCATTTGCTCTCTTCAGGACAAGCTCCTCTAAACACCAGCGGCACCCCGTCACCGCCTCCGTCCCCAACAAGAGAAAGCTCAGTAACTAAAAAGAAGCGCAAAAGCGGGCGCACATTTCCCTTCGTTGGCGACTTACAACAAAAGGTACCTACACTAGCTGTACCGGTGATACCGTGCAGTAGCAAGCGTCAAGATCAGCAGCGGCAAGCAGCATTAGCACGTATGTACACCTGTTGTCGATACAACGCTAGGAGATACCGCTGCGACAGGCTATTACGGGGCTCTAGGGGCGATCCATCCGTGGATGCTACCTAGAGGTACATAGCGTACTGTGCCTACACTAGCCTCCAACTGAAGTATCATCAATCTAAGGATGTTGTCGTCTCTCTTGGCTACCTCTACCTACGTATCGACCACGGCTGGGCGACAATAGCGAATCACGACAAAACAACTTCCCAACTCCCCGCGGCGATACCTTTGGACACACAGCGAGCGAGTAACGAGTTGCGGAGCCCTTCTTCCACGGGAAGCGCCGTCCTAGACGAGACCCCAGAAAAGCAGACCCCGGGCACCTGGCGCTTCATTCTTTCTTGTTCCACCTTACGCCATCCACTCATCCATCCATCGATATCTTCCTTCTCCTGTCCTTCCTCCAGTCAGCTACATACCTACCCTTCCATCTTATCTCTCTTTGTTCACCTCTCCCGTCTTTCATTCCAGCTGTACTAGGAATCTATCTACCTCTATACCCATACCCATACGCCATATTGTCCCTCGCGTCCCCTAATTCTTGCGCCAAGCAAACAAACACCAAAAAAGTTCAACTGGACGACGTCAAGGATAGGGGTTACTTAGCGCGAAACCGCCTATCATGGCCTTCCACCAACCGGCCCGTCAGCTCCAGCAACAACGAAATCGCCTTCTCTCGAGCGATGGCTCTTCAGCTGTCTTCTCGCCGCAACCGCCAGGTCTGGGCGAGTCGCAGACATGGGTTCTCTTCACGCCCGGCACCGACGCCGGCACAACAGCTTCCTACCTCAGCGACTCTCTCCATGATGACCACCAGCAGGTGACACCCGGCCGGTCGCAGGCTAGCGACCTCGGTAGCTTCGACACCGCGGCCCGATCCGACCTTAACTCGCAAAACCACAATTCGGCACTGCCCTCGGATTTCCTTGAGGAAAGCGTCGCGGAGGAAGAGGACGAGGAAGAGGAGGATCCCGAGTTCGACAGTCTTGACAGCCATCTTCCAGACTTTCGAACGCCCCTCGGGCAGTCGCCGCAAAATTCGTATGCGATGCCTGTTTTCCCCAGCCATGACGGCATGGGTTCGTTTCAGTTCAAGCCTCCGGGTATGAGCAGCGACATCCAAGACAGACTATACCAGTTCGAGCTACTCAACCCCAACCGCATTCAGCGCCGTAATGATGCGCTCGAACAGATTCATATGGAATACGGTGGCCAAGAGGTGGAAGATAACGAGCGCAACCGGAGGATAGAGGCATGGCGGCTAGAGCAGAGCAAGCTGCTGCTTGAGAGAATCAGGAAGGAGACAAGGAGAAGGCAATCGCAGAATTCGCTACGCACCGCAAACTCCGCCACGAGCGTGGGCGATAAGGCCGCGAGCGTGTTGGACCAGCTCGAGCAAGACGATACGGCAAGCCTCGCAAGCGATGACTGGCATGATCACGATGACGAATACAAGGCCCAGTCCGCCAGCACAGAAACACTCAAAAAAGAGGCAACCAACGAGGAGCCAAGCGAAGGGATAATAGGCCGCACAAGAGAGGCAATCTGCAACCTGATAGGAGTCGACGACAGGCTACTCGCAATTCTCCTAGGCGAAGCCCTCCCTGACGAGGAAGAGCTGTCCACTACGCCTACGGCATCCACGACTATGAATGTCGACTCACAGGTGAAGACGTCCGAGGATTCGACATGGCAGTTGCGCATGCTAAACCGGATAGCGAAAGAACTCGGGATGCTGATTCACCAACTATCAACCTCTCCCCACCCCGGCGCGTTTTCCACCTACACCCGGGTCCAGCAAATGCCCCTCCCATACGCCGGCCTACCAGTTATACCCGAGACCTCGGCCGTTACCAACAACGATTCTTCGTCCAAGGATAGTCTCCGCACAGGCAGTAACGTGGTGTCCAACATGCCCCAGTTTCAACCGACCATCACCCAGCCCGTCACAACCCCTACCGACTCCGAACAAGGACAGGCTTCCGCTGCCATCCCCGCTCCTTCAGAACTTACATCCTCCAAACTTACCACGTCCACCGGGCCGGCCCCGTCCGACGTGACCTCCACAACAGGGGGAGCACTACCCACCACCGCCTCTTCTCTTCCCCAACAACAACAACAACAACAACAACAACAACTAACCTTCACCCAAGACGAATGGGAACAAGAGCTCGACATCGGTCTCATATTCCGCTACCTCCGCTCGCGCTTCTCCCCTTCCTCCCGGTCCCCCTCACCCACCTCCTTCTCCGGACCAACCCTCACCCCTCCCTCCTCTTCCATCTTTGCCACCGCTTCTACCGCCGACCTAGCAGCCAAAGCCGCTCGCGTAAGACAACACCATCCTCTGATGTCCCACCATCGTCGCCCTCACCACGCCCCCGCTACGCGCAGCTTCAAAGTCAGCACTCCTTCCGGCCCCAGCAACATCGCTTCCCCCACCAACGCGGCGGCAGCAGCGGCGGCGGCCGTGGTGTCGGTGATGAGGCAGAGGGCAGGGAGCTGTGCTAGTCAGAGTACGCAGCGGAGCGCTACTAGGACGACGGGGCGAGGGAGTGTGAAGAGGAGGAATAGCGGGGCGTCGACGGCCACGGGGAGGGTGAGTCATGGAAGTAGGCATTATTGGGATCTCCCCAAGGGGCCGGGGAGTGTAAAGGGCGGGAGTGTGGTTGCGGGAGCAGGAGGGGGGATGGGGAGTTGGGGGGAGGTTTGAACTGGGATTGGGAGTGGTAATTAATGAATGTGCATTGTTGGGAGGGGGCAGATAAACTGGGTATTCCTTTTTTGGTTATCATTGGGGTCGACATTGTATAATAGAAAGTAATATGGGTCAGCGGGGAGTTTTTGGTTGAGGTTTATGGCCTAGGCAGGGCGGCCTACGGGGAGAAGATGAGGCGAAACGGGGCGGCTTGGGAAGAGGTACATTGCGTTTTTGCATATTGGCATCACATCACATCACATTACATCGTCACATTACATTGCATTGCACTATATCATGTATCGCGGGTATCTGTCTGTCTGTCTGGCTTCATTTCTTCGTTGTTATAGTCTTGTTTCTTGGGCATGCCCTGGGAGAATAGAGCCCATTCGAACAATATGGTAACAGGAAGCCCCCAACAAGCCTGATTAAGAATGCTCCATAAAGTTCTAGACTTAATCAGGGCTGTGAAGAATCGTGACTCCTAACTATAGCTAGAGGGATTCATGAAGAAGCCTCAATGCCACCTACTTAGAGGTATTCAACCGCGTACATGATATCTTTTAGATGTCTAGACGTACGGAGAACCAACGAAACTAGCTCTCCCTCTGCCTTGGATCTGATTTGATCGTCAGTTGTTTTTTTTTTTTCATCAGCCTTACTACTATTTTTTAGGTTATTATCATCCTTTTTTTCTCTAAGGTTGTATCTAGTGAGTGCTCATCATTGATGGAAAAAGGGATTTAGAACCTGAGATCCTGTCATGAGGTGAGGCGGAAGGATAGGGAGGGCAGAGCTCCTTCCAGATGGGTTTCTATTATGTACATAGGAGGCGGTTTGGACGTACCTTTGCGGAGCTACTACACTTACGGAGCTACTGTACGGGCGGCAGCTATGGACGCAACGAAGCTAAAGGTATTCCCACATTGCGTGTAAGTAGGTACCTACCTTAGGTACTTTAGTCGAACTAAGCTTCTTTGAGCTATTTAGTTATTGCAGAAAAGCGATGGGAGTTCTATATTGGAAGGCAGTCAGATTGGGGAGTTTAGGTACTATCTAACCTTACTTAGCTCCTTAGGTACAGTTTGACCTGGGCTGTTGTCCCACTCATGGGAACTTGAGCGAGAGAAAAGGGCGGATGTCTTGATGCTATCATGATGTTAATGGTCACAGCGAAAGAAAGATGTAAGTGGCTTAGGCCAATCAGAGGGTGAGTTTCCACTCTTGAACGCAATCAACTTCGGGAAGAGACTCTTCACGTCGTTTTCTTCTTGCCCAAGTGGCTCAAAGTCTGGATTCTAGGCGAAGTCATACCTGAATCCGAGTCAACAGCCAGATATTCAGGTGATTGTCGCCTCAGTTCCAGTTCAAGTCAAGCCGTGAAACAGATTCCTTTAAAGTGGAAAGTTATCTCAGGGCATTGGATGCCATCACGAATCCACACCCCGCCCGCCTTAGCTATGGGGACGAGGGGATCCACTCCAGTCAATCATGCACTCCGACTTTGACCCCTGTCACCCCATCAGCAGCCCAGAAGCAACTGAAAGTTCTGGCGTTTAGGCGTGCAAGCATGTCCCCATCACGTCCATTGCTTCCACTTTCACTTTTCCCATGCGCCTCACTTTTCCCCTTCCATCGGCTTTCTCGACATCCTCGGTATATCCTCGACCTCGTCGTCGTACCGGTGATCGCAATTCCCTCGTCTACGTGTGTCTCCGCCTAGTTGATCAGTTTCGAAAATATAAATTGTTTGTTTCCCCCGAGCGAGTTTGATCATCTCTCGTCCCGTCTTCCCTCCCCGCTTCTTGTTTGGGACGCGCTGCTTAGGCGGCGTCTGCCTGGGCGGCCACCATTCAACAGCTTCGGATTCCCAACAATTGCATTGTCGCAACTGTTTTCTTTGATCAAACCATCTTTAGCTTTACTTATACTAACTGGAGACTGCATCATGAACTAGACTTCCAAACGAACTCTTGTTGCGATCCGGCTTGGTCTAACGTTGAGTCGCATCAAAGTAGGAAAGAAGGGAGCTCCGTTCCACCGCCATCACGACGCGCCGACCTCGATTGCCCAAGTCCACCCATTCGCGACTCGACATTTTCCCGATTCCTCGTCCTCTTTTCCTTTCCGACTGAAACCGATCGACGCAAATACGGCCCGAGCTCGATCGCATCCAGGCTGGAAGCAACGCGCCTCGTTTAACTACCATACAATCAGGAGATGGTGACCTAGAATCCCAATGGACGCAAATCCTTTCGACGCCCCTGGGCCTCTCCCCAGCTTTTACGATGATGGACAAGCCATGTGGAATGCGGCCTTCCCCGTGCTGCCGCGGGGTCCTTGCAACTACACAGATCCCTCTCTGCCGCGCTGTGGCTGCCGCCGCTTCTGGAGCAAGCTGAATGCTGCGCCTGATTCCGCCGAACTCTGCCAGTGTTCCCATCATGCCTGTTTCCATGATGATTTCCCAGCTCCTTCACAGCTGCCGCCCACTCCTTCCCTTGCATTTGCCGGCCTGCCCCCCACTAATGATCAGGACAAGCCGAACTCGGGCATGAGCAGTCAACGTACAAGGGGGCTCCCAAGTCCGATGGAGGAAATGCACCCGTCTTTTGCTGCGCCTGCCGTGTCTTCCCATTTTGGAGTCTCTAGAGATTTCGGCCTTCTGAATTTCTACGCTTCCAGCTTCAACCAGCGTGTAATGGCTTCTCAACCTCTACAGATCGAACCCGTTCATATTCAGGATCCACCACGCCAGTCTATGGAGAAGCAGGCTACCATTCCGGATACCGCTCCTGTCGCCGCTTGGGTAAATGGGAATCAAACTCAAGAGACTGAGATTTACGGTGAAACACAGCCGTTGAGCCCGGGTTATTTACACATGCAGTCCCAGGCCCCCTCAACTACATATTCTAGCCAGATGAGATACATGGCGCCATTTTCCGGAAAGGGACTGAATACCATAAAACGCCCATCTGCACCCAGGAATGAAGCCTCTGTTCCGGAGAAGGGGGCAGAGCATGTTGAGGAACAAGCACAAGCTAACGCCCAGGATGTATGCGGCCCTATGGACTTGATGGCACCACCAGAGTATAGGCGAGACATGACACCTAGACCTGGATCAGCACACAATCAATCTTTCCTCGCTGTCAAGGATGATGTGAAACAGTTGTCGGTTGTTGTCAACCTCCAGGAAGAAAGGATAGACAGGCTTGAGAACACCTCCTTCTCAGTCATCGGTCACGACGAGTGCTATGACAAACACGAACACACAGACCTCCGAGTTACGGAGCTTGAGTCTCGTGTCGACGAGGTGGAGAAGATTCTGAATGACAATGCCAGTGCCGCCGGCGCAAGCGTGTCCTCGGCGGCATCTAATAGCACAGTTCGCTCTTCGCAAAAGGTTACTCTTAGCCAGTTTCAGGCCCTACAAGCACAGATTAGTGAGCTTCAGGCTACATCTCTCCCAACATACAACAAGCCTTGGGATCTGGAGGTTGTGTTTCTACCGTTTCCTCTCAAGGGTATCTGGGTGGATGCCCGCAAAATCTTTGACCGGCGACAATCAATGGGCCCCGACGAAGATGGGATACAATCATTGAACACTTTGAGCAGAGCTACGCCGGATCCCCAGGACCCGGGTTTCTCGGAATGGCCAGGACAATGTCCCGATTCTGGCTGGCTGCTCCCCAAAGCCTTTGCGAATGGACGGATGATTGACCAGAGACTTAGGAGCCGCGGCTTCATCAAGACAATCCAAGTGAGGGGACCGGATGCCCGTGATGTTCAGCTGGCGATCCACAAAGCTTTTAGTAATATCCTCCAGCCTTCTTCCCACCTGATCTACCATAGCGAGGCTACACCCGAGTCACCACTGAATGAGTTCCTTGGATTGCGCCAGGACTGGGTGCCTTTGCGCAAAATTCACCGGGATAACCGTTTACGATTTCTCGCCCCGGCCGAAATGGCAACGCCAGCGCTTTGGGGTTTCACCTTTTTGATGTCCAGCGTCGTCATGAAGGCCCCCAAAACCATTGGGACGCACCGTTTGTACATCACACAGCCAGAGGCGTATATTCAAGATTATATCATGGGTAATCGCGCCCTCATGCCGGGTTGGACATGGCAAAGGATACGCGAGCTCAGTCGGGTATACCCTGAAGACTATGATCCCGAGGAGACAAGTAGCGATCACACCCCGGAGGCAGATGCTTTTGAAGAATGTTGGACTAGGAGCGACGTTCTTGACGAGCTGCCCTTTACAGACGCTACAATTACAAACCGACAGAATAGCCATGTGCACTTATCGTCCGAACGTTCTGAGACCAGTTCGTTCTACACGGCTTCATCATCCCTTAAAGCAAACGGAATGCGAGCAGAATCGCCGCGGGCAATACTAGGGAAAGAGCACAAGGCATCCTTGACGCCCTTTTCGCGGTCCCGTTCATTCTCGCCGGCTGGCCCTTCTGGCGTCTCCTCGACCGGGAGTCGTCACAAACAGCTGTCCTCCACCCGCCATGCGATGAAACCATACGAACGACCTTATGATCGGCGATCCTCTCCCCTTGTGCATGAGCGCAGCCCTTTTGTTCCAGCGGAGCAATACCGAAGACGACGCAGACAGGATCTGGCAAAACTTGACTATCCCCGCCAAACCACGCCTCAAGATGATTATGATCGCAATCGTGATCGGGTTATGAGCCGCTCGCCTTCCCTAGCGCCACCTAACCGGAGCGATAGGAAGTCTACACCTGGTTGGTACGCCACGCCGCACAGCGAACACCCTTCGTCTGAGATCGGCTTCCATCGTGGTAGCAGCCGCGGGCCTTCGCTTCTCACGGACGATCATGCCCAGGACAGCGATCAAGAGATGACAGGACTATCCAGCGGCAGCGATGACGACAGCAATGAGGATGACGAGATGACGGATTGTCCGATCGACAGTGGGGCCACCCCAAGACGCTCCAAGTCCGTGCAAGTACCGCTTGCCATTCCCGAATCTAGTTCCAGTTCGTCTGAAAGCGGCAGCGACTTTTTCGATGCTGACGTGGACAACCTCGACCAGGACGACGAGCTAGATGGGGCTAAGACGGACGGCGAAGGTCAGGGTCAGGTCCACGGTCTGGCAAGACCGTTGAAGTCTCAGGATATTCCGAGAGAGGGCATCGAAACGGATGACCAAAACCTGGGTCCTTTCAGTCAACACAGCCAGAGTCTATTCAACGACACGCAGGAGGACTTGGATATTGACTTTGATGAAGGGGCCCAAGAAAATGGCAACTACGACGACGATGGTGATGGTAATCAATCCGATGAGTCAGAAGCACCAAGCGAGTATCCTAGCAAGAATATCTCTTCTGTTCTGTCGCCGGAGACTACGAAACTACCTAGCCCGTTGATTGCCTCCGGAAGCGGAAGCCGGAGCGGAAGCCAGCAGCAACAGCAACAGGGTCATCAACAGCAGTATCCATACCCACGGGCGCTCACTAATAGCCAGAACCTGGTTTTGAAGATTGAGGATCTGATTCGGCCCAAGGGACATTTACAGCCAGAGCCACAGTCATTACCACTGCCACAACATCAGAGCCAGGCATCGACTGAGGCGGGCAGTCAGGAGCTAGGTGAGATCTACATGCCAGTATCTTCCTGGACGGCTTCCACCACCACCACCGTGGCCATGGATGTAGCTGCCACCACAGCTACCGCCATGCCTACGGCTATGGCACCGGGGAAAGAAACGGAGATACAGGCTACGACGGAGATAAAGGCAGGAACAACACCTACGACTTTGGCGGCGGAGATAGGACCGTCATGGGTAACGTGGGCAGACACCGCAACGGGGAAGTGGCCGGGTTTTGAGTTTAAGATTCATGAAGATGAGACGAGGACTGAGTAGACTGGCAGATTTGGAGACGTCAATGTGAAGAAAGCTAGCAAATGAATTAGGGAACCAAAGCGGGAGATCGTAAAAAACTCATCGTATGGTCCCTCTCTTTGGGAGGAGTTTCCTCTGTATGCGGAGGCAATGGTTAGCTATAGTTATAGTTATGAAGGGGTTAAGATAATGAATATGAGTGGGTAACATGGATATATGGAGTTTGTTGCTGATTTCTTTGGGGGTTTCAAAGGTTTCAAACTAAGTACGTAGCGGGCGTTCTTGTGTAGTAAGAAAAGAGGAAATATCGGGCATTCAATTTCACTTGATTTGATGTGATGTTCGGTTAGATATGGATGGATTCAGGCGCAAGGTAGTATGTACAATGGAATGGATCGAATGTATGCGAAGCGTTATCTAGTATCTAGCACCGGTAAGTACCTAGGTATCTGTCTTTCAGCTATACCACTACGTCGTGACTACTGCTATTATTTTGTCTTATTGTTCATTTCTATCAATTGATATCTCTTTTGCGTTAGGGAGATCAGGTTCTTTCTACCATTATTTTGTATGATTTTATTGTCTTGACTTGTCTTGTCTTGGGGTGGAGGTGGGAGAGACGGCGTAGAATGAAACTAGGTAGGTAGGTATACAAAGTCTGCTTGGTTGGCCGCCATGGTTTGTTGGAGCATGGTTGGATTTGTTTGTACACATAAATACATGGACGCTCTATGAGAGAGACCGGCCGGTCGGTATCATGGATATTGTTACCTTTCTCTCTTCTTTTTTTTTTCCTTTGATTTTTTTCTCTCTATAGAATCTAGAGTACCTTAGACTCCTAGACGCAATCCTTTTTCCTCCGTCCTCCTACAATTCAACACAACACAACACAACACCTACCATACCTGCCTGGACGTGATCGTGATCGTGGGTGGATTTTGGAAACAGTGCCTGGTGTTGATAGGTGACACCGTGACACCGTGACACCGGTAGTGAGTGACATTGAGAGACAAACAAAATTTACCTTACGAAAAATGGAAGTCGCTGCAATGAACAATTGTAAGAAAAAAAGAAAAAAAAGATGTTCCTTTGTGCTCCATACGGAACTACTGAACAATGATGGGGTTTGGTTTGGTCTTGGGTTGCTTTGCTTTAAACTTGTGAGTTGAGATGTAAACGTAACGTTTCTTGACCCGTCCTTGATCATCATAAGGGAAGGGTACTTTGAAGGGGATGGTGACTACCATACCATAGGCATCGATCGATTGGATTCTGTTGGTTGGTCATATCAAAAGGCAGGTAGTGGTGCATAATTTCTGATAGACAGACATGTATATAGATAGGTAAACATGACCACCAGTTTGAAGTTAAACGTGTAGGCGGAATATCCATCATGATCCACATGAGAGTTTCGTTGGGGTTGGTACCTCGAGCCGGACAAAGTAGGGACAGCAGTATTGGGCTGTAGTCAATCAGTCAGTCAGTCAATCAGTCAGTCACTTGGTCTTTCCAATACCAAAACCCATGTAGGCTTAATCTGTCCTATATTCATCAGTCAGCCGAAAGGTGACATAGCAGCTGTATTGGTAACCATTGCCGTTGTCCTTGTCCTCGCTACGAAGTGAAATGTAAGCAGAGATTTGGGTATTACTGACTGTATGCAGATGTTGTTGAAAATAGGTATGAAGGATCAACATCCCTCCAAAAAGGGGAAGCATATTGAGTTGTGTACGGTACGGTCTACTATGTAGAGATGCGATGGATAATAAGGATGCATCATGGACAGTTCTCGTGGTGGTTCTCTTAACTGTGGTTCGGTGGTTTACTTGATGACTTCAGCTCAGTCATTTTTTGGGCAAACCGGACGGGTTTCTCTATATTTATGCATAAGCAGCTCTGTTAAAGTGGAATGGAGATCTATGAAGAGTTAACGAGAAACATACTTTTGATAAGCCCGCAGTGTGGTCGAGTGTCTTGAGTGATGGTGCTTGAAGCTTCCGTTCCGTTATTAACTTCCCTTATCTTATCAAGTATATGAACCCACATCTGCAGTAGACACGGCAGAAGACGTTCCAGCTAGGCTTTACAAAGTTATAGTGCAAAGAATCCTCGTAAAGCGGGACGAGAGATGACATAGTCGACGATATTGATTTGGCCGCTTACGCTGAGCGCCATCATCCGTGTTGACATAAGGCTGTACTGTTTGGGTCTGGTCCCCTTATCTTATCGCCAGGAACACTGTTGACTTTCGATAAGATCTACGTCTGGGATCAGTGGAATACGAATCTGGAGATTGGCATGGGAATGGAGTCATGGCCAGCAAGGTACACACGAGGCTGTGCGAAATCAGAGTGAACGCGACTTGAGCGCGTCGCAAACGGAGGTTGTGTTGACAACCCGGGGTGATGTTTGGGTTTCAAGAAACGCAGGTGAAGATGACGTCGTATCATGACAAAGTAAACAAACACGAGTCGTAAACACTAGCGCAAGTTGGAATCAGTAACAGATAATTTGTCTTATCTGCCTTTTCTTGAGTTTGTACCAGCTCATCTTCCAAAACATTGAGCAGGAACCTCAGGTCCGGGTATCAATCGATCATCAAGATCCGGGCGCGCTGTCGGTCGTAGAGTCGGATGTCTGCTACGGTGGAAATCCGTCGCTTCAACAAGTGGAGAGCAAGCTTCCAAGTGTTTTTACTTCTTTTGCTCAAAAGCGCATCTTCATTGTCCGTGTAAAGCTACGCCGATGAACCGAACCCCTGATATCATAAGCCTCCCATAACCGAAGTCGTATGTGCGAGAAACCGTCGCAGACCCATGCAAGCTTTGGAAGAACAAATTGGAAACGAGAGGTCATGACCAAACCAGAAGAAAGCCCCCTTTCTTCGCTTAGTCGAAGAGACCGAAGCCCATATCCTCGTCGGACTCCTCCTTCTCTGTAAAGTGCAAAACGCAGGTTAGTAACTGGCAGCAGCAGCAGCAACAGCCCCGTGAAAGGGCTTGGGAGTAGATGATTCCACATACCCTCAACCTTCTCCTCAGCCTTGGCCTCCTCAGCGGCACCACCAGCGGCAGCGGCGCCAGCGGCAGCGGGGGCAGCGGCGGCACCACCGGAGCCGACGTTGGAAAGGAGGTCCTTCACATCCTTGCCCTCAAGAGCCTATTTTCGCAAAAGAGACTCCAGTCAGTTTATCGTGTTCGCGTTTCTCGAAAGATATCGTTTCTTTTCTTTCGGATTGTCGTCGTCGGTGGTTTCATCGTACCTTGGCGAAGAGGGAAGCCCAGATAGGCTCGACATCCTCGATCTTGGCAGCCTTGATGATGGTCTGGATCTTGTCGGCCTATATCATGCGAAAACGGGTTTGGTCAGTCAACATTGTTCCTCCCAATGTGCTTGTTCATATCACTCATTGTCCTCCACTCGGTTTGCCCCTCGTCCCATGTTTCATCATTTGTCCCGGTCGTTGAAAGCGCATGTCGAGCAATAACCGTGTGTACATGGCGCGCCTGAAGATGTCCCCAATCCCCGAATCCACCCAAATCTTGCCAACCAAAAGATCATGTGCATTGGTCGCAAACTCACAGTGATCTCAACGCCGTCATCGGCGAGGATGAGCGCCGCGTAGGAGGTAGCCAGCTCAGCAGTAGACATTTTGATGGTGTTGATTGTCGAGGCGCAAAGATGCTGAGTCTCGGGAGGGCTGTTCGATCGTGGGATGATGTCCTAGCTAGAAATTCGCGGGAAGTGAAATTTAATTAGTTGTGGGCAATTCAAAAAATGCCCTGGGACCCTACAAAGGCGGGCAGCTGGCAAGCGACTGGCAGCGGCTTGGAAGCCAAGACTTTTTTCTAGCTGCTTTCTGCTTTTTGCCTGGTCTGTGCACGCTGGGAGAGGGAGTGCAAGAAGGAACAGCCCCACGATGTCACGGTCCAAACCAGCGGTTCAGTTCGCAACCCGAACCCGAGGGTTGGTGGTAGGACTGGGTGCAGTGCTGCCCTGACTGCCGCTACCGCCCAACAGGCACGTGCTGGCTTCCACTTCCATTGCTGTCGCACTTGTACCGGATCGGGACGACTGATGTTCCCCCACCAGTTGACCATATGGCCTGGAATTTGGGGAAGCACCTCATCGATTCAGGTCAGTTTGGCGCCCAGCCTTGCCAAGACGAGTGCCCTGGTCCGACAAGCTTTCCGCCAGGCCTCGACCCTTGTCGCAAGAACCCCACCATTCCTTTGGCACCACCATGGAGCTCCTTCGCCCCGCCGCTATTCATGCATCCACTGACGTCGCCGCTGTGGATTCGGGGCGCCATAGGCCTCTTCTCCTGCCGTAGCGGAGTGCCTGCCGACACGCCAGCCCGTCCCGTCGGGTGTCTCTTGAGAAGCATCCATCTGCACCTATTTCAGCACTCACTCCAGCAATTCCGCAAAAACCAACAAGAGTGAGATCAACAAGGGAAAGCGCACGAATCAGGAGGCAGCGTTCATCACTATTGTCAACTCCTCCATCGGAAAGGGGAAATAGAGATACTTGGAGAAACGCCATCAACCGGACAAACAACTAAACTTCCAACCCGCACTCTTTGCCATTGTTGAGGCGCATTACATTACATACTCCTCGGATCAAAGAAAGCTTGACTTGGACAAGGAATCGCCCGTTTCCGACATTCATTCCCTTGCTCCGGCAACACCATCCTTTTCCCAATTGCTTGGCTGCGTCTTTCCCTTCTCAACAATCCTTTCGCGCCTTTTCTTTTCCTTCAACCAACATCGACCCTCGAACGGCATCCAAGTAACGAAAACGAGCCAACTCTCGGACATCGCAACCGACTTCACCGACTTTTACCCATAAACACCCAACACAAAACAACACATCACAACAAACACATAGCGACAATGGAGACTCCGGCGATGCCCATGCCGAAAGATGAGCGGGAACAAGCCATTCTCGACAAGCTCTCAGCCATCCGCGATCAGCTGCTGCTCCTCAAGAGAGACCGAACAAAATACATCCGCACTCAGGATGTGATTGTACACTATGATCAGGTTGTCGAGCAGGTCAAGGAACTCAACGAGATTAGGAAAGGGGAAAAGGTGACCGAGACCAGAGGTACGCCCATCCTCCATAGCCCATCCCAAGCTGCCAATTGAACAAGGAAAATCTAACACAACCCCCCATAGTCGACAGAGTCCTTGAGAGCTGCCTACAGCTCCTCTCCCTCTTCTTCATGACCATCGGCCGCACACAAGAAGCCCCTGCCGCCTATGCTTTGACCTCGACCATCAAGCGATTACTCGACCACCTGACCGAGGCCGACCTCTACTCAGCCAAAGACCTGAACAGCATAGCCCACACCCTCTCGCAGCTCGACAAGATCATGACAGCCTCGAACCCCTCCGCCCACTCGCCCTACATTGTCGAGCTTTTGGCCAACCGGCTGGAGCTCTGCCACAGCTCGCTGGATAACCTGAAGAAGAGGGTGGACGAGCTGCAGGACCCGCTACAGAGCATGCATGAGAGGCTGATCTCCATACTACGGTCCATGTCACTTGCGAACACCAAGGCCAAGGTAAGGACGCACAAGGGCGGACGGATACGAGAATGGTAAGCTAACAGGTTACACAGTTTTCGGCATCGGAGGTCCAGAGGCTACAAGCGCAGGTCAAGGAGATTGACGAGTCGAGGGTGGATGGCAACTTTGTCGGGCCAGACGGCCAGGTTCTTCGCGGTAGCGAGAGGGTATCGCGCCTGGTGGATGTCTGCCTCAGGTGGTCTGACATCGTTCTTGAGAGGTACGTACAACTAGCCCACATTCCCTTGCCAGCCAGTTTCTGACCCCCACCTAGGAAAGGAGTTATCCCCGAGGCCTTCAAGGCTAGGCACGAGCAGCTTGTCAGCATCCGCAATGAGCTCGAGAAACTGTCCATCACCCAGGCCTGGTCACTGCGCGAGACAGATCTGTACGACTACCAGCGCAAGCTCGACAAGATAGATGAGAGCCGAGTGGATGGCAACTGGCTGGACGACGAAGGAAAGCCCGCCGAGCTGTACGTCCAGCGTACGCTGCTGTACCTCATCAGGAGGAGCTATGGCTACATTTACTACCTGATGATCTCGTCGGAGCCGGTATCGGAGGCCCTACTGCCCATCTATAACCAGCTCCAGACGCTGAAGCGGTGCCTGATTGAGGTGAAGGACTCGGGCGGTGTAAGCTCGGTCAGGGAGCTGTATCCCTATAGCATGAAGGTATGTTTGTCATTCTTTACCCCATGGACACTGGGCATTGATTAACGTTGGCTTATAGCTCAACTCCATTGACAACATGCGCGTCGATGGCAAGTTCATGGTCGGCGGCGATATACCCGAGGGCCAAGGGAGCGTCAGCGCCTTGCTGGCTGAGTGCTACGATCTTTCCTACGAGTTGAAGGTCATGGCTGAAGAGATGGAGGAGAAGGAGAAGGATAGCTCCTCGTAATCGATCGACCCTGAGCGAAAGTTTCGATATCATAGACTTGAGGGCTTTACGGCATTTTGTACTGAATAGTTGTGGTTTCCTTTTTTTCTCATCTAGCGGCGTCTGCTTTTACTTATACACATCATGGGGTGTCGAATCGAAAGGACTCTTCACCACCAGATACGCTGCATCATTTCTCTATTATTGGCTGACAAGCTAGCAGCCAAAACTTGACTTTCTGTGTGTTTGTCTGGCGACAACATTGTTACGGCTGTGCTCTCTCACCTATCTTGTCTTTATTGCATATCACTTCCTTATATCATCTGGAAGCGGCACACGACTGTGGCACAACGTCAGTCCAAGGAGCATGAAGAGCCGCGTGATGGCATAATGCGACTGCAGTCACGGCTTCCATTTGTTAAAGCGTTGTTTTGTCTCACGCCTCCCGCCAATTGTCCGTTCCCTCCATGATATCTTCGAGGCTCTGCTGTTTCTTAGTTCTTACGACAATCGCGTCCACGTTGCATATCCAATAAGCGAGCCGCGCCCCTTTTTACTACCTTGTCAGTTCTATCTCGTCTTTTACTTTCATCTCATCATTGCACACACACACACACACACACAGAGAGAGATAGAGAGAACCATTCTCCTCGGGAACAAACTACCCTGGAGAAGACATGCTGGAATTTGGAAAATCCCATTTCAGCGTCTTTGCTCTTGCTCTTGCTCTTGCTCAAAAGAGATGAATTCGTGTGTGACCGTACCGTGACGTTGGCAAACCGAGATGAGTGAGTGAGGGTGTGGAAACACGGGGGAAGGAAGACGGGACCTCTTTCGTTGAAGGGGAAGTATGGAAGGTGGCACGGTGATATTGAACGGTCTAACACGTGGATGATTTCACTGAGGCAGGCGGAGGAAAGGAAGGAAGGAAGAAAGAAAGAAAGAAAGAAAAGACAAAAGAAAATTGTAAGTAGAGCAAGATGGTGCAAGGGTAAGGGAGTATTAGCTCACATGCATGATGGATGAAATACGTTGATTAATGGTTTGAGAAATTGAGGTTATTGATATGTTGCTACTCACGTAACTGCATGCTTGATACGGTATAGTAGAGTTTAGGTAAAGCAGGTAGGTAGTATTGGTATCAAGCTATATCGACTAACTGACGTGAACATCATCAAAGGGAGAGACAAAGACAAAATTCATTACACCCACCACCACCACCATCTTTAACATCAACACAACATGTCAAACATGAAGCTATAGAAAAAAAGCATAACGTCGTATCTAAGTATCAGGTAACCAAAAGGTGAAATCATAAGAGTATCCAAAGCAAGAAACTGAGAGAAAAGAAAGAAATGACAATGTAAGAAAAGGATCATTAATCATCATTAGTCATCATCCTGTTCCATCCCATCGGTGACCATCATCTTCGTCCATCGTCATCATCATCCTCGCCCATCATCAACACCATACTTAGAAGCCAACATCAACTCGTCAGACATTCAACACCATCATCACCACCACCACATCACCAACAGCAACCTCAACTCATCGCACCCACCCACCCCTTAATTAAACCCCAAGTTTCGCCATCTCCATCCCCATCCTCCTCCTGCTCCTCCTCTTCGGCCTCGTACTTTCAACCTCCCTTCCCCTTCCCACTCCCACCTCACTACCATCCATCAACCGTCCACTCAACAACCCCATGACCAACCCCGTCCAACTTCCCTTGCCCTCCAACACCCCCTCCACCTTCCTCACGATCCTGTCTACCGCCTGCGCGTCCGTCCCGCTGACTCCCCATTGTCCCGTACCAGCTATTTGCTTGAGTCCGTTCCCGTGGTGATCATGGTAGATGAACTCGCCTCTTCTAGAGGAGTAGAGTTTACCATTGCGGGGATCACGAGAATCCAACGGTTGGCCGTCGGGTGTGAACCGGTCTGGTAGGATTTCGAGGGTTGCGTCGCTGTCGGAGGTGGAGTTGGAGTTGTCTTCGTGACGGGCTGAAGGAGGGCGGTCACGGCGAGATAAAGCGTTGGAGGAGGAAGATTCAGGAGCAGGGACAGGGGTAGAAGAGGAGCGGTATTTAGCGGGCACCAAAGCGTTGAGTTCTCTGTCGAGACGGTCTTCAAAGTCCGAGATGTCAGAAGTATCTTTATCGGGGTCGACGCCCGAGCCCGAGGTGATGCGCTTGGCGGTTTCTTTGGCCATTTGCTCTTCGTGGTGGCGCTGGAGGGTTTGAGAGGATTTGGGGGAGAGGGGGATGAAGGTTACTGATTTCTCTTTGGGGGTAGAACTTGGTGTGTGGGGAGACTCGGGTTCTGAGAAAGAAGAAGAGGAAAAGGAAGAGTCGGTTGGTGTGGGAGGGTGGAGAGTGGTGGTTAGACCTAGACCATCTGTAAGAAAAGGGCTGTTAGTATCGTTGTCTAAGAGCGGTCATATTTGGGTAGAACAGGGCGAGGAGTGAAAGGGGCAGAAGGAAGGGGCAGCACGAAACAAGCAACTCAAAAACAATAGCCAAGGAAAAGTGATCAAGAAAACGCACCCTTCTCTCTTATCATGCCACTGCCACTGCCGCTGCCACTATCGGCACCGACATCAACAACACCAGCACCTCTCGACCGCCTAGGCCTTGACCTAGACATGTGCATCGAGCGGTGGCGGCGGCGTTCTTCTCGGCCTTCCCTCCTGCTCCTCTCATCACCCAAACCCGTAGTAGGGGACCTTGGCATATCTCTAGAAGATCTGATACTCACATCTTCAAGACGGTTCCTCCCAATCACCGACTGCGACTGCGACTGCGAGAGATGCGATGGCGCACCCACCATCAGCGAAGCGGGTACCCCTTGGGGAGCCCTCAGTGCTGGGGGAACTTCTTGCGGGGGAGGAACTCCATGGGGAGCAGAAGCGGGAGGTGGTTGTGCTGCAGTAGCTGAAGCGCCTTTGCCCGGGACAAGTACCGATGGTACTTCAGGATCTGGAGGGGGAGGATAGTTAGCAACGTATTCTCGTGGATTGTATGGTTCATATCGCTGCTGTGGTTGCTGGATCAGTTGTTGTCGAACTGGTGCTGGTCCCCGTACAGGCATCGGCATCGTCTCCGGCCCCATCGGGTATGGAGTTTGGATATTATTCACGTCAGTGAAGTTGATGTTCGGAAGCTGCGTGAACCCATTTGACAAGCGATGCGGCTGTAGTTGTGGTGGTGTAGCTGTCGGAACAGAAGCGGCAGCAGAGGCGATAGCAGGAGGTGTAGGAGGTACTGGGGGATATCCGCCTGACGCGTGAGGAGGCGAGGGTTGCCGCTGCTTGTAGTAAGGGTCGGATGGAGCGGTTTGTTCCTCGTAGCCTGTGTTCTCGTTAGTATCGATGACTCCAAGGAGAATCTCACAGAAAGACTGATGATAAGCAGAAATATCACTCACGTCGACGTTCCCGTTCCCTCTCCCGTTGTCTTTCCATCCTCTCTCTATCGCTATCCCTACTGCTTCGTCTCTCCTCCAGCCCAATCTCCCTCTCCTCTCTCTCTATCTCCCTATCCCTTCTCTTCTCCCTTTCTCTCTCTTTCTCTCTCTCTCTCTCTTTCTCCCTTTCTCTCTCTTTCTCCCTTTCTCTCTCTTTCTCCCTTTCTCTCTCTTTCTCCCTTTCCTTTTCTTTTTCTTTCTTATCGATATTATTCTCACCCAACTTCTTAATCCCAATAGCTGCTGCCCCCGCGGCGGCGGCGCCAGCAGCCAGCCTTCCTAACCGACTCTTACTCCTCGCCGGCTTCTTCTCTGGACTCCTGCTCTCCTTCCTTTCCCTCTCTCTCCTCGAGTCCCTACTCTTCGCCCTGCGTCTTCTCATCCTCTCCGCTTCGCTATCCTCACTATCAGAGTAATAACCAACTTCCTCCTCCACCTCCTCTCTCGCTCTCGGGACCAACAGCGCACCACCTCTCTCCTCATCTCTCTCCCTCTCCCTCTCTCGCTGTCTCCTCCTCGTACTCCTCTCCCGACGACGTTCTTCCTTTCTCGCGCTCTGTTCCTCCGCCGCCGAATCGTACCCCATGGCAATCCCGTTATCATCGTAGTCTTCAACAGCAGATAGTAACTGTGGCGTCGGCGGTGGTTCCTTATCGCGTTTATGTCTTTCATGTTTTGCCGCTGCCGTGGCCGCAGCAGCAGTAACCGCCGCTGCTCCAGCCGTAGCAAGCACTGCCTTTCTCTTACTATGCGACTGCTGTTGTCGTTCTTCATTCTGAACGGGCACGGGGTTCGTTCCGTACTCAACCAAACCTAAGAATTCAGGATCATCAGCGACGGTCCTCTCGAATTGGGCATGGTTATTCTTATTAGAAGAGGAAGAGGGTAATGCGGACCGGACTTGGCTTCTGCTCCTACTTCTGGACCTATAGATGCGTTCGCGGCGAGCGTATTTGTGGTCGAGGTCGTCATCGTCGTCATAGTACTCACGGTCACGGGAGTCGTCGGGGGCGTGGCGCGAGCGCGATCGCTCCTTCTTTTCCTTGTGCTTGTCGTACATCTTCTTGGCTGCGGCACCGGCTACGCCAGCGGCGACAACCTCGGCTCCGGTCTTCAGCTTCGAGTGGTGTCCGCTGCGATCGCTGCTGGAGCTGCGGGATCGCGAGCCATGGCGGGACTTGCTGCGCTTATGGCGGTAGTGCTGCACAACACCGACGGCGGCGGCGGTACCGAGGGCCGCCTTGGCTACAGAACCAGCGCGGGACTTGGACCGCTTGCGGCTGGGCGAGCGGGAATAATCACTCTCGCTGTAGCGACGGGCAGGACGACCGCGCTCCGCCTCCTCCTTTTCGACCTTCTTGGACTCGTAGTACTTGGCGGCACCAGCAGCGGCCAGAGCCACAGCGGCGATGCCCAAGCCCGTCTTGATGCGGGAGTGCGAATTAGAGCGCGAGCGAGAGCGGTGGCGGTGCTCATCGTCTGAGTCATCGTGGCGTTCCTTGTAGGCGCTGTGGGCGCGGCGGACGGCTTCGGTGCCCAGGGCGCCTAGAGCAGCGCCGGCGACAATCTTGCGCCCGCGGTGCTTGTCTACCTCACCTGATTCCTTGTCGCGCCGCGAGGCGATCAGAGCAGAGACGCCGGCACCGGCGAGAGCGCCCTCGGCAATGTGGCGCTTGCGGTGGGGGCTGGCGGAGGAGGAGCGGCTGCGGCTGCGACGCTCGTCGCGGCGGGAAACACGGGTGTAGTATTCGTCATCTTCGTGGCGGTGATGAGAGCGCGAGTGCGAGTGGTGGTGACCGTCACGGTGGCGGCTGTGGCTGTGGCTGTGACTGTGACTGTGGGGGTGGTGGTCATCGATGTGCTCGACGATGTACTCCTCCTTGGTCTCCTCGACTACGTAGGGAGCAAAATCATCGCGACGCTCACGGAGGACCACCGTGGGAGGAGCAGCCTCTTGAACAATGATCCTTTGCTCGGCAGGACGTTGACGGATGACGATGGGCGGCTGTGGTGCTGGCTCGTAGTACTCGGTTTCCTTGCGGTAGATCTCGACGTCGGCACCGTGGTCGTGATCGATGTGTTCACGGATCCGGCGCTCCAGGATGACCTCGGAGCCGTCCTCGCGGCGCTCTACCTTTCTCTCCACACGCACCTCGGTATCTCTCTCGGCATCGTAGTAGGAACGGCGCTCCCATCCGTCGTTGTCCCTGGTTCGGCTGGAATCGTGACGATAGTGGTAGTCATCGTCGTCGCGGGTAACCAGACGCTTCTCGACCACAGTGCGCTCGCGATCCGGGATGTTGTCGCCATCCCAGTCCTCCGTCTCTCGGTACCGGCGCTCGACGTAGGTACTGCCCTGGCCGGCGGTCGATCGTGGCCGGTCAGGATAGAGACGGTCGTCTCTGCGATCAAGAACAAGCTCGCCGCCGGTGGGACGGCCAAAGAAGCGGCCGTCTAGACGGGCACCCTGGCGGTCATCGTCGATAACGTCAATCTCGCGCTCATAAACTCTCTCGTGGCTGTGGCTCGGCGCATGCTTGTAACGGCGGGAGCTTGACCTTCTGTAGCCCTCGTCGCCCGAAGGTGAAGAATCCCGGGAGTACCGGGCTTCGCGGTAGACCTGGGCCATGTTTCTCTTGTATCTGAATTCCGATGAACGGGTGGTCTGAGCTCTTGTGTAATCCGGGGATGGTCAAAGTAGGGAAATATCCACTATAGCTGTTAGAGCGTGTGAGTGTTTGTTTAGTACGTTCAGGGGTTAGAGATCGATGTTTACCACGACAACAACAACAAAACTCCAAAGAATTCAAAGTTTGGGTATCTGGTTAAGTCGCAAAGTAAGAAAAGATATGGGAAGAGTCGATATTTAGAGCAAAGTCAAGCAAGAAAAGAGAAGTGGGATAGGCAGAGCGGCTGAGTCCTTGGTATAAGAGCAAGAGCCGGGGGGTCAAGTGGGCAAGGAGGGGTGCTATACGGGACCGAGTGGGAATGGTGGAAAGGGTGGGAATGGGGATGGCTGGGTGGGGCTCCGTTACGTCGACGGTGAGCAGGTCTTGGTATGTGAGACCGTATTCTCTCTGGCTGGGATAGTCATACATACTACGTAGGCTTATGCCTCGAGATGGTCAAAGTTTGATCAGGCAACCTGTTTCTTGTTCGTGGTCCTCTGGCCGGCTGCAAGCCAAGGTACAAGTATCTTGGTGTGGGCACATGTACTCTTTTCGAGTCTCTTCGTAGGGCCGACGGCAGTTCCAGTCATTCCATGCTTGTGGAAACCAACCAGAAGATACGATGATCTGAACGAAGTTGTTGGACACAAAAACGTTGAAAAGTTGGCCCACGTTTTCATGGCGGCGCAAGTGTACCTGCGTGGAAAATCGCCAAATCATGGCTTTCACATGGCTTTTACAAGGCTGGCCAGCTCGAGCGTTCTGGAATCTTTTGTGTTGGCCCATAGGCAGTTGAAAGCTTGTGAGGGTCTCATCAAAGGGTTCGACAGGCCAAAGCTTGTCTGGGTCTGAGTCTAGATGACGTTCGCATCCGTTTGTTGAGAAAGGGAGGTATGAGACGAGTCACTTTGACAGGCGGACATCAACCCGTCTTACACATGTGATTCATACCAACAGTCTAAACCCTTCAGCTGGCTGGTTAGGCAACGTCGAGATGTGCTCTTGTCTTGTCTGACAAAAGGCCCAACAGCAAAAAGGCCCTGCATTTTCCGTGACATGAAGCCGTCCTGCTAGCGGCCGGAAGAGACCCTTTCTGCATAGATGAGTGATCAGTGGGTATAGGTACCTGTCTCACGGTGGATATTCTTCCCAGGAAGCAGATCAGGAGATGGCGGCGTCCAGAAAGCCTTGGAAGTGTGACTGCTACACACAGATACGGTGCTTATTGAGAAGATGATACTCTCTTGTCGCTGTAGGTTCTCGAACACAACAGGAGGCAACTCTAATGCTTTCTGTAGGGTACCGAGAGAGGGTAAGGTGTTCTCTGTAGGTATCCGTGTCTCTTGGAGTCCTGGCAAGGCTGCCTTTTGGAGAGATGTCGTGGTGTGGTACCAATAGTAAGTACCCACCTATATGTCCTTTACTACAGTTCGGGACTTGTAAAACCGGGAGAAACTTTTTGTTTCACCTGAGACGGACCCTGTCTTTTTCCTGAACAGCCTTGTGACCCGATCAGCACGAGGATGTGTGTACAGAAACAAGTCCAGTGGTTTGTTTGTTCGAGTCCTCTGTGAGAGGAAAACTGTGACTCCTCCATCCATGCCTCCCTTGGACGAGGACGAAGTCTCAAGCAGGCCGCGGCGGCGGATGACCCTCGACGGTGACTTGATGTGCAGGGCACCTGACGAGATGTTTTTTGGTTGGATGAGGAAAGGGATTCTTCCTCAGGTCTGCCCCTCCCCCGCTTCTGTTGTTGCCGTCATCACTCATTCTTCAGTCTTCTGAATCCCTTCGTAATCCTTCGTTTCTTGATTCCCTAATTCTACCGAGGGCGTCGATGAAAGTCATCCATGTTCGGCGCATAATGCATCTTGCATTTCTCTTCGGATCGCATGGAGCTTGTTCGGGCCTTCGGGTTGAAATGGAGAGACGAATGTGGACAAGTGATGCGCTGAAAATGACTTGCAGCAGGGGACTCTCCGTCTCACACACACACAAACAAGCCCGCCCAGGCACCTGGCAGCAAGACCCACTTTTCTTAGCCTGCCGACGCTTGTGCCCAAGAGGGGGGGGCATTTCGTCATCGGTCAACAGGCCAAGGAAACCATTCCATGCGAAGTCCCGTCCTGGTCTTTGGTCTTCCATTCTTTACCTTTCAGTTTGGTTACAACCAAGAATTCAACCTCTCGCTTTGACAAGAGCGTGTCTCGGAATATTCTTTACTAGCACATTCTTCTGCGCTCGAAGGGGGAAGGACATCCAGCCGATCAGGGCCTTACCCTTCGATGATCTTTCACCTCGCTCCGTTTCATCCTTCCTCCCCCCGTCCACCAAATATCATTCCGTTTCTTCTCCATCGTGTGGATTCCGCTGACGGGAGATCACCACCACAACTCTTTAAATGACCCCTGCCCCGTTTCGTTGTCCACCAACAAGTGGCTGAGGCATTGTTGAGCCAACTCAGCCTCTCTGGGGCTTCTAGTGTGCACTACAAGGTACTCAGCCCAACCTCAACTACGTACAACCACTGACATGCCAATGTTTTGTGAAACTTGCCAAACCACATGGACATGCCGACATTCCCGCCGCGTGAGCGCCCACAAGCACGAGCCGAGCTACGAGCGAGCGAGCGAGCAGCGGCTTGAGCGGCATCGATGTTTCTTGGCAGATCACTGGAAACGAAAGCCCAAGAGTGACGAAACGGAGGGGACTTGGCGAAACTTCCAGAGTTGAAAAGCTCCGAAAGAACGGCCTTAAAATCCCCGAAGCCGCTGGCATGCCCCTGGACCTCTTCACCCAGCAAAAAGTGGGGAAAAGCTCAGTTGTACGTTGACATTCTCAGTCTACACTATACCTGTTGTCTTTCTCGACCACAGCACAAGCACAGAGAGAAAAAGACCTGAATGATGTGCAATGTCAACGTTTCCTATTACCTGATCGTGGAAGAAATATCCGCGAATGAAGTTATAAGCTCTAGAATTTCTGACAATTGGTCCTCTTTCTCTCTTCATTCACAACCCTATTTGCCCTCCTGATGCCACGAACAACCTTGATGAGAACAATCGTCTTTTTTTGCTAACCACAAGCCTTGTCTGCCTATCTAAGGTACCATCCAAACGGACAGCTACCAAATCGCCAGATAAGTTGTGTTTTTCCTTCTTTCCTTCTCTCCATGTCATATATTGCTGACGCTTCCTTCCCTCCAATACTTATCTGCAAGCACTACCTATCTCTAAGTGGCACTCATCATAAAAAGTATCTACTTCAACAAGGGAACAGGGCTCTGCTGAAAGGAGGTGAAACCTTAACTCCAAGCTACAAGGCTGATACTGTGTACGGTCGGTCCCTGACGGCTGATCCCGCCACTACTGGTGTAAATTCGTCGATACAAACCCTTTGTCCCAGCCACCACATCTTCCTTACTGCGGTACCTGTTCTGTACTAGGTGATGACGAAATGTGCCTGACTGATTGACTGACTTCCCGTCTCCCCTCGTAATCTAATCATTGGGTGGCGCTGGTGTCGGGCTCTTTGTCTGGAGGTTGTTAGGTATCAATCAGTTGTAGGTTTGTGCAACTATAAGCAGAAACTGGCTGAAGAGCTGGTAAAGAAGAGGCAACGGACTACCCGACTATGTAGAGGGAGATAGATCTAGACTAGACTAGAGAAGAGAACGGATTTGACTAGATAGCTTTCTGAATCTCTATTATATCAGAGCTAGGTGAAACGATACCAAGTGGAAGAAAGGATCTGGATGGATGAGGATTGCATTTAGAGGATTCTGGATACCGATAAACATATCTCCACGCACTCACTGGCGTACGAATGTGGATTTCCTTGCATATTATCAAGTATTGGTATTTCCATCCTACAGTCCTACAGTCCTACTGGCCTCCTAGCATAGCATAGCCTAGCCTAGCCTAGCCTAACATAGCATAGCATAGCATAGCATAGCCCGCTCGTTATACCCGGAGCAATTTGCAGAACCGGTTGTAATGAACACACCACAAAGAGACCCGCATCAGCTCGTCCACCTCACCTCACCTCACCTCACCTCACCTCACCTCCTCCCCTACGAGCAAGACAAAACCGAACCCCGAACCCACGCGTGTTTGTTCTCTTGTCTTCTTCCTCTTCCTGCGCTGCCTACTTCAGATCCTAGAATACACCCCTGGGCCTGCCACTCTATCCACTACCCCCGACGACAAAGGGAATAAAGACAAAGTTTTTAGTAGTGAGTGAAACGATATATGAAAACCGAGAAACGAAAAGAGAAAAAAGGACAGGAAAGGATTACGTTGTTGTATTGTGTGAAACCCTAGGCGTACTGGAGGAGCAGCAGCCTTCGCGATGACAAGAAAAAAATGGAACCGGGTGTTTCGTTGCAGCACTAGAAGAAGATATAGGCCAGCAGGAAGCTAACCAAGCAGAGGACCGCCGCAATCTGGACTGGGACTCCCTCGGTGCCTTGCCTCGCTGATTGCGCAAGGTCCTGGGCGGTTGCCTGTACGTTCGACGCCTGCTCGCCCACCGCGTCAGCCACAGCCGCCTTCCTCTGTCTCAGGCCGCTGGCGGCGTCGTTCTGGAGAGATGCGATGGTCGCCTGGGCCTTGGCCAACTGTTCCTTCAACTGCTCGTACGTCTCGGAAGCGGTATGCTGTGCTGTCGATGCGACGGCGGCAACAGTCGACTGGAAGTTGTCAGCGACGTCGGGCTCTTGTTTAATATCGCGGGTGTCGACCGTCGAAGATCGGGTCTCGCTGGGCGATGTGAAAGGAGCAGGGGTCTCCTCGGCCTGCGCATGTGAAGGTTAATTTTATTTTCTTGATGGTCCGTTGCCAGGGGGGTATGTAGGCGAAAGGTAAACGTACCCGGCTCGAGGTCGAGGGGCGGATAGGGGTGGCAGCCACGGGGGAGGTTGTCTCCTCTCCAAAGGGTGGCAGCCAGAGCACGCGAATCTTCTTCTCCTGAACCTGGGACTTGTCGACACCATCCCACTGTATGACGTATTTGTCAGCACTCATTTTCGTCCTCCTCTGTTTGAGTTATACGCACAATCTGGGCAACGTTGGTGAACTCCTTGTCACCGGTGATGGCGACGGATTGGACAAGGAACTTGTCGCGGCATCGGGCGTCCGAGGGGGGCTCCTGCTTCATGGCCTGGAGGAGGACTGAAAGGGAAGTTAGTCACGAGACCATAGGTTTGGACATGGTGTCGGCGGTTCGTGGACTGACCGGAAACTTCGACATCGTGACCGGGCTCAATGCGACCCGAGTTGGGGCGGACGCAGTATCTGAAGAGGGAGTTGGTAAGTGTCATTATCCTTGGACCGGTGATTCGTTTGCGCTACGGCGCATTGCTGAGGAAGGGACGTAGACGTACTGCTTGGGGGCGGTGGTTTTGACCTGTATGAGGGCAAGTTAACACATGTGTCGAGCGACCCTCAACCACCACGACAAAACGCGTGTTGATGTCCACACATACCTTGAAAGCAACCGGAGAGGTATTGGGATTCCTGATCCTGAGGATCTGCGAAACCTCCACAGTAAAGGGCCCTAATTTCTGGTCAGACGATGGGAGATTCTAGAGAGAATCTGGGCCGATGGTGCTGTTTGCGAAGGGACGACGTACTGCGGAAACCCAGCTCGAGGGGATCGATTTCGACGGACATGTTGGCGATCGGTTGGGCTCTACGTAGTTTGGTGGTTTTGGGAAAATCTAGAGCGACTTGGATTTCGCGATGGGATGACGGGAAATGTTGCCGGGGGATTATTGGCCGTCCCTAGTATGCCCGGTGGGGGGGAAATAAAGGGATGGGGGATGGAGTTTGACGTATTAGACAGGTTCGCGAAATATGCCAGACAAGGGCAATGTGAATCTGATTTATCGGTCCAGACAGCGAGACCGCGGAGAGTTCAGTAGTCGTCGTCACAAGAAAAAGTTAGGTAGCAGCCCAGAGTGTAGAATGGACGGTATTGTGAGGTGTGGTAAAATACAAGAAGAAGAAGCTGGAACCTGGAGTGATAATATTACGAAGACGAGAGAGGGAGATGATGTGTTACGACATTCAACAGTGACGGCGGTCCGACGCGCGCTGGACAGACCAACCTAGTGTACCTAGCCTAGGTAGGTGTTTCCAGGAGGGCGCCAGCCAGGCGACGAGACTGCAAAAATGCCCGGATTCAAGCCAAGACCCAACCGAGCCAAGAGCATAGAGGTAGGTATCTGGGTCCGTGCTGATCTCATACTGGACCCCAACCCCGGCAGAGGAATGAACTGGACCTTTAGAATCTCAAAAGCTCCCACAGCAGCTCTTTCCCGACCCGAATGCTATGTCCTCTGCCTGGATAGGTAGACGAGGTAGGTTGTCGCGTGGGGTCCACGTATCTCTACTGAAATTAAGGGTCAGAGTCTCCCGGAGAAACAGGTGATGCCGACTGTCATTTGGCCACAAATTGGGCAATTGTCAGTTTGTCACTGGCCATTTCCAGCTGCCGGCAACGCTGGCACCACTGTCAAAGCAACCCACCCAACGGACAAGGGTGTTTGTTGTGTTGTTTGTGAATGACGTGCCCCGGGCAGCCTGGCCATATCGCGAAGCGTTCACTTTATTGATGACGACGGCGACAACGACAATAACAATAACAACAACAATATCGAAGTGGACAGTCTGAATTTCTGTTGGAAGTGTAAGACGATATCCTTAAGCTGGGCTTAAAAATTAAAGTCAAAGTGTTCGTTTGGAAACTTGGCAGCGTTTTAGTGCAGGGAATCGCTACTACCCGTCCGTCTGCTTCTATCCGAACTGTTGACAGCTTCGCATCTTTTGATTGAACCCCTCCTTATGGTAGTGTACTTGACTGCACCACTTCCAAGTTGCCACTATTTCATCCCCAGCAACAATCTGCTATAACATCCAGGACCTATCCCGTCCACTCCATTTGAACACCTAATCTATAGTAGCAACCATATCTTTCTCATCAACCAACCAAATCAAAAATCATCAAAATGGGCCAAACAGATCTCGAGGTTCTGATCGACATGGGCTTTGAGCGCGCCCGCGCCGAGCTCGCCGTCAAGAAGTCCGGTGGCTGTTAGTCCTCCCAAACGCTTACCTTTGTGACGCGAATGTGATATTGACAAGTAGCAGTGCAAGGAGCCCTCAACTGGCTCGAGGAGAGCCAGGACAAGTCCTTGGAGGAGCTGCAAGCCAGCGCTGCCTCTGCCGCCACTGCTAAGGCCGACGACGACGAAGAGGATGATGGCTCCCCCATTCCCGAGGGCGCCAAGTCCCTTGTTTGCAACGATTGCGGCAAGAGGTTCAAGAACGGAGATCTTGCCGCCTTCCATGCTTCCAAGACGTCAGTCTCTTTACCAATGTGTCCGTGTTTGTGGCACCAAGCTAACTCTACCATAGTCAGCACACCGACTTCTCCGAATCTACCGAAGAAATTGCTCCTCTAACGGAGGAAGAGAAGAAGCAAAGGCTGGAGGAGCTCCGCCAAAAGCTCGCGGAGAAGCGGGAGAGGCAGGCACTTGTTGACAAGGAGGAGCAGAAGCGCAATGAGGTACGGTCAGACCATTCCCAGTTCGCATTTAAAACATGCTAACAAACATGCATAGCAAATCAAGCGCAAGGCTACCAAGGAATCACAAGACATGAAGGAGGAGCTCGCGCGTAAAGAGCAAATGAAGGAGGCTGCTCGCAAGCGCCAAGAGAAGCTCGACGACATCGAGGCTAAGAAACGCATCAAGGCCAAAATCGAAGCCGACAAGGCCGAGAGGAAGCGCAAGGAGGAGGAAGCGAAGGCGCTTCGCGAGGGTAGAGCTCCGGCCGCTCCTTCAACCGCCCCTGCTGCCGCCGCCGCTGCGCCGGCTGCTTCGAAGCCGGCTGCCTCCCACAATGAAGCTCGTCTGAGGTTGCAGACTGCCAAGGGAAATGTTATGAAGACACTGGCCGCGGATGCCACACTGTTTGAGCTTGCTCAGCAGTTGGAGTCGGAGAACGGAGTCCCGGTTGCGAGCTTCTCTACGACGTTCCCCCGGAAGACGTGGCAAGCTGGAGTAGACTTTGGCCAGACGCTGAAGGAGGCTGGGTTGGTTCCCAGTGCGGTGCTCATTGTCAATTAGGGTGGACGAGTACCTACTTAGTGCTTGAAAGTAAACTGGGGTGGTGGGGGGGGGGGGGGATGGTCATAGTATGATCTCAAGCGGAGTTGAAACGCCAGAGCGGGAAAAAGAACGGATACATCTAGAAGCTGCTTTACGAATGATCAAAAAGAAGTTAAAGTGCCAGTCAAACAGTCTCCTGTGTAATTGTTGTCCGAACTGTGATTTCTAGACATGTCGTTCGTAGTGCAGATAGGTACCTCTACGGCCACATTAAACCCACGCTACGCTAGACCCACCATCTCCGGATAACCCCGGAGGATACAGTTCAATACTGGTTTGACTGTTAGCTCGAGACCTAGTATCAACTTCCTTAGACGTACTATATTTAGTTGATTCGTGGCATTATTCGACGAAAGTGGAATTTGGATACGAATATGCTTATTTTCAGATAAAATATAACACATTACACCTTGTTGATTGGTTTGAGACAATACAGATCGGATCTCATCCAATTTCGCAGAAATACCCCTGGGTAACGAGCTAACAAATACACTAGCACCAGATTGTACTCCGTGGCAGTGCAACTAGCAACCAAAGTAAACAAAAGCCAACCTCTTCGGCTTCCTTCGTTGAGACGCTGTAACATTTAGCTCGGGTATTATCCCGTATACCTACCTAGCTAGTACAGTAACCCCTCTTTTTTTTTTCTCGCAACGCACGCAACTTTTGTACCCAACGTATCCGTCCTTGATTCCAGTACTGACTTATCTCTATAAGTCAGACCACAACAACCATGGCCTCCTCCTCCTCCCGATCTCGCACCCTCCAACTCGGACAAGCTCTCCACAGCAGCTTGAACAGCCGCTTTAGCCGCCGCCCATCATCTTTCTTTCTCTCCTCCACGTTATCATTCTTCAACCCTTCAACCACCGTTACGAACCCCAATTCATCATCACCCCGCATCTCCAACAACTTCTTCTTTAGTCAGAGACATCATCATATCCGAACAATGGCTACCTCTACTACTACCACCGCCGGAAAGAAGATTGAGTGGCTCGTTGTCGTCCCGGACTTTGAGGGCGTTGGCGAGAAGAGGTTGGAGGTTCGCCCGTGAGTTTGCACCATCTGTCTGATTACAGTACCTAGAGAATGGATGCGAGGAGGTTACTGACTGAGTGTGGTGGGAATATGTAGTGATCACTTTGCCGGTCTCGGCAAGAACGTCGATAATGGATGTTTCCAGATGGGCGGTAGGTCTTTTCACGTTATATTTCACATCACTTCACTCCATTTCGTCCCACCACCTCACTTTCACTTCAGAATACCTTCAGCGTATACCTCTCCTCGGGTCCATAGAGTCTGACAGCTTCACACCTGCTTGGTCTCATACATGTGCTCTGGTCTTATACACACATGAACCCTTCCCTCGTATTTAATGGAGACATATAGGTACTAATAGACCGAAAAAGGCGCCGTTCTCTCCGAGCCTCCTACCTCCGACGACCCCAAGACCTTCAAGTTCGCCGGCAGCACCATCGTCCTAGTCGCCGAGAGCCGCGAGGAGGTGATTCAGATTCTCAAGGACGATGTGTATGCCCAAAAGGGTGTTTGGGATGTTGACAACGTAAGCTTTATTCCCCTTTTCTTCAGTTCATTCTGCTGCCTTTTGGAAAGCTACGTAGTAAAATTCTCGACAGTCTTGGGGGAACGTGATACGTCAAAGGTTTAGATGTGGATGCTAATGCGAATTGTAAATGATATGATATAGGCTCAGATGTGGCCCTTCAAGTGCGCCTTCCGCTTCCCTGTCCCTGGTCAGCAGTACCAGCAGAAGCAGTAGGTGTGGAAGGAAGAGTCAAATAGAGATTATCAGTACATAAGATACAGGTTTAGTGATTTTCGGTAGCACTCTTTGTCTGCAAGTGTTCAAGCTGAGTGCTCGGAATACATCTCTCGAATGTCCACCACGCGGGACAGATCGATCCACACTACGAACTTTGCGACGAGGTGCAACATAGACTGGAGATGTATAAACTCGACATAGAAAAGTTACAGCTACAAGACACACTAAACTCGTCAACAATTACCTATGCTCGTCGATCACGGAAAGTCGGAATTTTACCACAGTTTTTCCAGGTCACTGACGAGACACAAAGCAAGTAAAAGCAGCAAACACGCAATCTGCTCTATTTAGCTATCATCACTACCTTCATCAAGTAAGTGTATACCCAACCCCAATACCTCCCTACACTTCCCTACACTTCCCTACTCTCCTCCCATATCTCCATTCATTCCATCCCACCTTCGTCATCTTGTCAAACCATATCAGATGAGCTCCTATCATAGGTACCAGATATCATTTCCTGGCTCCCGTCCTTTTCCATGTCTATCTTTTTTTCTTTTTCTTTTTCTTTTCTCTTTTTTTGTCCTTCTCTCACTCCCACTCACTACCCGCGATCCACGTGCAGTCGGAATCAGCCTCAGACCGACCCGTCCCATAATCCGCCACAGAGCCGTCCCTTCCTTGACTGTGGGACTCCGGTTATATTTGTGATCGTGGTCGTGGTCGTGATTGTGATGTTCCCGAGGTTGGGACCGCTCGGGCTGTTGCTGCTGTTGCTGCTGTTGTACCCCTGGGTAGTGTCCATGGTGCCGCAAATGATGGTGTTGACGAAGTCGGCAACACAGGTGATGGGAACGTCGCTACTACCGCAAAGACTCGGGGGGCATTGATTTTCAATTTTTCCTGGGAAATCCGGCATGGTTAGACATTCATTCACATGTGCATTTTAATATGCCTTCAGAAAATAGTAGGGGAGACATGTTACCACCCCAGAGCACTCACTGTGAATTCGATTCCTCTGGTACCTCTATCTTGTCTTTTCCTACCTACCTACGTATCTCTTCTTCATGAGCGCTGGAGGGTGTGCACATTCAAATCACCGGCGGTCTTGCACACACAACTTCTGGCCGGCGGCATAAATGTTACAGTACATATGCTTAGCTACAGACTACCTATGCCAGATTTCCTCCTGGAAGTCGAAAATACGAAAATCGATGCCCCGAGTCTTTGCGGTACTGCTGTTGCTTCTATTACTACCAGATTCCGCCTAATGCTGCTATTGCTGCCTCTGCTGCCTCTGGCGACTTTGCCTGACTTCCCTAGCCCGACAAGCCTCTTGCAATTCAGCGCGGAGACGGGCGCGGTACTCCCATACCAAGCGCATGGTTTCCGCATTTGACGCCGTGGCTATTGACGCCCGCCGTATGATCTCTGCTGCGCCTGGTTCGGGTTCGGCGTTTGATCCCTGATGTCCTTGTCTTTGCCTTTGTCTTTGGTAAAAACAGTCCTGTTGTCTAGCATGATAGGCGTCTCGTATCTCGACAAGCAGGCTGGCGTGGAGCTTGGCCATGGAGAGAATGGTGGTCCAGGGTAGAGGTAATGGCTCGACGTGGATTCTCTCGTCCAAGTCTAGGATGACATTGTGGATGTGAAGCTCGTAGTCGGAGATCTCCTCAACATTATCGCTGATGTAGTCGTCATCGTGTTCCAAGTCATCATAGAATAAGAAATCTTCCGAGTTCGAGACAAAGTCCCAGTCGTCCTCTTCCTCGTCCTCTTCCTCGTCTTCTTCCTCGTCTTCTCCAAGGTCTTCGATGTCTTCTTCAAGGTCGTCTTCGAGGTCTTCGTCTTCAAAGCCCCACTCTTCTTCCTCGTCCTCGTCATCCTCTTCTTCGTCCTTTTCGTTCTTGAGCTCTTCGTATTCTTCAAGGTCCTTTTCATCCTCTGCTTCCTCGAGTCCTTGACCTTCTTCCTCGCTCTCAACAATCCCAAAGTAATCCATGACAAACTTCCTAAAATCGTCGAGGGCTCTTCTCTTCTTCCATCTATTCAAGATGCGCCGGTTATTGATCTCCTCCTCCATACCCATATAAACATCATCAGGTCCCTTCACGTTTGGGAGGGGTGAGTTGCGTTCTTCGCGCATCTTTCTATAGTAGCAGATTATCTCCTCCGCTTCAGCGGGCCAGACTGTGGGAATCATTGTCGGAAGAGGATATGCGGTGGCGGCGGGGGCTGGTTCTTGCGGGGGCTAGTAGAAGAAGTCGTGGGGGTGTCGGTGGAAGGGGGGAAGGCTTGGGAAAAGTACGAGGAGCGTGCGTGTGACATTGTGGTGGTAGTTGACTTTGACTGGTTGGATTATTGTCTTTGGCCGAGCGAGCTGATGATTTGAGGTCGGAGCGGATTCTCCGAGTGGACAATAGATTGAGGTATGTGGACAATGGTCGTGGGTTTGTGGACCGTGGGTGTACGGACCGTAGGTGTAGGTCGTAGATGGATAGACTATGAGATTATGATCGGAGGTATTAACCCGTGGGGGTTTGCACCGTAGGAGTCTTCAACAGTGGTTGTGTGTAGTGTAGATATATAGACCGTACGAGTGCAGACCGTTCGAGCGTAGACCGTGAGGATGTAGAGCCAAGCAGCCACGTGGATGGTATGAAGAAGGAGCTGGGGAAGACGGAGAATGACTCTCTCACAGCGAGTTGATAGACAAGTATCAGTACCTGAAGGATCCTGAAGTAAGGACGAGCCGTTGATGTATTGATTTATGTGCGAAAATGACCATAGGAGTAAGGAACCGAGTACGTAGACGGATGACGAGGAAAAGGGAGGAAATTAACTCGAGTGGAAAGAGAATGGATGGGCAAGTTTAAGTATCTGCCAGACTCCCAGTGCAGGGAGATGTATTTTCTAGGGAAATATATTTCTGCGCGCAGATCAAGTCCGACATATCAACACCGGATGTCCGCAGCGGAGGCCCCGATTCCTACTTATATACGATATCATTACGTGATGCTGTACTGCACTCGTCTAGCTCCTCAAGTTCGATGGCAGCCCAGCAAGAAAAAGCGACACATCTTGTCCCTTCACCCCATCTAACCATGCCCGTCGAAGCCTCTGCCAGCGTCAAAAGCTGCTGAGTCCGGCACATCCGCAAAACCTCGTTGTAGGGAGTACCAAAATATGCACGATGATAAGGTACAAACGAGTCTATGGGTACAAATATGACTCTTCAGTTGACATCTATGCAACGCACGATGTTGTATTTTCGGAACGCATTTCGGTCGGCCAGGTTGAACCAGAGACAGTCGAGAAGTATTTGAACGAGTATTGCAGTGGATTGGCAACATGACACATTACTAACCGCGTCTTTTTATTTTCTTCTTTTTTACTCTTCAGCCTTTTAAGGCAGATGCAAAGACAAGCCCATATCTTCGAGCTTGTAATGGTCGGCCATGATGGTGGCAAGATGATCTCGTGTTTGGGGGCCACTGTGAAATTGTTAGTGTTGGGGTTCTTCAGTGATCGAAATTATAGGTTCAGGGCTTACAGGTTTGTTAGGTATACATCGACGTATTGGGGTGGCAGGTACTCGCCCACGATGTTCTCTACCTCGAGGGCATCGACTGCCTCACCGTCGGCATAGTCGACATACGTCGAAGAATCGCCCTGCTCGAACTCGGTCCCATCGTCCGACGGATCTACGGGGCAGAACTTGTAAACACCGCTTAGAACGATAACAGGCTTGGAGTACTCCTGCGCCGCCCTGGCAGCAGTACTGCACCCACTCTCTGTGGAAATACCGCCGTTCGCATATACGGCCTTGGCGCTGATAACAACCTTGTTCACCCTAGGCATATAGGCCATCAAGCCGTTGCTAGCCAGGCTGATGGTGTTGACCCCGAGACCGTTGAGCTTCTTCCGTAGGGCAGCATGGGGCACCTCGCCGGGTTTTTGACGCTCAGCGCTGGCGAGGAAAACGGTAAACCTCCTCTTTGCTGCGGCTTTGACGAGGAACCTCTCGACTGTTGGGGAGGGGAGGTAGGCGAGCACGTAATCGCCGGGGTGAATTTGGATGTCCGCGAAACCCGCAATCTGGTCGTCCGCCTGGCTGATCTCATCCATAATCTCTTCGATGCCATCGATAACTTCGGACCGTAGGGCATGCATGTTGGCAGATGCGCCCTGGGACATGGGGGTGGATGCGCCGGTGACTGGCGATTGGACGGTCTCTGAGACGCAGAGAAGGTTGAACATCGACTTGGACATGGGGAGAGTCGCGGCGCGGAGGGGCGTGGGGCCTGGCCTTGTGGAAATGGTGGGCGTTGTGGGCAGCTGGGAGAGGTCGGATACTGAGTCGCCCATCTCGTCGGCATTTCTGTCCTCGGAAGCCTCATCACGAATAAGACCCATTACTCGGCGGACAACGTTGCCGATGACTTGCTCAGTGGGAGCAGCTTGGGCGAGTCTGTGGCCGGTGTTGGAGACCTTTGCAAGCAGCTGGTCGACGTTCTGCCACTTAGAGTTGGCGACGACCTGGAGCAGCATATGGGCTGTGGCATTGGCGACATCATCGCCCTTGACTTGGCGACGTTTTAGGAGGCTGCCCAACCAGGTTAGGATCTGATATAAGATGGATATGAAGCAGGCGTAGGCGTACTAGATCAGAGCCTCGATAGAAGCCTCCAAGGGCTGAGTGTTGAGAGACTTGAGGAGCTTGCCCAACGTGGGGGCATAGCTCATTTGCGACGGCGCCATGGTGATGAGCTGTGTACAATACTTTGTGTGCTACTGAGGTGTCGTGGAGGTGATGTCGAAGTGAGAATGCGACTGTTCCCTGCTCGAGGCTGTATGGTCTTTACGAATGGTACTGGACGGATAACTATGAAATCGATATAGGCGGGGAATGACAAGGCTGCTGGTCGCAAGAAAGGTCTCCAACAACAGCTTCCAGAAATGGGCCAATATCGCTTGGGATTGTGGACTTTTTTGCCAGTGAATTGTCGGGTGAGTCAATGGCTCACACTGAATGCGCTTCGAGGTATCACAAGCTCTAGAAATTTAGTGGGGCAGGCAAGCAACCGGGCTTCAAGGACAAAGCATTGCAGTTTGTCAGTTTGCGGCAGGCTAGAAGCAGGCCTTGTTCACTAATCCCTGTCGTACTAAATGGAGAAGCCCCACCGAGCAAAAGGTGCGGGAGCCAAGTCATTTCTTATCGTGTGCTTATCGAAAAACTGGTCCCTCTTATCGCACCCAAATCCAGACACTCACCTGCATTATCAGCGCCCGAGCGGAACGGCTTTACAATTGGCCTACAAATTTTTGGTCGCGTCGCTCTGCTCTGATTGACTGGGTCACTTGATGGACCCAGTAAAATCTGCGTTGAAGAATCCGTTTCTGCGATCAAACCCCATCACGACGGATACCAAATACCTTGACGCCCCAACCCAGTAACTTTTTTTTCTCTTTACTGCAGTGGTTGTCTGTATAACACTATTCCCCCCCCCATTCTTTAATTCCTTTTTGATACCCCCATCCCCTCAACCACCAACCATATCTACACACACACACCCAACCACCACCAATAACAAACACACATCTAATCCGACAAGATGGGTGCCACCGACAAGATCAAGGAGAAGAAGGACAAGTCCGAGAAGAAGGACAAGAAGGAGAAGAAGATGAGCGAGGAGGCCGGTGTCAAGAAGGAGAAGAAGGACAAGAAGGAGAAGAAGGAGAAGACCGAGAAGCTCGCCAAGGCCGTCGAGGCTCACCTCGAGAAGGAGGGTTCCGTCGACCCTGAGGATGTCGTCAAGACCGCCGAGGAGCTTGTCCCCTTTGCCCTTCCCCTCGCCGACGACAAGACCCACAAGAAGATTTACAAGTTGATCAAGAAGGGTACGTTTTGTTACTCTCTCCAATTGCATTGCCAGGCTCAATCGCAACCCACGCACGACTTGTACTGAACCCAAGCTAACCTTGTACCCCCCAAAAAAACAGGCGCCAAGCTCAAGTCCATCCACCGCGGCGTAAAAGAGTGCGAGAAGGCCATCAAGAAGTGCCCCCTCCGGACCGCCGCCTCCCCTCCCGCCGACGCTCCCGGCCTCGTCATCATCGCCGGCGACATCTCGCCCATGGACGTGATCATGCACTTCCCCATTCTGTGCGAGGAGCACGGCGTTCCCTACTTGTACATTCGCTCGCGCGCCGACCTGGGCGTGGCCGCCTGCACCAAGCGCGCCACCTCGGTGGTGATGCTCAAGCCCGAGGGCAAGAAGTCTTCTGGTGGCAAGGAGGAGGCCGGCGACGACAAGAAGGTCGACCCTGCCGAGTACCTCGAGGCCTACAAGGAGCTGGTCAAGACGGCGCAAAAACAGTGGAACGTCCAGGTCGAGCCCTGGGTCAAGGGTACTCACCCGCTCCAGATCGAGGCCAAGGTCAAGGGCACTGCCTAAATTGGCGAGAGCAACGACACGAGCGAAACAACACACAAAAAAAATGAAAGACTGCAACGACACGATGGCGACAGCGGGGGCACATGAGACCATGACACCACTGTTGGTGTCGGTGTGATTGTGCGTCTGCTTGTTGCAAGAGTGTTCGTGTGCATATGTGCTTTTTGCTCAAACAACCGGACCGTCTTACCGTTGAGAGAGAAGAAAACAGGCGACCGATCATCTTGGAGATTGGACGCTGGCGGGCAGCGCAAAGACTGTTCTTTGATGGACTTGTGCCTGGGCTTGGGGAACAGATGAAGGAGGAACAAGTTTGTGACGCTCTAATCACAACCTTTGTCACTCTTTTCTCTCCTCGATGTCGATTTCTGTCTCCGCTTCGGGCTTCTCCCAGCTCTCGCTCTCATCACGAAAAGATTGTCGGATATCGGTCATCATCTCTTCCGCATTGACCACATCCGGTCGGCTCCCATGGGCTGACTTGGTTGTTCTGGGCTTTTATCTAAGCTATAGATAGAGAGCATTGATGGGTTGACGGTTTTAGTCTATCCTGGTTTCGGTTATGGATTTATGGCGCTGGCTACTTGCTGTCATTGAAAATGGAAGGCGTTGTGGGGTAAACACTTGTATTTTGTACGGTATATATGAGAAAGGAATACCAAGTTCATCAGTTCTCATCTTTGCTTCTATGTGTCCAACCGTCTTTGGGTCGAATGCCGCGGGCTGTACCCCTTCCATGTCACGACACACAACACAACATTGACATGGCCAACTACCAACGCAACACTTGTATCAGATGCAAGACAACTCAGGTCATCAGCAATCAACAAGCACAAGAGCCAAACAGTGAGGTATCGCCAGCGTCTTCCATTCATCTCAGGAATGCTGATACTATGCTAATAGCTTGATACAATACAGAGGGTACCAAGAAAAAAAAACAGGAAATGCCCAGGAACACGCCCACACTCCAAATTGTAGGTGCGATACTCAAGTTCCCCATTATCATTAACTTCATTAAACCATCCCGGAGTTCCTCTTACTCAAAAAGAACCCTTTACTCGGCACGCCAGCTTGTCCGGCCGAGAGTAGGCGATCCGGAGGTAGCAGAGGCGCTGTTTCAACCATGTCAGCAGACTGTTTCCACAGGATATACCGAAGTATAGTAAATAGGTTCTTATTTACAATAGGGTGACCCACTACTCAAAAGGGTTGGTGCGCGTTCCCCACCAGGTAAGGAAGACGGAAAGGCCGACAGTCTCAAACAGCTTAGCGAGGACGTTGATGCCGACAGTCTCAAAGGCGCGCTTCTCAACGAACATCTCAGAGATGAAACCGGGAGCAGAGGTGGCAGCGAAGATGAGACCGCCGAGGTAGGCGGCGCCGCGGTAGCTGAGGGTGCCGGTGGCGTTGATGAGAGCGCCAATGCCGTACGACTGCAGGGCAGAGCCGACGAGGGAAGAGCCCCAGGCCATGACGGCCGAGGTGGCCTCGCGCGACTTGATGAACTCCTCCTTGCTGTTGGAGATCTTGGCGCGCTGGTAGGTCTGGCCGAACAGGGGGGTCATGATGGCCAGCTCGGTGGCATGGTTGAAGATGGTGCCGAGGGCAATGGCCGAGGGCTTGACGGGGGGGAGATCTGGAGGGAGTGAGTTAGTATCATTGTTTGGTTATGCTTGTGGAGATTCATGTAAATGGCTGTTGATGGTGGTGGTAATGCTTGTGCGTTGTGCTGCGGTGGTTCATCTTTGGTTCATCCCAAATTCGCAGTGTTTGTTGCTGTGTCGGTGTTGTTTGACGTGCATCCCGTGGTGCGCCCCGCTCGCATCCCCTACGTCATAGGCTGCCGCCCGCGGTTTCTCATAGCAACCACACACCCGAAACGCGATGCTTTTGAGCAGAGCCGGTGTCGAGAAGAATGAAAGATTGGGGCGAACTCGAGATGCTAGTCATTGTGTTGGGATATTCGATTGTGTCGTTGTGTTGTTGGAGATGATGCCCGGAAATGAACCACCTGACGCGGATGCAAGGTGAGAGTGACAGGAGGGGAAAGAGGGGGCTACTAACAGTGAAGAGACATGATGGCGGTTGGTATTGTGTGGTAGGTTAAAAAGTGGTAGATTTATGAAATAGTTGTTCGTTTGGGTATCGTCGTCGTTGAATTCTCGTTTGGAGAAGTCGTTGGTTTTCACTGGTTTGGAATGAAGCAAGCAAAAGGGAGATGGAGGGGAGGGAGGACGTGGTGGTTATAAAGTACTACAGAGGACGGATGGAAGGAATGGATTCTGGGCAAGGCCGGGCCTGCTGCCAGGGCGAGATCACTCATTACCTCTAGGTTCTTCTTTGTGCGTCACGATTTCAGTCAACCGAGCAACCAGCAGGAAAGCATCCATGAGCCCAGCCCAGCAGAGGGACGGGACCAGTCAACTAGGCCGAACAGGCAACGAACAGCGACGGGGACCAACAAGCAGCAAGGACGGATGGAAAGAGACCTGGGACAATCACGATGGAACGCTCCCGGTGTCTGTCTCTCTTCCTCACAACGAGATTCGACGACTCTAATTGGTCGTCATACAGAAAATCCTCTGTAAATTGCCCTGGTTACAGAAGGAATCACATCATCGCCTCTGTCGAGCTTCCCCGGACTGCATCTTATGCAAGATGATGTCACTCACTCATTCCACGCTTTCCCCAATGCGGAATGGTCAGTAACATCCCATCCACGGGCACCCGCCCTGTAACAGGACCTCGATTCAACAGGGCAAATTTCACAACGAATCTTCTGTCTGCTCTTAGAGGTATTGTTGGGTTCAGTTGGTGAGTGAGGGGTCAATCCAGCTGTTTGTCAGTCGGGCAAACAGGCAGTCAGACTTTGGAAGTCGTGGATGGTATCGAAATGGTGTGAAACAAAGCGAGGGGTTGCCGTATTTGCATGATTCCCCTCCAGCCGGCCGGTGGGAGATCAGAAAGTCAGGCCGTTTCCAATTTGCTTTTTCCGTCCTGTGCTATGCCGAATTCACTTTCCCGTTAAGCCGTTGCTGCCCCTCTCTTCCATCGATTACAATTGTTTACTTCCGGTGGCCCATGTAAAACCTGTCTTTCTGTCTACACTACAATCCCACACCATCCGAAGCTGAACCTCTCTCCACTCACTTTGGCCTTCTGGGCCTAGAATTGTGCGAAATTGCATGCTTCTGACGCTTCAAAGTGGATTTTTTCCGAGCTTCAACCAAGCTGAAGTTGAGGCAGTGTAGTCGCTCTTCTTCCAAGGCCAAGGCCGAGCTTGAACAGTCAAGGTAATTGACATCGTAATCGAGCCTCAGTCCGGAAGTAATGGAGCGGATGGCTTTTACTTACAGTTTAGGTGGCTCCGTAAGTGGAATGGGCAAGTCACTAACAGGACTGGCTGTAATTCTCTCCAAAAACTGTTAGTGAACTGGCTCTGCACACCCCAATTCCGGAATCACCTAACTGCGTACAAAACATAAGTGGAATGAAACTGCCCCTCTTCTTCCTCTTTCTAATCCATGGAGCAAAAAGTTCCCACAGTGACGTTTGCCCTCCGGGGGCATCCATCCAGATGGAATAGGTAAGCGAGCTAAGGTATCTTGCTCAATAGTGTACACTACTAGTTATGTTCCTGAAAGTTGACTGCCCTGTCCATGAGGTCCAACATCTTGTCACCTACACCAACGGTCCACAGCCGCCGGCCAGCTTCCTTTGAGCTGCCAGGAATAGTTACACCATCACCATCACCATCACCAGCTACGATATGATGAGCTTGGTCCTCTTGGTCCTCTGAGATCCCTGGATCTAGAAGTCCGGATCGTGAAATCAACAAATAACCACCGAGTGGGACCGTTGAGTCCAAACTCTCGTGCTTCCCATCTTAGTCTTTTTATTATCCTGCGCAATGGGATTATTGGGAATGCAGTTTGAAGGGTTTCACAGAAGGTAAGGTATCATGTGTCAGCTTAAAAGGAGATCCTCGACCCGTTCATGCAGAGAACTCTTCGAGAACGGGCAGGCGGCGATCTTTGGAGCGGAGTGAACGAGTGGGAGGGAAGAAGGATCTCAGAGTTGTCCTGCAAAGCCCAGATGTGGGTAACATGCTCGTTGGCTTTTCAAAATCATGCAAGTTGCCAGCGATAAGCGGGAGATATAACAGCCCTAGGCAGAGGAAAAAGGAAACCAGGCCATGATTACACTACTTCGCTGTTCCTCATCTCTAATAGTCCCGTCGTGTAATAATACTGTCGACATATAGTATATATCTTGCTTTCTCATCGTCTCTGTCTCGCTCATGCTCCCTTTCTCTCCTTTCTTGATACTAGTAATCTCCCCACTTTCATACAGTTCGCAAAGGCAACACAATAAGAAAAAAACAAGCAGGCAGAAATTCAAAGATAAACTCATTAAGCCGTATGCTGCCCATCCTCTCCGTCTCTCAAAGCCAACAGGGCTCTCACGTCCGACACGTACTGCAGACCTTCGAGGAACGGTATCAAGTACATCAGATCGAGGTCCGTCGGGTCGCTAATCCAGCCTTGTATGGGTATCGCATTGTCTGTGTTTTGCGTTATTCCCTCTTGTTAGCACTAGTTTCCCTCCAGCAAGTTGTACACGGGCATAAACAGAACAGAACAGAAACAAAACTTACCCTGATGAAACATATAACTCAACGGGCTATTATCCAATATCATGACCTTGCTCAGATCCGGCTCTACCGAGCTCAGATCCTTGATAAACGCCCCATGCCTAAACGTGCAATGCTGCCGATAATACCTGGCCGAGAAGTACTTGCGGTCGCTCTCCAGCCAGTCGATCACGGGGTCCGCATACTCCTGCACCGACGCCGTGAACACCACCAGGTTGTACCACTTGCTGACGCGTCGCAGGAACTCGTCGCAATGGGGGCGCTTGTGCACGTAGTAGAGGATGGGATGCTGCGGCCCGATGGTCTGTTGCCCGCCCACGCCCACATAAGTCGTGTTCAGTCGCACTTCAACCATGTGGCCCGAGGACATGCGGCCGCCTTTGGACATGGAGTGAATTAGGGTCTCGTCGAGGTCGAGGATGAGCGTCTTTTGGTGCTTGAGGTTGGCTGGATCGACGGCGCTGATCTTGTACGAGGGCTGGCGCTTGGGGATCAGAGGCCTTGGGGGCGCCGGCGTCTTGGGGTACTTGGTCAGGGCACCGACGGGCGATGTGGGTGACTTGAGCTGGGCCGAGATGTCGTTGCCGGGGACGCTAAGGTTTTGCTGGCCGGACCCGCCGTTGCCGTCGCTATTAGTGGTAGATCGGCCGGAGGCGGAGGAGCGGTCCTTTCGCTGTTTGCGCTGTCGTAGGGAGTCGGCGTCCGAGTGAAGCTTAATTCTTATGGAGCGTCGTGCCGGTGCGATTTCTTCAGAGTCCTGGGATGATTTCGACTTAAGACGTCGTCCGCTGCTGCTACTACCTGTCCGGCTTTCCACCTCCGATTCGGACTCGGACGAGAGTCCTGACGATGAGGAGCCGCTAGAACGGAGGCGAGACTTTCGTGACTTGCGAATGCTTCCTCCGCTACCTGCCCCGTCCAGGTTGGCGTCAGACAGGGCAGCCGCCTCGTGGTAATCCATTGCCATTTCCTTGGCGTTTCCTCCATATCGACCAAAGAGTTTCCGTAATTGTTTGGTAGGCGCAAAGTTGCCCTCGGCATCGTAGAACAAAGCGACCAAGTAGAGGCCAGGCGCAGCAATCGTCATGAGCAGCCAGCGTATAGACTCGACAATGGCAAACGCGAAGCGCTTCGGGAGGGATGCCCATGTGGTCGGCGACTTGGGCTGATCTTGGGCTAGCAGAGGGGTCTTCTCGTCGGCATCGTAGTGCTGTCCATCGTATCCCCCTTGTGCAGCCGTCTCCTTGTCCTCGGCCTCTTCTGACAGTGTGTTGTTTTTGTTGGCTAGACCCAACAGCTCATCGTTGCTGCGCGACCCATGATGATCGTTCTCCTCTTTGCTGCTAAGATGGTGGGCCAGACTGAGTGCGCTTATAGAGTTCGATCGAGACGGGGTCGGGCTGGACGTTGGTGATACTCGGGCCGAGATGATGTTTAAGGAGTTCATCTTGCCAGCGCGGGGAAAGCCATGAAGGACGCCAATGCGAACCGCGCCCAGTGGCAGTTGCAAACTGTGTGACGGCGACAGCGACAACGGTGGGTTTATTCGAGCAAAGATCGATGATGTATGGTAGCCAATTCCGCGCGGCCCCTACTGTTAAACAAAAATCGTCGGACGTGGGATTGGGATTGGGCTTGGGGTGGCCTGCAGGGTACGGGAGGGGCGTTTGTTGCCCGGCCGAGGTTTGGTGTTGCGCAGCGACCGAAAGCTGTTCGGTTGCTCTGTGACGGGGAACTATTGCGGATGGCGAGGATGGTTGGACTGAAAGCCGCAAAAAAGAGAGCGGGCGCTGGAGAAACGAACGGTTACGTGGATATGGCTTGTTTCCCGTTAGGTTAGGTTTGTATGATTTGTTGGCCGAGATCCGGTTGGGGAACTTTTTGGGGAAGATCGAGAAGCAGCGAGCTACATACACTAGGGCCGGAGTCTGGAGACGGGCAACGATCCAATGTTGGGGTCAGAGCCTGGAGGTCTGGAGACTGGAGACTACTGGAGACTCGGGGGGGTCGCGCGAAGAAGGGGCCAATGTCGTCAACCGCACGCAGTGTAATAACCTTTTCTGTGGTTTCCAGAAACAATCGGTTACATACTCTTTCTTTTCTTTTTGAAGTTGTTTCCAAAAAGAGTTGCAAGTTCCATTCAGGTTGCAAAAACTTAATGTTGCCTGTCGAACTTCGAACAGCGCAAGTGGTGAGATGGGATGTCCGAGACCCGCCCAGATTTGGTTGGCTACTTATCAAAAAATACGAACATGACACCCTTTCTGGGTAATCGATAGGGATCGGAGTAAGAAAAAAGAAAAAGAAAAAGAAAAAGAAGGGTGGTGACCGCCCAGTTCCAAAGATCGACCTCACAGGCAAGATACAAACAAAGTCAACAACCCCGGTTTATAATAACTTCACGAAGCCCAGAAAGTACAACTAAGCACTGATATCTGCCGGCCATATTATGTACATGTGTCGCTTTTATATCGGGGTTTCATTTGGTGATGCCGTCGTGGTGGTGAAGAGCTCCCGTCCTGAATGGTTTTCTCTCTTCTCCAATTATCGAGTGGCGCCCAGCTATCACAAACAACGACATTTACTCCAGTCCAGTCCAGTCGCCAACACAACGGGACGCTAGCCGAACAGCACGGGGATGGTAACGACTACTGTAACGAGACAACAACGGCGGCGGCTCAGTGGCTGTTCACCAGAAATAATGGGCTTAAAAAAAAAAACGGGCATCTCGACGGGGTTTCCAGGGGTGCTCAACAAATGCCATTTCATCCACTGAATCCATTCACGTGTTCCTCCCGACTGACTTGACAACGAGCGGACGAGCGAGCGGGAAACCCGATCGACCTGCCTAGGCCCCCTCCGTCGTCGGCCATCTCGATGAATGGATGGGCCATGGCGGGGTGGGTTCCACATCCACAATTCACAGCGCGAGGTGCTGCTGTCACCTGCAGTCAACACAACAACAACGCTGCAGGCAACAAACCTAACCACTCAACATCAGCGCCGACACAACATGGGACCTCCTTGGTTAGATTTCTTTTGGTGATAGCAACACCAATTGATTGAACTTGAACCTTTCTGTGTTTGTTCACTGTTTCTATCTGGATTTGTACCCTCGTTCAGTCCCTGACAATATTTGGTTTTAACGACACAGTAGTCCGTGCAAAATTTAAATAACACTGGAAACAATTTCACATGTTCGTCTTTTCCCTCTCTTCAATACATACCCATGCTCCATGCAATCAACCCCGTCATAAATACTACTATGATCTCTTTGCAAAAGCGAACAAATGGCGAGACCCTGATAGCAGCCCAATGCAACTCAAGCGAAGAAAAAAAAGACCATCATCAAATCATAGAATATACCAACCGAGGTTGTAGGGGAAAAAAAAAAAAAGGGGGGGGGGGGTTTTCGTTTTCGCTTTTGGGCCACCCGTTCCTGCATTTGTTTAGTTTCTCTTTCTTTTACCCCTGAATGTTGCGTTGGTTGGGCTGATGGATGTATGGCTGGATTTCTTCACCGATCTCGCTGCTCTTTCTTCCACGAGCGGTTCTGGAAAATTGCACTGCACTGCAGCTAATGACTAGGCACGATACCAATAGTATGTAATGTACTAGGGGACTAACGAACATCTTGGTCCTATTGCCTACTTTGGGATGGTACCCTGGAAATGCGGTCTGGAAGTTGGGGCTTAGTGCAGTGCCATTGTTTAGTTTTGAATTTGAATATAAAGTGGCTTCGAGTCTACCTCCTGTCATTGTTTGTTGAATGGCTATTGGTATCTACGATGGTGAGATATGTTCGGGAGACCTGAGCATGCATTTGCATGTGTCCTTCCTCAGTCAAAGGGGCGGCGGATCTTGCATGGCAGGCTTGGGGTGATTTGTTCCCTCCCCCCGATTGGTTACCAGACCTTGAGCTGAAGACCAGAAAGAGGATGAGGTTAAAGGTGAGATGTTTACAGTCCTACTCGTGGAGGTGAGAATGCTGAGCAGGGCTGGAGAGGAATGGTATATGAATTAGGACATTTGGCTTCACAGGCGTGGTGATACGTCATAAGGCAAGGCGCGGCTACAGTTTGAGCTTCCCAGCGTCTAACAAGATTTCAGAGGGCGAGAAACAAAATCAAACTCCATGAAGGAAACCAGTTCATCACCGTATGGTTCTCCATGCAAGAGCTGGTGCAGCCAAGCGAGCGAACACCAGTCATCCAGGAGACTAGCTTGAGGACCGGCAGAATGCTCAATGATCATACCCAAAGACAAGAGAACTGGAACTGACCAAGGGAACGTCCGGATGTGCGTGAATAGAATGGGATCCTGACAAGGCTGGAAATCACATGCGATCTGTTGAGCCGACCGTGAACAAGGCTTCAGGTGTCGTGTGAGATCCAAAACCAGCACATGCCGATACCCATAAAAGAGGTCCATGTCTTGTCTATGCCAACTCCAATTCGAACCGTGTGGGAATAAAGATGGTGATATACAGGTTAGTCTATTGAGTACTAGTTCTCTCTCTCGGGAACTGCACCCTGGTTCCGTGCCCAAGTATCGTAAAGTCCATCGCTTACTCCTCCTGGCCAGCGAACTCAGCACGACCGGCCTTCGAGTTGAGGTAGTGGTTCCTAACCAGCAGAATCCCCTGTTAGAATGTGGCACTCTCTTGAACGACGACAACAACGGTCCCTCCTTTGCCATCCCGTGATCGAAATCCCTCGGGGCTGTGGGTGGTGGTGATGCAACGTACCGCTCGACAGCCCAGTTCATGATGTAGTAGCCGGCAACGAGGGAGGGGGCCCAGTAGAGGAACTGGGAGCTGACACGTCTGAAGGTGTTGAAGACGGCGTCGTGGGCAGTGCCGGCGAGGGGGTTCTGGCGGTTAGGGCTGATACCGTAGGAGATGATGCCCCTCTGCTTCATGCCACCTATTCGTCGAGAAGAGAAACAACATGGGTTAGATGGTCTTGTTCTGTCTCCAGGGTCGTCTCATCGGTTCGTCAAGGGTTCGGCGTGCGGGCGAGTGGGCGGGCGGTCATCAAGGTTCTTCGTCTTCTGGCTCGGCCATCTGTCGTGCCCTCATATTCCCATTCCCTCCCATCCCGGTATTTCCCGTTGTTGAAGAATTGCCGTATGTTTGGTATCGGTGCATCGTCAATTGCAAAGGTTCCTACTCACCAAAGTTACCCCAGCCACCAAGGTAGCTATATCAACATGCACGTTAGCTAACATCCAGAGCTGGATCGGAGGGGGAGCCGGCGCAAAGGGAAAAGGGCGCATCGCCAGTAGCTTGTGCCATGAAGTTCCGGGCTCTTCCAAATCACAAGTGGGAAGACTGACTGGTTGAACTTGCCGATAGGGGCACCGCCGCCGCCACCGAGCATGGTCTGAGTAGGACGCATCTTGAAATATGTGTTGTCGCGAAACGCGCTATGGGGGTTATCAATCGGGTCGTGGTGAGGACGCAGTCGTCGTAAAGGTTCGGGAAGAGCTTCGCGCGGCGTTGAACCGGGTTTGACGAAGTTCGAACTGAAATCGGGCGACAGTGAGTGGCTGGCACTTCAGTTGCCAAGTGCCATGGAGCCGTCACTGGCAGGCGGAAACCCGAGTGCTGGAGGCTCAAAAGGGATTAGCATAAAAAGGTACAAGCTACAAGTACCTTTACAGCATCATTCTCTTTCAGCCCGCCTGGTGAACAAGGTGCACGGACCATCCGGACATGACGGGAATCCGTCTCACTGAACGCAAGCACTGAAAGAAGACATCCCCCGGGCCATGCGGGGAGCTTGAAAGAGCTGGGCCTGGTCCGGGCGACATGGCACTCCACTTTTTGCAGAAGCTCCATCCATCGCAACGACTGCTGCTTACTGCTGCAACTGGGGAAGCACCACCACCACCACCACGATCCACGGTCCACGACGTAGTCCAGTGTGTAGTGCGATAATCCTACAGCCCACCTTGAGGTATCCCCGGAAACGACGTCCACGAATACTCCCGAGTCAGATCCCTCACCACCACATCAACCGAGTTCGATCCCCAAAACTTAATACAAACCGATATTCACAATGGCGGCAAGAGGGTTGGACATGATCACCAAGTTCGCCATCCCGGCAACTGTTGGTGTGGCTCTTCTCCAAAACTCCATCTACGACGTCAGAGGTGGTTCGCGGGCGGTTATCTTCGACAGAGTTGCCGGTGTGAAGGACACGGTCGTTAACGAGGGCACACACTTCCTCATCCCATGGCTGCAGAAGGCCATCATCTTCGATGTTCGCACCAAGCCTCGCAACATCCCTACCACCACCGGCTCCAAGGATTTGCAGATGGTCAGCTTGACGCTCAGAGTGCTGCACCGTCCTGAGGTGCAGGCTCTGCCCAAGATCTACCAGGTGCGTTTACAAGAACTTGTCCCTTCGGACGGCTACCACGGATCACAACTTATACTAACTGATATCCCCACAGAACCTCGGCCCAGACTACGACGAGCGTGTCCTCCCCTCCATCGGCAACGAGGTACTCAAGTCCATCGTCGCCCAGTTCGACGCCGCCGAGCTCATCACGCAGCGTGAGGCCGTCTCGCAGCGCATCCGCGCCGACCTCGTCAAGCGCGCCGCCGAGTTCAACATTGCGCTCGAGGATGTTTCCATCACCCACATGACCTTTGGCAAGGAGTTCACCAAGGCCGTCGAGCAGAAGCAGATTGCGCAGCAGGATGCCGAGCGTGCGCGCTTCATCGTCGAGCGTGCCGAGCAGGAGCGCCAGGCCAACGTCATCCGCGCCGAGGGTGAAGCCGAGAGTGCAGAGACCATCAGCAAGTCTATTGCCAAGGCTGGCGATGGTTTGATCCAGATCAGAAAGATTGAGGCGTCGAGGGAGATTGCCCAGGTGTTGGCTGCCAACCCCAACGTGGCGTATCTGCCCGGAGGTGGCAAGGGGACAAATCTGTTGATGAACGTTGGCAGGGCATAAACGGGAGCAATCAGTAAGGGAAAGAGACGAAGATGGTCCTGCAGAAAGGGGACCAGGATACCTAGGCTACGGAGGTAAAGGGAGGTAATGACCAAAATGGGACTGTATTATTATGATATGAGCATTGTGTATCTTCCCCGCTTAGGCACTTGTTACAATAGGAGCATGTTTGAACTTGACTTGTCTTTTGTCACTCGAGATGACATCCGAGTGAATACCTTAGCGGACGTGGTTATGGTGAAGGAATGGCCACTCTTTTCCTGAGGCTCCCAGTTCTGGCAAAGAAAAGTCACAACCATCCGATATAGGATTCCTGAGACGTGATATGCCTTACTAAGTGTATATTATGAAAGGTGAAAACGTTAGATACCCCAGACAGACCTCACAACGCCAGGGACGCATGGATCCCGTAACGCTTAGCGGCGGTTCGGTGGACCGATGGCCGAACGCAGGGGCCTCAGCTACCCGTCTTATGGGCATGTTTCCCGTTTCTTGGCTCAACCTCGAATTGTCATCAACTTCCTCTCAACAACACACTGAAAACACACACACGACATCAAAGACGAGGAGTTGAGAGGCTGGACATCTCCAGACTATCGCTTGACCTGTACTTGTCAGATATACTTAGTAGTATACGGTGCTCACCGCTGGCGTATGTGTTGCCCTCTGCTGGCTTTTGCATTTCATCCCTGCCTCTGCTGCCCATCTCAACTGCTGCAACCTAACCGGGCAACCTTTCAAAGACTCGGTTCATGCTGTCATCCCAAAGGTCCAACATTTTAAACTTTGCCGTTGGTCACACTCAAGGTTGACTTAACGAGAAGAGCTGGAATATAGACCCACAACCTTTACCTGCTTCTTTACGTGATTGCGCCAAAGCCCACAAGCTGACGTTCTGTAGCCTCTTCGGATCCCACGATTATCTCGGCGCTCCCTCTTTTATATATAACACATTCTGCGTTAAAGTTCGTTGCTTCAAAGACAAGACGAAATCAATATCACGCTGCGTATTACGACTTTCAGGTGGATATTCGGTCTGACTACCCTGAGACTATAAAGTGAAGCAGCGAGTGAGTGCTGTGAACCGAGCCTTCCTTGTTTGCCCAATTCGTCAGCAAGTCGGTTTCACCATTTAATATCTTCGATTCACAACCTGGAAGCTCCCACCCCTTCTTGACAACGACATACAACATACCTTACCATATATCGATATTATTCAGCATCTCACCGGGGCCAACTGATAAGAGTCTCCCACCCAAGTCGGCTTCTCCCAAGCGGACATCTACTTCATCAACTTCCAGAGTTGCCTACCATAGCACGTCTTCCAAGCTTCACGCGCGAGGTCGCAAATAGACTTTCAAGATCCCGTCATCTTGTGGTTCTATTGCCCTCAAGACCGCCCTTTCGCTCCATTAGCAACACGTCTATCCAGCGCCGGGACGACTCGCAGGAAGCAAACCCGTTGGCAAACCGTGACCCCTGGCCAACCCGCGCTCAAACAATGGACACCGTTTTACAGAACTTGGGGTCAATCCCCTGCCCGCATGGCGACAGGTGCACTGAGTCCGGATGTCTCTTTCAACATAGCTGGAACAAGAAGCCGGCCGCTCCAGCGTCAGCCAAACACGATGGTCCGGACGCAGATGACAATCCGCGAAAACGTCGCAAGCTGTCAACAGAACCTACCCAGAGTACAACGCCGACAACGGCAGAGTCTTCACAGCCCAACCCGGAGCCTGTGACGGCCAAGAAACCTGTGTCGCCCCCGCCACTGGGCCGAAAGCCAACAGTTTTGTCTGTTCAGTCAAGTCCGTCTGAAGCTCCCGCTACCCCAGCAACTAAACCGGCAGCCGTCTCATCACACGCCAATCCAACACCCGAGAAAAGCGCCGAGAAGAAGGTTCCCATTCGAAAGGCACAAGCTTCTCGGAAGGTCGAGACACTCAATCCTCGCATGCTCAAGGGTGTGGCACCTGCTACATTTGAATTTCGGTTCAAAGCATTGACGATGCTGCACGAACAATTCGTCCGACTGAACAAAGAGATGGAAAAGGCGGCTGGAAAAGATGCGGAGAGCAAGAAGTTGATTCTTACTCCGCAAGAACTAATATGGCTCTCTCTGGACTTGGAGGAGAAGATTGCAATGGACAAGCCATCCATCTACAATAATGTCATCAAAAATCGCATCATGGGCTACAAGAAGATGACGCCCAAACAATGGAAGGCAGAGCGTCTTGCAGAGATTAAGAAGGAAGAGGAACGCAAAGCCGCTGCGACTCAAGCAAGTTCCAAGAAGCAGGCCCTCCTCGGTCCTCCCAAGGAGATCAACACAGGTCTGACGCCGCAAGAAGAGATCGCCTTCCTACCACATGTTCTCACGTCCATCACCGAACTCGCCCAACATGGATACGTCCCCAAGCCGCCATCTGAAGAGGAAATCAAAAAGGCACGCGAGGGCGTTGAGGCTGCCATGGGCTGGGAGACATGCGACCGCTGCACCAAGCGTTTTCAAGTCTTCCCCGGCCGTCGCGAAGAGGACGGCGCTCTCACCAGCGGCGGTCCCTGCACCTACCACTGGGGCCGACTCATCTACCCAGAGCGTAACCCAACCAGTACCGTCCAGCAAGAGAGGACTTACCGATGCTGCAAACAACTCGCCGGCGATTCAACCGGCTGTACAAGCTGCAGCACTCACGTCTTCACCGTCAAGTCCCCCGCCCGTCTAGCGACCATTGTGCCCTTTATGGAAACCCCCGAGAACCCCTCCGTACCCAAGGACCGCGCCGTCTGCTTCGACTGCGAAATGTGCTACACGGTCAACGGTCTTGAACTCGTTCGCTTGACGGCAGTCAACTGGCCTGACGGCAAAGAACTCCTTGACATCCTCATCCGCCCCATGGGCGAGATTCTCGACCTCAACTCCCGCTTCTCCGGCGTCTGGCCAGAGGATCTCATCAACGCCGAGCCATGGAAGCCCGTTGCTCCTCTTAACCCCGTCATCGACACCGATTCCTCCTCCAAGCCCCCAACCACCACCACCACCACCACCACCACCACCACCACCAACAACCCACCAGAACCAGACCAGCGCAAAAAGATGCAAATCGTCCCTTCCCTCGCCGTCGCCCGCGACTTACTATTCAGCTTCATATCCCCCGCCACCCCGCTCATAGGCCACGGCCTAGAAAACGACCTCAACGCTATGCGCATCTGCCACCCCACGCTCATCGACACCGTTCTTCTCTTTCCACACAAAAAGGCCCTGCCCTATCGACACGGCTTGAAGATGTTGATGGAGTGGAACCTCAACAAGGCTATCCAGGTAGAACCGGATGCTGATTCCGCCGATGGGACGACAGGACAGGGTGGAAAGCTACTGGGGCACGATTCAGCAGAGGACGCAAGGGCGGCGGGAGACTTGGTCAGGTTCAAGATCCAGCATACGTGGGCGAGAATGAAGAGGGAGGGGTGGACGTTGAAGGATGGAGAGTTTGTGCCGCCGAAGGATTCGAAGGGGAAGAAGAGTGGTGGGGAGAAGCCGACGGAAGTGAGGAAGACGAGGGACGGCACGGAGGAGGGGGAGTTGGTTGAGGTTTAGAGACGGATTGTCTCGTTGCTTAGAAGCCGGGAGGACTGGAAGACATTTAGTGGTGAAGAGAGGTTGTTTCGCTTTGGGGGCTTCTGCTTCATACAGGATCTACAATATGGTCTGTTTGCCAAGTTCGCGAGTTTATTAAAGTGATGCGCGAATTTTGCAACGATAGGTACAATCAGTAGACAAAAGCTATGCTTATTCGTTACTGCTCGGACTATTTGACACACATTGGAAGTGCTCCACTGTAGAATTGATTGTGATGTTGCCAATTCTGTTCTGGCTGTGTCCTTCTACTTGTTCGTTGTTTACTTTGCCCCTTTCCGTCCCGTAGGCCAGCCTTTTTTCTTTTCTTTTCTTTTCATCTAATCCGTACAATGGGTATTTACAGAACCAACTTGAACAACTACTCTCAAATTGACTACATGACTATTCACATATTTTGCATCCAAGTCGCTATGCCGGGCATCCATTCATCCCACCATTTTCGAAGTGATCGATCGGAAAAAGTCTAGACGCTTCAGTCTCCTTCTTCAAGAAAAACTGTAAAAAAAAAACTGACAAAAACAAAGAATCTTTCTTTTTTCCTTTTCCCAAACCCCAGCCAGTGATGCCAAGTCTAATATCAACGCTCTTCTTCTTCTTCCCCTCTTTACAAGCACACCGTCACAGCAGCAGCAGTAGTTATATCTCTAGTGTTTACTCTCATCCCTCTCCACCAACTCACCCACACCTAACCCCCTACCGACCTTGACCTTAACCGTCTTATCCTCCTTTTTGTTGTTGTCTGCTTCAGGATCACGACCGACATCACCAACCGCCTCACCCTCATCCACCCCTTCCGTGGATGATCCCTGCTTTCCTTCCTCGATTTGTGGCTTCTTCTCGTCCTTCTCGTCCAGCTGCTCGGCCAAAAGCGCCTCGCGGATGGGCGCCAGATCGAGCTTCATGCAAAAGGCGTCCTCGCCGTCAGCATAGTATTTGGCTTCCGTCTTCTCCGTCTTGAAGCCCAAAGTGTCGCGGTACAGGTGGATGGCGGCGGCGTTGGAGACGCGCACGTGCAGAGAGACGTAGTGGGCGCCGAAGGTTTCGACCATTGCTTGTTCTGTTTTCACCCCGCGTCAATGAGATGATAGGTTAGTTAGTGGTGCTTTGGTGTGGATGGTAATCGAGCGAGGCGAGGAAAGGAAATAAGAAAGAAAAAAGGAAAAGGAAAGGAGAGAAAAGGAAGATAAAGAGAGAGAGGGGGGAGGAGGGGGAGAACGACGTACGAGACTGCCTCATCAGCTTCTCGGCAATGCCGAGTCGCCTATGGGTGCGCATCACGCTCAAGCTCGTAATGTGGCCGTGCTGCACTCCGTCCGTCGGCTCCTCCTCCATCTTGGCCAGGACGTAGCCGACGATCTTGGGGTAGTCGTAGGCGCTCTTGGCCGGGCGGCTCACGTCGACGGCGACATACGACAGCTGAGGCCATGAGAGCGCGTGGTACAGGTAGTACTTGAGGAAGTAGTTCTCGGGCAGGTTCTCGATGTTGGCGTGCTGGATCAGAGGGATGTCCGAGGGGCGGAGGACGCGGATATCCATTGTGGCTGCTGGGATGGCGGTTCGGTCTGGAAGAGTGGTGGTGTTGGTGGTGACTTAGAGTGGGAGGGTTGACGACTTGGTGATAGCTTCAACTTTGGGATGGATGGTGGGCTCTGGGAGAAACAGCTGGACTGGTTAGTAACAGCTATGACAACGGTAGGATACGTGATACCGGCAACGAAGAGTATCCAGCTAGTAGAATACGGTGCAGTCTTCAGAGGAAGGCGGACTTACAAGAAGTGAGTCGCCTATGTCGGGGATCGGTGGTTCGGTGTTGCGGTCGCAGTTCACAACTTGTCAATGTTGAATTGGAGACTGCTTGACGCTGCGCTACCTACGGTGGTGGGAGGCTCTGGATCCACAATCCGCACTCCAATGTGGGGCACTTCCCGTGTGGAATCCAGACTGGCCTGACCCCTGGCGGCACAGCTTCACGGTTGGATGATGGTGGGACGGCTGCTATAGCCGCACAAATCGCGGGGCAGACAAGCCCAGGAGCTAGGGGCAGTCAACACCGGGCCAAGCGCGCCGTGGGTGCAGTGCGATGCGGGGGAGCTTCGTCTCAAAGCTTCTCCGAATTCATGATGATAGCCGACGATGAGGAAGTCAGACAATGTTCTCGTGACGCAGTAGAAATATATATAAAGTGCTTTATATTCCCTGTACCTTAATTGACTCTAGCTTTCACCATCGTTTCTTCTGTTCCTGTGTGTTTGATTGCCGTGATACCCTCTTGATACCCAGCCTCGAGCTACCCCACCATAGATCACTTATACCCGACTGACCAGAACGACAACACCACTTACAATGTCCCAACCACTCAAGGGCAAGCTCGCCATTGTTTCCGGCTCATCTAGGGGTTAGTAATCATATCGACCCGTCTCGAAATTATCATCAAGACACTAACAACACCAGGTATCGGCGCCGCCATCGCCGAGAACCTCGCCTCCAAAGGCTGCAACCTCATCCTCAACTACACCACCCCCTCCTCCGCCTCCCTAGCCTCCGAGCTTTCCGACCGTCTCAACAAGACCTACTCCGTCTCCTCCGTGCCCGTCCAAGCCGACATTGGCACTCCCGAAGGCCCCCAAGCCATCATCGCCGCCGCCAAGTCCGCCTTCTCCAAGGCCGATGGCTCCCTCCAGATCGACATCATCATCAACAACGCCGGCATCGCCCGTAACGACTTGATTCCCAACGTCAAGGTAGACGACTTTACAGAAACCTACCGTGTCAATGTCCTAGGCCCCTTGCTGCTCGTCCAGGCCGCCCAGCCTTACCTTCCCAAGGACCGCTCTGGCCGCATCGTCAATATCTCCTCCGTCTCCTCTTCCACCGGCTTCATAGGCCAGTCCGTCTACGGCGGCTCCAAGGCCGCCATCGAAGCCATGACCCGCACCTGGAGCCGCGAGCTGGCTGAGAACTGCACTGTCAACGCTGTCAACCCGGGCCCGGTCGAGGGACCCATGTATGCGTCCAACTCGGAGGAGTTCCTGGAGGGCATCGAGGGGTGGATCAAGCACACGCCGCTGATGAAGGCGCGGGAGGATCTGCATGGCAAGGAGGCTGTGGAGGAGGCCAAGCAGTGGCATGGTAGGCTGGCGAAGACGGGGGAGATTGCGGGGGTGGTGGGCATGTTGTGTGGTGAGGAGGCGGGGTGGTGTACGGGACAGGTTGTTTGTGCTAATGGGGGGATGTTGATGTTGCATTAGGTGTAGAGGAAGATGAAGTTGGTAGGGTTGTGATGTTGTCCAGGCCTCGAAAGATGAATAACCTATACATAGAGTCGATGTTTAGCATTTCATGATCAACTGAAGGTTTCGCGTGATGCTTGAAAACCGGTCTCATGGCCGTGTTACCCATGGCTGTGATTCGTGAAGATGGATGAAGATGAAAAGGGGAGTTTGTTTTGTTTTCCTCAGGGGTTGATGAGCAACTGAGTTACAGCGGACTAGGTACCGCTGGATAGGCGCAAAAGTGGGGACCAAACTTTCCTTATCAGTTGCCGTTCAGCACGCGGCAACGGCCCCCAGATCGCGCCTCGGTCTCTCATTCAACAAGACGAAGTCATTGTGATTCACAACTTCCCTTCAATTTACATCTTCGTGTGCTGGTATATTGTCGATCTTCCTTCTATTCCTAATTCTGCCCCCAAAAGCGAAGTCATCAATCAGACATCATGTCAGGACCACCCCCCGTGCGAGGAGGCCTGTCCCTCTACGCCAACCTTCTCGACCCCAGTGGCACAAGCGATTCGACATCTGCCTCCAACGATGCCGTCGCAAACAAGCAAGATGACGCCCCAGCAAAGAAAGCCGTGAATCCAGGTTAGCATCTTTACTCGGCTCATCTATTGTTCATGCGCAATGCTAACAGAGACCTTACAGCATTTGCCTTCCAACCCATCCGACGACCACAAGTCAAACAACCAAACAAGCCCAAGCCCACCCTTCCCAAAGCGCCACCTTCCATCTCCATAGCAGCAGTCGCAGCAACCGTCAAGACATCTGAGCTCGAAAACAATGGCACAACTGAGGTCACAACGACGTCAACAGCGAATGCCGCAGCGCCCCAACAGCGCAGTACCCTAGCCGACTGGGTAGCCACCGAAGATGACGAGTACCTCTACAGCGGATCCAACAACCGACGAGAACGCGGCGGGCGCAGAAAGAAGAAAAAGAAGAACGATGACCGACAAGTCGAGACGAATTGGGACGAGCTCTACGATCCAGCGAGACCGACAAACGTCGAAGAATACCTGCGCAGTGATGAGCGCATCAGGGAGATTCGCGATTGGAAGGCAGTGTTGTATGCGCATAGACGAAAGAGGAGGGATAGCTTTGATAGCAGGAGGAGTGATGAGGATGAGGAAGAAGAGGATAGGAGGGTGATGAATAGTACGTCCAGGATTCTGAGGCTCAACTTCAGAAGGGTAATGCTAACACTCAACAGACCAGTTCGCGCCTCCAGCTTCTTTCTCGTTCGCACCACCAACCATGTCACCACCACGAGCTACAACGACGACGACATCAGCACACGTGCCAGCGGTGTCAATACCAGTAGACGAATCTGCCGACGAAGCCTACGCTCGCAGACTAGCACTATCAGGCATGGCACCACCACCATCACAACCACAACCACCTGCAGCCGAACCATCAGTGCCAGACACAGCAACAATCTCCCGTGCCCCAGTCCGCTACGAAGCCCCACCACAACCCCCCTCTGCCCCAGATGGCTCCGGAAATGACGCCATGGATCTTGACTCGGACGACGAAGACGTTAACTACGACGCCATCCCCGTCCCCCTCGGCACCGGCTCTGCTTCGCCTGCTCCCGAAGATGCGGACGCTCCCAAATCAAAACTACCTGGCCAAGCCGGCTTCGCCGCCCGTCTCATGTCCAAATACGGCTGGACTGCTGGCTCGGGCTTAGGCGCCTCCGAATCAGGCATCACCACCGCCTTGCAAGTCAAAGTCGAGAAGCGCAAGAAGCGGTCCGATGCTGAAGGCGGCGGGTGGGCGGAGCCTGGTGGGAGGGGGAAAATCATTGCTGGGAAACCTGCTGCTGGTAGCTCGTCAAAGGGGGAAGAACAGGACGGTGGTAAGTTTGGGAAGATGAGTGAGGTGATTGTGTTGGATCATATGCTGGATGGGATGAGTGATGAAGAGTTACGACAGGAGGTGGAGGGGGGAGATTTGTACGAGGAGATTGGGACAGAGTGTGGAGAGAAGTACGGACGGGTGATGAGGTTGTTTGTGGAGACGGAGGGGAGGAGGGTGTTTATCAGATTTACCGATGGGGTTTCTGCTTTGAGGGTAAGTCTTCTTCTCTACTCGGGATGGGAATGTTGATGATGTGTTTGCTAACTGGTGATGATTACAGGCTGTCAATGCACTCGAAGGTCGCATCTTCAATGGCAACGCGATCGTTCCGAGGTTTTATGACTTGGAAAAGTTTGAGGCGGGGGTATATAAGTAGTGTAGTTAGTATGTCCCAGTGTCGTTGCCCAGCAACTCGATCAAATACCAGACTTATCAAATCCCCTTGAAGAGCCAAAGAATCACACCCGAACAAACAATTATGTCTCGTTAGAATCCCATAACTCCTCCATCAGAAGTCAAACTCCCGTCGTCTATCCCTAAACCTCTTTTCAGTCCATTGATACACCTCCATCACATTCCCTGATCCGCCGCTCAAATTTCACTCATTGTCTTGTTGCAGTCCAGTCCAGTATCATCCCATCTTCAGTCTCAGCTCAATCCTCCATCACCATCAATTTATAGTCGATATAAACAGCGCTTGCTTGCTTATCATCTCTCTCTCTGGTTCATATCAACTTTGATATCAGACAGGATCCTCATACTCGGATGAAATAACCTTGAGCCGCCGCGCTTCTTAAACTTTTAAGAAGCTTCAGTCTCAGCCGAAGCCTCAGCCCCAGCCTCAGGCGCAGGAGAACCAGCCGCAGGCGCAGGCGAACCAGGCGAACCAGGCGCAGCAGGGGCAGCAGGAGAACCAGGCGCAGCAGGGGAAGCAACCTCAGGCGCAGGAGAACCAGGAGAAGGAGAAGGCGACGCAGGCGTATTAGGCGGGGCCCTTGGGGCAGGTGCAGGACGATGACGACGGGGAGGTCTCTGTCTGGGTCTAAGAGGGGGCCAAAACCAGGGACGGGGGTGGAGAGGGAAGAGGGTGGAGGGACGGTCTTTCTTTGGGTGGGCGGTGGTCATTTTGGGTGTTTTGGTTGACTGGTTGATGGGTGCGGTTGTTTGGGTTGTTTGGGTTGATGGGGTTGGGGTGGGTTTGGGTGGAAGCTGATGGCTTGTGTGGTTTGATCTGGTGTTTGAGAGCTTGTGTGAAGGTTTGATCTCGAGACGAGGAGCGAGGGATGAGGAGGAACTGTGGGTGCTTTGGTGGTTGTGAGGAAAGGAGAAGAAAAGAGTGTTTGGTAAGAGGGAAGAAGGAAGGTAGATAGAGGAGATATTTATACAAAAAGTGGTGGATGATATTGTGGAATATACAATAAGATCATGTTGATAGAAGTAGTAGACGATATGCTTGAAACGCACAATAGCAGGATTAATCTGCTCTGAATAGATATTCCCCCTTACTTTCCATATACCGCCGCTCGCTCCGGGAAGCTATAGATGAATAATCCGAACATGAACAAGACAAATCCAGTTCGGGATGGACACTCTAGCCAGAATAGGCCGTGACAGTCTTTGATGTGCATGTGACAAGGTAGGAAACACAGAGATGCGAAGTCCACTTGGTCTTTATGTCTTGGGAGAGAGATGTAAAAACATAATCAAAAGGCGTGATGGACACGAGGGGATACGTAAGAGAAGTCACCGGAGGTGTGATGGCAATTATGTTCGGTTTAGTTTTGTTACTACTTTATACTCGCGTCTTTTACCTAGTTCAGAGTCACTGATTCTTCCTTTTCCTTCACTCACTAAATCCCTCCTTCACTCGCGATGTTACTTGTCCGAATGCCTCCTATCACGGTATACTCCGTCTTGCTGGTGATGTTGCTGGTGGTGTTGCTGTTGCTGATTTTGTTCGCGTGCGAGTTTCTATCAAATGAGAATCAGTTTTTCAACTTGTACTCTAAGTAACTCCTAAACCACCATCGGATGAAAGCACCACGGTGACACAATCTAAATATCATAGCTTGGCTTGGTGTATGAAAGCCATACATCCCAGGAAAGGTGATAAACTCGAGATGAATTAAAAAGAGAGGTGAAATGACTTACAGCATTAAGCTTCGCAGCCTGAATAGAATGCCTGGTATACGCAAACAGGACCCAAGCCATTGTAAAGGCAGCCAGGGGCGCCATGACGGTCTGTTGTTGATTGATTAATTGATTGTGTAAGTGAGTGACTCGGAGTGCGAGTGAGTGTCTCGAGGTAGGTCGTCCGTCAGACATTGACTGGGTGGGGGCCGGGGACGAGCCAAACCTTTGGGTTGATGTTTTTTGATGTCTTCATTGTGACTTTTTGTCGTCGAAAACGGATAAACTGCAGTGTGTAGGCGGGAAGTGCAAGAGTTCGTGAGGCTGACTTGACAACTTTGACTTTTACGTGTTGTTGTAAGTAGGTTCGGCATGGGATCAGAGATGGTGTTGGTTGAATCAATCGTTCGACGTCCATTTCACTGCAACCATAGAGATCATACTATACTGTGTAAGATGATTTACCGCCATATAAGTGGACCGAGCGTCTTTCCCCCTTTTGCCAGTTAGAAATCGATTAACGGGAACCTCCTTTTACGCGCTCATTATTATGAAGTAGAAGTAGTATTTGGTAGCAAATTGATGCAGAAGCCATCTTTCAAGTCTTGTAAGTTGTGTGGGCAAGATGGCGGTCTGAAGGCCGGCATTACTCAATAGCCAAGTGAAAAACCCAGACAGACAACCCCTGAATCAAGAACCAGACAATTCAGCTGAAGCATGTTCAACATAAGAATATATATGCTCGCTATACCGGTATGCCAATGTATACATGTATGAAGAATCCCGAGTACCTGTACCGCCCTTCCGGGGTATCGCAATGTGATCCTATCTTGCCCCCCGCCCAGTCCCGTATCGCTTTTCCACTTTGCACGCGCTCCGTCGCTGTGTATGTGTGCGTCTGTGTCTGTATGTTCGCTCCACGCCATATATAAGCTACGTATATGAATATCCAACTTTCGAATCCTTGACCCATTCCAAACATGTGAGCATCCCTCGATTCCATTGCACGTCTCTAGCTGCTGGTGCTGCTGGAGATCTCAGGCCTCTCGACGCTCTCAGCCTTCACAGCCGTAGCCTCGGCAACCTTGGCCAGCTTCTCCCTTCCATGCTTCCTCGCCTGCTTCAGGTTGTTCATCACGTACTCGTACGTGAGCATGGTGACAGTCGCCGCGGGGACGGCTCTCATCATGTTGGTTCCCATACCAGCGTAAAACGCCCTCCACCCTTCCTCCTTGAGCATGATCTTGAAGGTGCTCACCACGCCTCTGTACTTGGGCCCTGATGTTGCCAACTGATTTGACTCGGCGCCGTTCTTGGAAACCACTCCCAGACCCTGCAAGTGCTCCTGTCCCGGAATCGGCCTACGCTGTGTCTGCAGTCTCGTCCTGATGACCTCGTGGGGATACGTCGCACTGCTGGCAATAATCTTGGAGAGGACGGAGGCGGCAAAAGTGCCCATAAAGCTTGGCTTGGCGTTCTGGTCGCCGGCGGCGCCACCCATGCCTTGTCCAGTGAACTTGGTCTTGAGGAACTCGTAGGTGGGAAATTGGACGGCCACATGGGAGAGACCCAGAAGAGCAGGTGTCAATCCGGAGTAAAAGGAGAGAAGGCCCTCGGTGGTGTACATCTTGCGCGCGGCATCGAACGTGGACTTGTAGTGCCAGTGGGAGTGCATCGAGGGGCGCGCGTCTTGGAATGCCGATTGCGACATGAGTCGGGTCTTGATGACCCAAATCGGGTTCGTTGCAATGGTGCTACTAGCGCCCGCTATGATGGATGCGCCAAAGTTGATGGCAATTGGCTTGTCTGTCACATATATGTTAGCCTTGAACGTCCCGTTCCTTACCGCCACCAAAAGAAAGACATACCCGTGTATTGGCGTAGCCATATCTTGCTCTTATTGTAGACTGTGAACCAGACAGCCCAGGTGGGCAAGTAGCCCATTATTATGGGACCCAAGCCCCTGTACATGCCGCGAATGCCCTCATGCCTCCATATTACCTTGGCCGTGCCTACCAAGCCATTGTACATCCTGGGCTGGCCCACATGCTGTCCCGCGCCCTGCGCTTGCAACTTGGTCTTGATGACGTCCAGCGGGCAGGTAACCACGCCCGACATGAAGCCTCCCACTGCGCCGGCGAGCGCATTGAACTGCGAGTCCGAAGCATTCATTGCCCATCTTTCCAGGCCCGTTATCCGGTTGGGATCCTCTTGCATTGGGTCGGCCGAGGCTGAGTCTATCATCTCCTCTGTTATGTCTTGCCCCGCTGCTGCTGTCTCCTCCAGCTCTTCGGTCACCGAGTTGGCGGGCGCAAAAGTGGCGGGTGGCCGGGCGCCTGGCAAGGAGCGCACGCCATATTCTGCTGCCGAACTCGCGGGATCTGGTCCAGAGTGGGAGATGTGGTGTTGGGTGTCTATAGTAGACATGCCGCTACCCTTCTCTCGACTCGAGTCGGAACTGGGACTGGGCAATCGAGACGCGGGGATCGAGACGAATTGGTGGTGCGTCTTTGTTCGAGGGGTCTCTGCTGGTCGCAACTCAGAGACCCCGGAGTAATCGGTGACCCGTGATGCCGCCGTAGTGTCAGAAAGAGGGTGGTGATCTCGGCTTGTTGGAGCTTTGGAGTCTTGAGAGGGTGGTGTTGATCAGGAAGCTGATGTTCCCGGCTTAAACGGCGTACTAGCGCGGGTGCGGGGAAGAAAGAGGTTCGCTTGGGGGAACCGAGTCGAAGACCGAGGTGTTGATAACAGGAGTTCACCAAATATCACCGTTCGTCCGTGAGGCTCGGGGCAGCCGGGTTTTTGCGTAGGAGAGAAAGAGGCCCTGGCGCGGATCGTATTTTGGGAACTTGTTGGATTTTTCGCAATTGGTGAGCGAGCACACGAGCAGGCTCGCTACCGTACCTGTCTTTGGTAGAGGAGCTAGTATGCAGGTGAGTGGAATGAAGGAAAGGATGGGCGAATGTGGGGGAAGTCCCGTTTTCCAAAGACAGGGTTTCTTGGCAAAGAGATGGACGATACAAAATGCAGTGGAAGGAAGCTACACGACTCTTTCGGATCACAACAGGAACTTCCTTGAGTGCGAATGCCAGACGGAGGCCGACGATGGTGATGTTGGTGTGTAGATAGGTTGGTTCTTGTTAAGGAAACTACGTAGTTATCTACAGAAACAGCCAACGCCAATGACGGCGGGACGCGGATGCCAATTATGGTTACCAATTATGTCACCTTACTGCGGTGATTGTCCATACCTAGCCCGTGACTCCCGTAGGCAGTGAGTGGATGAACAGCAATTCCGGATGCGCTGGGAGCTGCCTCGAATTTCCTTCCCCTCCGAGTCATGAAGACACAAGAAACAAAGTGTTAGTCTAGGGGCCAGAAAGTGTCCAGATAATCATGTGTTTGCCCAGGTCTCTCAAGTCTCGGGAGTTTTAGACTTCAGACCAAAGACCCCCAGTATGGCCCGTTTTTAACCTTTCCCCAGACAAAGAGATGATAGCTATCAGTCGAGATTCCGTTTCACTGCAGCAAAACAGCGCCAGCGGTCACCACCGCCGCCCGCCAAAAAAGCGGCTGCCCTGGTCGTCGTCGTCCAATTCTAGACCCACCGCGGCCCATAACATCGACCTCATCTCTGGCTTGGCATTTTGACCGACAGCTCCATGGTATGTAACCCAAACCCTTGCCAAGAAAAGTGACCTTTCCAATTCCCTATTCTCGTAGAGCCTGAGCTTTGAGGCATCAGCGACTTGGACACGGCTTTTCCCGGAGCGACGGCAGACGGGAGACTGAGACTGAGAAAAACGCACGGAGCACCCGGAGCTTCTTTCTGTCGGAGTGTTCTAGTTGGACAGTGCGCTTCTACTACTGGCTGAAATGGCTGGCTGACTTTCGCGGGTTTGCTGATTTGCGGGTCGCGGCAATTTGTTAGCTCTCTCCGACCTCCATCTTGAATCTTGACCTTGGTGTTTCCCAAGTGTGTAGAGACCAGACGACAAGAGAGTGTAGACTCCTCACCACCTCGCCTACCTATCACCGACTATCAACCGCCACCCCGGTCGACAATCATCCATCACCATGTCTGCCCCTTCTCTCGTCCAGGCCGTCGCTAAGCGGGGCTGGTTGAACAAGATGCTCAAGCCCGTCTCCAACTGGTACATCAATGCCGCCGGCTACCGTCAGATGGGTCTCCGGTGAGTTTTTGTTGTTTCTTTTATATACCTCGATGGCCAGCAGTCCGGTCCGGGACCCTTGTGACGTAGGCTCTACTTGTATCGAAACCATCGCCCTATGTGTTGCGTCTATCCATCTGTCCCTCATCGGCCCGGTTCTACCTCAATGGCTCGCGCCCTAGCAGCTGTTCCCTCCCTTCCACATCCCCGAGCAGGAGGACCACACCCACCCACCCACCCACCCACCTACCTACCTACCTACCACTCACTATATCATATATAACCGACCAACAACTCATAAACTAACCAACCCTCCCTCCCCAAAACAGCGCCGACGACCTCATCTCCGAAGAGAACGAGACCGTCCTCGCCGCCCTCCAGCGCCTTAGCCCCAAGGAGTCGTACGACCGCATCTACCGCATCCGCCGCGCCACCCAGCTCTCCCTCACCCACAAGCTCCTGCCCAAGAACGAGTGGACCACCCAGGAGGAGGACGTCCCCTACCTCCGCCCCCTGATCGACCAGATCGAGGCCGAGGCCGCCGAGAAGGACGCTCTCGACACCCTGGCTGTCGTCAAGAACTAAACGCGGGACTTATGAAGGTATGAAAGGGGAAGGAAGGATGGGGAAGGATGGGAGGGAAGGTTTTTCCGTTATCCGCGCGCGGTGGGAACTGGACTGGCCGACTTTTCGACGGGAACCGAACCTTTGTTTTGGGGGAGAAGGAACCGAAGAGGGAAAGCCGGGAAAACTGCTACGCTACGCTTAGGATTTGGAAGCCGAAGATACCAAAGCAATAAAGTGGATGCGCTCAAAACAAGAAAAAGAAAACACTTGTCCCCTCGATTTTTCTGGACCCTGGAACTCTTCGACAACTTGCTGCCAATTGCTTCTTGGGAAAAAAAGGGTTGAAGGGGAGAAGGGGAGGGGGGAAGATGGACAGTTTGCGATGCGACGACAATGGGCAACAGCCAGATGTTCTTGTCAATGTGGTTATGTTCGCATTCCCCGGACTCGCGCATATCTTTGAAGTGAAAGGGGGGAAGATGGATGGAGAAAAAGACTACCTATACATTACTTAGAAGAGAGAGAAAAAAAGACAATGGGAATAGACTCTAACCTGGGGTGTCAGACAGAGAGCAGGTAGGAAGGGGGGTAATTTGTTTTTGTTGATGTGGTGTTAAGGTACCTACGTTGAATGAGTGTATGCATAATTCGAGAAGTAGACCAAAGAAACTCCGCTCAATGTCTTTGTATTTCCTAAAGTAAATCCTAGAGGTGCTGAGTGGCGCATGGAGTCAAAAAGACGCGCTTCTTACTTGACGGGTACACACACCATGGATGGGGAGAAGAGAAAGTGAAGAAAGCGAGAGATGATGACGGCCATGACTGGCTGCCTGTGATATGCTCAAGTACCTAGTCCTACTATACTTCAGGTTTATTCATGTCTTAGGATCAGATATTGTGCGTAACTACGCGAACAATCAATTGTGCCTCAAGACAGTTATTGGAAACAGCAGCGGTCGATCGGGAAATCGGGCACGAGAATCATGAGCTGTCTTCTCCCCAAAGGAAACGACTTTCGAAACTTCCGGCTTCCTTTCCGCTCGCAGAGTCTGGAGAAGGTTACGTAGCTATACTATAGCTGTGGACTAAATTACGTACCACGAGGTTGACATAGAGGTTTAAGTGCTCAAGTGTTGAAGTCTTTAAGTGACAAGTCAATATAAGTAAGTGTGAGTAGTGTGATATCTGATGTGTACCAGTCCATCCAACGACAGAGCAGACAGTGTACATACTCTCATGACTACGTTAACCAAAGCTGACCAGGTCTAAGCAGGAAGAAAAAAAAAAAAAAAAAAAAAGTAAGCTATCCTACAACAGAAGAAAGAAAAATAGAAAGAAAGAAAACACCCTCCGCACACCTAAGCAAAACCCCCCTTTTTCTATGGTGAAGCAATGACTGTCTGCCTGTAAACAAAAAGGTACACAGCAAAGTTGTGTAAACAGGAAAACCAGTATAGTATATTATGTCTTAACTTCATTCTCTTCTTTCTCTCTCCGTTTTTTTCCCGTTCGGGGAAACCCAAACCGCCAGCCAACTGTCCAACTAAACCAGGGCAACCAAGAACTCGCTGAGAAGAGGGGGAAAAAAAGGACGTCCGCTATAAGCTGGCTGTCCTCTTATCTCTTCAGCACACGCCTTTTCAAAGCAAGCTCGAGCCTCCAACACAACTTTTTGCTTTATCCATTCATGATGTATACACATGTCCTTCTCTCATCGCTTTTTGAGCCGATAACTCATCATCCTCGTCCTCCTCTTTACATACGTTAACCAAAATGTTTTATTGACTGATTTTGTTATGACCCTTCCTGTATACGTTACTTCGTCTGTTGTGTGCGTTTCCGCTCATTAAGGTGTGGTAGCTGTTGCCGGCTTTCGGACGTTGACGTCAACCTGGGGTTGCCACTTTCGAGCGAGGTAAGGACGGCGGGCGGGCTTTGTGGGAGGGAGGCGGTCGATTGGAAAGCCGGAGTGGAGTAGTGTGACTGGAAGTTATTTGTAAAACGAAGAGAAAAATATCCGAGCCGTCCCGCCGTAAATCCCATAACGCCGGTTTGTCACCACGCTGATGGCGAAGAATTCGATGAATCTTGGTATGTGTGTGTCGTGGGCTTTCGTACAGTATGTAAAGATCGTGTTTCCCCTTCGCCGCCGCGCGATGTTTATCGGGTGTGTGCAGACAGGATGTTGATGCAAAGAGAATCCGGTTACAGACTCTTTATGCGTTACCACCCTTCTCCTCGGTGTCAATGTGCCAAACAACGTAGTTGGGAAGACCGATGACCTGGTAGCCGGCGCGCTTGGCCATCTTGGCGAAGCCCTCGGTCTCGGCCTGGTTCTCGAAAGCGTAGCAGGGGAAGTTGATACCTATGGTTGTTAGCCGAATTTGTCCTCTTTCGAGCGCAGAAAGACGTTGACCTACCAGAACGGTGGACATCGGCCTTGACAAGAATGTTTACGCCACCAATGCCGTCAAGCTCGATCTCGACGTCCTTGTCGTCGCGCCAGTCGCCCATTCTAGCCATGTAAGTGCGGCCAGTGTCGTACTCCTTGTAGCCTGTGAACAACTATGTTAGTCGGGGTCAACTCCCAGGACCTTGGGATATCTGCATACCTTCAGCGAGAACAACATCCTTGTCAAGGCTAGAAGCAAGTCTGCGACCCTTATCAGACTCGACCCAAGAGTTGTAGTCGACTGTAAAGCGGTTAGTGACCTGGAAACTAATTATCAGGCAACGGACCAAAACTCACATCTGCCCTCGATATCGCGGCCGTTCTGGTAGCGGTGGAACCAAATGTCTATCACATGTTAGCTCTATTGTCCCATGTGGGTTCTTTCACGGGAGGTTATTCTTACTGGGAACAAGAATGTCCTTATCGTGGGCAATAAAATCCTCAAGGATCTTCTTGGGGCTGTCAACAATGTCCACGTCTCTCCAGTAAACCCAGGAGTGCTCGGGCTTCAGGGCAGCGGAAAGAAGGTAGTTGCGCGCGCGACCCATGGCCTTGCGACGAGGACCCTGGGCAGCGAACGAGTGGCGCTCCTCAACATTCTGGCTCAGCTTGAAGTCGAAATCCTTCTCGACAACCATGGCGCTGCGGAAGGGGATTTGGTCGGGGCGCTTCTGGATGCGGTCCAGCTCGGAAGCGAGGACAGCAAGAGTGTCATCGGTAGAGTCGCTGACGAGGAAGGCAAGATCGATGAGGTGGTGGGGGTAGGTAAGCTCGGCGATTAGCTCGAAGTACTTGGAGAGATACCTGGAGGCATCCTTGAGAGGGGTGAGGATCAGGATGCGCTCCTCGTTGGCGACGGCCTTGGTGGTGGACTTGACGGGATTAAGGTCGACGTGGCTGATGGTGGACGAGTTGATTTCTAGCGGAGCGTGGTGATTGAAGATAACAGGAGTATGGAGGTGAGCATTCCAAGCTTGTTGCTCGTTAAGCGTCATCTCCATTGGCGGTTTTGAGGGACCCCAGCAGTAGAAACTAAAAGGCAGACGCAAACGTTAGCACACCGATGGCGGAAGTAATGGACAGAACAGCACATGGGATGGCACCAACCTTTGCATCTCGGAGGCGCCTGTGCTGATGCCGCGCCATAGTAATAGCACCACTCCTGTTACGGCAACAAGGAGGAGGAATCGTGTCTTTGTGAGGATAGCCCATAGTGCCCTTGCGGGAGGAAGCTGTGCTCTCGCAGCCTTCCAGCTGACGCCGCCTTTGGGGAGAAGCATTATGAAGAAACGGGGTGGCCCACGGCACCACCCGCTAAACGGTCGAGGAGGATATTAAGTCTAAAAATTGGAGATGGGAGCAGTCTATGTAGCTGCCGGCTAGGTGGACGACGCGATGCGCAGCGGCGGCAATGGTACGGAGGGTTGTTGCGACGTGAAGAGCGGCTGAGAGATGCGGTATCGCCGGGTGTAGCAGCAAAGGAACGATTCGCGTGGGAATTCGTGTGGCGTCGTGGAGAGATTACGGGGTGTCGGTTGGGTGGAAAAGCCCACGTCTCCTGAAGCAGCAGAGCGAAGGCGGTATCTCAGAGAGAGAAGAAGGATCCTACAAGCGAATGTAGCAATGGCTTTCTCGTCGTCGTCGTCGTCAAGAAAGTGTACAAGATAGAAGCAAACAAAGTAACACCGACGCGGTTGAGTCCGCGTATTCTGATGTGTGGTCGGGGTCGGAACTCTCAACTCAGGCGAAAGACGCACGGGAACGGAGACGGGACGGATGGAGGCTGAGAAAGAGAGATTCTACTATACACTACAAGGGAGCTCCTGTTCCCAAAGGTCACTGCCCAGCCCGCCAAATGGTTCCAGAATCTCTTGTCCTCTCAGCGAGAAGGGACACCGCCCGCCCATGCCCGCTCACAGGGGGGGTCTGTCGTTCACCCCGTCGTCCACTTCAACGGGGGGGTCGAACATACCTCGGTCTAGGATAGCCTATCAGGGAGCCCAGATTTGGGGGGTAAAAGACCCGCTTAATTATGTTGCGTAGCACTTTCATCCACTCAGAGCGGTTCTCAAGGGGGGAGAGACTGGCTTCCCTTCCACTTGAGACTGCAGTGGGGAGGAAGGAACACGCAATCCCCCCATTTCCACCATTTTGCTCCATCAACGGTCGCGATCAGCCTGCCGACTGCACATCATGTCCTTGCTATCAAATGGGAAAAGAATTGTTATGCTGTGATGTGGTCAAGAGGGAGGGAGGAGCGCAGGAATTATATGTATTCCGGTCCGACACCTATCATCACCCACCCTCCGAGGCTTGGGTCTGAGGCCCGGACAGCGAGGGCTTTCTTCCACTTCATTCCCTCCACCCTCATCTCGATCCAGAATCTCACCCACGGGTTTGAGCATGTTTTCCCCAGGACAAGGATGGCCAGGATGCCCCTCTAGCTTCACCTCAACCCGGTCGGTGCAATTCCTTCCGCTCCCCGCCGTCCGCTCTGGCCCTTGCCCGCCTTGTCTCGTTGTTTATGCGTAGTGTGGTTTTGGGAGCGGAGCCAATTGCCGTCTTCTAACTACTCCCAAAAGATGCTGCAGCGCCGTAATGACAGCGGACCGGTGGAAATGGATTCGCCAGGTCCGGTCCGTCAATGTCTGAGTCGCCGTTGCAACCCTTTGATATCAACATGGCCCGGGTTTGAAAAAGGGGTAGCACTGCATGTTGACCGGAAGGAAATCCAGACCACAGTCACGAAATGTATTTGAGGTTTCACGTATACAATCATATAACCAGTCACGATCTGGCATGCACACACATTTCGGTTCCAGAACGAGCACAAGCAGATACCTCCATGGCGATCTGGGCTGAGCTGAGCTTCAACCGCCGCACTTGTACCTATGTCACAGAAAGCCAAGGTATGTAGTGTAATCACTATTCGCTGCTCAAGTCTAGACACTTGGCTAGTTTTCAGAGGGCCTCAATACGTAAAAAATCCTCAGAATTTCTGCATCTCTCAGGGGTACTTTGAAGCCACAACTAGCGAAGACGATTAACGAAGAGCCAAGCATTTGGTGGACCCCCTATCGGCTACCACTAGCTAATCTCCAACATCTTTCCCTTTCTTCCCCGGACTTGGTCCCGACCTTTGCACAACTTAGCTCCGTGCCACGTGAGCAGGCGACACCGACGGGCCCGGAACGGCCATGACGTCGATCAAAGACGCGTTGTGAATGCTACACTGCTGCCTGTGTCTGTTATCGTGTATTATAGTGTTACACTTGTGCTTTCGTCTTTGTTTTGGTGATCCCTTCATGACTCGTTGATCCTCGGTTTCGAATTTCCATCTTCTTTCTTTCCAATACCCTCTCTTGGCATGATATTGAGCACCTGTCAAGTCAAACCGAGACTCATACGTCAGGCATTGGGTCGGTGGAGATTGACTCTGGAGTCCTCAGGCTGTCACACACTTACAACTTACCGTGGTCAAGTTGTCGGTCGTCGCACACTCACCACATCTCCCAGTTGCCTTCAATTGACAACACTCACCGTAAAGATGGCAACCCGACGATCTGCCCGGTTGAGTGCTCTGGCCGTAGCTCAGCTCAACGACGCGGCTGCTCCCATACTTCCTCCTCCGGCACCTGCTCCCAAGTCCCGGAAGAGGAAGGCCAGCGTCGAGGACGAGGGCGCGCCAACCACAGAAGAACCACAGCTACCTTCAACTCCCCAGAAACGGAAAGTCTCAAAGAAGGCAGCACCACCACCCGCAACTCCAACACCAGCCGCCGCAGCTCTGCTCTCCTCCCTGGCTGTTCAGAAACCCAAGCCCGCCGCCATCTCCCGCCTAGCCGACCCAAACAAGACCAACGCCCCTTTACTCTCCCCTCAAACCTCACGCGTGGTCTCTTCCAGCCCAATCAAACCCAGAGATATCCAAGATAGCCTCTCCCCATCCAAGCCCAAGGCCCCTGGCGTGGCAACAAAAGACTCCGAGAGCACCACAACAGAAAACATCCTCGAAAAAGCCTGCGCCCACCTCATCGCCATCGACCCACGCATGAAACCTCTCATCGACAAGCACCCCTGCCGCGTCTTCAGTCCCGAGGGACTAGCAGAGCAAATCGACCCGTTTGAAAGTCTCGTGAGCAGTATCATTTCCCAACAGGTAAGCGGCGCGGCAGCCAAGTCGATCAAAGCCAAATTCGTCGCTCTATTCGAAGAAGAAGACGACCCCCCTTCAGATCAGAAAGAAGACAAGGAGAAGAAGACCCAAGAGAACGACCCAACGCCAACAAAACGCCGCTTCCCCACCCCGGCCCACGTCCTAGCCAAGGACCTCCCCACCCTCCGCACCGCCGGCCTCTCCCAGCGCAAAGCCGAGTACATCCACGGCCTCGCCGCCAAATTTGCGTCGGGCGAGTTATCCGCCTCGCTCCTCGCCTCGGCGCCCTACGAGGAGCTCGTCGCCAAACTCGTTGCCGTTCGCGGACTGGGGCTCTGGACCGTCGAGATGTTTGCTTGTTTTGCGCTCAAGAGGATGGATGTCTTTTCGCTGGGCGACTTGGGCGTACAGAGGGGGATGGCGGCGTTTGTGGGGCGGGATGTAAAGAAGCTCAAGAATGGGGGCAACGGAAACGGAAAGGATAAGAAGTGGAAGTATATGAGTGAGGCGGAGATGAGAGAGATAAGTGAGCGGTTTAGGCCGTATAGGAGTTTGTTTATGTGGTATATGTGGAGAGTGGAGGAGACGGATGTTAGTAGTATGGAGTAAGGTGGTTGGGGTCTTGGGGGACTTTCGCTCTGTCCTTGAGGGCCGGCGAGGCGTTGCTGGTACCGTTACCTCTAGTAACCGATGAGACATGATATGTTGACAACTTAACCCCAGGGCATGAACTATCATGGTGTAGACCAGTTCAGAGTCTACAAAGTTACGGACCTCGATCTGATATGACTTACAAAGGAACTCTACCCTAAACTATACAACCAATCACTCCCCACCCCTTCGTCAAAAACACCGATAGATAACATGTGAATAAACGCTACCTCCTCTCCTCCCCTTTTCACTTAAGCCCATGATCCCAACCGGCCTCCTATAACAGTCTCCGTACCACCACCACCTCGCATATCCAAGTATCACCATGCTTGTACCACAAGCCGCAAGCAAGCAAGACAAGGCAAGACTAAACATGCATGACCTGACCGTAAGTACTTCCCTCATAGGCAAATAAAAAGCGATCCTTATCGGGTGTCACAGGTACAGTAGGCATATAGAGGTAGCCAGTGAGTGCACTTCGCCATTTGGAGCTGCAGTCTAGTAGAGCTTGCAACACAAACAACTTCACACAACCTTTTGAAGTTGGTATGGTAAAGAAGTGAAGTGATACTTGAGTTACAGGTCGTCGTCGTCAGCTGGTCTGGGGTTGTGGGACTCGTGAGGAAAGCTGAAAAGTTGTGTGAAGCTAGCTAGGTAGTTGTGTTTGGTGTGTTTGAGAATTTAACACTGGTTTTGGAATGATGGGTGCGTTGAGTGTCATATGAAGTTCTACATTGTTGGCGGCTCTGCTACGCACTATAGGTTCTCGAATTCTTGATTTACTCTACCTATGCATGTATATCCTATTCACTTAAATCACCACAGCGAACTTCTCGGAAGTGGCTTTTGTTTCTCTGGAGCCGCTGCAAGTATAGAACCACCAAATCTTTCTAGTGTAAACTATGCATGACGTCTTTGACATCGAAAAGACAGCTTCTCAGAAAAGAGATGTTGGATCCCACCGACCCGTGCTGCCCGTGCGTGGTAGTGTAAATAACTCAAAACGCGGAACTTGCAGCGATCTTTTCCCCTCCTCCGTCTTGCATGATCTTGATCTTCGTTCCAATAGTGTAGTGTGTGTGTACACTAGGAGAGAGATTGGCCGCCATATATGGACACTAAAGAAATTGATCGCCATCAATGATCAACCTACTAGTACCTCTACACTAGACCTACAAGCATAAGAATAGTATACCCTCGTGGGCCAAGCACCACGACGCGTGGCTATGCTGAGGCTCAGCGTCAAGCTTTCTTTTTCTTAGTTTTTTCTTTTTAATTTCCCCCTTTTTTTTCTTATTTATTTATTTATTTATTTATTTTGCGGGTGGGGGGAGGGTGGACCTGCCCTGTTTGTTTATTCGTTTGGTAAGACTGAGATGACGCGGGACGTTGTTTGGTTCAAAGATGTTTGGAGATGTAATTTCCAATGCAATTGTGGCCGATTTTACTTCTACAGATGTAGTCAAGAAGATGGGATGAAAAGAATAAAAAAAAAGTCCAGATGAACACCTGTGTACAGCTTGTAATATGGAGATAATGCAAGGAAATGTTTGTACCCCCTTTTCTTTTGACTTGACTTGACTTGCATACGCACGAGCAATGCGATGTATATGTAATGTGTGTACATTAGTGTAGATCTTCTGTTTGTATCTGTAAGTGAGGAATGTCGGCTGTAGGAACGGCAACATATCGATGCAACGAAGTATGCAGGTGCTCTGACGACGACATTAATTTATATTACTTGTAACTCCACGGAAGTTGTCTGTTAGTTCACCAAACGATAAGATTTTCAGGTGGATGTTGCCGAGTGAGTTGATTGTTCACTGAGTGAGTAGCCACCCGAGCTTAAATCCGTTTCCCTCTTGTCAAGGCCATCCATGGACATGGAAACAGGTAGGTAAGGTGGCAGGTAGGTTGCACAGCAGCTACAGCAAGCTGAACTTGACCGTCCACAAGACCTCCTGCTGGCCTACCCGTCTCGGGCCTCCCTTTGAGTGAGACTACGACTGAGGGACATGAGGCTCACTAAACCAAAAATTGTGACATGTGCCAACCACCAGTTATACGCTACATCGAAGCAGAAACATGTCTTGGCATCAAGACCCTGGAGGTCGAGGAGTTGGCGGCTCAACGAGTCAGCGAACGGACGATAAGGTACGGACGTTGGAGAGAGTTAAATGGTCTTGATAGATGATCAGCCACGAGGATATCAAGGTTGATTGGGCTGCTGTTGGGAAAGCAAGCTGGGGTACATTATGAGAAAGCAAGGAGCATGATGGTTGCCGTCCCTGTTCCCATCCCGTTACCCGTCTCGTTTCAACACCTGAACGCTGTGACTGTTTTCGTAAGAGAAGGATGCCACCGATCAAGAGCATCATCTTTTTCCATCCTGGTCAAGGCCGAGAGCGCGCGAGCAAGCCCGAGGTTGATCAGTATGAAGCTTGTTCCAAACTTTCTTGGGAATCCACGAGGTTGATTAGAGTTTGGGGAAACAAGCTTTTGACTCGAGTTCAAGCGGCCAGTCTATCCAGGCGAAGGGCGATCTTGCTTGATAGTTCTCCATTTGATTTCTTCATTGGAACTCAATTTTTTAGTTTGAAACAATAGCAGAAGGGTTGTTCTGACATGCGACGCACACACGTCCAAACCGTCAGTCCCGTCTGCTTGTCCGTCACAGGGACATGGCATGACGTCTGTTTGGCGTTCTATCTATGCGATTTGAAGTGATTACCATGAGTTATCTATGCACTGCCGGCACTTGGCAGTACGCTAGTGTGAGTTGCTGCCCGTTCTGCTTGCCTGCTGCGTAAGGCGTAGCGGTAAAGGCATGTATCGCGCATTGTAAGATCGGAGTTTCATGTTCATCGTGAATCCAACATCCGCATCCTTTTTTGGGTTGTTTTGCGATGACGATGAGTGCTGAACAAAGTGTTCCCCGTTGCTGTGGCTTTAGGTCCCGTCGGGGGCGACAATTCGTTGGTATGCGATGAACGACGCTGGACCCCCTTTCCAGGCGTGCCTACGCAGTAAATGGCAGCTGGACACATAACGTATGGGGAGAAGGGCACAGTGTTCCAAACACTTCAGAAACCGCGAACCCCCTGTTTTCTATAATTAGGGGTGTGAACGTAACGAAGAAAAAGGGGCACGCTCGGGGAAATTGGTCCGTGCCAAATTGTTAATTATAACTGATAACGGGCAATAACATTTAGAGAGAGAATTCCAGAACCTAGAAACAACCGAATTGCTTTTTCATGCTGCAAGTTACATCTGTCTGTCTGTCTTGTTGCGTTCCGTCCCGGCCACCCAATACAATGTAACTGAAATCCCGTGGTTGGGGGCACCAACTCTCAGTTCTTGATTGAACGAATGTCCAATGCGTGCTGTGCTGCACAGTGTTAGCGAATGAAAAGTGTCGTTGCAATCGATGCTGCTGAGTGTCAGTGTGCTGATGCATGGAGATCGGATGGGGCCATGACCGATTCCAATCAAAAGCTTCCCCATCGAACATGGTGGGGCGTGTACTGGATGGAGTTGCCGGCTGGTGCAAAGTGGTTGCGTGTGCTGGTGTGAACAAAGTTGAGATTGGCCAATCTTGGGCGCAGGAGGCTCATGCACAGTTTCGTATTGCCCGTCTCTGGCTCGTCTTCCATGTGTGTACATACGCAGTATTTCCGCGACAGACCGGATCAACATCACGTTTCTGCGAGAAACGGTGATCCTGTTGAATGGTTGTGGTTCATAGCCGGGAGCTTTGTTGTTGTTTTTTGTTGTTGTTGGTTTATAAAACAGCACAAGTCCCTTCCCTATGGCCATGATCCAGGTGCGTCACAGGCTCACGGCCAAACATCAACAGACACCAAACACCGCCACGGCTGGTCACAGTGTCGGACGGGCCAAGTGGAAATGGAACCGGGGACGGACATGCCAACGCTGAGAACGGCAAACTTGTGTGTCAACCAACGGATCGCAAATAGTGCAGCAACCCAAGAGAACGGACGTGCCAAACAGGCCGAAACCCGCGCCCAAGTGGCGTTGGCGTCTGTCACAGAATGTTCTTTTGTCCAGCTCCTGTCGTCATGGAAACACTGCCGCCAAAAGCTTGGCATCTTCAATTCTACACTCACACAAGAATGATGATCCTGTCTGCGCCCCATCCCGGCTTCAACCGGCCTTGACTCCGCACACATGCGGCCGCGATGATGCATGCGGTATCCCATTTTCTGGCAGCCATTTCGGCGCCGGCAGTCGCTGACGGGGAAACCGGCGGAATGGCGCGGAGCCTCTTCCTCATCGCCATAACCGATGGTGAAACAACAAATCTCGCCAGCCGGCTATTGCATTTAACTAGCCTCTGTAACTCGGGATCCAGACCTCCTCAACATTCTAAACTCAAAAGTCGGGGAAACGAGGGTCATGATGGATACGGATATAATGGATGATGGAACCAAGTCCAGAGCCGAGATCCTGCTATATTTGTCAACAGGTCCCAAGCGAGTCCCTTATCCATGCTTGCCTTGCCCGTCTTGGGACGTCTCATCAGCCATCATGAAGACTTTTAATGATTTCCACTTTGACGAGGCCGCCGGTTAACTTCAGTTGTTCGCTTCTACTAGGCGGTCACGCGGCGTCACTGGTGGACATGCCGTCCGTCCTGAACTTTGCAAGCCATTTGCAAGCCATTTGCAAGGCTACCTACGTTTGTTCTCGTACGGTTTTTTTGTATAGCGCTTGGAATCACTCAACTCAGCCCAACTAGACTCACTTCGAGACCCCAAAGGCGAGTTGCAACCCGATTCGGGACAGTTAGTGTCCTGGTCAGCTATCTGAGTAAACAATATGTCTCATGGGGCCCTTTGTAGGAAAACCTTACCGGAACATACGCAGTCTTGGCTGAACACGAACACAGACATTTGCCGGTGAAACTCAAACTCCACGACACTGGCAATTCAAGTCTCCAGCCAAGCCCCTGACAACCTACGCAGTACACTGGAGCATTCAGCAAGTCTGAAGAAGCAACGGCACCGAGAATTTCAAGGAAACCGACTCTGACCAGGGCACTGCTGGACCAGTCAAATTGCACTCTGCCTTCCAGGTTCCCTTTGCATTCAGGAGGCTCCACCCAGTAAATGTACCAAGCCGCTGTACAGTGGCATGGTCAAAGCTCGACGCCCGTGGTGTGGCCGCAGCGCTGCCCCTAGTCTGCTCCACCCCTAGCGACCCTCCCTGGCAGGACCGCACCAATGGCCGACGGGGACAGAGACGGCCGGGTATCTTGATAGACCATGACCGATCCACCAGTGGCTGGCACCCCCCCGTGTACAGGGACGAGGTCCAGGGCAAGCAAGGTTGATCGACCCCCTTCTTCGCTGCAGGTTTTCTCTTCCGTCCCGTCTCCTGCTCCTGCTTGCGGTGCCCTTTTTCTCCTCTCCTCGAGCCACAACTGCCTCTCCTTCCCTCCTTCGCGGCCTTCTTCCTTCCATCCTTCTTTCTCCTCATTGCATTCCAGTCCTTCGTTAAAGACTCTTACCATTCTCCCTCTTACCTTTTGAAGGCTCCGCCGAAAGAACGACCATCACCTCGTCGCTCTTGCCCTTTCAACTCGCACACCACCACTCGTTCTCTCTGCACTCGATCGCGTCCCTTCCCACTTTCTTCAGTAGACTTTAATCACAAAGGTATGTTTACTGTCTTTCATTCTACATTGTGAGAACCATCAGCAGTAGCAGCAGCAGCAGCAATTGCGCGAACGCTGTCTTCGACAACATCGCCCGGTCGTGCCAGTCCAAAAACTCGAAACACGAAAACGAAGCCATTAGGAGGATCCAGGAAATCACAGTGACGAGATCCACGATCATCTACCAGACCGCCTACTGCCTTCTCAACTACAGGAACACATGGAAGTCATAAAACAACATGAGATGCTCCTTCCGACACTCCGAATCGCCAGAAACTCTGAGGGACTTGGTTAGGAAGGAATAGGGATCAACTGTCTCTATCAGCGGAGGAACCGACTACCAGGAACCACTCTGCTGCGGTCATTGATTTGGATACACGGCACTTTCGACTGGCCACCTCTTTCGACCCTCTTCAGCTTCCTAGGCCCTGGCTCCAACTCAACCCGATCATACATCTTTTTTGGAACTGGCACGATCCGAGATCAAACTGCTTCTAGACATACTACTGCATTCGCGTTTTCCCCTCCGCCGCATATCACCAATACGCAACACCAACCAACCAGTCTTACCACTTCGACTGCGATAACAGAACCAGTTGTCATTTATCAACTGAATACCATCGCTAACTCTTCTTCATCAGCCCGTCACAATGCTTGTCAAGTACCTCGCTCCCGCCATCGTGGCGATTGGCGCCGCTTCTGGTATGTACACGCTCAACTACTTATGCTGCCATCGCGTATCAGCGGTACGATGACTGACCTTTTTTTCCCCCCCTCTTATAGCCCAGACGGCCACCTCTACCTGCACTGTCAGCGGCGGCACCACCACCATCAACAGCCAGGCCGATGCTACCGGTCTTGCTAAGTGCAAGACTATCAAGGGTTCCGTTGTTGTTACCAAGGAGGTTGCCGGTGACTTCCAGTTGAGCGGTCCTCAGATCATCACTGGCGATCTCAAGATCGAGAACAACCCCAACATTAACAGCGTTGGCTCCGACACCCTCGAGCAGATTGGTGGCGAGTTCAGACTTGTCGAGACCACCCAGCTCAACTCCGTTAACATGCTCAAGCTTAACTCTGTCAGCAAGCTCACCTGGCAGTCCATCGGCAACGTTCCCGACATGGGCATGACCCAGCTCAGCAAGGTCGACGAGATCACCATCTCCGACAGCCATCTCCGCAACATCGATGCCATCAACGTCACCAGCATCAAGAGCATGAACCTTGACAACAACCAGTTCATCACCAAGTATGAGCCCGCTATCAAGGAGATCACTGGCGACCTCACTATCCAGGCCAACGGTCTCGACATGGAGGTCGGCTTCCCCAACCTCATCTGGGCCATGAACATGGCTATCTCGGATGTCTCCAAGATCAGCTTCCCCTCCCTCCAGGTTGTCAACGGCTCTGCCCGCTTCGACAACAACAAGTTCGATAGCTTCAGCTTCCCCAACCTCACCGAGACCAAGACTGGTGATATCTCGTTCGTCGGTAACGAGAACATGCAGAACCTGACCTTCCCCAAGCTCACTCAGGTTGGCGGTGGTCTTCTCGTCGCCAACAACACTGAGCTTGAGGAGATCAACGGTTTCCCCGCTCTCCAGACCGTTGTCGGTGCCATCAAGCTCCGTGGTAACTTCACTGAGTAAGTTCTAATCTGCTGTTTCCCCTTTTCTGAACTGTCACTGACATGATATTTTTCTTACCTGCAGGGTCAAGTTCCCCAAGCTCCAGAGCGTCCGTGGCGCTTTCGATCTCTCCTCCACCAACGATGTCACCGACGACTGCAAGGTTCTCGCCAAGATGGCTCCCAAGACGCAAGGAGGTAACGGTGAGATCGAGGGTACCTTCGACTGCCAGTCCAACAACGAGGAGGCCAACCAGGATACCTCCGGTAAGACCGGCTCTGGTCAGGGTGTCACCGGTGGCAGCTCTGGCAGTGGCTCTGACAAGAAGGACAGCGGTGCTGCTGGTCTCTCCGTCAACGCTGGTCTCTTCCTTGCCGCTGCCGGCGTCCTTGCCCAGCTCCTCCTGTAAAGAACGCTAGGATGACGTGTGAACATAATGGTGTATCGTGGGTCGGAAATGTGGGGGCGTTTTTCTCTCGATTACTACTGCAAATCAGATGGGATTACTAATTGGGCCATCCTGTTGCGCGCACAAATATTCTCTGTTGTTTCTCTCGGCTGAGATGGAAAATTTTGTCGTTTGTTGTTTAGCTTTGCTGCCGCCTGTGTTTTTTTTTTCTGGGCTGCATGGAGCGCACACATCACATGACCCCGTATTTGCAGAAAGAAACCACTACTAGACTTAATAACCTCTCTCACTCTCTCACTCTCTCTCCACCGTCCCTCAACATATCATCATTGGGGGTTAAGTGAGCACAACTCATGCCGCCCTTTTCACCTGTCACTGCATATTTGCATCAGCCACACACTTGGGGGACCGGGCATGGGTTTGGATTAAGGACCCGAGGGAATGTTGATCTCTGATGATGAAACGGGCGATCGTCGGTGAAGTGAGTGGATTATGGATTGTTTCATGATGAAGCACTGAAGTCACCCCACAGGGCTACAACTGCGGTACATGGAGCTCATGGATGGCATGATGGAAATAAGAAAAGAGATGGGATGATCAGCGAAGGCTTGTTTGCCAGCCACCTCATTTACCGTGGACTGAAATGGGAGATGGAAGTATGAGGAGGGTATCAGCGCTCATCGAAAGGTGCTTGTTATCGCGTTTGTTTGGTATTTGTGGTTGTTAGGTCGTTTATCATTGGGCTTTTCGTATTGCAGTCTAGCATTCAGGAAGGCAATTGCATCATCGGCATCTCATTGTTGACTTTCGCTTGCTTTAGGTAGTTTAATTAAGAGTGTTTTGTTCAAGTTGGAAAATTGTGATTTGGATGTGAGTGGTCGAGGAATTGTCGAAGTAAGTCTGACAACCCATGTCGATGGTTGGTACAAGTCAAGAAGCTGCTTGTGTGGTGACTGAGTGACACGGTCCACGATCATCATTCTGTTCAACATCTTCAACAGTGACTTTGCGGCTTCTATGAACCATGTGGGTAGACCTCCCTTGGAAGAGACTTTGCATAGAATTTGTTACAGTCCATACACAACGTGCAGGCGGTGTTGGATAAAACTTCACGTAGATATACTTACCTGTCACCATATCTTCATCAACGAGTATTGTCCCGCATTCTGACATGTAGTTGTGAACTTATGAGGTTCGAGCACACACATAAATATAATGGAAATCTAAACTTGACGTTTCACCTCGTATACCTATAAAAGTAACCTTATAGACCAATACATGTACAACATTCTTTCAGTTCCGAGACCCCATTCACACCCATCTATCCACACCTCTACAGCACTTAACCCACAAACCTACAACTTACTAGTCCTACTCTCCTTCTTCAACATCTCCTCCGCCACAATCCTCCTCTGGATCTTGCCCGTCGCCGTCTTGGGCATCACATCCGTAAAGTAGATCTTCTTGGGCACCTTGAACTTGGCCAGCTTGCTCCCCACCCACTTCTTGAACTCCTCCGCACTGGCCTTCTGTCCAGGCTTCAACACAATCGCCACCGCGACTTCCTGTCCATACATTTCATCCGGGATCGCAAAGCTAACAGCCTCGGAAACGGCCGGGTGGCGCGTCAGGACATTATCCAGCTCAATAGGCGAAATCTTCTCGCCGCCCTTGTTGATCAGCTCCTTGATGCGGCCCGTGATGACAATGTAGCCGTCCTCGTCCTTCTTGCCCTGGTCGCCCGTGCGGAAGTAGCCCCCCCTGCGCGTGAACGAGGACGCGTTGGCTTCGGGGTTGTTGAGGTACCCCTTGGTGACGTTTTCGCCGCGGATGGAGATCTCGCCTTCTTGTCCGTCGGGTAAGATGTTGTCTTTATCGTCGAGAATGACCACTTCCACGCCTTGGCCGAGGCCGACGGTGCCGGGCTTGCGCTTGCCGACGGAGGGAAGCGGGTTGGAAGTCATTTGGTGGGCGGCTTCGGTCATGGCGTAGGCTTCGAGAACAGGGGCCTGGAAGGTCTTTTCGAGGTTGTGGAAGACGGTGGGTGATAAAGGGGAGGAGCAGGAGCGGATGAAGCGGATCTTGGGCAGAGGGTTGGGGACCGGGTGCTTGAGGAGGATTTGGTGGATGGTGGGCACGGCGGTGTACCAGTTTGCTTGGAACTGAGTGAAGTCGGGCCAGAAATCGGTGGCGGAGAATTTGGCGGGGACGATCATGCTGCCGCCTGTCAGGAGGGGGGCCAAAAGGCCGCAGAGCAGGCCGTGGACGTGGAAGAGGGGCATGACGAGCATGGTTCGGTCGGCAGAGGTGAGTTGGTAGGTGTTGCGGATGTTCTTCATGGTGCGCGTCAGGTTGCGGTGCGTGAGCGGGACGACCTTGGGGCGCGAGGTGGTGCCGCTGGTGTGCAGGACCAGGGCGATGTCGTCGGCATCTGGCTTCAACACGGGCTGGGCGCCCTTGCCGGTGAGTTGGCCGAGTTCCTTGACGTCGAGAGCGACTTCGTTTTTGGCGGCGTCCCAGTAGGATTCGGCAATGGCGGCGTTGAACTTTTGCGCGGCCTTAACGGCGGGAGCACCGGCTGCGTAGGCGCCCTTGGGGACGATCACGATGGCGGACTTGACGTCCTCGATGTAGAACTCGAATTCATCTTGCTTGTAGGCCGGGTTGAGAGGGGCGGCGATGCCGCGCTGCCAGGAGGCGGCGAGGAAGGAGACGATGAACTCGTACGAGTTGACGGTGGCGATGGAGACCGGAGAGCCCTTGGTGATACCAATGTCTGCCAGCTTCTTCTGGAACGAAGCGGTTTCACGCTTCAGGTCCGCGTAGGTGACTGTGAGCGCCTGCGGCTTGGAGGGGATGATGACGGCCACATCGTTGTCGGCGCCCTGGATGGCGGCCTGGAGGTCAAATGGGCAAGGCATGACGTTGATTTTTCTGTTCTTTTCCAATTGATAGTATGAAATGGAACTCTGTGACCTTTATGGTGTGGTATTACAGAAATTTCTCTTGGTGTGGTTCGGAAGATGTTGATGGCGTCGTGTGATGACTGATCCAATGACACTAGTCTCGTACAAGGACAGTCCGCTTTGGGCAAAGACGCTTCGTGTAAGTGAGTCCGTCACTGGGAATAGCTTCACGAACAAGATAGAAGGAGTAAACAAAGTAACAACTTATTCAATTGGAAACTCAAAAAGATCTGAGTAAACAGAATTACAATGAACGCCGACGACGGAGGCGAGTTTGGAACACCATTGACACTCACCCCGGTCCAAGACCGATGATGCCATTCAATGCCTCCCATTCCGCGTTCGGCAGTAGGCCGGCAATCGGTAACCTTCATGGGCCCACAGGAGACCACTAGCACAGCTGTCTAGAAGCGGGGAAATAAGGGGCTAATACGTCGGGTTAGGGTTATACTTGCGTTTGCACGCACCTTTGAATGTGTTTGTCTGCCGCTTTGTCAAAGGGCGGCGTCTCATCATCACCTGTTTTTGCTGCTTCCGAAGCGGAGAGGACGACACCCTCTTACACCGTAGTCTCACTCACATCTAGGCTTGTTCAACCTGGACAAGTCATATAGCCACGCCATTCGTAGGGTGTCACGAGGTTCGAACAAAGTTCTGGGCCAGTCTATAAAGTTATACAGAGCGCTAACCCTTCTTTTTAGTATTTTCATCCCAAACCCTTCTTTTACCCTGTTTGTGAAGAGTCGAAACCTCTCTTCAACGACACTTGACAATTCTACCTCGCCAAACTTGACTCCTACCATAACAAAACCACAAACCACCTCTACCAAAGTAAACAAAACCATCACCATGGCCCCCTCCCCCTCCCGCCTCACCGGGGCATTCACCACCCTCAAGGACACCATCCTCGCCCTCATCGACCCGTGGATCTTCCTATCCCTCTCCGCCTCCTACCTACCCACAACCATCCTCTCTCTCCTGCGGCAACGGCGCTTCCTCGCCCTTCTCGGCGGTCCTCTACTCTCCTCTGAATTCCAATCCGTCTGGTTCGGCCACTTCTGGTCCCGCGCCGGTCCCCAAGTGCGCAGCAACGCCGAAGCGAACGTCGTGCCCCTGCTAGAAGGCAGAGTATCCAAAGGGCAAGTTGTTCCCAAGAGCGAAGCGCACGCGCCCGGAGTCGGAGGAGTCGTGCTGGAGATTGGACCGGGGAGTGGCATGTGGGTTAGCTTGTTTAGTGATGACAAGTATCTAAAGGATGAGGAGAAGGAGGAGCAAGGAGGGGAAGATGATGCCGAGGAGGAAGGACTGTCGGCTAGTTGGGCGACGATAACGCCTTCTTCTGAGCAGCAACAGCAACAACAACAACAACAACAACAAAAGCAGGCGACGAAAAAAGTGGTGGGAAGTCGCCAGAGGATAACGCAGGTGTACGGCATCGAGCCCAATTATGGCATTCACCCGCTGCTTCAACATAACATTGCGCAGGCAGGGCTGTCGCAGACGTACACCATCCTTCCCTTTGGCATCGAGGATATCGAACGCTATGCGCCTCAGATCCAGCCTGAATCTTTGGATTGCATCGTCTCCATCCTCTGCCTTTGCAGTATTCCGGAGCCTCAAAAGAACATTGCCATCCTGTACCGCTATCTCAAGCCGGGCGGCCGTTGGTTCGTCTACGAACACGTTAAGTGCTGCTCTAGCAAGCCGGGCGGTTGGTTCATGAATGTCTACCAGGCCTTTGTCAACCTCTTCTGGCCAATCTGCCTCGGCGGATGCCAGCTTCGTCGCGATACTGGCCGCTATCTGAAAGAGGCTGGACCGTGGACAGACGTCGACTTGGCTCAGCCGCCTAAGGAACAGTGGCACCACACCGTGCCCCATATCTATGGCATCTTGACAAAATAAGTAGAAGCGCTACGGTCACGGAGTCCAGAAATCATCACTGCACCAAGTCACCACCGAGTCATTAGCGAGGTCAGGGTGTCGCATACATGATCGTTGAGGCAACCTTTCAGGCTCGAGATATGTAGCACCTGACTAGAACTACCTAAAGACTGTCTCTAGTACCTATCTCACCATGATCATATCCCGTGCTGAAAATCCTCCAAGTGTTCGAGAATCAACCGCCCCAGCAATCGATGGTACTCATGTTTCCATCGTCCAATCAACATGGTGTCCTGAAATAACATTTCAACCTGGTTCCCCTGAGAAAGCACGTAGAACTGTCCGAAATATTATGGCAGATCTTTGTTTCCGAGCGCCATGGTATGGAAGATATCTTCGTTTTCTGCAACTCTCCATGGTTGGAACAAATCCAATTCTCAGATGAGCGGCGCAGAAGGGGGAGCCTTGATGAGCTTACCAGTCTCCACCAGCAGCCACGACAGAGGACTCCCAGCCACCGCCACCAGCTTGGTGATCGAAACCGCCATTGTCAAAGCCCGCGTTGTCAAAACCCGCCTTGTCGAAACCCGCATTATCGAAGCTGGGTGCGGCATCCTCGTCAACGAGCGGGTTGGGGCACTTGGACTTGTAGTGTCCCATCTGTTGACAGTTGGAACATTTAACGCGGGTGACTAGGATTCCAGTTAGTGATCTGGCTACATAGCTTCTATCATAGCATACTCACTATCACGAGGCTTAGGACACTCTTTGCTGAAATGACCGAATTCATCGCAGTTGCGGCACTGGACGTTGTCCATGTTCTTGGGCTCGGTGCACTCTTTCGCCATGTGGCCCTCCTGGCCGCAGTTGCGACAGCCGCGAGGACCACCACCCTGAGGGCAGTCCTTGCTGAAATGACCCACTGGCAAGAGGTGTTAGCCATCATATACGCTTGGGGGACGGGTTATACTACTCACTCTCGTTGCACTTGCGACACTCAACACCCTCAGCGGAGCGCGGCTCGGTGCCTGCACAACTTGTCAGCATTACTCGGTCTCGATACTTGATCACGGACTGGCTCTTACAATCAGATGCTCTGTGACCACTCTGTCCGCAGTTCTTGCAGGCAAACTTGTCCACGCGAGGAATGGGGCCTATACAACGTTAGACTGAATCTTACTCCGCGGTAGAAGGGGGAGCTTACAGTCGCGGATACGGTGGCCGACTTCCTCACAGTTGAAGCACTTGATGACAAGCTCCTCCTTCTCCGCACCCTCCTCAGGGCAGCTCTTCCGAATGTGCCCCAACTCGCCGCAGTTGCCGCACTTGGGTATGCCGCGAGAGACAACCTCACCGGCGTCCTGCAGACGCTCAAGATTCTCGGCAACATCGGCCGGCCACAGGTCGCGGTCGCGAGGGCGGGGAGGGTTCCACTGGAACCGGTAGGTGACAGTGTACTTCTTGTTGAGGCCGCCCTGCAAGTCCATGTTGGTCATGGTGGTCATGACGGGCCTCTCAATGGCAATCAGCCACAGGTTGACATCCTGGGCACGAAGGGCCTCCTCCAGCTGCACATAAGTCGTCTCAGGGCTGGCCTTGAGGTAAATCTGGATGGCCTCTTTGACCTCAGTGACCTCCTTCTCCTTCGCAGCCTCGACAATCATGCTCCAGGCCTCCTCGACGGTCTTGTCGGGCAAGTGGCTGCGGTCGATAGCGCGAGCTGCCTCACACTTGGCGATAGTGTGGCCTGGCAAAGTCATTAAATGGTGTCCAAGAGTACGGGGGGAACATAGGTCTTACCTTTCTCGCCACAATTCTTGCAGGACCTCTCCGGGCAGTCCTTGACGACGTGGTCGGGCGAGTCACACTCGCGGCAGGTCATAGCCGGAGCGTTAGGACACTCGCGGGCATAGTGTCCCTCCTCGTTGCAACGGTGACAAGCACCGTTAGGCTCCTGATGGCCAGTGCCATCGGCAGCAGCAAAGTCGTTAACGGGGTTGTCGGAACCATGGTTATCGAAGCCATCGTTGTCAGCGAAGGCAGGGCCTTCACCCGCACCCCAAGCAGCGTCATTTGTCTCCCAAGTGGCCATGTTGATCACGGCTTTGCGGTGGGGTCTTTGGGATTACTGGAAAGCAGATGGAGCGTTGCGCTGCGTGGAAGGAGGGGATGTTAGCTGTGCATCGAGGGTGAGTCAAACGTGAGATGAAGTCGCGTTGTTGATGGGTGGAAGCTGTGAGTGAGAAGGGGCCTCAACAGACAAACGTGGGACGGGCGTGGATGGGGCTGCGGAAACGAAACACAGTGACCAAGCTGAGGTGGAAGTGAGGGAAAAAGCGAGATACCAAAGACGAGGCTCGCGATGGCCACAAGATGCGATACAGACGGGAAAACGATGGAATATAAAAGGCGGTGGCACTTACGCGGCGCTTGTTGATTGAGAGAGATCCTGTGAGCTCCCTCTTGTCAAAGTCAACGGAAGGTAGTATGAGTCCTGATGCGAGTGCGTCGGCAAGTGGGATGCTGATGGAGTGGGAGGAAGGGCTGGAGGAGGAGAGAAAGGGCGGGAGAGGAAGAAAAAGGAAGAAGAGGGAAGAAGGAAGAAGAGGGGGGGACTTGCGTGAAAGATGCCCGGTCCAAGTGGCAGGCAACTTGAAGAAATCTGTTGTGGGAGGAGTGGCCTCGTGCCGGGTTTGAGTCTGAGGTGACAGCTCTGTCTGATTTGAGCCTCACCGCGGCAGGCTCCCAAAGATTGAACGTCAAGGCAAAAACTGGAAGGCACTATGAAAACGACACGGGCACGGGCACGGGTACTGGCACAATGGGGGCCCGGGTCTTTGAATAAGCAGAGGCAGGTGCGTAGGATAAGAACTCACCCGTCAAACGTCATCAAGGAAGGAAGTAAGTCTTTGAGCTCCAAGGCAGGCACTCGGTGACGACCTTTTTGTTTGCGCGTGGCTACCTCTAGGTACCTACCTCTAAGTACCAACGGAAAAAGTGCGTTCATCTCAATTCGACTTGGGACTGAGTGTAGGTATGTACTACGGTAGGTACCTCTGGAAAGCGGGACGAGAGTCAGTTGAGACTGGCCGGAGTGCTCATTCTCTCACCGTTGCGTCTTCTAGTGGAAGTTCTCACCCAGCGGACCATATGGATGCTACAATGGAAACAAATACAAGTAAAAGTCATTGTCCCCCAATTCACGCTCCTCCAATGAAGAATGCTTCTGCTGTTTCATTTGCCTTCTATTCAACGCAGAAACACCAAGATATTGAGACCATCCATCGTTACGCTCCAGGCTTACATCAGTCCAACCTGTGCCATTAGTTTTCCCTGTCTCTTATACTGGGCTTCTTTCAACGCACTTCCAGCTGAGATGGACAATCAATCTCCACCATCTTCCTCGGCCGCCACGTCACATCAGCCGCTACAGTACGGCCATGTCATTGAAATAATGCCGATTGTATGTGATCAATGTCGGCCTCTGGGCAACAACAATTGCAACCGCCAGTATCCGTATTGCTTTCATTGCGACAAAAAAGGACAAGGTAGGCTAGTGCAATTTCCTTTTTATGTCTCTTGTTATAAGCTTCTAGCCAAGCTTGCTGACACATTCCACAGTCTGTTCCTATACACAGAAGGTGATGGATGCGTGTAGGCCGTGTAGGTTTAATATGGGGTTAGGCACTCTACAAAACTGCGACCGCAAAGTGCCACGATGCACAATGTGTGAGTTTGAGGGGCTAGGTAAGCTACCGTATCCTTCGAATCCGTATCCTGCAATTCTGTCCTGTTGACGAAACCCTTCCACTTAGCGTGTTACAGCCTTGATACCGACAATATTGAGTACAATACGAAATGCAACCAGTGCAGGGCCCGGAATCACAAGTGTGTTGCGCGTCAAAATGCAGAGCCGTGCGAGTTTTGCAAGAGTGAGAGACTACGTAAGTCGACATCAACACCACTGACTCTTGTCCGTGTCCAGGCTTCCTCTGGCCTACATTAACAAATACTCTAGTTTGCACCTACGTGAAGGCCAGGCGCTCAGTCCCGGAATGAAACCAGCTTGAGCGGTCCATTGGATGATGAGATCTGGCAATCCAACAAAACGGTCGTTGGAAGGCAGAAGCTAGCAACCGCGAATAGTTTTATGAGGTTGGCTTGGTGGGATCATGAGGCGGAGGTCGGTACATTGAACTGTACTTGGAAGTTTCTATGAGCTCTGTTTGCTCCATTTTTTTGCTTTCCCGCAGAAGAAATGCGGTCTATTATACCCATACTCCTCCAGTTATCATTTACGGATACTGGGCCTAGGAGATGGGAGCTTTGTTTTACAGAATTAGTATCCTTTCAACCACGAAGTGGAACTTATAACACATATGTCTTGACATCCCCCATGGTGTAGTTTCAGTTGTTGCCCGTTGAATACATGCATGCATCTGCAAAATTACCCAAAAGTGAAGCAAATGGAATTCGAAAGATGACAAGTGAATCGTCTACAATTCAGACCATTAAAGTATCACTCCTCCGACTAGGCATCTCTTCTGCTCTAGCGGCCTGCTATAAACGACTGAATTGCTGAAAGCGCTGACTGAAGGAACAAAAAACCGGGGCCGTTCGAACCGTTGCTAGCTGCCTGCTATTTTTCATCCTTTTGATCATGGACCGGGATGAAAGCGGAGATACAGCCAAACGAGTTTTGGACACTACTAAGCCATTGTGTTCCAAGAGGGCATTCATTGTGGTTTTCTTCCGTCGTCAGGTGTCATTCTATCGTTTATATATACAAGTAGCTACATACACAAATTGGTACGCTACCTGGCTATCTTTCCATTCATGTGCTGTTAAGTAGTAGGTTTTTTTCTTGACTTTCGAAGTATAAAAATCCTTATTTGAAGTTGTTACCCCTTTCTTCCTTTTTCACATGGAAAGAAGAAAGACTGTATCAAGAGCAAACAAATCAGGCCAACACAACTCAAACGGATATTGTGGTTCATGTCACTGGGCTCCTTTTTTCTTAGATTCTGTAAAAAAAAAGACTGCGTTACAAAACCCATACTAAACGAACTTTTCAGTGGGATATCCCGTCAACTTGCGTTCAATATGCATCAACGTATATATCCAATGGCCTAATTGGTATTTTCTTAAGTTCACTCTAAACCAAGGATTATACATTTTGAGACAAGGAAATGTTAGAGACAGGACCAAAAAAACACAACCAAGCTAAACCAAAATGAATGAGTACTGAAACAAGATATCAAGGAAAGAGGGATATTTTATGCGTCCTTCATCTCGGTATCATCCTTTTCCTTCTCCTTCTCCTTCTTCTCTTCTATCTTTTCGTCCTTCTTCTCGTCCTTCTTTTCCTCCTCAGCCTCCTTGTCCTCCTTCTTATCCTCGGCCTTGTCGTCATCAGACTTCTTCTCCTCGGTCTTCTTCTCGTCCTTCTTCTCGCCGTTTGTTGTATCCTCCTTCTTCTCCTCGTCGGTGGCGGCATCCTTCTTTTCCGCCTTCTTCTCGTCGTCGTCCTTGGTCTCGGAGTCCTTGTCCTGCTCCTCCTTCTTCTCTTCGGCCTTGGTCTTGTCCTTCTCATCCTTCTTTTCATCCTTTTTCTCTGCGGCCTCGGTCTCATCCTTTTCATCCTTCTTTTCATCCTTTTTCTCTGCGGCTTCGGTCTCGTCCTGTTCATCCTTCTTCTCCTCACTTTCCTTCGCCTCAGCCTTCTCCTCACTTTCCTTGGCCTCAGCCTTATCCTCCTTCTTTTCCTCACCTTCCTCCTTAGGCTCGTCCTTTTCGGCCTTCTCTTCCTCCTCGCCTTCCTTCTTCTCACCCTCCTCCGCCTCCTCCTCCTCCTCCTCCTTCTCAGTCTTGCCCTCCTCCCCCATCTCACTCACTACCCTCTCCACCACCTTGACCGTCGCCTCGGGGCCACCGGCCTCAGCAGCTAGGACTTTGCCTTGCTTGTCCACGACAAAGACGCCGCGGGTGGTGCCCTTGGGAGCCTTCTTGAGGCCGATGGCGCCAATCAAGGCGTACGAGGGGTCGCACAGCAAGGGGTAAGGGAGCTTCTGCTTCTCCTTGAAGGTGGTGTTGGCCTTTGGAGAGTCAGAGGATAGACCGTAAATGGAGAGGCCGGTGGCGGAGGAGAGGGCGGTGTACGAGTCGCGGAAGAGACAGACTTGCCGCGTGCCTTTTTTTTGGGTTGTCGTCATTGTTAGTTATTGGTTCTTCTCTCTCTTGTGGTGGTGGTGGTGGTGGTTTTGCGGGTTTCTTTTCTGGACGAATCCAATGATAATTGGTGCCGAGGAAATGATGGTGATTGGACAGGGAGGGGCATTGGGAACGCGTGTAAGTGGGTTATGTATAACGCCGGAGAGTTATACCGCCCGCCCGCTTAGGAAAAAAAAGATACAAGACATGGCTAACGCAGCATGCATCACAAAGGGGTGGGTGTTGGCTGGATGACGAATTGACAAATGGGAGTTGATTGAACATGAAGCCAATGAAATGAGAGGTTGCGCGGTGTGTGACGTGAGCGAATGGGAAAGCTTTCTTGAGCTATCCTATCCGAGCTCTTTGTGAAGCGCAAACATTGCAAAACTCATGTCTTTCATGATGTCAAAGTGTACAAAAGCAGCGGAGAAGTGGATAACTTACAGCCAGGAGTAGAAGCCTTGGGATAAGTAAACAACACCACACCAGCCTTGCTCTCCTCAACGAGCTTCTTCAAGCTGGTCTTGGTGCCGTCATTGGTCTCAACCTCACCGCCAAAGTTGTCCAGGTCGATGAGATCGCCGACCTTGGGGTTGCCGGCCAGAGCCGTAGCCACCTTCGCCGCGCCGTTGGCAACGGCTTCGGCAGCCGTCTGGGCAGCGGCGGTAGCGGTCTCGGTGGCGACCTCAGCGGCCTTGGAAGCGGTTTCGGCAGCCTTGGAGGCGACGTCCTCGACTTGTTCCTTGGCCTTGGCGGCGGCCTTGGTGGCTTTGGTGGCCCGCTTCTTCACCGGCGCGGGAGGCGGAGGCGGGGCCTTGCGCTTGCGAAGCTCAACGGGCATGGTGACGGTTGTCTTTGTGGAGTTTGCGCGGGTGAAGGTTGGAAATGGGAGCTTACACGCGCGTGTAAGAGAAAGGGGACAAATAGCTGTAGAGAGCTGATGGTTGTGTAAGTGGTGCGGTCGCCGGATGTATGCGACCAAGATACGGTTGAGAGTTGATGAGAGAATGGTGAAAGAAGGTGAGATGAATGGGAGAGAGAATAAAGAGAAAAGGAAGAAAAGATGGAAGAAAAGAGGTGTCGTTGTAAACAGGACAGGACGTTGAAGGTGGTTGCGCAAAGCTCCGACCAATCAGGAAGCACACGCGGTGAAGCTCGAGCGAGGAGCGGGCTCGAGAGCAGAGGAGCAGACGGGAGGCACTTCGGTTGGCAGTGTGCCTGTCTGTGTCTGTACCTGCACCTGTACTGTCTCTAGTCGCTCTGTGGGCACAAAAGAGAAGAGAGCATAGAAACAGGAAAAGAGGGTCTGGATGGAGGATGATCGCGTAACACGTCTAGCTAGGGGTGACTTGAGACACCGGGATAGTCTAAGTTGGCTGGCAGGTATAGCTCCAACAGCTGGGGTATAGCATCCAGTGAGTACATGGAACTCGGATGCCACACTGACATAACGGATGGCGTACGTACAGTTCCCGTCGTTATTTGCACACTCTGGGGCAACGTATGGTGGGTGAGTGGATTACTAAGTTGGGGTTCCTCTCTCTGGAGATAGAACATACATTATCAGTTCTCTTGTGTAGTGTAATTACATCTCGTACCCTTTAAACTTTACAGTCTAGTCAACGTGTTGTGTACAGCATTTGATGAGGCAAGGCTCTCATCTCAGCACTCCCAAATCCTTAGGTCATGTGGACTGACGCCATGTCGTAACCCGCAAAGGGAAGAGTGGGAGGGGCCAGGAAAGGGGAGCCGAACTGGATCCGGGGTCCCGAACTTGTTCTCGTGCTTCTCTTCTCTTTTCTGGAACGACGCGGCCGGCGGCAGTGTGGATGTTGTTGGTGGATGCCGTTCGTTGAACCAGAGACAGACAAGACACAAAGAATGGCCCGTGCGTCCCTGGACCAACGTCAACGTTGTCGCACATCAGGATGACAGCCGCCAGAGCTGTTCCTGTCACCTGCCTGTCAGCCCAAGCTCCCGTTTGGCAACTCGAGAGAGCATCACGAACTCCATCATCCTTGGTGGTTCCCGTCCCTCGGAATCCACACCTCGTCGTCGTTCACTTACACCACGATAACAAACGGGTTCTACAGCCGCCACCATGGCTTCCAAAGTCGTCACCGGCGTGGTCAAGACCACCGCAGGCGGCGTTGTGCCCGTCAGCCAGGTGAGTCCTCCAATTTCGCAATTCCAATCGCATTTTCACAATCAACACACCTTCCACTTTGAGAGGTTGCGCTACGATATCCAAAGTCCCCGACCCGACTCATGTCCCTACAGTAACCTACCTACCTAACCCCCCGTCTCCACTAGTAGTGATAGTTACATACCACTAACACCTACCCTTTGCCCACCCCCTCCAGAAATACACTGTCCAATCCGTCGGCGTCTGGGAGCGCATCCGCCGCGCCTTCGCTATCGACCCTAACCGCTCCAACGGCGTTCCCTTGGTCCCCTACAACCGCAATCCGTCCCCCGGCTCTCTCGACCCCTTGGCCTACGATGATCCCGTCACCATTCCGGCCGGCGACATCGCCGACAACCCGTACTGGAAGCGCGACGCTCGGCGCAACTACCCGCGCCTGAGCGTGGTGGGCCAGGCCGAGGCTGTTGCCTTGCTCAGTGTTGGCAGCGCGAGCCACCCCCGTGTCGAGCTGGTGGGCGAGAACGGGAGCAAGCAGCTGGTTGCGGCGCAGGAGGCTGGCAAGACGGGTGGTTTGGCCAAGTACTTTGAGGGAACCGGTGTGGAGGCTGGTAAGCTTGTGTTGGCGGAGACGGGAGGTCTGCCGCCGTTGCCCAGTGGTGAGAAGCTGGGGGAGGGCGGCAAGTGGGATGTTTACAAGTATCAGTTGGCTGAGGAGCCTTCTTATTCTGAGGCGTGAGTATCTTTTTCCTGGAAAAGTGTGTTTGGATTGGAAGAGGAACGGTGCTAACTCTGGTGATATAGCTATCCTTGCAGGTCGTTCTCTTAAGTGGAAGAAGAGTGAGATGAGCTTGTGAGCAGGACACATGGGCTAAAAGGGACCACAGAACCTTTGATGGAGGGATAACTACAGACAGAACAAGAGCACAGAGACCAGATACGTTCGGGCTGGTGTACATAGCAGGCAAGCAGGCAAGCAAGCGGTAGACGGAACGTATAGACTTTGCTTAGATTATGGCATTCGACGTCCAAAGGGGAATACGGTTTTTGAGAGTAACTGACGTTTGGGCCATGACCCAAATATGAGATTTGGCATATCTGACCCTCCAGCACTTTGTATTCTGCCCCGATTTGATATTTCCCATCCTCAGAACTTCCACGTCTATGGCCCCAAGTCCCGACACCACATCCTCAGCATCTCAAACCTTTCTCTTCCCCCTATATGGCCTCATTCGCCTCCCAGTTCCTTATTCCCCCCCCTGCCTACCAAAAACCCAGCTCAATCATTATTCTAAACCTCATTCCCAATCCTCCCCAAATCCACACCCGCAATCGGCGTCCCCGTTCCTGCTCCAGCCCCAGTCCCAGAACTCTCACCAGGCCCCCCAACCACCGCCGCCGCCGCCGCCGCCGCCGCCGCCGGAGGATTCGGATTCGCCTTCTTCCTCTCCGACGACACCACCTCCCCCACCATCCTCTCCACAATCTTGGCTTTTCCCTGCGCCCTCTTCAGTCGATCATCAAAATCATTCACTGCCTCGTCCGTGTTTTCTTTCGCTAGCGTGTCGGTCTCGACCAGCGCAAAGAGGGTAGTGATGTGTTTTTCTAGACGGGCGTGGTTTGGCAAGAGGCGTAGCTCTTCTTTCTTTTCTTTCCTTTCGGGTTTGTTGATGTTGGGGCCCAGGGTGAGGTTTTCTAGGGTATCTTCTATTTTTTGACGTTCACTCTGGCTCTGACTCTGACTCTGACTCTGACTCTGCTCCTCCTGGCTCGGACTCTGCTCCTCCTGACTCAAACTCTGACTTAAACTGTGAGGAGGTTGTTCTTGTTGTCGACCGGCTCGCGGTGACTGTTGCTGCTGAAGGAGGAGATGATGACGGCGTACGTCCTGCTTGGACGGTAACCGATTCGCCCAGACAATGGCTCGGCCATGCAACCGGCCGCTCTGGACAAACTTCTGGAACCCCTTTTCCAAGCCGAGCTGGCGGCCTTCGGTGCGGCCGGCCTTGGCGCCGTCGGAGACGCCTTGGGCGTAGCCTTGTTGGTAGAAATCTTCTTCGAGGTTGAGGAGGGAGTTTTCAAAGTCGAAGGGGTCATCGACGGTTGCTGGTGGTTGGCGGGTGTGGGATGCTGACATTTTTGATGAATGGGTGTTGATATGTGTGGTTTGATTTGTATGTGGTAGGTGATACTGAGTTCGTAGATGCGGTATACACACGCGTTTGACTGAGAAGCTTTTAACTGCAGTGGTTGGTTGATGTATGAATGGTTGTTGACGATATGGTGATGAAGGAACAATGAGAAGTTTTAGTGGGGTTGAATGAGAATGGTGGGGCGAAATTTGGTAACTCTGGCTTTGTAAGCTGTGGTCTGTGAGAAGTCCGACCGAGATATGGAAGACATGATTTCACCTGGAAAGGACCTCAACGTGTTGATTGCTTTCACTGTCAAGTCAAGTTCGAATCAGATATTTGTCATTCTGTTTTCATTGCTTTGATACAACTGTGCGTGAGTTCTTGAGTACTGATCACCAGTAGCTACCAAATGTAGTTGCAAGTAAACAAACCCCTAATCACCAACGGAAGTTTCCCAAAAACGCTCCAAACGCCATGTCCCCATATGCCATTCGCTTTTGAGACAAACAAAACAGACTTCCAACCACTCACTATCATTTCTACCCATCAGTATTTCCTCTCCTTAGGCAACTTTTTGACCGTCATACTCTCCACATCCTTAGCATCATAATAATGCCCACCAAACTCCGTCAACCACTTCGGGTCAATCGGAATCACACTCCTCACAAACTCCTTCGTCGTCACCACCAGCTCATGATAAATGATAACCTTTGGTGGTGGGTCCATCCCCTTGACCACCGAGCTCGGGTGTACATACACCGTCATGTTATTCTTCAGCGTCCTGTATCCATCTCCGCCTCGATTTAGCCTGGCGGCATTGAGGAAGAAGGCTGCTGTGAGCGCCCGTAGGATGGGCTGCATGTTGGAGACTCCGCCACAGGTAGATGTGGACCCTTCCAAGACGCGATCGCACAGCTTGGCGAGCTGGTCGCGCACGTCACGAGCGCGGGTGAGCGAACGCTGGGTGAGGAAGTTCTCCTTGGCCCAGATGGGGGAGTAATCGGCGTCGACCCACTGGTTGTAGACATTCAAGAGCGTCAAGTGGTCGCCGCCGTCCTTGACAGTGAAGCGGGCGCGCGCGCTATCGGCGTGCACCTTCTTGTCCTTGGGGCGGAAGAACAGAGTGGCTACTTCGCCGAGCATGGACACAATGGTGAGCATCTCGTCGACGCAGCCCTCGGCCGTGGCAGCGATGAGCGCCTTGGCTAGCATCGGTTCGGCGGGGAATTCGCCCATTTGCCGGCCGACGCGGGTAAGTTGGCCGGCGGAGTTGAGGGCTCCCAAGGCGTAGAGCATGTTGAGGGACTTGATGAGGAGTTCGGTTGGTGGGGGGTCAAGGAAGTCAAAACTCAAAAGATCTTCGATACCGAGCGCTTTGAGTTGGAGGACAACGCTCGATAACGAAGTTCGTTGGATTTCGGGTGTCGGTGACTCGTCCATTTCAGAGAGGTAAGCAAATTTGGTATACAGACGGAAGCATTTTCCTGGACGGACACGACCGGCACGACCCATACGCTGGTTCGCAGCCGCTCGTGAGCACGGCACAACGGCGAGCGTGGACTGCCCTGTTGTGCCGACGGGACTGAAGGTGTTCTCCTTGACGTAGCCGCAGTCGATGACATAGACGATACCGTCAATGGTAAGGGATGTTTCAGCAATGTTGGTCGAGAAGACCACCTTTCTAGCCCCTGGTGGTGTCGGCTCAAAGATCTTGGCCTGAAGCTCCGAGGGCATGTTGGCGTAGATGGGTAGAGGTATAATTTCGGGTACTCGACCCCCCAGTTTCTTTTTGATCTCTTCTACTCGCTCGCACGCCTTGTCAATCTCCTCTTGACCAGTGAGGAACACTAGGATACCGCCCTCTGGCTGTGTAGCATGGATCTGGAACACTGTCACCAAACTGGCTTCTAGGTAGTTACTCTCTGGTGCTGAAGTGTAGTATACGTCGACCGGATGGACACGACCGGGCACGTTGAAGATGGGCGCATCATCAAAGTACGTGCTGAACTTCTCGGCGTTAAGTGTCGCAGAAGAAATGATGAGCTTCAAATCCGGCCTCGCCCTAGTGAGATCCTTGATGAGAGCTAGTAGAATATCGGTATGGACTGTTCTCTCGTGGGCTTCGTCGATCATGATGGCCGAGTAACCCTCCAGTGTTGGCGACGTAACCATTTCTCTCAGAAGCATACCATCCGTCATATATTTGAGAATGGTCTTGTCGCTTGTACAGTCCTCGAAACGGATCGAGTAACCGACTTCCCTTCCAACCTTGACTCCCATTTCATCAGCCACACGAGCGGCAACACTCATGGCAGCAACACGACGCGGCTGGGTGCAGGCAACCTTCATGCCGCCCTCAGTATATCCAGCCTCGTGGAGATATTGGGGGATTTGTGTTGTCTTTCCCGAACCAGTCTCACCAACAAGAATAAGAACCTGGTACTCCTTGATGGCATCCAGAAAAGCATCTCGGTAAGCATAGACGGGAAGACTCTTGCGCACTTCTTGTATCGACTTGGCCGCTCTCTCGGCCGCCTCGATCTTCTCCTTCAAGATCCTCTGCTCCGGCGTTAGGCCGTCGGTGGGTTGTATAAACTTGGCCGCAGCATCACGGACAAAGTTGATGGCATCCTCGTCCAGCAAGAAGTCGTATTCTCCCCCATCTTCGCGCTCGCCGCGCGATGCGATTTGCGCCTTGGCCTTGACGGTCTGCTCGCGCTCCCACTCGTCGTATTCGGTAACCATCTTTTCGTTACCATACTCGTCTCTCTCGACATGGCGTTGGTATAGAGCCTCCTCTTTCTTCTTGGTGTCGGTGCCATATTGGTCCGGTAGGCGATAGCCGTCTTGGTAGTCGTCAATGCGTGCTCGCTCCTCGGCCAGGCGCAGAATTTCCCGGTTTCTCGCAAATTCGGCCTTTTCCTTTTCAGACAGACGAACACCGGATCGCAACTCGGCAGTTTCCTCAGCGACTTGTTTTCGTAGGAGGGCAAGCTTCTCGGCCTCTCTCTTCTTCAGGTAGTCGTATCGGGACTTGAGTCTGAGATCTGACATCTTGGGGTCTTCGCGATCGCGTCTCGAGTCTGATCGGCTGTCGTCCTTGCGTGGTGATCGCGAGCGGGACCGGCGTCGGGTAGAGTCGCTGTCATCGGGTCGCCTACTCTTGTGTCGGCGCGGCGACCTGGATCGATCGCGTTTCCTGTCCCTTTTGCTGTCTCTGTCTCGGTCTTTCCTGTCGCTCTTGGATGGAGCAGCAGGCTCATCGTCCATGGGGACGAAGGCATATCGTTTTGACGCCATTGGTGTGGTGTATTTGTTCGACCAACTGCGACAGTGACTCTGTGTTTGTTGACCAGATTTGGTTGGTGATGCCCTGCCTGGGATGGGAGGCGAACATGGAAACTGAGAACCTTCAGTTGGACGAAGGCATCACTGAACTGTCGACAGTAGGTAACCAACTGAAGCACTGAAATCCTTATCTTATCGACCTGCTGCACTGTCTCGTCCCGCTACGTTCAGCTTGCCCCGGGGGGTTACACTAGGCATGTGCTTGAGCTTCAGCGACCAGGGGTTCGGTGATTCCTTCCGTCCAATCAGCTAACATGCTTTGGTAGCGACCAGGTGGCATTATCTGGTGCTGGACTGTTTATCGCCAAATGTATAAGTGGAATCTTCCATACTTCCAGGTACCTTTTCGGCCTCGACAACCTAATTCCCCCATCGTGACACTTTTCGCAGTCACCACGTCGGTCACTGACGTGGAATGCCCTCGACACTCTAGTGTAATTCTAGTCGTTCTTTACCTTAATCTTTCTCATCATTGATTAATCTATCTTGTTCAGGAAGCACACAGCAACAGAGATCACCATGTGGTTCAAAAAGGGAGCCTTGCTGGCTCTCTTAACACTTGCGCAGTTTGCACTTGGTGTTGAGGACTACTACAAGGTTCTTGGCCTCGACAAGCAGGCCTCGGACAAGCAAATCAAGTCGGCCTACCGCCAATTGTCCAAGAAATACCATCCCGACAAGAACCCGTACGTTCTCTATCTATCTCTGCCTCTCTACCCTCCCCCTTCCCGATGGTCACCCACTAACGCTCACTTCCAACAGAGGCGACTCAACAGCCCACGACAAGTTCGTCGAAGTCTCAGAAGCCTACGAAGCCCTCATCGACCCCGAATCCCGCAAGATCTACGACCAATATGGTTACGACGGCCTCAAGCAGCGCAAGCAAGGCGGCGGCCAACATCACGACCCCTTTGATCTTTTCTCCCGCTTCTTTGGTGGCGGCGGTCACTTTGGCAACCAGCCCGGCCAGCGACGCGGTCCCAACGTCGAGCTCAAAGTGGGCATCCCCCTCGTCGATTTCTACAACGGGCATACTACCGAGTTTCTATGGGAAAAGCAACAGATCTGCGAGGAGTGCGAGGGCACGGGAGCGGCGGATAAACATGTCGATACCTGCGACGCCTGTGGTGGCCACGGCATTCGCATCGTTAGACACCAACTGGCGCCGGGTATGATCCAGCAAATGCAGATGCAGTGCGACAAGTGCGGCGGAAAGGGCAAGAGCATAAAGCACAAGTGCCCCGTGTGCCAGGGAACGAGGGTAATACGCAAGTTGGCGACGGTTGAAGTGAAGGTTGAGCGTGGTATGGCCGAAGGGTCAAGGATCGTATACGAGAACGAGGCGGACGAGAGCCCGGATCATGTTGCCGGTGATTTGATCGTTACCGTCGTGGAGAAGGAGCCAAGTCCAAACCCTGAGGAAAACAACCCGAATCACCTCGACGGTATCTACTTTAGGAGGAAGGGTGACGACTTGTTCTGGAAAGAGATTATCAGCCTCCGGGAGGCGTGGATGGGTGACTGGACAAGAAACGTTACACATCTGGATGGACATGTGGTTAGGCTGGGAAGGAAACAAGGCGAGGTGGTACAGCCTGGTCAGGTCGATACGATACCAGGCGAGGGTATGCCCAAGTGGCATGAGCATGGAGACAGCGTTTACCACCAGACGGAATACGGAAACCTCTACGTCGAGTATGCAGTGGTGCTGCCAGACCAGATGGAAAGCGATATGGAGAAGGAGTTCCGGGCGTTATTTGAGAAGTGGAGGGGGAAGATTGGCGTTGACCTACACAAGGACAGCGGACGGCCTGATCAGCCAGTGATGCATGACCATGATCATGATCATGAGGGGCACGAGCATGAGGAGTTATAGAGCAGGCGGCTTGATTTTATATAGGATTTATGTACCGACTATATGATACACGTTAATAGAGATCTAATGCCATTGGGTTTCGACTTGAGCATGTCTCGGTGAATATTTGAGGATCTGAAAAATCCAACAACCTTTTCGTGATGACTTCAACAACCCAAATGATGCACATACTTACTACCTTTGTCTGCAAAATCCTCAATCGATGGGACAAGTTGATGAAAGCCATCATGTGCTTACATAGTAAACACAGTGGCTCTGAGCCTGTAACGAGAATATCTGGCTGAGAACCGAACCACTTTCTACTTTTGCTGGCATGATGTTGGGTACATATCAGATCACCACTCGATGAACCACCGAGACGACAACCAACTGTTTGGATATTTCAGGGGTATGGCAGCTCAGGGGGGCACAGCAACTGCAGCCCGGGAGCTTGGGCCATTCTCGTCCGTACCTCCATCCACGGGGGCGAATTGTCAATTGTGTGGGACAGCGGTGAACCACTGGACTGTCCACTGTTCGTCCACTGTCAAACTACCCCTGGATGCCCACCGTTCGCCAAGACGCTCCAGGCTTGGTTGCCACTGCCTGCAGTGCGTGGAGGTGGTGTCCAGGTGGATCCCCCGCGTGTACAAGTAAACAGACAGATAAGGAGATCGGGACGAGAGTGGGCGTTGGCAGCGTGGTGCTACTGAAGAAAGTGGTTCGAGTTGGACCCTGAATTTCCAATTTCACCATCCTTCTCTCTCCTACACCTTCTTTTCCACATCTTTTTTTTTTTTTTTTGGAAAAGCTGGACCTGTCTGTCTTGTGGGAACTTCATACACGAATATCTTTCCCTCCCCACGAGTTCCGAAGGAAGCTATACAACCGACAACATATCTCGGTCATGGCCGCCTCCGCAGTAACGACGGCCACAACGGACTCGTCGTCCACGCAAAGGAAACAACAACAAAATGGAAAGCTAGACACCTCCTCCTCCTCCTCCTCCTCTGCCAGCGCCGGCGCCGGCGACCAGAATGATGCTCTCGAGAAGGACTTCTTCTGGACTTACACCGAGGAACCGCACCGAACACGTCGTATGGCCATCATCAAGGCGCATCCAGAGGTCAGTCAGGCCACTCATACTCCCGTTTCCAACATGATAAACATCTTGTATACTGACCGTGTGGTTCAACAGGTCACCAAGCTCTGCGGTCCCGAACCCCTAACGAAATGGGTTGTCCTCGGCGTCGTGTCGCTCCAGTTCCTGCTCGCCCACCTTCTGCGCGACACCTCCTTCTTCTCGTGGAAGTTCTGGCTCACAGCCTACGTCTTCGGCGCCACTTGCAACCAGAACCTCTTCCTGGCCATCCACGAGATCTCCCACAACCTGGCCTTCCGCTCGCCTACCGCCAACAGGCTATTTGCCATTGTCGCCAACTTACCTATCGCCGTGCCCTATAGTGCTTCTTTCCGGGTACGTTTACCTCCTCATTACCCTCTCTCTTTCCTGTTCTTCTAGTGTATATTACGAGCATCCAACTAACACACTTCTTACCCAACAGCCCTACCACCTAACCCATCACAAATCCCTCGGCGTCGACGGTCTCGACACCGACCTGCCCACCGCCTTCGAAGCCCTCTTCCTCGACTCCATCCTCGGCAAAGCCTTCTTCTGCACCTTCCAAATCTTCTTCTACGCCCTGCGCCCCATGGCCATCTACCGCGTGCCCTTCACCTGGGTGCACTGGCTCAACCTGACCATTCAGCTCTTCTTCGACTACGCCATTGTTTTCTTGCTGCCCGACTCCCTCTTCACCGCCAACTCCCTCCTCTACTTTTTACTCAGCTCCTTCCTCGCCGGCAGCCTGCACCCCACGGCAGGCCACTTCATCGCCGAACACTACGTCTACGAGAAGATCACGCCCGAAGCCCGCAACCCGGACAACAAGATCCCCGTCCCGGAGACGTTCAGCTACTACGGCCCGCTGAACTGGGTCACGTATAATGTGGGACTGCACAACGAACACCACGATTTCCCTGCGATCCCCTGGACGCGGCTGCCCAAGCTGTACGAGATCGCGTCCGAGTTCTACGAGGGGCTGCCGCAGCACCGGAGCTGGACGCATGTGCTCTGGCAGTTCATCTTTGACGAGGAGATTGGTATGCGGTGCAGGGTCAAGAGGAAGGTTGGGGGTAGGGTGGTTGGTGGCGGGAGTGTTAGCGCGAAGCAGCAGCAGCAGCAGCACCAAGCCAAGGAGGCCGGATGGGGAGATGATGAGATTGAGGCTTAGACTTGGAACTCTTTTCCTCCTTGACTCCTGTCTAGATCTGCGTGGCGTAGTAGAAAAAGTGTAGAGGACTTGGTGTATGTACATGTACGATGAAATGAACATAAGATTGAAACCACAGAGGTATTTAGATCTCTGGGTTGAATTGGGTTGGAGTTTATTAATGGGTTCGGAACGTCCGGCTTGGTTGGACTGAACTACACATGGATACAAATAAAATAGACTAAGCCAGCAAAAAGCTTTCCAATGGACATACTTACATATATTGATAAGCATCATAGAAAAAAAACAGACACAATCGTCCATATACTTACTCGCAGTAACATATTATGGACCAAAGAAAAGAAGCTGGCTACGTATACATCTATTTGACTTGACCGTCAGCTACAGTATCGATGGACGATGAGATCCACAGCTCCCGCCATGGGTAGCTATATTCCACACAAGGATGACCCATGCCACCCATCAGCCCCACAGCAAAGGGAAAAAAACAAAAACAAAAAAAAAAAAGGAAAAGGAAAAAGAACGACTTCAGTTTCTGAAGAGCATTTCGAAATCTCGATCCACCCAGGGGTCGAACCTGGAACCTCCTGATTCGTAGTCAGACGCTCTGCCATTGAGCCAGCGGACCTTTCTTTCTTGGTTGTTGTTTTTTTTCGGATATTCACCTTATGAGTATGGTCTGTCATGGTCATGCTCCTTCAGCAAAAGATCGGAACATGATCAATGATAGTACACTGCATTCCATCTTTCCTTATGTTGTTCTTATCTGTTCTATATTCCATTTGTCTGTCTTTCTGCTTGTGTGTCTGTTCGTGTGTGATATACCATACCTGTGATACTAAATAATAATCATAAAGAACAAAACACGATGATGATAATGATGATGATGATGCATCTGCTGCTGCCCCGTGTACCCAACCGACCGATCCATAGCGGCGAAAGCAACCCATAGCATGAAACCCTAAAACCTAACCAGCATAAGAGGGGAGCAGCGAAAAAAAAAAAAAAAAAAAAAAAAAAAAAAAAAAAGCCATACCACAGGTGACTACCTTGATGTCATGCGTTTCATGCTTGTTGATATCCATGACAAGAAGAATGGAAAACGAAGAGTCTTTCCTCTTGTCAAACGGAAACAGTAATATCGTTTCGTTGCTTCCATGGTCATTCAGACCTCAATAAAACAACATAACCCTCAATAGCCGTATCGCTCATACATTCCGTGATTCCATACCTATAACCGTGTTTGACAGAGATTGCAAGGGCCGTCGCTGCTGCTGCTGCTGCCCTACGCTTAATGCTTCTTGTATTTCTGTATTATCACACCAGTAAGCACAAAATCACTTTACATACCAGGTCAAAAAGGGACAATGAAACTCACCGCCTCAATCCTCTTCCGATGATTCGGATCCAACGCATTCGTCGCTCCCAACAACGTCTGCCCAATCGCCTTGGACACTCCGATCGCCGGCCTAAACAAAATCGTCGGCGCCTGCATCAGCACTGCCTTCGCCGCTCCCTGTGCGCTCGAGCTCTCCATCACTTCAGTGGGCACCGCAATGATGGCGTCTCTGGCAATGGCAATATCCCGAGATAAGCTGGCGTAGGCACCACGCATGCCTTGCATGATACCTAATGGTTGGTCGGCGTACAGACTGATTGCCTTGGGTGTGTGGTGATCTCCAAAGTCCTCTTCGTCCCAGACTTCGTAGTCTACTCCGGCTGGTACGCCGGCGGAGGAAGAGGATGGACCGGCGTGGTTATAGTTGGGTGGGTTCTTGGCCAGCATGCCTTCTGCGCCCTGAAGGGCGTATTGAGTGCCAATGGCGAGTTTGGCACCGAGTTTGACGACTTCGGTGCCCGTTGTCTTTGCGAACGCTGTAGCTCCTTTACCGATGCTGCGGAAGATTCGACCGTCCTTCTTATACTCCCGGATGGGTATCTCAATGAGGTCCTTGAAGCCCGATCCGGCATTAACGAGCGAGCGAACGGGCGCCACGCCGGCAAGGACACCAGGAAGTTGAGTCGACTTGACGTCGGCGGTCCAGATGTCGTTGAGCTTCTTGCCCAGCTTATCAAATCCGGAGACGCCATAAAGTATAACATGTCTCAACACCAGCCTGGAATCCTCAAGGATGACAAAGTTCATAAATTCTGTCGTGTGACCAGACCTTAGCCCGGCATAGTCAACCCGCTTCGGCTTGAAGTCCAACCGCACTGGCACATCACCGACCTCGCAGCGCTGAATAAACGGTACATCGCTCGACGATTGATGGATAGGCTGCGTCTCATCCTTGAACTCAAAGAACCTCGTGATGAAGTCCAAAGCGTCCTGGTCGACATGGAGTCTCAGTGGAAGTATGTTAACCTTGACCACGAGCTCCGTAGCCGGCAAGTCCGGGACAGGCTTGACATTGAGCACCTCAAGATGGACCATGTGCTTACTAAGCTCCCGTTCGCCGGCGTCGATGTCATACATGGCGAACTTCTTCCATGTTGAAGTCCGGATGTGGTCAAAGACGTCCAAGTCGTGGATGCGAACATCGATGGTATTGATGGTCTCGTTGCCGGGTGGGAAGGTCACTACATCGATGTTGACGCCCTTTAGTTCGAACGTGATCTTGTGGTTCTTGCTGCGGCTAAGCTTCAGCGTCTTGCCTCTTGGCCGCGATTGACGCTGTCCTGAAGCGCGGACAGTCGAGGTGGTGAATGCCGTGGTGGCGACGGACTCGGTTTCGGTGGTGGTGTCCTGATACTGCAATTCCTGGTTGATAGCCCGTCTAAGGTTACTCGGGTCACCGTTGGGTCCCACCGCGATATATATGGAGTTGAACAAGCAGTCATCAACGACCGATTCTTCATCTCCTTCATCCTCATAAGTGTGACGGTCAGCTCGGGCTTTACGTTCGTACGCCTTAGCCTCCACATCCTGGACCGCCTTGGTGATAATCTCCCTGGTGCGAACCCAGTCGTAACCATCATACAAATTCCAGATGACATGAACATCCCGAACGCAGATGACGAGAGGGCTCTTGAAGACCTTGGCATCACTCGACTGATCGTAAAGGTTTTTCCTCGAGTTCCAGCGGAGCGTTGTGTTCTTGACTGGTTCAGAAGAGAAGTAATTCTCCTGAATATCCAAGTCACTCTCACTCTGGCTGCTGGCCGGAGGCACGTCAAGGTTTGCAGTGCTAACCAGCATGCCGTCATTCGTATTCTCCACCTCAATATCGCCGAGTAGCGAACTGTTCGTAGCATCGAACAACTCCTCCGCGACACCATACCCCTCTGACTGGACTTCGAGATGCTCCGTGCTTCCTATGCCATAGTAGTCATCATCGTCTTCATTGCCACACTCGATGCCCTGAGCACCCGCAAAGTCATTGTCAAAGTCATACTCGCCCTCCGCTCTTCCAAACGCGTCAGGGGTAATAGACGCGAACAGATCCTCAACAGGCAACACGGACGTCCTGTACTTGATTTCCTTGCTAGGGGGAGTAGGTGGCGTGAGTGCGTTGGCCAACGAGATGAGCGTCTGCGTTGAGTCCGCACAAGTCTCGAGAACAAGCAAGTCATCGCGGACAGACACCTCTATGTGGGATTCCCCATTCTCGTCTTTGCCAACCTTGACGACGGCTTTTGCAGATGATATCTCGCAAATGCTGACGAATCCCTTGCTGCATAGCTCAAGAGCCTGAGGAGTGCTCATAGCTGGAGCGCGTCCTCGTGCGTTGATCTGGACGTCTTGCAGGGTTTTCACATCGTCAATGAGAAGAATGCACGCCTTCTTCAAGGTTGCTGTGGCGTCAAGCGTGCTGTCCTTGCCCGGTATGGCTTCCAGATGCGAGTCCGCCAGTACGATAGCCAGCTTCGAATCCTGACCAAGAGGATTGAGGCCAACAACACAGTCGCGGAAAGCTACATCAAGCTTGATGGGCTTGAACTCCTTTTCCACCAGTGGGCTCTCTGGCGTATCTTGTCTTCTCAGCGCAGCAGTCGCCTGGCCTCCAAGGTTCGCAACAGACGCAGTCAAGTTGGCCTCAAATTCCTCTGGAGTGGTGTCTTCCTGAATGAGCCCCAGCACGTCCATAATTGTCGGTACCCGGTAATCCACATTCAATCCGAACAACTTGATCTTCAACACCGGTTCGATATCGTCGATCATGCGCATCATCAAGACGGGCGCATTTGAGGAACCCGGAGCATGGGTAGTGGAAGTGCTAACCAGCTCCTCCTCGATCGGGCTGTTCTCGTTCCGATTGACCGTAATACCGCCAACCGCGACAGCCACCAACGACGGCACCGTGATCTGGGCGAGCTCAAGGTTTGTCAAACGCGCGTTTACAACTCCGAACCTGCCTCCAACGTCGACTTCACAATCCACGTTTGTGACCTGCCCAAGCGTAAGCAGCCCAGGCCTGTCATCCTCGGGCAAATACTTTGCGACCGTCCCTAGCTTGGCAAGATCCTCCACCAAACTCGGGATACAATCAAGCAAAGCCAAGTTGCCCGCCCTTACTTTGAAGTTCTTAACTTCTAGCCCAAGAACTCCCCCCTTCCTCCTCTGCCTTAGCAGAGTATCCACCATAATCTCATCTTCGTCCTCGTCGAACTTGACCTTTGAGGGAGTAATAAGCTCAAGAAGCCGTTCGAGGTCCCTGGTCCGAGGTGTCAAGATGTAGTCCAGCCTTGTACTATCCAACTCGAGTAGGACTGGCGCCCTAGCATGGGAATTCTTTACGTAGGGCCCGGAGAGCCTGATCGTTTTAAGCACAGCGGCAATTGCCTCTTCGCGGTGTACGAGCTTGAGAGCGCTCGTGTTCAGGACTGCCCTGCAGTCTTTGCCGATCACGTCCACGTGCACGCCATTGATGCGTACATCAATCTTGCTCCCTGACCGCTTCTCCATAGGATCAATCGGGGTTTCGAATCGGACGCCCCGCGTCTTTTGTGGGGGCTTCGCTGGTATCTGTACTGCCTTTGCTACGGAGTCCTCTGACGCTCCCATATTGAGGAAACCGCTCAGCCCCCCAAACCAGCTGAAAGTCTCGTCTAACCTCTGTAAATCGAGCTTTAGGTAGAGCGGTAGTGTTTTGACGTCAACCCGAGTCACATCTGGTGTGATGGTGGCCTTGACTGCGATATCCTTCCCAACAGATAGCATATCAACAGTTGCTGTGGATTGGAACAAATCAGCCTCGCCAGTGAACGAGACGATGGCTTCATCGGCGTAATTGAACGCGAACTTCTCGATGCTGACGTTTACTTCTGTTTGCGATCCGGACTGGTGCGTAAAGGCGTTCAAGTTCGTAAGACTCGCCTCAAGGAGGACATCTGAGCCGAAATCGGGTTTTTGTGTCTCGTATATCCTCTTTGCAGAGTCGGCCACACCAGTCAGCTCCTCCAGAAACTGCATCGTAATTTGCTCCAAGCAAACCTTGATGTCAGGTAAAATCGATTCGGTACTTGAAGGCTTGACTTCTGTCGCCTCGTCTGAAGACCCTTTGAACGCTTCCAGGAGCCGTGTAACAACCATAGCGAGCAAGAATCCCACTGACGAGTCGAACCGGAGTGTCAGAGGCTTGAGAACGATTTCGATAGCCTCATCCTGGCGATCTTCTTTTAGGTTCTCTGGGGTTAAAAGCGTCGACTGATCCGTAGTACTACTGTGAAATGATTGGTGAACCGAAAACGCTCCTGGAAGGTTAGGATTTGACTTTGCAAGATTGGTGACTGGTGCCAGAACCTGCTTTCTCGTTGAAGGGACATAGACAGATATGGAGTCCAATGATACGATCTCCTTTACCATCCTCGTAATCCCACGTGGTGTGGAAGTATCTTCATGCTGTGGCTCATAACCTTGGGCTGTTGGGTCTTGCTCGGGTATAGGTGTTGGGCTAGCCAGTTCCGAGACAACAGTGGTTGATGATTGCGGTTCACCTGCGACTGGATGGGTGGTTGAGAGGTCTCGCTCGGAGGCTGACTCGCCCCCTTCCGATTCAGCGCCCCAACCTCCAGGCATATAAGCTCCTGGCATCAGTGTCGAATGAGCATCAGAAAAAGCGCTCATGTACATGCTCTCAGCCTCCTCGTGACTGTAGAGATGTGACTGTGCGAGGTCCTCCGTATCAGCGCTTGGCGTATCGTCGTCCGACCGTACCGAACTGGCAGACGAAGAAGGCTCAGAGGGAGCCGGAGACACAGCACCAGAGGGCGTGGTTTGAGGTTGAAAACTTGTTGGAGGATGAAGAGAAGGTTCTGATCGGATTCCGCGCTCGTAGGACGACCAAAGTTCCGGCTGATGTTGCATGATAGCTGAGTTGGCATGGTCTTGGAGCATTGGTGTGTCATGTTCTTGGTACATTGAGACCCTCGGTGTTGAGAGAGGCGAAGATCCAGCAACATTCTCTTCGGCCTCTGGATGCTGAGCGTCGCTCTCATACGGAATATTCAGAGCATCTTCGCTATCTCGTACTTCGTATTGGCTCTGTGCAAGCATATCCAGGGCTTCCATCTGATCTGGGCTTATGCTCATATCCAGGCCTCCCACTGATGACTGCATCGAACCCAACATATCACGAAGTGTTGAGGGTACATCATGAGGTGCTGATCCTTGTGGTTTCACCAAGGATTGAGCTGACTGGGTCGGTTGGAGAGAAGAAAACACGTTCGCTTCCGTGATCAGGAATGCCCGGAGATTGTCCAGAAGAATATGGCGCTTGCCCTCCCTCGGTACTATGGCAGGCGAACCGTCTTTTTGCTGTCCAGGTGCTGTGACTCCTTCCGCAATGACCTCGTCTAACGCCAGCTGGAACGTAACAAGTTCTGTTGTCGAGAGACCGGGTTCGACGGGTACTTGCATGTCGAGTTGGAAGGTGACCTTGTGGATTCGGATCTGGAGCCTGTCCAAAATGCCCTGCAGGAAATTGGTCAAGAACGTTGGTAGTGACAAGCCTTGGCCAGTGCCGAAGGTGGCGAAGGAGCCATCGTCATCGGTTTCGGAGTCGCTCATGGACTCTGATAACGCCTCCTGTGCTTCTTCGGCAAGAGCCTTTTCCAGCCGTCTCTGCTCGTCAGTCGGGATTTCTGTCTGCAGAAAAGACTGAGCTAGGTCGGCAGCAGTTGGCACAACCTCGTCGCCGTCCTTGTGTGTTCCCTTTTTGTTTCTGGCCGTTTGTTCATCCTGCTCTTGCTTGGACGCCACCCGTATCCGAGTATCGACGCCTTCAACCTCGACTATTATTGGACTGTTGTAGATATCGACCGGTATTGTGATGCGGAGTAGGAGGACTTTGGCCTTTTGGATCTTGAACGTTGGGGGAAGGTTTGTGAGGGCTTCAAGTTTCTGTCAAGGGAGCGGCAGCAGGTGGTTAGTACGAAGGCAGAGTGGAAGGTGGGAGTCGACACATACGGATAGAATAAGTCCAACATCACGAAACTCTAAAACAGTATTTCGCCCAATAGCAAAGTTGAGGTTATCTAGATCAAGTGCCTGGGAGTCGAGGAGGTCTAGGCGCGCTAAGATAAAGCGAAGCAACTGCTTCGGTAGAAGCGAGTTGGCGAAGGACCGATAAAAGAAAGACATGGTTTCGTTCGTTCCTCTGCTCGCTCGTTATTATGTTTGGGTATCGTAGGCGAGTACTCGGGGAACGAAGTGCGAAGCCCGCGGTTGTCGTAAAGATATGCCGACAGGGTTGCCAAGGGTAGTTATGGTAGTAGTTCTAAGTGTAAAAAGAAGTGTATAAGTCTCGATGCCGAAGTCGGTCGGTTAACGGCGCCCAACTTCTTCAAGCAAATGTCAAGACAGAGTGAGATGACAAGCCTATGGGATATCGAGCGAGGATGACGAAGGGGACTGGATCACTGGAGAGCGTCCTCCAATGACAACAACCATCCAACAGGAAGCCGAATAGCGGTATGGACGAGGTAGCGCAAGACCGGGGAGGTCATGATTGAGCGGCGGGCATCGCTTGAGTTGTTGTATGTCTAACTAGTAGTTGGTCATAGAGGTATGTATGTATAGAGATGGTGCTGTGAGGAGGTGCGTGGTTCGGGTTGTGGTTGTCTAGTAGGAATACCTAGGTAGTAGTTCCTGGTCGGCTGCCTTATCCGTTTGTTGATAAGATAACGCGAAGCCCGGCGCTGGTGACGTTCACGGAGGGAGAGAGGGGACTGAATGGAGTGGCAGGCCACTGAAGAGTGGGAATCCAGTAAAACTGAATGGAGCCGGGCTGTTTCGTTGTCGTCGTTTCAGGAACACGGTGAAGCGGCAAGAGATGCGTCGGCGTGATCCAACTAAGTAAAGTCCTCAAGGCCGTGACTCAACCTTGACTGAACAACCTACGTAGGAAAAAGTGGTTGTAGTGTACAAGTAGGTAGGGAAAGAAGAAAGGTGATAAGGATGCGGTTGTTGAAGAAATGCGAATGTGATTGTGAAAGTGAACACCACCGTGACTGGACCCCAAAGGCGAGCAGATGGACGGGAAGAATGGAACATGCCCTGCATGCAATGTCCTCCGCTTGTAGGTATTGATTGGCAGTGAGACTTTCACACTGATCGCGCGCTGTGTTCCAGTGTTGAAAAGTCGTGGAAGCATTGGCGGGGATGCACCACTGTAACTGCATCAACCGGGCCTCCGTCACCATGGGGGTTCTGTCATCGGCGTCCGAAGTGGTGCAAGCACAACACAGGTCGCTGCACCTGTAGTAACCTAAGCGATCCCTGCCCGGAGCCGGTAAGAGCCATCCACTAGTGTACTCCCGCCGGCTGGGGTCACTGCCTAGGTAGCTATGCCGGGGTGCTGAGCCAACCCCGTGACAGCCCGGCCTCAAGGGGGTCAGTAGGTAGGTATCGCCAATCAGTTGACCTTTTCCGTCCATTTACATAACCTCCCCCCATCATCTTGGGCGGTCTCTTCTTCTTCCAATACCATGTGCTGGTCGGTCACGGTGTACTAAACCAACCACACTATGTAGCTTGGCCGCTCATCATGACCATCACACATTCGCTTCCGGTTATCATTAACAGAGAGACTATTTCAAGTTAGAACGTCTTGTTGGAGTGGCCAAGAACTTGTTTTTCTCTTCTTCAACCAAGGATGCTGGTCTGATATCAACACACAAGGGACACTGACCCTACTCAGATCTGCCCTCAAAATAACACAAAATACTACCCACTCCAAAATATCTACTTGATAATTTTCACTGCGTGTCATTGGCAGTTTGTAAGGTGTTTTGATGTTAAGCATGTTCAGACCATCCGTCTCTCATACTATGTATACCTAGAGGTAGGAAGAACAAGAGCCCCGCGAATTCACTGCCCGTGAGACTGTAGATCTATCTCCGGTTCCATCCAGGCCTTTTCCCAACCCCAAGTGCTCGGCCAATGTGTCAACAGGTGGAAATCACTGTGTAAACGCTGCATCAAGGGAAAACCCTAAAAAAACTGACGTCGCCATGACTTGTACGTACGCCTATCCGCATAGTATACACAATATTTACCATGTCCAAACGTCGCACAGATTGGCAACGGTTAGGTATCACTCAAGTGCCCGAGGTATCACAGATTCCGCAACACCGCAACGCCGCAACGCCATCGAAAGATGGATGATCTTTCAGACTCTATCTTGTGTACCCGCCCCCCGAAACCCGTATTCCCAACTTTCCCACCTCTGAATCTATCAAATAAGACCGCTGTCCGTAACCACAAACCAACATATCCCAAAACTCCTGCCGGCTGAACCTCATCTCCAAACCATCATACACGTTCATCCACCTAACACCCTTCCTTTTATCCTCATCTCAAAATCAAACAGCCGCCTCCCTCTCCCCAGCACCAGCACCAGCAGCAACCCCCCTCCCATACCCCTCCGCAATCCGTCTCGCCACATCCTCACCACTCCAATACGCCCCCGTCACCGTCCCCAACGCCACAAACGTCGCCGTATGTTCGCCCGCCATCCACACCCCTTCCTCCGGCACACCATGCCTCATGGTCAAAATGTCCTTATCCCCTTCCTGCAGTCCCACCTGGAAATTACAGTAGCTCCCGTTACCCGCCAGGTCATCATGCAGCCAGTCCGTGGCTAGACACCCGCTTGGCTGGCAGTTGGGATCGGTGGGGCTGTAGGAGGGAAGGAGGGAGTAGTAGGGTTTGAAGAAGTCGTAGAGGAATTGTTGTGCCGCCGCTTCGATTTGGTCTCGGGGGCTGCAGCCGTTCTTATCGGCACCGGAATCGGAACTGGAGGAAGAAGAAGAAAGGGAGCGGACCTTGGAGGTTACGTATTCGGACTCGGCGCCGTAGATGTAAAAGAGCAGAGTCGGGTGGGCGACGGACGGGTCGATGGAGCCGAGCTCGACGATCTCGTTGGTCCAGCGGGAGGGATTGGTCGCGGAGGCGTAGGAGGGCGAGAGCCATTGACAGAAACCTTTAACTGTGCGGTGGTTCTTGTTGTTATTGTCGTTGTTGTTGTTGTTGGAGGCGTCAGGTTCAAGCCAAAAGGCTTTGGGAAAAGAGATGTAGACTTTTTCGAGACAACCGTAGCCGATGCTTTGGATGGCGGTGGTTAGGCGGGGAGGGAGTGGGGGGTGGAAAGCCTGGAGGTTTTGCTTGAGCCAGCCTAGGGGGGTGGTGAGGACGAGTTCGTCGAACTCGTAGTATTGGTTGTCGGTTGTTTTGACTTTGACGGTGTTGCTGCCTGTGCTTGACTTGCCAAAGATTTCAGCGACTCTGGTTTGGAGTTTGATATCGGCACCGCCGTCTACGACGGGGGCTACAATCTTTTCCATGATTTTCCGGTAGGTGCCGGAGCAAAAGAGGTTTTCTGCTTCTTGTCAGTCTCGTCCAAGTTTGGGGGTAGACAAGTTCACATACCTCCGTCCAGACACTCCTCCAGCCAAAAGAACTTGAGGCTCTGTTTCTCAACAGGACTGCCCACGAAAGCGCCCCATAATTCTGCCATCTGGAGCACAATCTTCCTTTTCCTTGCATAGTCCTCTTCTGTTTCCGGAATTTGCTCTGCCACTTTCTCCTTGAAGAAATCCAAAAGTGATCGGTTACTGTCAATCTCGGCACTGTGCTTGTCCGAGTACTGAAAAGCCTCCGCAATGATATTCCACATTATTGTGGAATACCTCTCGCTTATCTTCGCTGGAAGTATATCGCCGTGTTCATCAAACACTGCTGCGTCACCGTCCCAGTTGGTCGTGATAGTGCCTGTCTCCTTGGCGAGCTGGAAGATGGAGTTTTCTTTCGTTCCATGAATCCAATTTGCTCCCATGTCCACAAGATGTCCGTTGGGGAGCTTTTCTTGATATATCCTTCCGCCGAGACGGTCTCTTGCCTCTAGAATGGTGACTTGGAATCCGAGTTCGAGTAGATAGCCGGCACTCCGCAAACCTGCCATGCCTGCTCCCACAATGCCAACATGGGGTCTTTTTGTAGAATCCATTGTGCCAGACTACTTCAATGTGAGTATATCTCGAATTAACAGAATTCCTGGGCCTATGTACCTTGCAAGAACTGTTCAGAATGCCGAACCGACTCGACATCTTGTCAAAACTGAAACTCGAGACTGTATGTAACCTGGATGTTTTCAAATCTTGATATATCCTCGAGGTGCTCTTATGGGAAGCACTAGCAACGGACATGGAGTAAGCATCCATCTTGGTCGAAGGTGACGAAGCAAAGTGGCAACAAATTATTTAAGCCAAGTGAGGTTTAAAAGGAGGTAAGAACGTGGAGGAGTCTTGATGTGAAGACTGGTGGAAGAGTTGTCCTCCAAAGTCGAGATAGAACGATGTCGAAAATATAAATAGTGCGCCTTTGGCGGTGTGATTTTGTGATAAGCGAATAAATGACGCGGTCAATCAACCCGAGCATATATAGACAGCTTGAAGGTCCAGTATCATATTCAAATCCCATGCGTTGACGCATGAGCTACTCAGTGGGATTCCGTCGACGACAGTGAGGCTGCGTACCTTCCCCATCCCTTGGATGACTTGACTGTCTGTGATGTCCAACCGGAAGACAGCCGAACATTACTCGAAGGGGTATCATGAAACCAGCTGATAAGAGGCTCGCTGAAACGGCAGAGACTTACCTCGACAGACAGCGTCATCCTAGTATCCCGTATGCACTGCCCGTCGGCCCTTCACGATACCACTTGGTACCATATGCCAGACCCTGCGTGAGAAAAGTGGTGTTGCTTCCCACTTTGGTGACCAATCGAAGTTGATATCTCACGCATGCTGTTAAAAAAAAAAAAAAAAAAAAAAAAAAACAACTACCAGATCAGAACTTGGACAGCTTGAAGGCAATAGTTGGAGGCAATGACCGTGCTCGGCATGACTAACACCTGAACTGACACGCTACTCGACAGATAGAAAGGAGAAGCTATTTGCTAAAAACTTACAAAAGTCTGAACACACTGATTGATGACCTCGAGGCAATGATCATACCTTACTTAGGCTTGCCCGCCAGTCAAACGCTAAAAGCTCAGCAAGCTACTGTAGTGGATGGAAGCTCAATAGATGGCCAGCAGCTCCAAAGGGGTAGGGTCTGTATTGTCGTAAAGAGATCCGCACCACTGTTTTTTTGTTTCGTTCTAGATCGTCAACTGGACGAGATGAGGCTTCAATTCTCTTTTGGCAGATGTCCTAGTAAGGTGGAGAATCCCATTCAATGAGGGGGCGGTTGCCTGTTGCCAACAGTCAATACCAAATCGTCGTGTCTCTTTTTCTTCCTCGACGACAACCTTGAAAGATGGGTAATATACAACAACACTCCTATAAAGTCAGCATCTCACCATCTCCATTTCATACACTCTCGGCCTTTTCAAAGCATCTCCTGGCTGAAGTTTGTCCAGCTGAAAACCGTAACAAACACACGACCTTTGACAGTGGGGCCGATACCTTAATCGCTTGGCACTAACGAGCTGCCCCATGGGGCCGCGGTCCACGCTGCCAGTTGGTCATCTTTGAAACTTGGCACCATCTCCTCTTCTCCCAATACACGAAGAGAAGCTACACCATAGTAAATCCCAAACTCAAGTCTAAAAGACACAAGAATCGGTATCAAGAAGTATTGACCGCCTCGATTGAGATAATGCCGTGGTTCCTTGTCCAAACCGCCAGGGACACATCACATGCCGGATGCGCCTCCAACGCCCGATGATACAACTGGAGAAGGACAAGACAGTCCAACCAATCATGAACAAGATATTGGAGATTGGAGACATGGCCCCGTGCTCCCCACATTCTACAACCCCACGATCCGCCAGCGAGCCGAGGCAGACCGATCGATGCCCGGCCTCTCGTTTTGGGTCTTGTTGAAGCAACACCCGCCGTTTTGGGCTGGGGAACCGAGAACCCGAGCAAAAGGAAGATCCCGAGAGGTCGATGGCTTCGGCACCCAAGAACCATTCGGAGCCATCGAGGTGCATCAAGCCCCTGCTGTTCCGCTCCTGGAGACAATGTTCCGCAGCCATGTGTTCAATAAAAGGCTCCTCAGCTACTCAATCCGCGGTGTGCTGCTTGTGTCTTGATCTTGTGTTTCCAGTTTGACCATCACCATCACCACCAGCATCATCATCATCATCTTCTTCTTCTTCATCCTTCTCTTCCTCCTCTGGGACTCAAGTAGACGAATCGTGTAATTCCTGTTGTTTATAACCAGTCCTCCACAAATATACCCATACACATATACACATATCCCCAAAATGGCCAACGTATTAAACGTCCCCGACAAGACCTTCACCCGCGAGGAGGTCAAGAAGCACAACACCGAGGACAGCACGTGGTTCATCATCGACTCCGTCGTCTACGATGTCTCCGAGTTCCTCGACGCCCACCCCGGTGGTGAGGCCGTCCTCCGCCAGGTCGCCGGCCAGGACGCCACCTCGGCCTTCTACAACCTCCACAGGCACGAGGTGCTGATCAAGTACAACGACCTGGCCATCGGCTCCATCAAGGGCGAGAAGCAGTCCATCATCACCCCGCGGCCCGGCGACCTCTCGCCCGTTCCCTACGCCGAGCCCCTCTGGCTCACCCCCCAGTTCAAGAGCCCCTACTTCAACGACAGCCACCGCAGCCTTCAAAAGGCCATCCGCAAGTTCACCGATGAGGTGATCGCCCCCGAGGCTCTCGAGAAGGAGCGCACCGGCGAGCTCATCAGCCAGGACCTGATCGACAAGATGTCCAAGGCCGGCATCTTGCACATGCGCATGGGTCCCGGCAAGCACCTGCACGGCGTCAACCTGCTGGACGGCGCCGTCAAGGGCGAGGAATTCGACTACTTCCACGACATGATCATGGCGCAGGAGCAGGTGCGCGTCGCCTGCCGCGGCTTCCAGGACGGCAACATGGCCGGTATGGCCATCGGCCTGACGTGCATCCTCAACTACGGCGACAAGAACCCGGCCCTCAAGAAGCGCATCACCGAGGAGGTCTTCGCCGGCAAGAAGAAGATCTGCCTGGCCATCACCGAGGCCTTTGCCGGCTCCGACGTCGCCGGCCTGCGCACCACCGCCACCAAGACCCCCGACGGCAAGCACTACATTGTCAACGGCACCAAGAAGTGGATCACCAACGGTGTCTTCTGCGACTACTTCGTCACCGGCGTCAAGACCGACAAGGGCTTGAGTGTCCTCCTCATCGAGCGCGGCGAGGGCGTCGAGACCAAGCCCATCAAGACCTCGTACTCGCCTGCCGCCGGTACCACCTACATCACCTTCGACAACGTCAAGGTGCCCGTCGAAAACCTGCTCGGCGAGGAGAACAAGGGCATCTACGTGATCCTCTCCAACTTCAACCACGAGCGCTGGATGATGGCCTGCGCCACCATCCGCTACATGCGCCTTGTCGTTGAGGAGTCCCTCAAGTGGTCTCACCAGCGTCTTGTCTTTGGCAAGCGTCTGATCGATCAGCCCGTCATTCGCCAGAAGTTAGCCAAGATGATTGCCCTGTGTGAATCTCACCAGTCTTGGCTCGAGACCATCACGTATGTTTTTTTTGTTTTTTTCCCTCCTCTCCTCTCCCCTCCCCTCCTCTCCTCTCCTTCCCTTTTTCCCCTCCCACTTCTCCCTCCCTCCCAGCCCAACCCAGCTAACACTCCCTCCCTCCCAGCTACCAAATGAACCACATGCCCTACTCGGAACAAGCCAAGCACCTCGGCGGTCCCATCGCCCTGCTCAAGATGTCGTGCACGCGCGCCGCCCACGAGATCGCCGACGAGTCCGTGCAGATCTGGGGTGGTCGTGGCCTGACCCAGACCGGCATGGGTCGCGTCATTGAGAACTTTAACCGCGGCTACAAGTTCGATGCCATTCTCGGTGGTGCCGAGGAGGTCCTTGGCGATCTTGGTGTCAGGCAGGCTATGAAGTTTATGCCCAAGGCTGTCTTGTAAAAGGGTTGGACAAGAAGAAGAAGAAAAAGAGAAATAAAACAAAGTAAAAAAAAGTAAGAAAAAAGGAAAAAAAAAAGGGGAGGGAAACAAGGCAGGAGAGGATATGATGGCGCCGAGGCCGTGAATGGACGGTGGCCGGTGTTGATGATGTACAGTCCTGTGCTGGCTTGTTTGTTACCTACTACCTAGCTTGGTACCTAGGTACCCCGTTATTGCATGAATAGCGTTCAATTTCTGTTATTTACATACCTACACTACTATTATGGTCGTTCTGGACACCACCACCTTTGGTTGTGTAGCTGGTTTGCTTCCGTGTGTGGCTTTTACATCTTGCGTGTCGACGTCAATGTAAACTTGATATCCAGCCAAGGTCGGCTCTAGGTGAGAAATCGGGATGCCGACTAGGTCAAGGCCTCTCAAAAGCGAACAACCGATAAACCATCAAACCTTGCTGAACTTCCAACTCTGTTATGAACGTTCCTGACAAGCACCGGATTGATACAGTCACGTCACTCGAGGCAAAGAGGAACTGAGATTTGTTTCATCATCGATGCATTACGCTCGCATCGCACACCACGGCCTTTCGGCGCTTTTTATTCGTTGACCTATTGAGTCCCCATACGATTTTGCTTTCCCCTGAGATCTCGGATAATTATGATGTCCTCATGCCCGTTCACAGAATGAAGATAGCTCCCTTCCCATTCAAGTTCCATATGTGAAGAAAAAACAGAAACCCGCAAGATGTTTGTCGTGCAATGGCCCCGCCCCTGTTGCACAAGCCCTTTTTGTCGTAGAAAGACCCATACGGTATGGTTGGTTGAAGAGGTAACCCCTGGCCGTCCAGACGCCAATTTTGGTGAAAAGACCTTTTTGCTTTCCCAATCTCCCCAGTGGTTGTCGGATCATCATGATGTTTTGTGTCGCGTAAAATGCAAAGGTGAAAGAATTAAGAAAAGTGTAAGAGACCCGCCGTGAAAAAAAGTCCCAAGCAGCGGATATCCAGATACCAGTGAACACCAGCAGAACGACCCCGTGGACTGAAAAGTTCCTCAGAAAGGCAACGCAAAAACGCAGCACCATGTCATCACCCCCAGTAAAAGCTGTCCATCACCGGTCCCGCTTGCTTCTTCATCTCGTTGATGAGAAGTGAGCAAGGTCAGGGTTGGTAAGACAGCAAATGAGCGAGGCCGCCAAAGGTAGTTGGTGTTACCTGGCGATCATGGCGCATTTAAGCGCTGGGGCACTGGGACTGAACGTGGCCAGGCTGCTGGCACTTGTAGCAGATCTTCTCGCCGGAGCCGGAGTCCTTGGGGCAGTCACCTGTTGAAGTGTGGTCAGCTTTGTGCAGAATTGATGTATACACATGGAGACTTACGGGAGAAGTGACCAGACTCGCCGCAGTTGTAGCACTTGGAGCCGTTGACGCAGTCGCGAGACATGTGGCCAATGCCACCGCAAGAGTAGCAGGTCTTCTGGGGACCACCGAAGCCACCGCCGTAGCCGGAGTTCTGGTAGCCGCCGCCGTAGGAAGCACCGCCCTTGGAGCAGTTGCGGGCAATGTGGCCGACCTCACCGCACTTGTAGCACTCAGCGCCGGAGGACTGGCCGCCGCCGCCGGACTGGGAGCAGTCACGGCTGATGTGGCCGGTCTGGCCGCAACGGTAGCAGGTACGGGCGTTGTCCTTGGGGCCCTCGGGGCAGTCACGGCCTGTACGATAATGTGAGCAGCTGGACAATCAGAAGTACACGTTTTCGAAGCGAGGACTTACTCATGTGACCCTCGTTGCCGCAGTTGTAGCACTTAGCAGCGCCCTTGTTGGGGCAGTCACGGGCCTATTGGTTTCCTGTCAGCATCATGACCAAACACACAGCTTGTATACCTCTCCAATCTTTTCGCCGTCCGCCATTCTGGGTGTCTCTCTTTCTCTCTCTCTCGCCGAATGTTTCGCATACCTGGTGGGTAGTCTGGCCGCCTAATGTCTCTCATGTCAGATCTCTCCCCTCACTCTCATGATGATTGTTGTTGATATGGCAGTATGTGGATAATGGTTGATTCAGGTGCCTGTGAGGGCTAAACGGTTTAGAACTTGTTCGCCTTCTGGTACAACAGCTCTCGCTCAACCGACGAACAAATCTCGAACTCGTGAAGATGTTCTGCCCTGTCCAAGCACGGCAACCCATAGCGCAACAACATCAAAGCTGCGGCGGCAAGCCAGACTTGAGACCAAGGTCTGAGCCCGACGCCAGCGCGCAGCACGATAATGCCAACTTTCCTTGAGTATAACCATGTGTGTGTAGCATCCTAAAATGCAGGATCGAAGTGTGAAAGGGATTGCAGGTGACGCAATGCTTTGTAGAAACCGAGCGCGGGTGACAGCTGTGTGCCACGCCGGCGAAGCAAACGAAAGCTAGGGCGCAGAGGTTGTAATGGCGAACTCACAAGTGAAGCAGGCACGAGTGCCCTGGGGAGCAGCGAAGGAGTCCATTTTGGTGTTGGTTTGGGGATGTGTATCGAAGATTCGAAGTTGGGTATTGAGAGTCTGTCGAGACGTTGTTGTTGATGGGTCAGTAAAGGGAGAGGTGTAGGTGGCAATTGAAGTTTCCAATGTCCGGGTGGGAATTTTGTCCTGGATTAGAGGGCTTGCTTTGACTTGCAAAAATGGGAAAAAAGTGGGGGAAAATCTTAGTGTGGGGTTTATCGCAGCACTTTATCGGGACCCGTACAGTTTAATCGGATAAACTGGGGGGCGATAGGTTGGTGCCTAGAACGGAAATGACTGAACCTGAGGGAATGGTAATGATCTTGTGTCGGGTGCTGCAAAGTGAGGAATAGCTGAGAGAGATCTTACCTGGAAAAAGTAGTAGTAGACGGAAGTCGAATGCTGTTGCTGTAGAGAAAAGGTGATGTTGCGGTAGGATAGAAGGCAGTAGGACGGGCAGGTAGGACAGATAAATAGCAATTGTCGGCTGAGTGGCTCAGAAGGCAGGCAAAACTCAACGAAAGTGAAGGGCACAGCGACGAGCTAGCAAAGCGGGTGGTCTGGGCTGTCAGGCTTGGTTCCTGTTTCCCCTCCTGGCTGTTGAAATTTTCTGGACATTTTGTGTGGGGAGGGGATCCCTGTCCTGCAGTCTGACCCTGTCGAGCCTGCCTACCTTGGCCGTCTTGTACGCAGTACCTCAGCCATTTCACCGGTTTTGGTAGCTTCGGCGTTGGGACGTGATCCGACTTGCAACTTTCATTCCCTTCCGGTTGGCCATTCTGAACCGGCAACCACCACCGCCATATGCCAATTTTTGCTGCGTGGTTCTTCTGCCTCTTTGACAGAGCACGATGGATGGCGACGATGAAGTGAGCGAGAGTTGCGCCGAACATGTATAATTCTACTAGCACACGTCGATTTGTCTTCTGGCAGGCGTCCAAGTACGTGACCTTAACTTTACGAGGTCCAGTCTACCTACCAGAATGGCATTGTTGTACCGAGAAGGCCATGCGATTCCATTCTGATGGGAGTGAAGGGAGGACCTGTTGCGAATTCCATCACGGCGCTATCTATCCCTTTTCAGTTGCAGACTCCGACTCACACCACATGTCGACAGCATCCTTCCTCCTACTTAACAAGGGGTAAACACCAAATGCGGGTGCTCGTACCACAAAGGTCAGGGGGAAGGTAACCTAATGTACGTACACTCTTCCTCGACCAGATAACCACAAATGTTGTGCTCGTCCTGTTATTAGGACATATGGTTGTCCCCCTCTTTCCCGTTCCGTGCCTCCACTGCTTCAAGGTTACAATCGACAAAATCATACATTGGCATCATGGCGGGAAAACTGCGGTGGTTTGAGAAATATGAAGATGGGGAAGCGAGCATGGAGCCCATAACGGTATGCTGTAAATGCCCCTGCGTGGTGCGTTCCAGCTCTCAATCCGGCATTCCTTTTCATCAATATCGTCGATATGTGTGTCTCTCAAAAGATGGAGACCGGTGCTTGCTCGAGGCTGGGAACGAGGTTCAGAACGAAGTCAATGATTTCTTTCAGTAACAACGCAAGGAGCGCCCAATCGGCCGTGATACGTGTTTCTGGCTACCTGCAGCCAACACAACGGAGATCAGGGATGTCGGCGAGAGAATGCGATCTGAAAGAGCAGGTGTAGAAGAGGGGGCTTCACTTGAAATAATCTGTTGTATTCCGAGGGGACCTTAGCTTGGCCGATCTACGCCACGTGCGACGGTCGTCCTGTTTTGCAGATAGATCCAAATACCATGCCCTATGGGCCGCATGGCCAGCTTAGATAGCAAAGAAGAAGAGATGAAATTCCAAATCCCTATCCAACTAGCTGTGATCTCACCCAGACGGGAGGAAATCACGGCGGAAAGCGTGAAGCCTTAACACCGTATAGCATCAGTTCGAAGAAGAGCAAAAGTACGTAGGAATGTCTAGATACTCGAAGCGGACCAGGTCAAACCCTGGGTGATCTTTCTCACTGGAAGTCAGATACCGGGCGTGAGGATTCTTCAGCTTCGTGAAGCCAACTTGCTGGCTTGAAGCGTAGTAGTAGATTGGATATAATCAGTCTACCTAGGTACTCCATTAAGTCAAGGGATCCAGGAGAAAGCTTGGGTGGCATCCAAACATCCAGACATGAAGATGATGCGAGCTACCATCCCCGCGTGGAGCAGAAACTCGGCGAAGTTGCTCCGTGTTCGTTCATTTGCCGCCATGGAACCACGAACAAACAGCATGTTAGACAACTGGATGTCCAGAGATTTTGAGAGAAGTCGTGGTTTGCGTTCAGTTTCCTTCATTGTTAGTCAAAGTTGACAGCATCCAGACAGAAGCTAACCCAGAGTCTTTGTTGCCCGGTTTGGCCTTTTCTTGAAGATATTCTGAACTTGATGTCCGAAGCTCAAGACGGGTTGCGCTCCACAGCTGTCAGGGGCATACCCCACTACTCCGGGATTTAGGGTGGGTCTAGCATGAACCCACTGCACTGCAAGACACAGTTAGCCTGCACGTGACATGGCGCTTAGCTCGTTGCTGCCTGCCCAGTGTTTACCTTTTTGGTCTAGACCAAGAAGTACATCTTGCACAAGACTCGTGAGTCGTGACGTCGACTTTATTGAAATTATGCAACAACACCGTCGGGCCGTTGATTGTTGCTGATTTCTTTCAATGGAATTTCTGCTCTTCTTGAGTTAACTCGCACCGGTCAAACATCATACGCTATTGGCCAAAATGACAGTCTGGGACCAGAAAGGTCGTGCCGCAATTCTTGCCGCGGTTGAAGCCGCCTGTGATACGGTTGGAAAGGATCTCGACGCAGGTAGGATCTTTCAATCCATGTGCAATGGCTGAGATTCCATTAGTTAATAATCGTCTTCACCCGCTCATTGACTAACTCTCTGCCAGAATTTCGTGAAAAGGATGCGTTATCTGCGGTCGAGAGGGAAGCGCTGATGGCCAAAGTGGATCAACTAGAAAAGATGAACCAGGCGTTGATGAGAAATCTCGAGGAACTCATCAAGAAAGTCAACCCGGTATCGTCTTTGGCTGTCTCAAAGGGAACTACTAGCAGCGATCAAGAAACCCCAGCCTCATCAGACACTCTCTTGGAGGTGCCACAACAATCGACAGGTGCAACGTCACGTTCAATCCTTGCAGAAATCTCGCCTAACACGGTTACCGGGACAACACGCGCTACTGTCGAGGATGCTGGTGCGGAAACGCACAAGGACAAAGAATTGGCGGCCTTGAAGAAACACTGCAAATTGCTGCAAGCGAAATATGATGCGAAAAAGGACATCGCACGGCGGATCGTTGATCAGCGTAATCAATGGTTAAAGTATGCCGAACATTTAGAACGAAAGCTTGAGGAGCTTACCGGAACAAAACACCAAGAGGAGGGTAACCCACATCGTTTAGCGCTATCCGCTACAGTGCCAGATCAATTGCCCACTCTTCCAAGGGAAAATGATACAGCACACGAAGTGGCCATTAAGGAAGAGCCATCTTCAGATGGGCCTGTGGTCATCTCCGAGAAGCGTGTCCGGAAGAGGAGGAATAGCGACACCAGTGGTGAAGCAAGGCCTAATCCTCGCAGAACTAAGAGAGAGAGCTCGGATCCTGTCATCACAAGCGTGGTGCCTGCCTTCATACCACAAGAGAGTATCGACCTCAATGAGACAACATATGTCATGCCTACACCCAAGAAGCGTAGACACCGGGACCCACCTCGACCACCAGCCAACGATGCCGCAGAAGAACCGACAACTGGCCAGCCAGCTTTTGCACCAAGCAAAGGCAGAGCCAATGCCACTTCCGGCACCCCCAAACCAGTGGCACGGTCAAAGTCCAGACTCGGCCATGCCATAGCTGAAGTCGCAGAAGACAGCTCCGAGCCTCCTGATCTCGAAAAGGAACAAGGCAAAGATGGACCGTCTGACTCGGCCACGCCAAAGCCTGGAAGATTACAAAGCCTTCTGAATACCAACACACCGCTACAGCGGGAGCAGCCTCTACAAACGCCGGTTAAGGTTCCGGCGGTCGGAGTAGGCAGCCACAGCGCTCCAAACTTGCGGCGTGCTCGAGAGATGGCCAAGTCGACTCCGCTCCGAGAACGGGCGGTTTCTGAATTGAGACTGGAAGACTTTAAGGTCAATCCAAAAGCGAACAACGGCTACACTTATGCTTTTGACGAAGTAGTACGTGGGAGGGCAGAACGTGCTAAGCTTGAGGGTTGCACCGATCCCAACTGCTGTGGCAGGACTGCCCGTATCTTGGCAGAGAGCGAGCTCAATTCAGGTGGCTCAGCTCATCTTCTGAAATCAGAAAACATTGCGTTGATGGAAGACTACCTGGGGCCAGAGTGCTACCGGCTGGGTACTATGACGATGGATGAGAAGAGGGAGGTCTGGTTGAAGGCCAAGACGATAGCTGTGGCCAACAGTTTCGGGAAGCACAGGCACCAGTTCGAACGAAGGCGTTCACCTCCGGGTTATTGGGACCCAGACTTTCCCGGCACACAAGAAGATCAGGAACGGAGAGAAGAGGCAAACAGGCGGGAGAGAGAGACGATAGAGAAGAGATGGCGCGAGGCCATGCGAGGCAACGGGAAGTGGCTCTTTAGGGATGAGTAAAGGGTAACCTGACGCAGCCATTAAGACGTGGATGTTCATGAACAAGTATAAATCAGTACATGTCATTGATAAGAAATATTATAAGAAGTATGAAGTGCAAAGCCCCAACCATCAGGAGACATGAACTGACGCCGAGACTTGATTACTTGTCATCTGTACATGTATGCCTTCTTGAGAAGCCAGAAATGGCATGTATCAGCGGACTGAAGAGACATTACCCAGTCAATCACCTTTAGTTCACCGCTAAATATTTCAACACAACTTTTGCAAAGTATTCGTTCTGTTTGATTTTTCAATGCCTCCGAATACTGCGAGTCAACATCAAGAGCGTCAAACACTCGATCGCTGCTTGGATCACATATGGGATATGGTCCGAGCGTTTTTGGCTCCACTAGTATCGTGCTGTTTCGCCTGCCCACAGAACTTCCAACTGTCCCTCCGCGGGGTTCACGACGCTTCTTCTGTTGGTGGGATGTGCTCCGCTACAGTACAGGAACGAGTTACCAAGTAAAGATGGAAAAAGGACAAGTTTGAGCAACAAGAGAAAGCTTTACTTCAACCAGAGGGAATTTAATCAAGCGCACATCTTCGACTCCTTCCTACGTTGACCAGAAGGCAGAGAGAGACTCATCCTGACACCGTCAAGGGAGAGGCTGCCGTTTGCTTGCCGCCACTCACTACAGGCATCATCACCGCCGCCGCCGCCGCCGCCGCCGCCTTCCCTCTGCCAGCCAACTCCACGTCCAAGTGCCTGACTGCCACTCACAGCGGGCCAGGTCCCAGGGAGACTGAGGCCCGGCCCACGTTCTGTCACACTGTTTCTGACTTTTTGTTCAACCTTGGTTGTCTCTCAACTTCCATTTTGTGAATCTTGTGTAGGCCGAATCATCGCCGCCGTTGATTATTCTATTTTGTTTTATTTTGTGCTGGTCAAACTGGAAGTCTTCCGTCCCCATCCAGGACGTGTGACGCACCGTCCTTCACCCAAATTCTTCAGGAACCGCAGAACAGACACCCCTCCCAGGTCCCTGCTTGCTGCGTCCCGTTGCAGGGCTAGCTACCTAGGTACTTAACTAGAGGTATCTACCGGGCGGGCTACTTTGTACCTTGCCCCTGCCGACCTAACGCCCGCCTGCCAATTATTTACCTACCTTCTCGCTGGATGTCCCCATCGACTCCTGCCACTACAACACACCACAACCAGAACCCATCCACACCCACCCACACCACCTCACACCTGAGAGGCTGGGCTACTACTACCTTGTTTGCCTTGCCTTGCCTAACCTTCCCCTCCAAAAAACATATCTTGTACCGGCCGGGACCTCGTCAACGCCGCGCCGTCACCAACCAGATCCTCGACACCTCCCGTCGGTTTGCAGCGTGTGCAAGCAGGACTGGACATAGCAGGCGGCACCTTTGACGACGCCTCGTTTTGCCAGCAAAGAAGTGGACGCCCGCAGAGGACCAAAATCCTCAAGGCGCCTCCTCGAGTCCCACACCCAACCCCCCGGGACCCCGATATTCGCAGCCCCGAGTCACAGTCGGTTCCAGCCCAGCTTTCGGCGTCATCCGAATCCGGCCACCACGACCGGCGGCAACCCAAGCTCTCTCCTCCCCCCCCGCAACCCCGCGTCCGAAGCTGATTCGGCCTCTCCCAACCCGCCTCATTGGGCGCCAGCACATTCCGACTCGCTGCGGTGGCCTCACGCCGGTGAGCAGCTACCGCGCCGCCACATCTCCCAAGCCGGCATGATGAACAGCACCGGGCATCTGCCGGCTGGGCAGCCAATGCAGGGTAATGCCGATATGGGAATCCCCAGGATGAATGGAGGCCCCGGTGGCCAGGGCCATCTCGGTCAGGGCCACGGTCCCCGTCGCGGACGGCCTCACCACAACCACTACAATCCTGGTGCTCACCACCACCACCACCATGGGCAGTATCACCAGCCTCATGTCGCGCACCAACCCATGTATGCCGCCAACTACATGCCACAGCCTTACGGTGTTCCCCCTGGCTACTATGCCCCCCCTGCCTACCAGAACGCCGCCACCATGAACCCCTACGGTATGCCGCAATACGCACCGCCAGCCGCCACCTACGCTCGATCGCCCCCGGCCATGCAGCACTACATGCCCATGGTAGCTCAGAATCCCTACGCTCGACCGGCTCCTCCCCAGTCTCCCATCGTCTCGACCCCGTACCAGGCTCCCCCCATGCCTCCGCCAGCGCTCGTACCGGTTCCTGCTCCCCACACTCCCTCGTCGACACACTCTCACGTCGTCCCGACTCCTATGACTCCGCCGGCTCAGCAGATGCCACCGATCGTCCCTCCCCAGGCACAGATTCAGTCGCAGCCTCAAGTTCAGGTTCAGCCTGAGCCCGAGCCCGAGATTCAGCAAAAGGTGGTGGTGGAGGAGCCGGTGGCTGAGGAGGCCAAACAGCCCGCGCAGGCTGAGGCCGTATACTCGCACTTCGCTTCGCCGCAAAAGTCTGACAAACCGCCGTTCTCTCTCCCTTGGTTTTCGCATCCTGATACTCCGTTCCCGGCTCGTACAAAGCTTAGGAGACGCCGGCAAGCTCCTTCTGCTGCCTCGGAAAGTGTCAGCCTTCCTACTGCTCCTGGCCAACAACATGAAGCTGCTCCAGTAGAAAGTGCTCCCACGGAAAATGTCCAGGAAGATGCGGCTGTCTCTACGCCCAAGGGCACGCCTAAGCTTGAGATTCTTCCTCCCCGGTCTGAAACTCCTTCGACTCAAGAGCTTCCTTCTGTGGACACCCCGTCGACTTCGCCGACTGGCTCCATCCCATCTCAGCAGCTCCAGGTTTCCGAGTCCATCACGGCCTCTCCGGCTCAGCCCGCGAAGCAAGCTACTCGTGTCCCCGTTCCCGCTGTCCCTGCCGTCCCTGTGGTGCCTGTTTTGCCGAAGCCTGCTCCCAAGGACAAGCCCGCTACTAGCGAGGAGAAGCCGTCTACTGAGACCAAGCCTGCTGGTTCTACCCCTGCTGCTGAGGAAACTTCCGAAACTACTGCCAAGGATTCAACTGCTTCGGCGCCCGAGTCTTCGGCTCCGGCTGCGCAAGCTGCTCCCGCGCCCGCACCTGTTAAGCCTAAGTCTTGGGCCAACTTGTTCACCAAGCCTGCCGCTCCTGTCAACGCCGCTGCCGTTGCTGTCGCTGCTGCCTCTGCTTCCCAGACCACTGTCAACGGCAACACCGTCGCGGATGCTTCAGGAGCCGCTACTGGGGTTGCCACTGGCTTTGCTCAGTCTAAGGCGACCTCCATGGCCGAGGCCATTCAGTCCTACCGGGTCGGGACCGCTGAGAAGATTGTTTTCTTGGAGCCCCGCGGCCTTGTTAACACTGGTAACATGTGCTATATGAACTCTGTAAGTGGCTCCAACCCTGTGGGCTTGAAACGTGCAATACTAATACTTTCACCAGATTCTTCAAGTTTTGGTTAACTGCATTCCTTTCTATGACTTCTTGGATCAAGTCAGCAAGAAGGCTGTCCACAGCTTCAACAGCGAGACTCCTCTCCTCGATGCCATGATCATGTTCATGCGCGAGTTCAAGGTAATCGATTCTGCTGTATCTATTGACCAGCTCAAGAGGCGCCTCAAGAGCGAGGAACTCGAGCAGTACGGTGAAGCCTTCACTCCCGAGTTTGTCTATGACGCTATCAGAAAGCTCCCTCGTTTCGCAAGCATGCGCCGTGGTCATCAACAAGATGCCGAGGAGTTCCTCGGTTTCCTCCTTGAAGGTCTCCACGATGAGTGCACTCATGTCATGAGTACTCTCCCGGTTTCGACTACTTCAACTGCGCCCAACTCGTCCTTGCCCTCGCCTACGGCGTCCAACACTGGTGATGACTGGCTTGAGGTTGGACCCCGTCAAAAGGCTGCAATTACTCGTACTTCTGGTTATTCCTCTTCGATCTCTCCCATTACTAGGATCTTCGGTGGTCAACTCCGCTCTGAACTCCGCATTCCTGGCCTCAAAAGCTCCGTTACCCTAGAGCCCTATCAGCCCCTTCAGCTCGATATTGGTGCTCCCGAGGTTCGTAACATTGTTGATGCTTTGAGGGGTCTTACTCGCCCAGAGACGATTCACGGAGATTTCAATTCGCCCCATGGCAAGGACGCAAAGGCTACCAAGCAGGTGTTTATCGAGTCTCTGCCTCCCGTCCTCATTTTGCACCTAAAACGCTTCCAGTTCGATGCTGAAGGCCATGGTACCATCAAGATTTGGAAGAAGGTCGGATATCCCTTGGAGCTCGAAATCCCCCGCGAGGTTGTCTCTCGGCAGAAGCGCAACACTACTCATGCTGAGAATGCCGATCTTCTCAAGTATCGTCTCATCACGGTTGTCTATCATCACGGAAAGAATGCCAGCGGCGGACATTATACAGTTGATGTTCGTCGCCAGGACGGCCGTGAATGGGTTCGCATTGATGATACTGTCATTCGCCGTGTGCGCCCTGAGGACGTCGCTGAGGCTGGCGCAGAGGAGAAGCCCTCCAAGGGCGCCGTTGGTGACCGCAGGGAGAACGGCAGCTCGGCAGCAGCTAGCAACCGGTTCGGCGCCATGAACGATGATGATACTGGTGATGACGAGGGCTGGAAGCAGGCTACTGCGAGCGGCAAGAAGTGGAGCAGCGTCGTCAACGGGGCCGGTCTTGCTGCTCCTAGCGGCAGTGGCAGCTTGAAGGCTGCCGCCAAGCAACATAATGATAGCTTCAAGGACAACAAGGTCGCTTACCTGTTGTTCTACCAGCGTATCTGAGGGGTTTTACGGAATAGAGTTTGTGGAGGGGTTGCGTAGCCATATTTGAATCGGCTCAGCGATCTCTCCAACCATGTGGCGCTTTGGGAGATACCAACATCTCGGCGTACAAAAGCAAATGGGAACGGACGCGTTATGAAGATGACGATGTTCAAGAAACGTTACAACTACAGCGAAAACTAAGAGAGAAGAGCGACGGTGGCACGACAGGCCACATTTGAGTCGGCGTATGGGCGCCGATGCTTCAAGGACATTGCTTCAACGGTTAGGCAGGGTTGAACATTGCCTGGAGCCAAGGGCATTCGGGACATGAACCTGGATCCCTGTCCACCATCTTCATGACTGCCAGTCATGAGGATACAACCGCCTGAGACAGCTGGGTGGGCGGTACAAGAAAGCAGACCGGGTACACTCTGGGCCGTCTTGACGAGGTGATGAGTTAAGATGAGACGAAGCTTTTCTCATACTATCATATCATCCAGCACTGCCTGTCGACCACTTCAATTTGACTGACTGCACCATTAAATCATAAATTCATTAACCCTCTATGCACCATACCTCACCGATATCTGGAACTCTCACATATGCTAGATAAGATGTGGAGACATGAGGCTTCTCTTCTATATAATAGCGAATGAATACCAACAAACATCTAGCGGTTACCACAGTGGCTTGGAAGATGATTTTGGAAGAAAGAGTGATAGCATAACTCAAAGCTTGAAAGGGGAAACATGATCACAGCTACGGGAGATCTGGGGAAAGTTCAGGGCATTTTGTTAAGGAGGGTAAAGGGATGAGATGATGGATGGTTTGATGGAATGAGGAGGACAGAATCTTGGTCTTGGTCTTGGCTGGGGTAAAGTTGGTGGGCTGAGAGGTGAATGGATGATACCTACTTAGACAACATAAAACAAAACTTGAAAAGGAGAGACGGCAGTCCAAAAATGAGGAATCGAGGAGAATAAATTAAAAGGGGCTATGTGTATGAAAAATGAATCTCAAGATGGTGTGTGAACTACGTTAGACAAGTAGAAGTTATATATCACTTGACCACTTTGAGCTGGTCGCTCTACATCGTTTTGGGCATTTGTGGGTTTTGGAGGTTGTGGTGATGAGATGCGCGACAAAGGTCGATGTGGACTCGTTGGATAAGTAGTAAATATACATATGTATCTTACAAATTTCATCTCGAAAAGGCATGGTTTCCGTACATACGAAGTGCCAGGAGGTACCTATCTCTAGTGAGAATGACAGGACCGTGTCTGGACTGAACCAAGGAACTTATTGATGGCCCTAACAACGGTCTAACACGTTCTTTGCAGTGATCATGAATGTACACACACCGACTACATCAGTAGAGTGTCCAGGACTTCACACATAAATCATGAAAATAGCCAGAGATTCTTGTTCATTTCATCATCCAAACTCATATACCCAACACCCCATGTAAATCATCAACATTATCACAACTTCGCCTTCGCCTCCTTCGCAGCACTAAAGTCCGGCTTCACCGCAATCCTCGGGTGATCCCCAGCCAGCTTCAACCCCGTCACGCTCTCCAGCTCATCAACCGCCTCAAACGCCTTTCCCAACCCAACCTTGATAGTCCTAAACCCAGCCTTCCTCGCCGCCTTCAGATTCTCCCCAATATCATCCAGAAACACAAAATCCTCCGGCCTCACCCCTTCTCCCCAACCACCCCTCTTCCCCCTTTCAGAGTCAGCATTTGCCCTTGCAAACTGGTCCACCTTTTCCAGCGCCAACTGATAGATCCTCGGATCCGGCTTCCTTAACCCCACATGCGCCGACGAAATGAAAACATCAAACAGCTGTCGCAACGGATCGCTGAAGAAGTCCTCCTCCGCCCACTTGTGCCCCTCGGGCCAGATCACGGTGTTACTCAGCGCCGCGACGACGAAGCGTCCATCTTCCTTGAGTTTTTGGAGGGCGGGAAACATCCATGGATCCGGAGCTCTCGCGTGCTCCATCATGTCGTGGAATAGCCACTCACCGTCGATCTGGGGGATGGGCGGGATCGATAGTAGTTCATCAGAGCCAGAAGAAGAAGAAGATGATGATGAGGAGGGGTTGTGATCCTTTTTGGCTTGTTGGTGGTGGTGGGACCGGTAGAAGGATTCCCAGAGGGATTGGCTGTGCAGGTCCCGGTTGAAGCCGGCGAAGAAGGCAGCGTCCATGGGGATGGAACCGGTTTCGAGACGGTGCCAGAACCCAGCAGGGGCGGAGCGCGAGATGGAGTGGTTGATCCAGCCTGGGGGGATGGAGTGGCGGAGTTCGTAGTTGAGGATGGCTTGGAAGGGGGAGATGACCTGGGTTTGTGTTAGTTGGTTGGTTATGTTGGTGTTGTTTAGTGACGGGTGGGTGTATATGTGTATAAAAGTGACGTGGTGATGTTGACTTACACAGACGCCGCCAATGTCAAAGAGGATGACTTTGGGCTTGGGAGACCCGGAGGACCTCTTCCCTTTGAGGACGGTTGGCGCCATGCTGTCGATGGCTTCTAGAATGTATTCAGGGGGAAACTCTTCAGGAAGCATCACACGATAATGTCATGGGACTTTGGGAGTATAAGGATGGTTGGATTCATCTATCAACAACATTGGATCTCCGCACATTGGCACCAGGAAGTGATTAGTGAAGTGAATGGTACACTAGACCTCGGTTCGGGACAGTGATTGCCAGAGGTCGACGGCTACTGAAGCCCGAGACAATGCCACTGGTAGAGCCCACAATTGCCTGCCGCTTGCATGGTAGGTACTCTTGGCGCTCGTCGCCCACCGTGGCGCCACGGCAATGGAAGCATGGGTGAATTGGTCGTCGCCAACCTGAGTTGACAACCCAGCGGTCAGCCGACCAATCAGGCGCGCTCTTGCTCTTAGGGTTGTGGGGATTGTAGTGCGAAATTCCTGCCCACCAAAGTTTGTTCGCGATCTCGAAATTTCCCTTCTGACAACCCAGCCCGTCTCAAGACCGTTTGTTGAGTGCACCCAGCAAAAGTAGTCAAAATGGTAAGTTGACGACCTACGGCGTGCGTCGCGGTCGTTCAGCAATGAGCGACCAGCGGCTACGTTCAAATCACACACCATTCCCAGAGGGAAACTTGGGGAAAATTGAGGAGAAAGAGAGTCAACGCAAGATGCTTCGGAGAGGAGGAAATATTCTGAAGCGATAATTGCTGACTCGGGGATTTTGATTGTCAGGCCTTCCACAAGCTTGTCAAGAACAGCGCGTACTACAGGTAAGCAGGTGTCCTTTTTTGAAAATCCGAGAAAATCAATAGGAACTCGGGGTCCGCTAACACTCAATCCGCCAAACAGTCGCTTCCAGACCAAGTACAAGCGCAGAAGAGAGGGCAAGACCGACTACTATGCCCGCAAGCGCCTCATCACCCAGGCCAAGAACAAGTACAATGCTCCCAAGTACCGCCTGGTTGTCCGCTTCACCAACCGCGACATCATCCTCCAGATTGTGAGCTCCGAGATCACCGGCGACAAGGTCTTCGCCGCCGCCTACTCCCACGAGCTCAAGGCCTACGGCATTGAGCACGGTCTCACCAACTGGGCTGCTGCCTACGCCACCGGTCTCCTCCTCGCCCGCCGTGTCCTCAAGAAGCTCGGCCTCGACGAGACCTTCAAGGGTGTTGAGGAGGCTGACGGTGAGTACAAGCTCACCGAGGCCGCCGAGACTGACGATGGCGAGCGCCGCCCCTTCAAGGCCTTCCTTGATGTCGGTCTTGCCCGCACCTCTACCGGTGCCCGTGTCTTCGGTGCCATGAAGGGTGCCTCCGACGGCGGTATCTTCATCCCCCACTCCGAGAACCGTTTCCCCGGTTTCGACATGGAGTCCGAGGAGCTCGATGCCGAGACCCTCAAGAAGTACATCTTCGGCGGTCACGTCGCTGAGTACATGGAGACCCTCGCCGACGACGATGAGGAGCGCTACAAGTCCCAGTTCAACCGCTACATTGAGGACGACCTTGAGGCTGATGGCCTTGAGGACCTCTACGCTGAGGCCCACGCCGCCATCCGCGAGGACCCCTTCAAGAAGGCCGAGTCCGAGGCTCCCCAGAAGACCAAGGAGGAGTGGAAGGCCGAGTCCCTCAAGTACAAGAAGTCCAAGCTCACCCGCGAGCAGCGCGCTGCTGGTGTCCAGGAGCGCATTGCCGCTCTCCGCTCGGAGTAAATTGGAAGTTGTTATGGACTTTGCTAGGGGTTGAACAACCTTTTGGGAGGAAACAGGTTCTGTTCATTCGATGCGCATGGGTGCGAAATCATCTGGGTCATGGGGATGACATGGTCTCTCAAAAGGGTTCATTTAAAAGCCAATCAACTTTCTTCTGTCTTGAGCAAAAAGCATTACCCGGCGTTTCGTTCATGTGATACCTCAATCGTAATCTGATCTTCCTTTTTCATATGAGACTCGACGCTGTCCATCTTTTCTTGTGATTGATTACCTTTCCAAAATCGCCAAAACCGGTGCAGAGCGGCGGCAAATTCTCGTGAAACACGATTCATGTAAGCCATCCATCCTCTCTCACTTCCACCGCCAAGCAATGTCATTTGCTTGGGGATGAAGATCAACTTTACGAATCTCACGAGTCATTGACCCCTCACGGTTCATGGTAGGCTGCTACTGTGTACTACATGTATACTATAATTCGATACAGGTTTCGTCGTCTGTTAGTCCGAGACCTTCTAGCCAACTTGTCCCGGCGTTTTAACAAACAATTCAAGTTGATGAGTGTTCTTATCGATGACGGGATTAAGATGAGTAGAGGTTTAAGTCTGTCTAATTGGACAAACTGGACAAACTCTGTTTTTGCCTCCCCCTTCCCTCCCCATTTGTAACTTTTTCATATTTTTCAAGTTCCATTGATCGCGGCATTCAAGATGGATGGATGGGGTTTGGTTTGGTTTGGCATGTGTCTTACTACTCGGAGGGGGTAGGTACTACAAACCGGTATCGTTCAAAACACACAAAACACAACCCGCGAAATACCGAGACGAGACAGATGCGGGGGATCAGCGGCTAGCTAGCTTGTATTCTACTAGGTTTCAGAACTCGAACTTTTTTTTTTTTTTTTCTCATGGTGAAAAAGCATGCCGGCCCAAACACATACAATGCCGGATAATGCCGGCTTTCATGATGGGGATGGAGATGGGGATGGATGGATGGAAATGACAGGACTGTGACACTGACTTGATGCGAGTGGGACTTGGAAGGTTGAGACTTTGATGGTGTGATAGCTCGAACAGGAGGGTAGGTAGACATACACTACAGACAGATGGGCAGACAAAGGTAAAGGTAATCTCAGCGACGACGGGGAATTCCCTGCCTTCTTTACCTTTCCGTGCCTGTTGGTGAAATGGTGAGAGGTGTGGTGAAGGTGTGTAGTATGGTGAAGGTGACCGACCAGTGATGTGACAAAGGTGAACGATCACCTTGCGGGTTGTCTGTTACTGGGTGAACCTTGAAACTTTAAAACGGTCAGCTGGTCATGTGGTGTGGTTGAGGTTGTGGTTGCCCGTGGTGTAGTGTATGATCTTGATCTCGGAATTGAAGACCAGGTAAGTAAGTAAGGGCGTTGATCAACCATGCACACATGCTTCTTTCATGCTTCTTCTTTACACCTTTAACCCTGCTTTATTGATGCCTGCGTTAAAAGAGGTATTTACCTACCTAAACTTCAATTAACATGAAGAGATCATATGGTGTTCTCACCTGGATTTGGAGATAGACGAGCAATGTGAAAGCATGAGGGAACAACGGTAGAAGGTTACAGTACAGGGAAAAAAAAGGGTACAGTTCGACTGCATCAACAAAGTCCAGTTATGTTTTCATTTCCCAAAGATCTCATGAAAATCAGAGCTAGGCTCAGCTGGATGGATGGCTGCCCGCCGCTGCCTGAAATGATGAGATGAGATGAGACAGTCACTACACTACACTACACTAATCACTAGACAACAATAGTGTTGAAGATCTGATCTGATGACAACTGATGATGGTTTATATTCAGTTGAGTAGTAGCGTCTTCACATCATCAGGAATATTCCAGAGTTCTGGCTGATAAATCATCTTCTATCTGTCTGTCTCTCGGTCAAGCGCTTACACTTGGTAGTTGAGAAGCCAGAAACTAGCTAGGTAGTTAGTTTGCTGGGCAGCGTTTGCGAAAATCTCCCCAATTGTAAAGGGCCGGAGTTAATTATAATGAATGTCTCCAAACGGCGTCGTCTATCGGAGTATACAACGAACTTGATAAGTGTGTACATATGTGCCCTGTGCTGGCTTGGCTGCGGGGGATGGATTTCATAAAGGTTCAATGTTTCGTGCCTGTCTATAGTGTGTAATATGGATGGAAGTGAGTCTGCTCAATTCGAGATTTGAGAACTCATGCGATGGTACTACAATGTAGCGTAGCGTAGCGTTAACGATGCGTCATGAGGTCATACATACACTACTGCCGACAGATTGATTTTAGAGAGAAATCATCAGTAAACGTTGTGAATGCTAGACTTTAGTGGCGGGACGAAGCGCATCTCGGTACGGTCCCCAAGTCCTAGCGGTATAGCCAAGAAGAAGTTGAGATTTGATATTTTGCCCCCCCTATCGGACATGTGTCTCCGATGTGTGCTCGAATTGTTCGAGGAAAAGACAATGACGAACTATACTAGTGTAGTGTAGACCAGATGTCTGAAGTATGTCTGGCTTCCAGAGAATGTAGGGCCGGGTCTAGGCCTCGAAGATTGCCATGTCGCCATTGACGGGTACACTAGTTGGGAACGAGGGAGAAAGTCGTTGTTGTTGCTGCTGTTGGATATTCACGTGGTTCATGCTTGCGATTTCGGAGTGTTGGTGGGTTTACAAAATTCCAGCTATTTGCTCTTGTCCTTGGCATCGATCTTTTTAGGCGTGTCTGGACCTTGATAAGTTGCCCCTGAGATGCCTGTTAAACTCCCCGAGGGTATTGCAGCATCTGGGAAAGTGGGAGAGGTGTTTGCCAATTCAGGAACCACCACGATGAAGAAACCATTGACGAGAAGTATTGTACAGACGAGCACATCATGTCAGAGATTTGATGAAGTCACTGGTCATCTTACCAGGGGGAAACTTGTGCTTTCGTAGGAGAAGGTGACGGGCTGTCGTCGTTCATCTTATTTTTTATTTTATTTTTGGTTTTGGTGATGTCGCAGAGATTGGGCCGAGCCGGAGGTTTCGCCCGTCAACATCTCAATTCCCCCAGGGTATAAGAAGATAAGAGAAGGACCCCTAAAAATCTGTTCCCTACACTACAATGTAGATGGGATCTTGTGGGATGCCGGGCCGGGAGAGCCAGGAGACAAGCAAGTGCTTGGAGAAGTTGTGATGAACCCGTCATGCTCCCACTCGCTCCCATCCATTGTTCTCCCTAAAATTACTGGCATGGTGGTGGTGGTGTATGGCACTGTAGCACTGTAGACAAATGTCGACATCAGAGCTCGCGTGATAGGGCAAGACAAGGACATGGCATCGGTTCAGTTCGGTTCGGTTACAGAAACACAGCGAAGGATTTCGGTCTCACGAGATGGATGGACACGATTGAGATGTGGCAGTTTCCACAAAAAGGAAGAAACAGAACTCCGTACTCGGCAAGACGTTCCTTGGCTCATCTTTGGTGTCCTTTCTCTCGGTGCAGTGCTGGTGCACAACTTTTTATGCAGTGTAATCTAAACTGATTGGTCCTGGAGATGGGTGGTGCCGTGGTGCTACCCGAAGTTATGGTTTTTGGGGTGATGGAAAAAGCCAACGAACTGGAGAAAGAAGTGAGTGGTTGATCTCTCTCTGCGTCTCCATGCGCCCATTCCCATCTTGGAGGCGTCTCCGATGATAGGGGCGAGGGCTCGCGAAGGGTGGTCCGTGAGACGGCTCCGGTGGAAAAGTGTATTTCGAATCAATGACGGGCAGAGGAAGAGAAGTGAGTTGATGCCAAGACCAAAGCAAATTCAATGGTTGCAGTGGCCGCCTTGTAAACTGGTCGGTCGGCCAAGCACGTTGGCGGTTCCATGCCCGACGTCAACCCGCGAGAAAAGTATCAGTCGCAATCAGCGAGAGCGAAAACGAGGAAAGCGAAAAGTCGCGATGATGCTGGAACTTGGATCAATACTATGGATTTTGCCATGTACAATCAGCGACACTTGTTGCCGTCTGTCTGGCTGTTGTCGTGTCTAGCGGTTCTCCGTTGCTCCATCATTTTAATCTTTTTGATATCCATTTCAAGGGTTTGAGGTATCCAATTTGTGACGCTGGCGGCGCCGGTGCGGCTGCTGATCAAGTCGCCGACGGGGCGCAGGGACTGCATAGCGGACCTCGCACAACCTACACTAACTTGAAGATGGACCGCGGCGACACACTCTGCTGACGTGTGACATGCACTATGTACACTATAAACACTCGCTCTCTTTACTTTTTCAATTCTGCAGCGGTGTGTGTGTGTGCTCTTTGTGGGGGAGGTATGCATGTGCTGAACTTGTGTCAAAAGTTCTTTGGGCTTTCTAGCGGGGGATGGCTGGATATATCGAGAAACCTACACAGGCACAGATCAACCTGACTGGAAGGAAGTGATAAGGACTAGAAATTGGGTGGGAGAGTGCCAACCCGTCGGCATCCGGACACTGACACCTCCAATGCGAGAATTATTGAACAGGACTGCAAGGCTTTATCCACCGGCAAACGGCTTGGCAAGCGACATTTCAGTGGCCGCCAGCATTGCGCCAGCCCCAGGCATATCCGAGCCAGTCTCCATCGCGGCTTTTCAAGAGTCCATATGAGATCAATGTTCATGTCGGTCGTGGTGGGGATTTTGGTTCGGAAGGTGGCGCCTCTGGTGACTTGGAGGAGGAGGTTCTTTTGTGATGCGCCGCTTTCCCCTTTTTCTCGGTCCTTCATGCAAGCATTTGTTAGCTGTCAACCGCCATTCGCTGGCAGCATTTCCTCTTTGCGGATGTTGCGCGCTTTTACAAGGGTTTGGGGCGTGTGCTTATGTATGCATGTATGTAATATGGTAAATGTTTTCTCAACGGGATGTGGGATTTCCTGACCACGGATGTATACAGTACCACGGCTTGGCTGATCCGAGAACAGACGGTGACCACGCTTTCGCCATCGATTTCATTGTTCGGTTTCTCGATTGTACTTGTGCTCGTCCAGATGATGGTCGTCGCATACAACACTTGGCGGGAGACGACAGTAACACTGCTTCTTGCATCTGATGTGATCAGTGCATTCTTTGGTGTTACTGTAGGCTCTCATGTGCAGACAGACACCAACCTGACCTACTGTGGTTCTCCCCCATTCCATCCCCCCGTTGGCCAGTGAGGGGCCGTGCTGAAAGCCAAAAGCCAGGAACTACACTATCTGATGGACAGCTTACCGAGTTCCGAATACTTACATCATGGTTGAAAAGCCATGTTCTGTAACATTGCCCCGTAGCCCCATCTGAAGCTTCAAAAACGGTCTCCGCATCGAACGACGACTTGGTCCGTGGGCAATGCCGGGGTGGGCCAGTGGGCATCGCGGCACTACTGCCCGTGTAGAGGTACCTACGGGCTCCATGTACACTACCTACGGCTGGACGTGTGGAGAGACACTGCTGCTGCTGCTGTGGGCACTGGGCAGGGTGCTTTGTAAGGTCCCGGCGAAACCTTGTCTTCTTTTTAGTTGATGGGGAATTGCTACCCTGAGAAAGGTCCTCATGTCCATCTCTCTGCCGTGCCGTCTCGGGCTGTTCCTCTCCAAGAGAGACTCCATGCCAGTAGTTCCAGGCAGTTTCCATCCGATCTGTGCCGACACCATGGCTTCTTTCTTTCCATTGTTCTCTCTCCTTCTTCTTCTTCTTCGTGGAATAGCTTCCTCCTCCTCTATTAGAAAAGCGAGAGCTTGACCATCGCCTCAGCGGCACAACTCAAGTCAACAAAGTCACAAGCATAGGTACAGTTAGGTACACTGCTTGCCTCTACATCATATACTGTGCCTCGAGTGTGCCAAGGTACATCGGGCCCAGACATCCACATCCACACGGCATACAACCTGAACCACCACACGCAGGCGGCGGGCCTACCTAACCCGGACCAACCTAAAGATCGACCACCGCCCACCACTCACCACTCACTGGACCAGCCCGTTATACCCGTGCAGCAGCTGAACGAGCGGGCAAAAAAAACCATCGACGGATCAGTGATCAGCCCAAGCGAGACGAGACAAGACGAGACAAGCGCCATTGCGAAGAAGAAGAAAAAAAAAAAAAAAAAAGAGGACAAGGACCCTCCCGTTCGGAGACACACCCACCCCACGTTTACTGTGTACGACGCTACGTTAGTACCGCAGCAACGGGAATCAAGCCTCGAGACCATCCTCGACCAAGCACCAAGGCTTCCAAGACACGGCCTGACCACGCCGCTTCCCTGTTACAGGTCCCAAGGCCTTCCTTCTTTCTTCTACATTTATCTTTCTCGGGGCGAGTCCCCAAACCACCTGTTTCTCCAATATCTCAAGTTGACCTTGGCCCTTTATTTTTTTTTTCTCTATACTTTTGTCTACCTAATTCCATTTCACACTTCGCCCACGACATGTCGACGGTCGGCCCCGAGCCCTTCCCCAAGATGGAGCACATCCACGGTGTAGACGTCAGTTGGATGACACACGGGAATCCCAAAGGTTTGCTCTTCTATATTTTATTCACGTATATTATATAACTTGAACGACACGGTTGGGTTCCATGCCCCGGCCCACGCGGAAACACCAACCAACAAGCATCGTCACATCCTCCTGCTTACAACAACTCGGGCCCTTTGTCGCGAACCTTGGTAACAAGCCGTAACTGACACAAACTTCCCGTCTACCAGACAAGATCGGCAGGAGAGCTTCTCTCGTCAAGACATTATCCCAAAATACGCTCGACATTCCCTACTCTGCTTCTCCCGGCACTGCGACTCCAGAATTTGCCCCAGCGTCGGCGCCAGCAGCAACCAATGGCTTCAGGACAGACATGCTCAATGCGCCATCGAGCACCCAAAACATGACATCCTCCACCACAACAACATCCACCACAATCGCGAAACCGATCCCAATAGGAGGACTATCGCCCGCCGCACCGGGATTCACGAGAACTGGGTCGGACGAAGGAAGGACGCCGCCAATCGGCGTTTCCCCACAGAGAAGGAATTCGTGGTTCTCCAACATCGCATCCAAGCTCTCGTCCGCAAACGGCGCCGCGCAAAGTCCGCCTTCACCAAATCCTGCATCTCCCAAGAACGCCGAATTCTCCGTGCCCAAGGTCAATCCTGCTAAGAACGCTGTCCTTCAGCACGCGACAAAACACGAAGGCGACGGTCCCTACATCCCAGCCCCGCCTGGTCGCGCTCAAGGTGGCGTCTTCCATATTTTCCGAAGGTTATCGTCGTCGAACGGAACACTGAGCACCAACGGAATGAAGGGGCATAATCACGGCCTGGTGGAGCGAAGAATTTTGAATGTCGATCAGAACAGGGAACGATGTGACATTGACGGTCTAAACCAGGCTAAACTTCGGAGAGTTGCCTTCTGCGTCGACGTCGAGATTGCGCCCATGCCACGATACGGAGACGACGCAGCGAAAAAGTCAAATGCAAAGCCCCAGGTGGTAACCACTCATGTAGCGCCAGATGGCACCATCATGGTCACCAACAGGAAAGAGGAGAGCAGCAGGGAAGCAGAGGCAGCAGCAGCAGCCAAGGCCGCTGCCGAAACAAAGAAAAAGGAAAAGAAGAAGAAGAGCGAAGAAGAGAGGAAGGCTAGGAAAGAGAAGAAGAGGAAGCTTGCCGAGGCGAACGGTACCATTCCGATGGAAATCCACGTCGATAGCGATTCCTCCGATGACGGTGGTAGCACCGCGCCGCCGCAGCCGCAGCTGCAGCCGCAGCAGCAGCAGCAGTCCGAGTCCTCCAGTCGCCGGACGCAATCGATGCCGACTACGAACCCCGTCAGAATATACCGCCGCTGTTGTCAACTACGCGAGACGCCAATCCTCAAGAGGATTACCGAGCAGCTCATGGACCCCGCAAACATGGCACCCGAGAAGGGAGTGGTGGAAAAGCTGGACCTCAGTGGATATTGGCTGCAGCTACCCGATCTGGTAACACTCGGCGATTATCTGGCCGTAGTCCCGATCAAGGAGGTGATTTTGGACAATTGTGGTTTGAGCGATGAGGGCCTCCGTGTTATTCTCGCCGGTCTGTTGGCTGCCAGGAAGAACCCGTTCAAGCGACGAAAGCAGCAGACCGGACCGGATGGGCTAACACCACAGGGCGGCGTTGTCGAGAGACTCATTCTGAAAAATAACAAGATCGGGGCCGAGGGCTGGAAGCATATCTGCCTATTCGTTTACCTATGTCACACCCTCAAGGTTCTGGATCTCTCTCAGGTTCCTTTTCCCCAGCCGCCGCCTAGCAGCCCGACCGCTCGCACAGCGAGCGATGCGAAGAAGAATATGGATCTTTGCCAACTGTTTTCAAAATCGCTCGGAGAACGCCTTGGGGGGTCAACGCTTACTCTCTTGAGCTTGGGTGAAACTGGAATTACCACAGAGCAGCTTGGGTTGGTCGTGGACGGAGTCCTCAAGTGCGGCATCAGGAAGATTGTTCTTGCAAACAACGACATCACAGATCAGGGCCTGGCGCATGTCAAGAGGTTTTTGGCGACGCCGACTTGCGATGGTCTCGATTTGGGCGGCAATGACCTGCGGGATCATATTGACAAGCTTACGGAGGCGTTGGACCAGGAAAACTGTCCATTGTCGGCACTCAGCTTGGCTGACTGTAACTTGACACCGGCAGCTCTGTCCCAGCTGTTGCCGACGCTGGTCAAGTTACCCCAGCTACGATATATCGATCTGTCCCACAACCACGCGCTCTTCAACGCCGAGGTCAGTGCGGTTGCGGTATTGCGCAAGTATCTGCCCGCGATGCCGTCCTTGAAGAGGATACACCTCGTTGACTGCGCTCTTACCCCTGAGCAAGTCATCGCCCTTGCCGAGATTCTGCCAGAGATTCCTGGCCTTGCACATGTCAGCTTCTTGGAGAACCCACAAATCGTGGAACTGACGGATGCAAACACGGATGAGGCGAAGGAGTCCGCCTTTGCGCTGTTCGCGTCGTTACTCTCTGCCGCGAGGGTTTCACGAAGCCTCGTCGCCGTGGATATCGAGGTTCCTAATGAGCAGTCGAGCGATCTTGTCAAGGCCATGGCTAAGCAGGTCGTTGCCTACTGCCTTCGCAACATGGGTGAACACATGTCGACTGTTGGCGATTTTGCCTCTATGGCTGGCGGCCTGCCAGACTTCCCGGCTGAGCCTGAATACCCCGATGTGCTTCAGCGCTTGGTTGGTGCTGATGTCACTCAGCCCTATGATCCAGAGGATGATCTGGATATTGCGCCGGATGAGGACTACGTTATTGGTGGCACTGGTGTCGTCAAGGCCTTGGCATGCTGCTTGGATAACTGCGACGAAGAGTTTAGGATTCTATCTGGCGAGTCGGTCGGCGACGGCGAGGCCGGCCATGAGCAAACTAAGCCTCACCTCCCCGTCGGCAAGGCTAAGGAGACTTCCAAGCACCTGCTGCTCAGCGCAAGGAAGATCCGCACCAGGTTACAGCCTGCCATCCAAAAGGCCAGGGATTCGCACGAAGATACCCACGCCTATCATCGTCTCATCTTCATCGACAACACCCTCAAGGGCATCATCAAGCGTTTCGAAGACGAGTTTCCCGACACCAAGGAACTTCCTGCCTCCACCACCGCCGCCGACTCCGCCTCCTTCATCTCCTCGGGCTCCTCCTTCACCAACTACCCGTACGACGACGCCGAGAAGTTCATGGGAACTTCCATCTCCTCCATCGACCTTGCCCCATTCGCCTCCATCTGGAGCGACGACGCCGACGACGCCGAAGCCGCGCAAGCCGCCGCCTTTGGCATCAAGCCCCGTGGCCTGGTCCGGTCCAACTCCACCCTTTCTCTGTCCTCCCGCGCTCTGGCCGACGAAGAAGCCCGCGTCCTCCGTGCCGGCCACAAGTTTCGCTCGGGTTTGACGGGCATTGTCAAGCCCGAGCATTACATGCTGTTAAACTGCGGCGTGGAAATGATTGGAGCCGACCCGAACCACGCTCGTCTGCTGCACGAAATGTTTGACGAGCTCGACGACGACGAGTACACCAAGATGGTGGAAGAGCGCGGGGCCGTGGCAGTGTTTATCGAGAACAAGGAGGACGTGGTTCGCAAGCTGAGGGAGATGGACCCGGCGCATTGGGACCGGTTTGTGGAGAGCCAGGAGATGGCGAGGAAGAATGTCGAGGCTCCTGTCCAGGGCAATGCCGTGTTGGCGGATAAGTGTGAGGCGAACATGAAGAGCTTGAATGCGGCGGGGACGGGGGCGCAGGGGACGTCCGAGTTGACGATGAGGTTGAAGGGGGAGAAGGAGAAGGAGAAGGAGAAGGTTGCCTCTGAGCAGCAGAAGTGAGGTGTTTAATATGGAGTTGTTGTCAAGGTAGCGAGGTGGGGGTATTTATTTGCTTTCAGTTTAACGGCGGGTGGGTGGTGTTGGGAAGGAAGCACATGCGGGCGTTTTTGGTGCCGATTGGGGAGTTTGTGGTTTGTTGCAAATGGGAGACTTTTTGATGGTCTGGGAGGGATTTTCATTTGTTCTTATTTATGGAGGTTTTGGGCTTTTATCGAGCTCATGTCGTAGCTATCAAGCAATACCAGCATATATGTTCTACAGTACTTGACTTGTGCCTCAAAGTGACTACCCCTTAGACATTGTCAACTGAACTAGACAGACAAACCAACCAAACCCATAAAACTCCCTAAACACCATTGCCCTCGTGTTTCGGTATCATCAATCAATAAATCAGTCAATAAATCAATCAACCACCATCCGACCATTACATATTACTTAAAAACTCCATCAAAATCCTAATCAATACCCATCCTGCTCCTTCCTCCCATCACCACCCACCCCCTCCTCTTCTTCCACTTGCATCTCTCCTTGACCACCCATTCTAACCTCCTCATCCCCCCTCAACTTTGCAAAATACGCCTTGATATCCTCCGCACTAACCGCCCTCCCACTCTCAGCAAACTCTCTGAAAAACGGCTTCAACTTATCTTTGAGGTGGTTATACGCCATGACGCCCTCAATGGCTCGCACCCGATCGATATTCCGTAAGGCCGACTCGCCTCTTTCGAGAACCGATCCCGACCCCTTGCTGCTGCTTCCGCCGTGTAGAGAATGGGAGGGGGAGGTTGTTTCGGAAACGGGGGGTTCGTAGGTGTCTTCTTCTTCGAGGAGGTGGGGGTGTGGGATGAGGAGAGGGAAGCATTGGGGGCAGTGGCAGAGGAGGGAACGGAAGGAGGGGGTGGTGAAGAAGAGGGAGAAGGGGGACTTTTGGGAGGGGGAAGGTGGTGGGGGGAGGGAGGAGAGGAGGCAGGGTTTGGGGTTGGGGTTGGGGTGGGGGGTTGTGGTGGAGGAGGAGGAGTCTATGGTGGTGAGGGTTGTTGTGTTGATGGTGGTGGTGGTGGAAGAGCCGTTGGTTGTGAGGGACTCGGTTGTAGTGATGGCGGTAGTCGTTGACTGGACGGTTTCATCGGTTTTGGGCTTCTTTTCTTGGGATTCCTCGATGTCTTCGTTATCGTCGTCAGATGCTTTGCGCTTCTTGGATGAGGAATCGCCGTTGACTTCGAGTTCCGAGGTGGTACTAGTGGTTTGCTCCTCCTCCTTCTTCAGATAGACAGGCGGTAGGAATCCTTCAGTACCCGCATATCTCTTGATCCAGGGGTACGCCTCGACGCACTTGTAGCAGATGAATCCCTCAAAGTCGTCATCGGCAGGGAAGCCAGGCGGTGGAGGTGGATCGTCGTCTTCGTCTTCTTCCTCTGCCTCTTCAACAAGGGCGCCGTTCTGTTCTGTTGTCTCGTCTTCCGCGATTGTAGGTAAGGACCCATTTTCGGTCTTGATCTCCATCTTCAGCGCCGCAGACTTGGGCTTATCCTTGATGTCCATCTTCTCAAACCAATCTGGACCCAAACCCACGATGCACCCAGGATGGTACCAATCCTCTCCACAACCGCCTGTTTCTGCCGTACCTAGTCCCAGACATTGAAACATGGTCCCCTTCTGCTCAAACGGGTCATAATCGCACTCGCAGCCGCAGAACCGATTCCGGAAGTTATGGTTGTACTTGTTGTTGGCATCTGGTTCCTCCGAGTGCACGTCGCCCTTGGTGCCCGTCTCCTCATTGATGCGCAGGTTGCACGGGCTCGTGGGTGGGAAGCGTGTGGTACCGCAGTCGCAGGTAAAGTTGCGCTTGGCGAAGATCTCGACAAGAGTGTGCTCGCCGTGACACTGGACGGAGCAGGAGTAGCAGATGCCGGCCGCGTTGTAGGGCGCTTTCGGGTCGGCGGGTGGTGGGTTGCAGGTCAGACAGGAGAAGACGGCCTGGCGGAGGGGACCGAGAGGCTTGGTGCAGGTTTCGATGCTCTGGTGGGAGGTTAGGATTGACATTAAGGAAAAGGGTAGAGAAGACAAGGGATACGCACGTATGGAAGAGCTTCGCGCGCGTCGGCCTCTAGTTGCATTTGGTCGCGGATGAAGCTAGACCATGGTTAGTACTGTATCGTGTGGTAACTCCAATGTATGATAACATACTCTGCGGCAGTCTGAGAGTTTTCCGACTTCGCGGAGAAGCTCTCAGTACGAGTCTTGGTGAGCGCGACCGGTCCTGGAGCTTCATGGCCATTTGGAGTGGCCTCGACGGGCTGTTGCGCCGGTTGGGGATCCATTGGTGATGCTTTCACGGTCAATCTTGCGATAGTGGGCGTGTGTATAAAAAATGGTGAGAAGACAAAAGTCTTTAGATGGTGTCGGGTCACGCAAGATGGGTTCTGTCCGGAAGTATTCAAACAAGAAACAATTGCTGGGGCGCGAAGAGGAGGAGGAGGAGGAGGAGGAGGGGAGCGCGTTGGTGAAAGCGTGAGAGAGCGGCCCGGGGGAGAAGGACCGAGCTTGCAATGTACCCTTTGGTCTAAGGCACTATAGGTGTCCAAGCAGCACAGATTGGAATTGGGTTCAAGGAAATCTCATTGAAGGTGATTTGATCAATAATAACATCGTCCTGAAATATGTAGCACCTTATAGCTCATGCTTTGCTTCTTCTACTCGTCATTGTTCACTTGGACTTTGGGCTTTTGTGACTTTTTTGGAATCTCGACAAGTCGAATTGGCGTGTAAGAGCAGCACCAAGTGGGTCCGGTACGTACTGCCAAGCCCATTAACCACAGCAACCACTTAACGCGACCGCCCTTATCCGGCTTAGCGCATCACGTCTGGCGCGTCTTCCCTGGACTGCAACGCGAAAAAAAAGCAGGGACAAGGTCGCAAGCGAATCGCAAGGGCAACATTCATTCAGTGGTTCCTCGACGCTGTTTGTCTCCATTCCCCTCTCTCTCTCTCTGTCTCACCCCGCAACATATCCTCTTTCTGGCTGGCATTCATTCTCCATAGCAATAACCAGGCCAGCATCCTTCATTCTCTTGTTTCTTCCATCCGTAGCTGTAACCAAGTCGCAATCATGAGGTATGTATGCCTCTTGCTCTTTCGTCTGTCACGGCTTCTCTTCGCAAGTAAACAGTGATTAACTGAACCTCTTCCAATACCAGTTCCCCGCTTCGCGACAACCCGTCCTCTGCCAACCGTGGCGCCGCTCCCAGGGCCACCCGCAAGCGTGCGCGTAACGATAACGATGGTGCATCCTCGCTTCCCCGGGCTTCGAGCCCCGTCATGCCCTCTTCTCCTCCCGCCTTCCCAGTTGCCCATGGCGCAGATGAGGACGACGACATCGAGGAAGACGTCGCCGCTGAAATCCAAGACGACATTGACGACCTCGACGAGTTGGCCGAAGACGATGTAGACTTGTTCCGCGAAGGTTTCGAGCGTGATTATAGGGAAAGAGACGAAAACGACGCCTACGAAGGAATTGACATCGACGATGAGGAGTATGAGGCCCTCGACCCCGCCGCAAGGCGCCGTCTTGAAGCCAAGTTGGCCCAGAGAGACCGTCACGTGAGGATGGGAATGGGCACCACATATCTTCCTGGTGACGACGACGATGGTGATATCGACCTTACCAACCTGGAACGACGCCGAAGAATCCGCTACAATGAAGACCCCGATGTCGATATGGATGGCGACATTATGGACTCGGAACTTCCTCTCGAAGCCCTGATGGATGTCAAGGCTGCCACTTTGAGCGAATGGATCTCAGTCCCGGCTGTACAAAAGACCATCCGCAGAGAGTTCAAGGCTTTCCTCACAGAATACACCGACGAGAGCGGTTCGTCCGTCTACGGCAACCGCATTCGTACTCTCGGTGAGATCAACGCCGAGTCTCTCGAGGTCTCCTACGAACACCTCGCTACGGCCAAGGCCATTCTTGCATACTTCCTCGCCAATGCGCCAACCGAGATGCTCAAGCTATTCGACGAGGTTGCCATGGAAGTCGTCCTCCTCCATTACCCCGACTACGAGCGCATTCACGCCGAGATTCACGTCCGTATCTTCGATCTTCCCATCCACTACACGCTCCGTCAGCTCCGCCAGTCGCACCTCAACTGTCTTGTGCGCGTGAGCGGTGTCGTCACCCGCCGTACCGGTGTCTTCCCCCAGCTCAAGTACGTCAAGTTCGACTGCACCAAGTGCGGCGTCACTCTCGGTCCCTTCCAGCAAGAGTCCAACGTCGAAGTCAAGATCTCCTACTGCCAATCCTGCCAGTCTCGTGGCCCCTTCACCCTTAACTCCGAGAAGACCGTCTACCGCAACTACCAAAAGCTCACCCTTCAAGAATCCCCCGGCACCGTTCCCGCCGGTCGTCTGCCCCGTCACCGCGAGGTCATTCTCCTCTGGGACCTGATCGACAAGGCCAAGCCGGGCGAGGAGATCGAAGTAACGGGCATCTACCGCAACAACTACGACGCGCAGCTCAACAACCGCAACGGCTTCCCCGTCTTCGCCACCATCCTTGAAGCCAACAACATTGTCAAATCCCATGACCAGCTCGCCGGCTTCCGCATGACCGAGGAAGACGAGCATGAGATCCGCCGCCTCTCGCGCGACCCGCATATCGTCGACAAGATCATCAACTCCGTCGCCCCTTCCATCTACGGACACACCGACATCAAGACCGCCGTCGCCCTCTCCCTCTTCGGCGGCGTCGCCAAGCAAGTCGGCGCCCACCACATTCGTGGCGACATCAACGTCCTTCTCCTCGGCGACCCCGGTACCGCCAAATCACAAGTACTCAAATACGCCGAAAAGACGGCCCACCGCGCCGTCTTCGCCACCGGCCAGGGTGCTTCCGCCGTCGGTCTAACGGCCTCCGTCCGGCGCGACCCGCTCACGTCCGAATGGACTCTCGAGGGCGGCGCCCTCGTCCTCGCCGACAAGGGCACCTGCCTGATCGACGAGTTCGACAAGATGAACGACCAGGACCGCACGTCCATCCACGAAGCCATGGAGCAGCAGACCATCTCCATCTCCAAAGCCGGTATCGTCACGACCCTACAGGCCAGATGCGGAATCATCGCCGCTGCTAACCCTATTGGCGGGCGGTACAACTCCACCATTCCCTTTTCTGCCAACGTGGAGCTTACCGAGCCGATTTTGTCTCGTTTCGACATCCTTTGCGTCGTGCGCGACACAGTCGAGCCCGAAGAAGATGAGCGGCTGGCGCGCTTCATTGTCGGGTCGCATAGCAGGAGTCATCCGTTGATGAACAACACGCAGGACGCTAGCGGTGGTGATTCAATGGAAGTGGAACACGACACCCAAGCTGCTGCTGCTGAGACACAGCAGCAGCAAACTGGTGAACACGGCCGTAAAAAGGAAGGCGAAATCCCACAAGAGCTGTTGAGGAAGTATATCCTTTATGCCCGAGAGCGGTGCCAGCCAAAGCTGTATCACATGGATGAGGATAAGGTGGCGAGGCTGTTTGCGGATATGAGAAGGGAGAGTTTGGCGACGGGGGCTTATCCTATTACCGTAGGTTTCTTTCTTTTTTTCTCGTCATCACCCAACCCAACCCAACTCAACAACACATACTAACCTCCTCATCTCTACTAGGTCCGTCACTTGGAAGCCATCATCCGCATCTCCGAAGCCTTTTGCCGCATGCGCCTTTCCGAGTACTGCTCCGCCCAGGACATTGACCGCGCTATCGCCGTGACCGTCGAGTCCTTTGTTGGCTCGCAAAAGGTCAGCTGCAAGAAGGCGCTTGCCAGGGCTTTTGCCAAGTATACGCTTAACAGGCCTGGTACTGGTAATAATGGCTCTGGGAGCGGCACCTCTCAGGGGAGGAGGGGCGGTGCTAGGAGGGGTGTGAGCGCTGCTGCTTGAGAGACTCTGATGACTTTTTGAAGTAAGTGGAGGGATATGAAATCATGCTTTTTGTGAAGGACCTGGGAAGATTACACGGTTGGGATTTGTTTGGGTCGCTTATGAACTTTGTGTAAAAAGGGCTTGATTAGAGCCGGAGTGGAGGCGTTGGGTATATCATCTTGTACGCTTGTTACGTATTGTGGATGGCATAATGTCATATTTTCTTTCGGTTCAAGCGAAATAGAACCCCAAGTGATGAAACCAAAAACTGGCATTATCAGCAATCGTATTTGCCTCCACCTATCTAGTGTCGTATCATTCCTTCATAACATCATGATGTAACTGTCCCTATTTTGTGATACGCCTGTCCCATCGTTACCACGCCAACAAGGAGAGAGCAACCAACCAATCTTCCATCCGATGAGTGTAAACCACCCACCGCTTCTTTCAAGTACAGTCATTCAACTGTCCTTTCCTTCCCTCAAAAAATAGATAGACAATGCTACATCTCACAGTTTTAGTCCATACACACGTACGTCTACACGCGTAATGAAATACAAGACAATATGCTCTTCTCCCAAAGTAAAGCAAACAGTAGTTATGACGGGAAGCGCAAAACGCCAGGAACTTGTGGTGTCTCCACATCCCATTTCCCTTATAGTAATGCATCGCCCGCCTTTGCCACAAACGCCGATGTATGCATAAGAAAAGATCCAGTTGTGGTACCCATAACAATGAAACCGGCCGTAGCAGAAAAATGCTGAAAGTATGACTGATCCTAGTTTGTCCCATGCGAAATTAAGTTGCAGTCTTGCCACTGGCTTTGCCGATACAGCTAAGCGAGCAGATGGCCAAGGCTTCTAAAAGTGGTCGCTTAGCATTCCAGTTGAATGCTCATAACGGAAAATAGTAGGAAATGTTGAGGGAGAGAATAGAGAAATGGTCGGAGTAACCTTGATTCCACAGCCCAAAGCGGACTATGCCACTAAACTCTGTGACCAATCGAAAGACAACCGACCGCTGTTCCAAACGGTTATCGAATGGTGTTCAGATCGGAAAGGAACTTTGTCGCAATGTAGCAATCCCATACAAAGGATATGATATCCCAGAGCTCATACAATGGGCCCCAAATGATTCGAAATCCTATCCGTGGTGGATATCCAGCCAACATATCCGACCGACAAAACCTAGGCACATATATACTTCTGGTGAAGGGTCGGTGCAAGACAACCGACCCCTCTCCGGCAAGACGATATCCACCCGGGATGCAAGGTGATGAATTTTCCAAGATGCTTGTTCAAACGTCAGTCATCGTCGTGTCGAACTGTTCCGTGGTCGAAGCGGTCTCCAAGCCCCAGTTGCCTTCGTACACCGTTGCTCCGGCGGTCCTGCGGCAAGCAACCCAGTCGACGGACTCTACCTTCAGTAGAGCCTCGGCCGTAGGTCGATTCGCAGGCTCAGGCTGGATCATCCACCGGACAACGCTGTCTAGCGAGTGCGGATCATTGGCATCCATCATGAACCTTGGGGGTTCCTGGAGCTCGCTTCTCTTTTGCGCACCAAACAAGTTGCTCGGGTCATATGTGACTGAGCTGAAGGCAGAAAGATCGCCATCATCGGTAGAAATCTGTGCGTCCCGAATGATACCACCAGCATCACTCGAGGTAAGACTAGGCACAACCGTCAGATCGCCATTTCGAAGGGCCTGCCATGTGGGACCGTTGTCGGGAAGATAGACATTGCAAGCAATCTCCAAGATGATAAGTCCAAGAGCAAAGATATCGGCTGGCTTGTCGTACTGTCCCAACAAGATCTCAGGACCAATGTACTCTCGGTCACCTTCGCCTTCGACCCCTTTGGGGGCCGGCCATGGGACTGCGAATCCAAAGTCGCCGATCTTGAGATAGCCATCGAACCCGATGAAGATATTGGCAGGTTTCAGATCCAGGTGAATGAAGCCAGCGCTGTGAATGGCGGAAAGACCCTGCAAGTTAATCAGTTAGCAAGCCATTGTGGGAGATTCGAAACCAAGTTAGCCTACCTGGCTTAGTTCAAGCAATGTCTTCCAGATGCGGAAATCATCCATCCTGCCGTTTTGCCCAACTTCTCTGAGAAATGCGTCAAGACTGCCTTCGGTGCAATACTCAGTCTGGATGTATAGACATCCGTTTTGCTCCCAGCTGTCGACATAGTGCACGATCTTGTCGGAAGTACTCAGGGCCTTCAAGACGTTGACCTCGCGCATCTTGCTTTCGCGTTGCTTCTCACCATGGCCAAAGAAAGCGATTTTCTTGACGGCAAAGACCTTCTCTACCTCGGGCGTATGTCTGCCGGGAGTTGATGTAAATGACGAAAAGGAAGCCATTGTGGAGCGTTGAACAACACGATACACTTGCGAAAAGGCACCACCCCCAATCACCTCAGCTTTGTCGAAGCGACTATACAGTGCTTCATCGACATTGCTAGGAGCATTCACGTTTTGGGGCGTAGAGCTGATTCGACGGTTCTGCCCCTTGGTAAGTGGCTGGCCTTCAGGTGTTGCTGACGGAAGTCCTGGGCCGACGAGTGTTGTAGGTGTCGACGGCGACCGAGCAAACTTGATATTGCCTTTGCGAGCATTTGAGATGGACAAGAAATTTCCGTCAGGCGGGCCCATAGTTTCCGAAGGTGTCTTAGGATTCCTTGGATTCACTGGGCTGGCTGAATCAGGTGTATGCTTTTCTGAGGCTTCCACTATGGTGGGGTTGGTCTTGACGGGGGCAGGAGTGGTAAAGGAGTTGCCACGTCCGCGGCGCATGGTAAAGGAGGGGAGAGACTGGCTCATCCGCGGTGAGTCTTTGATGCCGACTGGGAGAAGTTCACCGTCGGCCGTGGTGGGACGATCTGTCTGCCCGTTGCTATGTCGACCTAGTGGACTTGTAAATCCGAAACTTGAACTCGGTGTGCTGTGCTCCTTGCCAATACCAAAAGCAGACGCAGAATGCGTGAACCGTGTGGCAGTGGGGGTCATTTGTGCCTGTTGCGGGTGTGCTGGCGTTGATTGTGACTTGAAAAGACTCTTAGTCGGTGTTGGCGGGGGAAAATCATCGGACTCAGGTGAGTCTCCTGCATCTTCGCCCTCGAAACTCAACAGACTTGCTCTTCGAAGGTTGTTTCCACGAATTTGCTTGAAGAACAGACTCGCGGATCGGTCCTGGGGAGCAAAAGGGCTGCCGCGCGGCGTGCTCGACGCATCAGGAAGAGGGGTAGTTGCAGTGCCAAAAGACAATCTGGGGCGTCTGGCACTTCCCAGCGGTTTTGGAGGAAACGTTGAAGAGTCATAAGGCTGCTTCTTGCAAGGAGTGTCGGGCATAATCTCGGAACTATCTCCAGGACGCTTGGGCGGGCCAGCCTCGGGGTTTCGGTTCATCTTGGACACCAGTCCCGTTGACATAAAGGCAGCCTGGAATGGCTTGGCTCGCTTGTATTTTGGTGTAGCCACGGGCGGTGGAATCTTTGCACCTAGGGGGCGAGCTCCCAAAGGCAGTGATCTTGAGAAGTTCAAAGGTACCCTGGGCTTTTCGCCCAAGCTCACAGGAGGATGCGTGGGCGACTCATCAGGGAGGCTAGAGCCGGATGAAGACTGTGTGATGGTCCGAGACAAGGGGTGACGCTGGGCTGGCGGCCGAGGAAGAGGATGAACCGAGGCGCTTGGCAAAGGCGCCTGAGTGAAGGGGCTGCCGCGGTCATCAGGCGGGAGATATTGATCGAGGGATAGCCTCGGCCTGGTCCGGGTTGTGCTAGTAGCAGGGGCAGCAGCTTTTGATGCCTGATTAAGCTGTTTCTCTCCGACACGCCGACCCAACGAAATGCGTTGATCATCATGGCGTTGCTGTAAAGTGCTCTTACGGAGAGAGGTCGTTCGTTTGGGTAGGCTCGAAATGTCAGGCGAGGCCACGGAATCCTGAGGCGAGGTGGTACGGCGAGTGGACGACCGCAGTTCGTATCCTTTGGGCGCATCGTCATCGGTGTCGAATGGGTGCGATGTCGCTGGAGGGTCATCGAGGAGGTCAGCCCTGAGACCCAGACTGCGCCGCTTAGGGAGCGGGCTGTCCAGAGTAGCGTGGTCCATGATCAGTGTCACCTCGGTATGGTGGACAGGGCTTGCCACGGGGCTTGCTATCGGGCTAGGGCTGCGCGAGGAAGGGCTTCCGCAGCGGGGACGGGCTTCAGGAGCCGAGACGGATGGTGGGAGGGGGTTGCCCGAGTCCCTGTGGGAGCCAAAGCACCTTCTGAGGGGACTCTTTTGCGACATTCGTGACCTGGATAACGGCCTGTTGACCGGTCTAGCAGGTCTCAATGAACGGGTCGAGAGACGCTCGCTAGGCTTGAGCGGAGTAGAACCTTCACCCAAAGGTCGTTGCGAGAGTGAAACGGCGAGTGAGGAGAGGGACTGTGGTGAACCGGCTGGTGTAGTCGAAGCTTGGCGAGCCCTGGAGGGCGATCGTGCAATGGCCTTTCGTAAAGATCGAACGGAATGGATGTGTGTCGGCGAGGGTAGGGTAAGCGTACCCCCACTCCCATTCGGATATGACATATCTTGGACAGCAGTCAATGTCTGTCTGTCTTTGTTGTTTGTGGGAGGTGATAGGAGCCCGTTTGGAGGACAGTCGTAAAAGGGAAGGCTGAGTGATCAACCTGGAACTCTAGACTCCGATAACCTAATGAAAAGGCGGCGTGATGTCGTGAAGTAAAAGAGCCGTTGAATGGTCAGGTAGTTGCATAAATCGAGAAGTTGAGAGAAGGCAGTAAACCCGAGATGGGGAGAATGTGAGCGAGCCGACGGGAATTGTCACAGGAACACGTCAGATGTTGAGAGGCGAGACCGGTTCATTCCCAGACCAAGTCTGGCATCTTCGAGGCAGAAAGTGCTCCCGATGTTTTTTCGCTCCTTCCTCCAATGTTGCTCCAAATTCTGTTCTCCTCCTTTCACCTCAGTTTCAGTTGCGGGGGTGCCTAGTTCCAGTCCAAAGCTCCTTCCTGCATCTAGCGGCTTGCAATGTGCATGTCGCCAACTTTGGGAAGTTGCACTCTTGCGGCCAAGAGGCCGATCGGGGCAACTGCGCAGGTGCTGCGCGCACACACTTGACCAGCACAGGCAGCCTCGGTTTGTCGGTGAGTTGGTGAGGCTTCACTCCCAGTGTTCCGGAGTGTTGATGAGTGCGTGGTTGGAGACGGGTTCCGCGCGGTATCACAGGCCGTCGTACTGTATGTAATTCCCGTCGGTATTTGGTATGGGCGGCGGGGAGGGTTTGCGGTCGCTACCTAGGGGTGGGGCACGCGGGCGCTGACGCAAACAATGGAGGGAGTTTAAATGCTAAATCGGCAACAATGGACAAGTGATCGCCGTTTGGAACTCGCTGAGGAATACCAGAGCGCTGTAAGGGATGGGATGAGAATGGATCGGAAATCCGAGACTGAGGGGAAGTGCCAAGGGTTGGATATGGAGAATTGTCAAGGTCGATGGAGGACGTATCGTACGAAGGTTGTACAGGCAGTGAATGGGCGCACAAGAAACTGAAGTGCCAGCGACAGGGAACTTATGTAATAGGATTCATCTGCAGCCCTGGCCGGCGGGGATTGTTTACTAGTCACACTGGGGCATCTCACTGAGTGCTACATGCTGCCAACTGCTCGTGCCAATTTGTACGCGTTGTGCAGGTGCGTTCGTCCACTTTTACGCAGGGTGCGCGCCAGTGAGAGAGTGGCAAGGGTACCAGTGCCCTGGCCTGCCAGCGTGCCTGCCTTAGCTCGATATTGCACTGTGACCTCACTGCAAGATCCCACTTATTTTGACCATCGATCATGCAGTGATGCACTTTTTGCTTGCTCTTTCCGCGGCATCGAAAGCAGATTTCACTCACAGAAGGAGGGTGTTTTGAAAGTGTGCATCCATTCCTTTTGCCCAATATATACAATGGATGCATTCACGCCTCAGACCCTTGCTGCATCAGGCATAGACAGACAAATACATACAGACGGGATCTCTTGTGTGGCGGGATCTTCAACCCTGTGGGACGAACTGCAGAACTTCACCGCCCTTGTGCCGGTAGCAAAAGCGTGAAAAAGGAGGGCAGTAAGATACTACACTACAAAATGTCACGAGGTCAACAAAAAGGCAATCAGTCAAGTCGTCTGGGTCTGGTCTTCCGATCCACGTCCGTTGATTCCTTTTGCTCTTTCCAGTTTTCAGAAGATGAGATCTCGGTGATAGGCGGCAGTTACCAGATCTGCCTTTCTCTATCGACGGGGGAACCATGATTGTCTGGCCCAGACCAATCAGACGAACCGTTCGTGGCAGCTTTGCTAGGATCATTTGGCCTGCCCGCCAATTGGAGAACAAGTCCATTCGAGAAGCCGTTTTGGATCCACATTTTGGCAACATCGATGACGACGGAGAGGTTCAAACTATAAGACAGTTTTCTTGCACGTGTACACTAGACTAGAAGTTTGTGCTGCTGTCTGTGGTTGTTCAGAACAGCGACTATATCAGTTGTGCTGATTCTTGGGTTTGTCGAATACTCGGACGATACTTCCCCAACCAGCACCCGACTGTTCCACCTGGAGCATCTGTCTCAACTTGATGGAATGCGGCAACTTTGCCAATCAACTCCCACAAGACAGAATGGGAGTACCCAACCCGCTTGTCTCTCCGGTCTGTTCCCCTTACTTTCAGGTACACGGGCAGGTGGCGTGAAAAAAAGGTCCGGATACTCGCGGGGTCTGGTTTGGTATAAGCGTGTCCGGACTGTTTTTTTCACACCACCTGACGGGGCTGTTCTGAGCTTCCACTTGTCCATGACGCATGCCCACAACGACGAACTTCATACATTACATTCCACAAAGCATTTACCATCACCCCTTATTTTCTCCTTTGGGTCAGCCCTTTGGTCCCTTAGATGTTTCCCCTCATTCCTGGAATTTCAGGGACTCGGAATCTGGAGAACCGAGCCACTCGCTCTATGGGCTTGACGCAGGCGAATGGTCGTAAGAATAAACCGAGCAAGTCACGGTAAGTACATTACACTTAGGTATATTTCTTTCACCATCTTGTAAACAACGACATGAGCGGTAGTGGACCATCCGCGTTCGGTTCATTCCTGCGACCGCTCAGGGTAGCGGGCCTGATAAACGGACGTTATGGTACGGTACACTACTGACACTACTAGTTGACGAGGTACGTATCTTTTCATCCTCCATATGACAGCCAATCAGAGATAAAGCTTGGCTCGGATCACGGACCATCAGCGTTACACCACTGTCTGCGTGGCACCTGCCGGCGACAACTCACCTCCCTCTAGCCAGCCAAGCCAACAGAGCCTCACATCCCCCGCAAAGTTAACCCGCAACATGGTCCCACTCTCCAATTTGCGGCTCGTTTTGTTTGATGTTTCCTCGTTAACGAAACATATCTTTGGAACAGAGTAAAATTCTGGATTGACCAACCCAGAATTCAGGATGAAACTGGCGTGATTAGTACAAAGAGAAAATCGGCCCCGGTGAGACCAGGTACGGTTCAAGCGGACTGACAGATTCCACGGTGAGAAAATGCAAACTGTTCACTGCGATCTCAGAAAGAAGATCCAACCAACAGATACTGCCAACATGATACAAGCCGGCGCGGCTGAGGTTTGTATCACCATGAATCAGGGTCCGATGACATCTTCTCTGAGTTATGCTCAAAATGACTGCCGCAACGATAGTTCGGTCATTCTATTTCCATCCTTCTTTCGATCCAAGCCACCACTGCCTCAGAAGCTATGTATCTGATATTGAACCGCCAGAACAATCAAACAAGTTTCACTTCAAATTTGCAAAGCGACGAAACCTTGCTAACTTGATAAGTGAGAGTCTACCTTGGATATGAGGCTTCTACCAAGTGTATGGGGTCCACATCTACATGTACTTACAAACCAAACAAAAGTGACTATAGTAGTATTGAATCAAAGTTGAGTTCCCAAAAATAAGTCTGCGATCAAGTCAATCAAATATGAGGATGAGTGTCTATATCTGTTTAAGGTGTATTCACTCTAGCTAGATATGAACGCACTTCCCTACCAAACTGATTGGCCCTCGTCGTCACACAGATAGACGTAGATACAGGCTCATGTAACTGATATCTGTGTCTACTTGTACGTACGAGTAAGTTTAGCCGAAGAAAATAATAGTAACTTTTTCTCATTGTCGCTGGCCACTTGGGAGGAAGGAACTTGACTCTTCCTACTCCTACTAGGCAACAAAAGGGGATGATGACAATCTCCCGTACTTCTCCACAGGGATTCGTGAATCAAGATGTAAATCGGAATCCTGCTCTGTCAGAAGCTAAATCCGCTTCTTACACCTCCCTCCCTCCCACCTTTCCTTTCCTTTTTTTTCCTCCTCCGTTTCCTCCCTCTTCCTCTTCCTCTGCCTCTCCATTCTTCATCTAGCATTTCCATCCCCATCTCCAGTCTCATTTTCCAACTCCCTCCCCATCCCCCCTCTCCCTGTGTGTGTCTATACCCATCTCCATCTTCTCACCCCCCTCAGCCCTTGGACACCCTAAGCCCACCTAGTCCTCACAAACTCCACCCACTTCCCAATATCCTCCACCGTCTCCAACATCTTGCCCAAGTCCTCCACCCGCCTCTCCCGTCCATTTGGCGCCACACTGTTCCGCTCGTCCAGCACGTTCTGCGATTCCACGTGCACCTGCCCGTTTTCGCGGATCTCCAGCACCACGATGGCGGTCTCGGAGGCGCGGAAGGGGAAGGCGATTTGCAGCCGGGGCGCATGTACCATGGTCAGGTTGATGTCAATCTTGATTGCTTCTGGGTCCGGGCCAGAGGTGAAGGTGTGGGTGAGGGCACTGTGGTTGTTGGGGCCGCCGCTGGTGAGCGGGACTTGTTGGTTTTGGTTGTTGTTGTTGGAGAGGTGGGAGGTGGGTTGGGAGTGGGCGGCTTGGGAAGGGAAGATGTGTTGGGAGGCGCCGTCGATGGACATGGGTACGGTGCCGCTGTGGTTGGGTTGAGAGCTGGCGTCAATGGACATGGAGGTGGAGATGTCCATTGGTGTTGGGGCTTCGTCACTGGGAGATTTGACGAGGGTGGGGGAGAGGCTCATGAATCGGTTGAATTCGTCGCGGTTGGTGCTGGTCTTTGTGGAAAAGGAGTCTGGGTGGATGGTGGTTTGAGGGGGAGTCCGTTTCGGACCCATGTCCTCTTTGAAGCTGTTTTCTAGGAGTGTGGAGAGGAAGGCGTACTGCCTGAGGTAGGGCAGCATGGCGATGAGGTGCTGCGGGTGCGAGAAGGAGGCCTCAGTCAAGGTCTTGCCGTATACTGGTTTGTAGATGTAGAGTGAGTTGGCGTGTTTTCTCGATAACCAAGCTGGTGAACCTGGTAACTGGTAAGTGATGTCCTTTGTGTGGTGAATCTCTCGTGGTTCTGTTGGATCGTAGTAGCCACCGGGTGCTATGGGGAACACGAGGTTGTCGAAGGACTTTGATACGTCCATGGCTGGTATTCCGATGCCCATACTCCGAAGCTGCTCCCAAAGGCCAAAGGAGATATGGATAGGAGGATCGAAAGTGGCGCTGAAAGTGACCGAGGGCAGGCGTGGGCCCAGGAGAGAATCCCCAGCCTTTTCAGGATCTGGGGGAACAATTGTATCTTCGGGCTCCAGCCAGTGTACCATGGGGCTCGTTTGTAGATCTCCAGGAATATGAGGCAACTCGACATTCTCGGAGATCCAATGGTGAGAAACCCGAACGGGGTGGACATTCACATCGAGGTTCCTGTTGATGGGGGCACATCCGACAAGAATGCCCCAGATCTTTTCGTGCTTCTCAGCATGGGCGGCCAACTGTGGGTTTAGGGGGGGCTGAAGATGCTTATTCTTCCAGTAGTCAATTCTCATGCCTACTTTGCCCCTGGCGTTCATGGCAGGAGTTCCGCTGCGATTACAGAGGACGATGTTGCGAAGATACTCATCAGTCCGTCCGGCAAGGGACGCATCCTCGCGAACCTTTTGTAGCTCCCACTGATGTAACCGACTCAGGCTGTCAAAGACTCCGGCGATAGCCTCGTACAGGTTAAGTACCGAGGCAATGCTCAACTTATCCAAGATGGCCAGACGCTCAAAGTTGACCGAAAACTTATCGAGCTGCTTGGTCAGTGGGCTTTGGCCGGGCTGCAGCTTGAGGTTCTCCAGAAGAATCTTTCCTGCATCTTCGGCGTGCTTGTTAACGCTCTCCGAAGACTCGGGGAAAGCCAAGGTAAGTGACTGGACGATGTTGTCTGTGAAGCCTATGAGAAGCTCGAGGGCCGAACCAGCTATTATTAGCGTTCGCTTCGACTCCCCGGCCATATGCTCATCCCACATGCAGTCGAGTTCCAGCTTTTGGGCCAGTCTCTCCAGGCCGGCCTCACTGACGTAACCGCGGTTTTGGCTGAGGATGGAGATGACTTCATCTAGCCGTTTGGCCTTTTCATCCTCGGTGTTCCTCCCAACCTGAAGGCCAGCTAGACCACCCAGGCTTTTGAAATCCAGGTCAGACAGCTGCAAATTGCTGAATGCGGCGGCAGCAGACGGACTATCAAAGCTGACAGCGCTGGTGCTGGTAGGATGATTTAGCAGGGCAGCCGCCGAAATGGCCGGGGACTTTTTGACTGCCTGCGGCGAGAGACGGGAACCGTGAGGGGATAGAGCAGCATGAGCCATGGAAAAGGGTGTGGATACAGGAGGAGTGGCTGCTGCTCCATGCTGTGTCTGCGAAGGCGTCCTTCCGCTCCCCTGCTGGGAAAGAGTATGCTTCATGGGTGTTGGCGTGGTCATGTTGCCGTTTGTTTACATAAATTTCTCTTCCGTTGTTGTTGAGAGTGAGATTGAGAGCTCGAAGTCCGTCGAGAGGTGACAGACAAGAGCCAATCAATTGAGACCAAAACCTGGGAATGTGAATGGAGGGAGGGTCAGTCTTCTGAGCTCTCTCTCTCTCTCTCTCTCTGTGCTGCGCGTGGTCCCGAATAATGATAGTACTGATTGATATGGGCCCGCCCAAATGACCAATCTGTAAATGTCGATAAGATGATTTGAGTGTGTGTCGAATATTTATTTCACCAAACCACACACGTTTGACGGGAGTGTCTTTTTAAAGGTTGGAGAGGGAGTAACCTAAGCAAGGAACGAAGTCGAGAAACCCAAGCTGAGGTCGGCGATTGATGTTGAAGTGACGGCGGGAAGGGGCGTGCACGGACCCCTGGTTGAGGTGCCTTCCATCGCTGCCCGTTGTGCCCGTTGTGCCCGTACTGGTACACTAGGCGTGCTATAACCCACTGTAACTGCCTCTGTCTTCAGCGGTCCTTCACTGACTTTACTTGAGCAAGAGTAAGTAGGTGGGGCCAGTTCCCACCGGCAGGCATGAGGTCAGCTCCTGCAATGCAACAGCAACAGCATGGATGTGGAAAGGTGGAGTGCCCCTCGACATTCAATGTCAACAACCAAGACTAAACCTCCAAGCAACCAACATCCGTCTTCTTTCTCTTCTTCTCAACCAATCTCCCATTGTCCAGTCGCGCACGAACTTCCAGGACTTCTAGTATACGTCTCGATTAGCAAAAACAAAAAATAGCTAAAGTAGCCGAGTTCAGTATCAACACGCGCTAGCTATCAACATCACCACCGCATACATCAACCAAAGCTGCTCCTATCCTTCCTCCATCCCCGATCACAACGCCAGATACGGTCTCATTGTTACACCCACGTACTTCGCGGCATCGATAACTCTACCGTCACAATAGTGCTGAGACGCTCCACGAGTCGCCCCCAATCGGGCTCAGACAAGGACAACCAAAGTCCGGACAAAAACACAGGCGCATCCCCAGATTCGCGACAGTTACTGGAAAACACGACAGAGGAAACAGCCCGGTTGGCCAGCAGAGTTCCTCTGGGCACTTCACCCAACACAAGCTCTCGGTTTATTCACGGCTCTGCCTTGACTCTAGAGCCTCGACGCCGGCCACGGGCAGGCTCCCAGAAGGAGAATCTTGACACTGGCCGAACCCCTTCTTCCAGCACACCAGCCCGTCAACGCAGACAGATTCTGGAGCCGCCAAGTCTTGAATGGATCCGTGGACACACACGAACGAGTACATCTAAGGACTAGAAACCTGATTCTGCTACGACTTCGGATCCTTCACCAACACTTCCATCTCCGGACACACCTCGTTCTTCACGTGCACGTCCAAGCACCCCTCGTGCGTCTGAAAGACCTCACCTTGAGCTGGTTCGAGACATCAGTGGCGATAACGTTGCCGGCATCTTGGAAGCTGCCAGTGCTTATGCCAATCTAGCCACGTCGCCTCTCTCTACTCCGCTCGAACTCCCAATATCGTCGAGAGGCCGGAGAAGAGCCAAATCGCTTCCAGCCGGACAAAGATCCAAGTCGAAGCCCAGAGACGAACCAGAAGCAACAGACGAAGAAGAAGACATGAACGGCATGCACGCTGGTAATATGCCCGCCGCCATGGTTGGCCTCCCCACGCCGGCAGGGCACCAAGCCGAGCTAAACTACATCTACGGCCTGGTTGAGGAATTGAGTCGACAACTCGCGCAGAACCAACGGGCTTTGGAGGAGGTCGTCTCGGGTGTTGGTAAAGTGCGCGGGCGGGCAAGGTCACAGTCTCTCACAAATGACGAACTACTCAATGCCGCAGGCGAAGAACTCAAGAGTATGTTTCCCCCTAGTCTCATGTAATATGATGAATGATAGCTGCAAGCCTGCTAACTCGTTTGTGCAATTTCAGACCAAGATGAAAACATAGACCAACTAGTTTCAGTTCTCACCGAGGCCCTGGAAAAGGCCAAATTCTCCCGTGACGCCAACGCCGCCCTCCTCTCACAGTACTCACAAGTTATGTACACCATGCTCAAGAAGTTCCACGAGTACAAAGCCAAGCACGTCCAAGACGTGGCAGCCTGGCATCACTCATACCGCGCCCAACTAGCTGAGGCGCGCGCCGAAAATAGTCGACTCCGCGAGCAGATTTGGGAGATGCAGGCGCATGCCGGCAAGGCCAACGAGCTTGTGCGCAAGTTCCGCGCCGAGTATGACAAGGACGAAAAGCGATGGGAGCGGACGGTGGATGCCAAGGCCATGAGGCAGGAGCTACGGTTCTGGAAGAGGATGGCGATGCCTGAGTTGCCGGATGATGATGAATTCTGGAGTGATGATGATGATATTATTGATAGGGCTGAAAAGGAAAGGCAAAAGGAACTGCAGAAGTTGGATGCTGAGCAACAGGCACAGGCTGCTCAGGCTGTGGCAGAGGAGGCGGCTGCGAACGAGGCTGCTGAAAGTAGTGGTTTGGGAGAGATGAGTGGGAGTAATGGTTCTGGCGTGATGGGGGTACCGACGGAGGTACCACAGCCATCTGTGTCGTGAGACTAGTATCAGCGGCTTGTGGTGATACCCCTTTTTTGTTGTTTGTTTGTTGATGGTGTTACGGTACATAGGGTGGGCGTACAGGGAAATTGTGCATACGATAAAACCCATAAGCGATTAATAAGGGTGCTTTAAAAGATATTTATTTTTGCGACATTGTCTGAGCATCAGATCGAAAGGTTGCATTTGGTCTTTGAACACGCAGGGTAACGGAATACCACATTTTGTCCCTGTTCATGAGGGCTTTCATGGAGGAACCTGATGACATCCAAGTACCAGGTCATCAACAAGTTCAAACACACGAACGAAAATCCATCGGTGAACTAAAGACAACTCCCATTTTCATGTATCTGAACATGTGCCTGTTGCTCTTCTACTGTACCTCTATGAAGGCAATTCCTACATCCCGTAGGCCGACCCAAATCACAAAACCTCTCCAGACCCAAACTCCCCATTTTGTTCACTTTTGAACCCTAGCCTTTTCATTGCCCACCTAGGTCCTTTCCTCGAATTACGACCTGACCAACTCCCACTCACTGCCACTCAACACTCCACGTCTTCTCGCCGCTCCTGAACGGCACAATCTCCACCTTGTCCGTCTTGAGACTCTCCTCCACCACCGCCCCATCCCTCTTGACCAAAATCTTCTTCTCCGCCGGCCCAAGCTCGTAAAACTTGCGACCAAACTCACTAAGGAAGCCCGCCAACACCTCCTCCATCACCTGCTCCTCCTTGATATCTCCCCTCGCAATGCCCTCCTCCAGCGCAGTCAACACATAGCCCAAGGCATACGGCTGCGTGAACACGCCCGCCGCCGTGTTGCCCTTGCCCTTCTTGCTCGAGATATCATGGGGCGCCGAGTCGGTGCCCAAAAAGAACTTGCCCTCGCTCGTGACCAAGGCCTGCAGCAGCGCGCGGCGGTCCTCGGGCGACTTGGCGCTCGGCTTGCAGTAGTGGTGCACGTTGGCGGACCAGTCGTCCACGAGCAGCGAGAGGTGGTGGGCGGTGATGGTGGCGACCACGTTGGGCCCGCAGGCGCGCACGGCAGCGACGGCGTCGGCGGTGGTGCAGTGCTCGAGCACGATCTTGAGGTTGGGGTATTTGCTGTGCAGGGAGGTGAGGGTGGGCAGGAACTTGGACTCAGCGTTCATGACGGTTACGTTGTCGGTGGGCGAGGAGGGCATCTCGCCGTGCAGGTTGAGGACGAGACCTTCGGATTCCATGGTGGAGAGGACGTCGTGGAAGGGGTCGAAGGAGACGACGCCCCATTGGGAGTTGGTGGTGGCGCCGCGGGGGTAGGCCTTTTCATGAAGGAGGTTTGTTAGTGGAATGTAATAATGAGAATAAGAATGAGGAAAGAATAAGGGAAGGACGACCAACCTTGACACCGGCAATACCGGCCTTCTTGGCCTTGCGGATCTCATCGGGGGTGATGCTCTCGTGAAGGTAGAGAGACATGAGATAGTTGACCTCGGGGTCGTAAGCCTGGAGGGCCTTCTTGTACTCGAGAGCCTCATCGACGGTGACGACGGGGCGAGGGGCCAAGTTGGGCATGACGAAGACGGTGTCGATGCCGGCCTTGCGGATGGTCGGGGTGACCAGCTCGGCAATGGGACCGGGGGCGTTGCGCAAGTGGACGTGCATGTCCGCCGCGGCGGGGAGGAGGTAGGAGTCCTTGAGGGCCATTGTGTCTGGTGGTGGTTGTGTTGGTGATGTTAGAGGAGGGAGGTTGGTCTGAGTGGTTTGTGCGAGTGAGTGAGTGAAAGTCTCAAGTGAAGATATTCACACTGATATGAAAGCAGTCACTGACCTACAACACCAAGTGGGTTGGATTGTATCGAGTAATGATCGACTAATCGGGGTGGAACTCCAAAGTCAATTCAGCCCGAGACATGCCATTCCCGTCGACGTCTCGGGACAGTGGGGCATTTCGTGATGGAGTTCCTGAGGAAGGTTTCCAGAAGTTGAAGATCGGGGGTTAGGGTTGGTGATTGTTGATCCGGCATCTCTTTTCCGAACACAAGTGTAACCGTCAACCACGATATAATTAATGGTCAACAATATTCCGCAATGTCTCTCTTATCTCCATCTATGCTTCACACTCTCCGGCGTAACCTGAACCATTCTACTGGTACCCCATTTCTCATTGACAACGCATCTCCATCCGGTGCAGAACCCCCGGCAATCTGGCACTTTTGGCGTCTGGATCTGGAAGGCGTTTTGAAAAGCGATTAATAATGTACGTCGTTGTTAATCCCCGTTGCACCCGCTTACTGCCAATCACACAACGCGTTTGGACGCGGGTTCCTTTGATGACGTTGGGCTTTAAGGGAACGGAAATCTCAACTTCACCGTTACTTCATCTCCAGAAGATGTTGTTCCTCAGATCCTTGTCGTAATTGTTTCTTCCTCCTTTTCTGTGATTAATGTCCTCAACGAGGTGATCTTCCTTTTCTCTACAACACTTTGCTGATGAAGGTTGATTCAACAACAACAACATAGAGAATAAAGGTCACCGCCATGTTTTCTAAAACAGCAGTCTTCGAAACAACTGTACACGACCGCCGTCGTCACAATGTCGACATTGATGAGAACGACATGAGCTCATCACCAACTCTCACAGCTTCAGCACCGGAAACCACCCCTCTTTTAAATTCCGAGACTGCCAGTTCCTACACCATCGGCAATGAGCTACCACCACCACCACGACCACCCCAAGATGAGAAGCCCATTGGATTTGCCCGGGGTCTTTCCATTGCCCTGAGCATGTGGGTTCTCATCTTCCTTCAGGGTAAGTCTCTCAAACATCAACATGTTTATACCACGAGGGGACAGGCACTAACACCACCACAAGCGGGCAACATGTCTGGAATCAGCACAGTTCAAAGCAGCATCGCCACCGACCTCGACGCCTACGACCAAGCCATGTGGTTCACCGGTGTCTACCTCATCAGCTCCTCTTGTATATCTCCCCTCACCGGCCGACTCTCCACCATCTTCACCCCGGGCCTTATGATCCTCGTCTCGTCCCTTTTCTTCACCATTGGCGCAATTGTCACCAGTCAAGCCCACACCCTTTTCGTCTTCCTGTTCGGTCGAATCCTTGTTGGCATCGGCGGCGGCGGGATCATGACCCTTTCTTTGATCCTCGTCATCCAACTAACCAGCAAGCGCCGCCGCGGCGTCTGGATCGGCCTCACCAACGCCGGCTTCACAGTGGGCATGTCCACGGGTGCTGTTGTCTTTGGTATTTTGTTGCCCATCATCGGCTGGCGCGCTCTCTTCTGGGCACAAGCACCCCTCGCTCTGCTCGGCGGCCTTGGAGTCTACGCCAGCATTCCCTCCTCCCTGTCCACCGGCCAACCTCTATCTCCCGGGGACGCGGAAAAGACCAGCCTGCAAAAGCTGCGCGGAATCGACTATGCGGGCGCCATCACTCTGACTACCACCATTGTCCTATTGCTTTACTCCCTCTCCGGCCGTACAGGAATTCACTGGACCCCGCTGTTTTCGTCTCTGCTCACCTTCCTCCTCTTCCTGGTGATCGAATCCCGCTTCGCCAGCGACCCCATCCTCCCGTTACGGATCCTTCGGTCTCGCGGTATCTTGCTGTCCTGCCTCTCGCAGCTAGGCTTCATGTCGGCGCGCTGGACCGTGCTCTTCTATGCGCCCATCTTTGCGCTTGCCGTGCATGGCGCCAGTCCCGCGCTGGCGGGGTCCATTCTGATTCCGACCAACCTCGGTTTCGGCATGGGTGGATTACTGGTGGGCTGGCTGCACATGTCGCGGCAACAGCACGCTGATGATGATGATGATGATCATCACAATACTAGCAGCAGCAGCAGCAGCAGCAGCAGCAAGGACTACTGGTTCCCTTCCTTGGTGTCCATGGGTATTTTTGGCTTGACGATCCTGGCCATGGGGTGGGTGAGTAACGCTGCCACGCAAATGGGGTGGTATGTCGGGGTGATTTTTGTCAATGGACTGGCTACGGGCGCGGCGGTGAATTATACCATGGCGCATTTGCTGCATTTGAGTCATGCCCGGGAACACTTTATCGTGACGGGCTTGTTGGCTACTTTTAGGGGATTTGCGGGCAGTACCGGCACGGCGATTGGGGGCGGGATCTTTGGGCGGGAGTTGAGGGCTTCGCTCTATCGAGGATTTGAGATGATTGAAGGGCTGCCTAGAGAGAGGATGGAGAAGTTGGTTACGGTTTTGGTGGGCAGTCCGGCGAGAGTGCACCAGGAGGGCTTCTTGACAGTTGAGGAGAGGCTGGTTTCAGTCAGTGGGTATGAACATGCGTTGAGCACACTTTATCATAGCGCCGCGGCGTTGTGTGTGGTTGTGTTGTTGGTGCAGGCGGGGACGGGCTGGACGGCTGGGGGAGTGAGTAAGGAGGAGGAGAGAGAGATTGAGCAGGCGATCGCGGAACACGATGGGAGGATGGAGGCCTAGACTAGACTGTGGATGTACGATAAGAAGATAGATTGTGTGTTTTAGAATAGAACAGCCGTGTATCTGTGACTTTTTGGAAATATAGAACGGAGAATAGACACCCATTACCAACCAAATTTCGGTAGTCTCTGATATTTTAAAATTACTTGCAGGTCGGAAACTGCACAGCTCTCTTCGGTAGGTGAAGAGACCAGCTAGTTAGCCTCCGTATCTGATGTTCTTATAAGCTGCGGCATTAAAAGTTCTGCGAGGAAGATGTGAACCCAGATCCAATCCGTTCGTTGGAATGTTTGCTACGGTGGCGAAAAGTGGTGTTGAGAAGGAAGGTGGGTTTGGAGAATTGGAGTGATGGTCGCGGGTCGTGATGGGCGAGGTGGTGTTTGCACTTACTTGAGGTCTTCAAGTAGTACGAGGCAATGGGAAGATGGGGTTCTCATAATAGCAGTTTTCAGTAGAGGTATTACATCAATATAGTGTATTATTGAGACTCAAAATTGTTTTCAGATCCAGGGGCTTCTTGACTTCTAGACGCATATTCCTGTTATGCAATTTGATCCCTGACAACATTGCCACAGACCTACCATGTCCCCATACTCGTTCGTCTTCACTCAAATCTCTAATGACTACTTAAAAACCCATCGATCTTGTAGAAACATCTTGAAGACTGGCATCAGCCCGCAAAATAGTCAGAGATCTGCTTCACAACGCCGACAACCGGAGCCGTCCTCATGCCCCAGTTGGCGCGAGGTCAGGTATTAACAGGAAGAGTACCTATGTACGAAGAGGAGAAAACATAAAAGTCAACTACAGAAGCCGAACACACACCCAGATCACAAAAATATATATATAAAAGAGAAAACAAAGAGGAGAACAGGCTTGCCAAATGACCTAAGTGACGGTATGTTCTCCTGCCTCCTTTGCGAAACTACCTACCTAGGTACTTCTTTAGCCCTTACCTACCTACTCTTGCAAAAGCCCCTGAATACTCTATGATCAGCCAATCTAGTTTCGAAGATAGAGACAATCTTCCCGTCCATTGAGTCATCCGTAGAGTTGAACATAGTATTGAAGATGGCACCTGTTTTAAAGCTGGTGCGTGTTATGGTAGTATGACAAAACGTTAGACATTCAACAAAGAGAATTAGGTTTACTTACCTCCAGTAGTTTGTGGAACTTAGGTCTGATTGTTCTCAAAAATTTCAATAAGCGGTAGCAGACTAGTTTACCTAACCAAGTCGGTTGATCTCATCAATTTTATGTCCCGGACGAGGATAGCAACTATGGTAACAGAATGCACCCTTACCAATCCTGTGGTCGACATTTACACTATACCAAGCCGTTACGCCAAATGCATGTAGTCCGAACACTTTCGAACCCGTATTCAATATACGATATGTATGTACTCAATACTCCAACAATGACACAACAACCCTTTTTATCCCAAGGTATATATATCATCCATTCATCCTTTTCCATGACAGCAAGAAAACAAAAGGCAGAAAAAAAACTACTCAAACTCTCCCTTCCCAAGCAACCCCCTCACACTTGCCCCCCTCCCCTCCACCCCCTTCCACCTCCTCGCTTGCCTCCTCGTCTCCGCTTCCGCGACCTTCGCCCTCCTCTCGTTCTCTCGCGCAAAATAATTGATACCCGACATCTTGCCCGCCGTCCGCTTAATCTTGACATCCTCACCAAACCCACTCGCGCCCGCCGCTTTGCTGTTGGTATACGGGTTAGTCGTCGTAGAGACGGATACCGAGGGACCAGGAGTGGTGGTGGTGGTGCTAGATAAAGAGGCAGCAGAGGAGTTGGTGGTGGCCCGACGGAGCAAGGCGGGGACCTTGAATGCTGATTGAGACAAGGATGAAGAAGGAGCAGCGAAGGCGAGTTTGGATTGGTTTGATGTCGAAGAGGCGGAGGTGGAGGTGGAGGAGGAGGAGTTGCGCTTGAGGGAGATACGGTCCACGATGGCTAATGAGCCGGTGCGGCGAGGGTTGGCGGCGGGTTTAGATGGTGGCGCGTTATTCTTCTCCTTGCCGGGAGTGGCGGGGATGCTGTCCTCCTCTTCTTCTTCGTCGTCGGAACCGAGGACGGTGGCGGGGATGACGGAGGAAGTGTGTGGTTCGTCTAGAAGGTTAGACAAACTCTCGCGGATTTCGCCCAGGTTAGCTGGTTTGCGACCGCTCTTGGTGCGGCGGGGATTTGTGGAAGTTGTCGTCTGCGGCTGGGTAGCCGGGATGGTCTGGTCTTTACTAGAGGACTGTGAGTCTTGCGTCGCAGGGATGACCGAAGATGGCTTGTCCGTGGGACCAAAGAGGAAATCCATCTCATCGTCGCTGCCGCGATCCTCGATGGACCTGAGGAACGCCTTCGTTTTCGGGTTCTCGGCGACCTTGCTGATACGCTCATCGGCCAAAAGAGCCCGCTGCATCTTGGCAAACTGTCGCCTCTTCATCCGGCGACGGGCCTCGCCGCCGTCGTCTTCGTCTGAGAGGTCATTCCAATCGCCGCCTTCGCCGCGGGCGCGCTTGCGACGGAGCATTCCCGTGGTGATATCATGGAAAAGCTTCTCAACTTGCTTCTCGTCCGAGGCACGTTCACGGTCGCTGTCCTTTTGTTAGCTTGACTCCCGTCTCACGAATATTTGGGGAAACTTACGCATAAAAGGCAGCCAACTTTCTCTCATCGCCCTCCCCAGCCTTCGTCTCATCATCAATCATCTCTTTGACCAACTCCTCATCCTCCTCATCACTACTACCCTCTCCATCTATGCCTCCCAACCCCGCATACTCATCCTCAGACTCTTCAGCCTGCTCTTCCACCATCTCCCTCGCCTTGCTCTTCTTCTTTGCCTCCTTCCTCCTCTTCTCCCTTTCCGCAGCTCTCTTCATCTTCTCAAAGGCCGACTTGGCCTTCTCAGCCTCACGGTCATCGTCACCAGCATCCCCCATCTCCTCATCACCGTCTCCTTCCTCCTCCTCATCCAAAGTCGACGCATTGAACAATGCAGACCCAGTAATCACATCCCCCCTTCTTCTCAACCTCCCCAACGGCCTCTTCCCCGACGGACTATTCTCCCCAACACTACCAGCACTTCCGCTTCCACCAGGTGTCGAGTTTGAGGCAGTCATAAGCGAACCACTACTCCTATTCCCACCAACTAATACCGTCTCAACCGTCGAACGCGGCGGCAACGGCGCATCAACAAACCTCTGCTTCAACGGGGTATAATCCTTGTACCCCTGGTCTTGCGTCGGCTCAATCAGCTCCGACCCTTGCGTCATATTAAACGCCGGGTGGTTCAGCAAGCTGTCGAAGCCGTGCATCTGCGACTCGGACTGGGAGAAGCCGAGCTGGACGCCCTGGGTTTCCAATGCCGCCTGGGTCTCCTCCTCCTTGTCTTTGGCGGCCTGCGGGCGAGTAGGGAGGGAGGGTTGGCTGTCGAGGATCATATTGTCTTCTGGCTGCTGCTGGCTCGCGGTTTGGGAGAAGTTGGAGTCGGGGATGTCGGTGAGGTCGATGTCGAAGGTCGGACGAGGTTGAGAGGGGGAACTACCGGCGAATTGGGAGGGAGAGCCGGGTTGGCTGTCATCCATGGTTCCGGCGAAGATTTGGGTGAGGCCGAGACCGGCCGGACCGGCGACAGGGACTGGCAGGCCGGGGATGAAGCTCTTGCGCGCAGAACGCAGGACAGAGGTGGGAACGCTAGGAGAGCCGGAGTGCAAGGCTGATGTTGGGGATTTGGGGAAACGCTGCTTTGGTCGGGGAGTTTCTTCGATGCGCTGCTTAGACGAAGCGACTTGCTCCTCCTCCTCTTCCTCGTCGTCGTCGTCGGAGAGAACAACGACTTGTTTTCGTGGCCGACGGCGGACAGTTTTGGTGCTAGGCAGCTTATCCTCCTCCTCGTTTTGTTTATCGGCGTTGTCTTTCCCAGATTCATCAGCACTCTCATCAAAGAGTGCACCAGCCGGATCAGCCTCAGCCATATCCTCATCCTCATCCTCATTCCCCCCTTCGCCTTCCTCTTCTTCCTCATCCTCTTCACTCCCTGAAAGCTCAATCGCCTCCAGCTCTTCTTTGTTATCATCCCCCTTTTCACTTCCCACATAACTCGCATCATCATCTTCACTATCATCCCACCCCAACGGATCCTCCTCCCCATTCTCCTTCCTCTTCCTCCTCTCCTCCTTCGCATCCTCCCTCTCCCTCTTCATAATCTCCTCTGCCTCCCTCCTCGCCCTGGCAACAATATCCTCCACCTCCTGCATCTCCTTCGCCCTCTCCTCGGCAGTCAGGACTACCACGCCCTTGGCTCTTAGCATCTCCAAGTGCTCCTCACGCTCGCGCTTGGCTTGCGCTCTAGCGCGCTGGATAAGCGTCATCTCGAGCGCACCGGGCGTCATGGCGGGCGGCTGGTGCTTGGAGAGGTGTTGTTTGTTTTTAGGCAGGGGAGCGGCGGGGAGTTTCTCTGGGTCGTCGATGTGGGCGAGTTTGCGGAGGACTTGAAGGGAACGCGGTTCGCGGGTTTGGTTGAGGGGGACGCGATCGAAGATGGCGTCGATTTTGGATTTGCGGGTTTGGGGTTTGACTTGTAGGTCATCATCTTCGTCGTCGTCGTCGAGGGAGATGGTGTTGGCTTGGATAGAGGATGGTTGGAGCGGGAGTTTGACGCGGAGGTTGCGTTTTACTTTGGGGAGGGAAGCGGTGACTTCGGCTTCGTAGTCGGCGGCGGTGGCTTTTCCTTTGCCCTTGTCGAGCTTCTTCTTTTGAGTGAGAGCTTGCTCGAAAGTGGGCAGTTCTCCGTCCGAGTTCTCTTGTATGAGGAGGTCGCCGGTGGATGTGGCGAGCTCTTCCACTGTCTTGTCGGGTTGCTTGTTTCCCACTGGAGGGGAGCTTGGGGGTGTCTCCTTCTCTGGCACCTTTTCTGTATCACTTGGCCGTGACGTCGCCGGCGACTCTGGCCCAACAGACTCTTTCGCTGGCTTTCCTGTAGTCGCAGCAGCGGCACCAGCAGGTCGAAAGTTGAACCTTTCAAATAGTGTGGCCTTGGTGATCTTGTTCTTGACTTTGGGTTCGTGTGCCAGTTGTAGCTCTCTTGCCATGCGTTGTGTCTCCCTGTGCATTTCCTCAAGTGCCTTCTTGCTAGCCTTTCGTTGTGATGGCTTCTTTGTACCAGCCTTTTGTGTAAGCTTTCGGCCGCCCTCGTCGTCGGATATGTTGCTGTCGTCGTCCTCATCCATGGACATTCGGTCGTCAGCTGCCATTGCTGCCCGTCGTTCGGTCTTCTTTCGTTCTTCTTCGGCTTCTCTGGCCTCGCGCTCTTTGCGCTTCTTCTCCACAAGTGCCTGGAAGCGAGGGTTCTTCTGGAGGTTGCTGATGCTGGGGAACTCTTCATCGTCGCTTGCTAACCCATCTCCAGGACGGCCCGAGGGTTTCGCAGGGGAGACAAAAAGGCCCGGGGAATCGGGCGTTTGGGCTGTTTGTTTCTCGGGAGAGACGAAGAGGCCGGGTGAGGCAGCGGTGGGTTCATCTCGTGGCTTGGATTCGGGTGTCGCGGTGTTTTTTCGCTGTCGTTGCTGTAACTTTCTCGGGCGGGTCATTACAACCTCGTCGTCATCTTCGTCATCGTCATCTTGGACGAGACTCTTGGTCACACTGGCAAGAGAATTCGCTGATGGTCGCTTCGGGGTATCATCTCTCATCTCTTGGTCAGATTCGGACTCTGATTCGGGAGCTGGGTTGCTCTTTGACTGCATTCCGGCAGCAAATCTGCCTCTTGGTCGCAGGATCTCCTCATCCACCTCGTCGGAGCTATCAGACATGTTGACATCTGACTGGTCAGCAGCCTTCAAAACTGGCGATGTCGGTGTTGCGCTACGCGATCCGGAAGCGCGTCCTGGCGAAGGCGAGGCCGAAGCAGCCATTGTGGCCGCTGGTGTGAGGTTTTGGGTATTAGTGTCGAGGTTGGGTTTTCTGCATCACGATCTCTTCCAGAAATGGCCGTAATGATTTCGAGAACGAGGATAAAGAGATACGAGCGAGATACCTCTAGGTATTGTGGTGTAAGTGGTATGGTTCAGTTATCGCATCACTATCTTTTAGTGATAAAGTGGGTTAATGGTTGTGATATGGTGGGGAAAACGCGTCAAATGGCGGCCCAGGGCGCGTCGTGCAGATCGTGTTCAGCGCGCTAAAGTGCTTCACTGCAGGGTTGCAGCAGGGTTCACTAAGGGGTTAAATTGCCAAGCCTGGACCAAAGTAAACATTTGGCGCCTCTTTGTTCCCAATTACCCCTGACTGCATATGTACATACATCAACATCATCGTCTTAACACCAGACTCAAAGCCTCATGACACATTGACAGGTTCTTCTGAGAATCATCTAGCTTTTGGTCTAATGTAACCAGATACAAGGCCAAAGGCACACTTATAACCGTAGGTACTTCCCGCTGTACTTGTGTAGTGGCAGCCTATGCCATACCATTTCCAATACCACTTTGCTCGAACCCCTTGCAATTCATCGAGAGAGACGCGCCAAGAAGACAAAGATGATTTCGGGTATCGTCGGTAGAGAATAAGAAAAAAAGAAAAAAAACCAATAATACAACCAAAGAGATAAACGCTCTGTCTCTTTCTCCTGCAAAGGGATCCGGCATCCAGTGCTCTTCACCACCTTTCCAACTCCTCAAAGAACCATATAGTAACAAGTGACATGCCCATAGGTCAGAAACTCAGGCAGCAACCTACCTGTGCTTTTTCAAAGGGAAAAACGCCGCCGCAGAGTATGTTGAATGCAGAGAAAAAAGCTGCCCAGTCATCTTATGTAACGCCAGTCGCCCTTTGTGTAAAATGGAATCCCCCCATGTATGTGCCCCAAGTATTAGCCCACGGCGAGGCATGTATCCAAAACGCTGTTGAGAAAGTCCCCGTCCTCCGAGCCTGCGCCTTCCCAAGGCATATCATCATCGTCGTTGTCAAGTTCCATAGCATCCTCGTGATTGACGCCATTGGGTAATGGCCCATCTGGTTTGCCGTTGGCCGCCATTCCACCCATCTCCACATCTCCGTCGCTAGTCGGTCGTACTTCCCGCCCGTCAATGTACGTGTGATCGTCCCAGTTTTCGAGCTCCCCTTCCCGGTAATCGTAGATGACCGACTTGGCGACAATGGGAAAGTTGGCTAGTCCGCAGTCACCCATCTCCAGCGCTATGCGGAAATCCGCCATGCCTAGAGGCCCACGCTCGCTGGCGGCTTTAGCTTCCACGGGCAACAGGCCGCTCTTATCGCGTGTTACCTCGCCCCTCTGAAAAGCCTCTTCTTCCTTCTGCAACTTGCGTCGGTACTTGTGTGTTTGAATCCAAGCGTTACCCGCTCCGAAACCGGCGTTACCAGAGTCTCCGGGGCCGTTACTCCTCGTTCGGCTGAATATCGAGGACATGACCTGCTTGATGAACGTTTCCGTGGCTATCGACATGAACTGGGCGGCTTCTGGCGCGTGTCCGCCCGAGAGGCCGGCCTCGTAGCATATGGGAAGCATTTTGGCCTCGATGTTGCTGACATCGGGGAACTCTCCGGACTCGACGGCCAGCGGCTGTGCATATCGTTTCCTGATTTCTAGATCGTAGTCTGTAAAGAGAGAGGCAAGGTTAGTAACCGCTCCTGTCGTCGCGTGGCTAGTCGAAAACTTACTCATCCGGCTGAGACCTCCTGCGGCACTTGCTGGTACCTCGGCAGTCTTGATAGACTTGTTTCTGGAGTGGTCAATGAACACGCTAGAGAGTGACTCGTAGGGGTCGAACTGCATCAAGAGCTGTTAGTGGTCCGGTCGAAACAAGCTGGCGTCGTGTTTCACATACGTCGTTGTGGGCGAGGTCTTTGATACGTCTTCTGTCCCTGCTGGGAAGTTGCATGACCTCTCCCTTCAACCGTCTTTCGGCGGCATCACCCGACACTGGCTTGTTCGACGTGTTGGTTGAGGGTTTATCGTTTGCGCTGACCCAAGGCGCAAGGCCCTGGTCAGGCATTTCTCGAGTGACATTTCCGTATATAGCAGCGATGAGCTGGTTATGAAGGTGCTCTTTGGTACCATCGGGAGAGGCCAATATTGGGTCGATGCGCGCGCTGAGCTCGGCTTGGTTGAGGCGACCTACAAAAGGATATCTGTTAGTCCCGGGGCATGTCGAGGGCAGTCGGTCTAAGGGGAAACCAACCAAGCAGAAAGTTGCCAACGGCTTCCTTGTAGACCGTCCATTGTTCTAGACCAATGTTTGCCCTGAGAGCAGTATATATAGGTTCGAGGTCGATGCGGGCCGGGATGAGTTGGCTTGTCTTTGGTTTTTGTAATGGAGGAACGGAAACATTGATGGATTTGGTAGCTAGAATAGGAGTCGAGATGTTGACGGATGGCCGACTGAGGGCCGCGGGATTTATGTCGACCATGTTGGTAGGTGTGGCTCTTCACAGAGCGGTTGTAGATGTGTCGGTTTGGAACTGCCGTCGAGGTCGAAATCCGGGCCGGGACCGGAACCGGAACCGGAAGAGGAGGGCAGACTGTGACCTCGGCGAAGAAGGAGGAAGGATGATTCCTGGCGTCCTCCAGAAAGAACCTCAGGAGGTCGGACCACTCCCCCAAGCAGAAGAAAGTTGAGGCTGATAATGGTTTCCCTCCTTGCGAGCAAGGACTCTTCTCGTTGGTAATGGGCGCTTTAGAATATGAAGCCCCTGCCTGCGAATGGCGTCAGTCCCGGACAGTCGCGTGCGAAGCAACAGCACAATTGCGACGCGGGAATATGATCATCTGGGCCTAAAACCGTCGGCCAACACTATGAGATGGCAAATATGGGCTTAGACTGATGGATTGAGCATCCTGTCGTCGACAAATGGATTGGCGTATCAGATCGACAAAGGCTGGTTGTTGGACGGTTGGAAGTCTGAATCGAGACCCACGGGAGTTCGCTGCTCCTCCTTTGGTGGTCAAGTCACTTTCCGGGCGGTTGTTGGGTTGTTGGACTTTGCGAAAGAGTTCTGAAAAGAGCGCTGAAAGATGCACGCTAAATCAAGGTATAGGCGCAACATGGAACTATCGAGCCCAGGCGTTGTTGGGGGCCCGGGTACTGCCTGCCGCCTACAACCAGGGCAGTGTGTTTAACCGTTCAGGGAACTGGGAGCGCTGGAAAGAACCACCATGGTCACCAAGTGCAACTTGGGTGGGTTCAGTACCAAGTTTCCAACAAACAACAAGTGGAATATCAACACCATCACCGTCTGTCGCGTCTTGTAGCGCGTCCCGTCCCCTCTCCGGCCGGCAACACCCCTCAAACCAAACCAAACCAAACCCACCTGCGCTACCACTTGGCATCATTAGGTTTGAGAAATTCGAGCAAGCAAAGGAAAGCTGAAGAACCAAAGGACGGAGAAAAGGAAGATGTGATGGGCATACAACTGGACGCCGCCAATTCCACCCACCTCCAGTCAATGCAACAATGGCTAGCCGACAGCAGGAACACCGAGCCCAGAAGATCTCCAGCGCCATCGACAGCCTCATAGCCCACCTGATCCCCGAAAACCCCTACGAAGACGACCAGACCGCCGAGCTTCGACACGACGACTATGCCTCGGCCGTCAAGGCTCTTCTCGAACAGTAAGGAGGATTGCTCCAGCAACGGGCAACAACAAAACAAACATTGCTAACTCTCTCTGCCTTTCTCCCCAAACCAGACCCTCCCCGCCAAGCTATGATGCCGACGTCAACAATGCCTCCGACTTGATCAAGAGGAAGCTGATCCAGGGAAACCCAACCCAGGCACTGCGCTTCTCCCACCTCTACACCCGACTACTCTCCCTCCCGGTGCTCAACCAAAAGTGGGCCATCCTCTACTTTCTATACCAGCTCTCGGACTCGCCAGATCCCAATGAGCCCCTCCCTCTAAGCCCGCTTGCCCGACAGCAACCTCATTTCGACCCTCAGTTCCACCCCCAGATCCAGGCGCAAACACCTCAACCGTCAGCATGGCCTGCCGAACCCAGGATCCCGGCATATGACGAGGTTCAGGATGAGGAGGTCATGGAGGATGCCCCCTCTCCTGAAGGCTCTCACAATCTCCCCCCAGAAAGGCCAAGACATGGCCGAGACCAAGGTCATACGCCTGCCCAGAGTCACCAGGCTGGTCCTGCTTCAAGAGACGAAAGGGATGTGGCACACGACCCTTCGGAGCCGGCCTTGTTAAGGGATCTGCCCTTCACCCTTCAAGGCCTCTCATCGGCAACTCTCCCCTTTCTCAACGACACAACGTTGAAGCTACCACCAACGCTCCCCATTCCCATCATCTCTCTTCTCAACACACTGGCCGAGCCTTCGCTTCTCTACAGAGGACTGAACGAGTTTACCAAGACGCCGGCAAACGGATTACTGGGCCAGAGTCTACGGGCTGCCATCAGCAAGGAGCTTCGGTCATATTTGACTCTGGTGGCTACCCTGGAGACCCAAATTCGCCGCGCTCTCTCTGAGCTTGACGAGTCTGCTCCCCGTGGTGGCATTGGAAAAACGGGCGTTACGCTCAAGCGATGCGTGGTATGGACCCGTGAGGCTACTATGGGCTTGCGCCTCATGTCTCTGATTGCCGAGGAGAGCAAGAATAAGCATGGTGGGCAGCTGATCACCCTGATTCATAGCTTCTCGTCTTCACACGGCGATCCTGTCGTAGCTGCTTTCGCTGAGCGCTTGCTTGTTGACGTGACTCGGCCATTCTACGATATCCTGCGCCGCTGGATCTATGACGGAGAGCTCCTCGATCCTCATATGGAGTTCTTCGTTCGGGAACAGAACCCCCTCGATGAGGAGAGGAAAGACGCCAAAGCTAAGGGCCAAATGAGTGTCTGGAACTCCAAGTATGAGCTTGTTGAGGACATGGTTCCGAGTATTATCACACGCAACTTTGCTGACAAGGTTTTCCTCATCGGAAAGTCCCTTAACTTCATCCGCCACAGCTGCGGTGATCACAAATGGGTTGAGGACTACAGTAAAAATGCATCCAGGGAGCTCAAATATGGTGACACAGCTACCCTGGAAGCCTGGATTGACGAGGCACACAGGGAGACAATGAGCCATCTTATGCGTCTCCTAAATGATCAGTTCCGTGTCTTTGATCATCTAGAGGCGCTCAAGCGGTACATTCTGCTGGGGCAGGGTGATTTTATTGCTCTACTGATGGAGTCGCTGGCTCCTAACCTAGATCGGCCAGCGGGCGCCCAGTATCGACATACACTCACTGCGCAGCTTGAGCATGCCATCCGAGGCTCAAACGCTCAATATGATGATCCAGAAATCACCAATCGCTTGGATGCTCGCATGCTTCAGCTTAGCCATGGTGATATCGGCTGGGACTGCTTCACGCTCGAGTACAAGATTGACGCGCCCGTGGACGTCGTTGTTACCGAGTGGGGCAACCGACAGTACCTCAAAGTCTTCAACTTCCTTTGGCGTATCAAGCGTGTCGAGTTTGCCCTGGCCTCGACCTGGCGCAAGTGCATGACTGGCGCCCGCGGCGTTCTCCAGACGTCGGACGAAACGGTGCTTCAGACATGGAAGAGCACCCGGGGTGTCCTCGCCGAGATGGTCCATTTTGTCGGCCAATTACAGTACTACATCCTCTTTGAGGTCATCGAAAGCAGTTGGACCGAACTGCAAAAGAACATTCACAAGGGAAACTGCACTCTCGACGACCTAATAACTGCCCACACCAAATACCTCACATCTATCACACATAAGGGTCTACTCGGTGCCAAACGACGACAGTACCCGCAGACAGGCGACCCTGTCTCAGCATCTTCCACGACCGACGAAGATCGTAACTCCTACATGGTCCAGCTAAGCGAGCTGCTCCGGATAATGCTCGCCTACAGAGACAGCGTAGACGGTCTTTACAGCTGGTCCGTCTCCGACTTTACGAGACGTCAGGAGAAGGAGACAGCCGGGCTGATCTACTCGCACCGCGGCGGGAGCACCCGAACCACGACGCGAGACCGAGCCGATTCCCAAGCTGCGTCGTCCATGGCTGACTCGATGGATCTCGATCCGCCATACGAGTACTTCGACGCCGCGGCGACCAGTGACGCGGGATCAGTTAAGAGCGAGTTCCCAGCGTTGCAGGACCGGTTGAAGCAATTGGGCGCCAACTTCAAGACCAGGTTGCAAATCCTATTGGGAGATTTGGCGTACCAGCCGGATGTGGATATGCGGTTCTTGGGAGTGTCGATGAATTTCAATGATGTGTATCAACCTGTGAGGAGGAAGACGAAGACCTCGTCGAGTGCCGTCCCCACTGGTGGAGCTGCCTCTGTCGCTTCGGGGGCATCGTCGGTAGTGGGCGCTCAGGGACAATCTCAGGCTGGGGGGAGTGGTGGGCAAGGTGTTGCGGGAGGAGGGACGACTTTTCGTGGGACAGATACCTCGAAGGCCTAGGCGGCATGTGGATCTGATAGGAGCGATTTGAGTAGCGAGCCAAGGTATTTGTACCGGAGCCGGTAACGACAGGTGATAGGTATACCACTAGTTGTAGGATGGGAAGTAGCGAGGGGGATGAAACCGGACATAACAGCGAACATTGGAAGAACGGATGACAATTTGTGGACCTATCGTGACCGAGCATTAACCTACTGACTAAATCATATCCAGCCAAAGCCTAAAGCGTATTTGACGGCAAAGACATTGTTAATGGCCTCGATATCGAGGAGACAGAAACCTGGATGATGGGTGGTTACTTATGTGGAACACAAAGCATATTCACCCATCAAAGCGGGTTTAGCTCAGTTGGGAGAGCGTCAGACTGAAGTCCACTTCACTCATGAATCTGAAGGTCGTGTGTTCGATCCACACAAACCGCAACGTATTCTCTTTTTTTGCATTTTACCATCTGTTATTTATTCTCTTTCTTTTTATTTAATGTAGACACGAAACGTCTTTCTTTTTGGACGGCATTTCGTTCTTGCTATGTGGCTGACTGGAGGAGATCTTGAAGGAATAAGTACTTTCAACCACCGAAAAACTTAAATTTGCAAACCAAAGTCAGAGAAAGACAAGACGGAAACTTGTTGTATACCAAATAATCCTCTTGCATCTTCCCCCGCCTATTGAACTCGCTATACAAGCTTGCTCCTATGACACAGAACATCATATCAGCCCTGTTTCTGTACCTTCAGCTCTTATCATTAATTCCACACACCTTCCTTACCTTATCTATCCCATTATCTCTCCCTCTCTTCTATTTCATCGTACAATGGACCTCACCCACTACCACCCACCCTCTCCCACCCCCTTCTCAATCTCCTCAAAAACTTTCACCCCCCTTAACAACAACCCACTCGCCAACCCAACCACATCCGCGCCCGCCATCCTCATCCTCCTATACCCCTGTGCATCTAGCACCCCTCCCACCCCAATTACTTGTATTTGATGCCCCAGCTTTTCTACCCTTTCATCCAACATTTTTCTCAGAGTCTTGACATTCCCCAATGCCAACGGATGTAACGGCGCCCCTGCTAGTCCGCCTGTTCCCAACTCGGTTGGTAATGCTTCTTGACTGTAGGTAGAGTCCTTTGTGGAAGGTGTAAAAGCTGTAAAAGCAAGACAACTGCCGAGGGTGTTGGTTGCTGTGAGGAAAGTGATTGGACATTTTGGTTCTTTGTTTTCTTCTTCTTCTTCTTCTTCCTGCTTTTCCTTTTCGTTCCTCGTCGAAGTTGAAAGCGAAGCCGCCCCCGACGCAGAAGCCGAAACCTCCAAAGCCTCCATCAACCCCAGGAACTGCGTCTCGTAGGTATACGGCGGCGTCTTCAATCCCACTGGAATTCTGGGTAGGCCCTCAGCTTCCGCAGCTTCGATAGCGCCAGCGAGGAAGTCAAGATATCGAGTCAACGCGTCGCGGGAGTAAGCCGGAGGCGGATGGTGCGGGATGTTGGGGCACGAGAGGTTGATTTCCATTGCCAACTTTACCACAAAAGAAGGAGAAGAAGTGACATAAAGTAATTCCGACTGGAGACGGGCGATGTGCAGGTAACATTGGGCTACGTCCTCTGCTGAACCGGTGACGGAGATGATTATTGTTTTGCTGCTGCTGCTGCTGCGACCGTTGTTGTTATTGGGAGGAGGAGGAGGAGGAGGAGGAGGAGAAGGAGGAGGAGGAGGATGGGACGTGGTAATGGTCCGTATAAAGTCGAGGTAGGTTTGGAGAGGTAAAGGGCTGTAGCCGAGGGAGTTGAGGGTCGCGTTTTGAGTGGAGGTTGCTGATGAGGGGGAAGAAGGGTTGGTAGAAGACGAAACGGTGTGGGAGGAGGAGTCATAGAAGACGTAGAGGTTCTTGGTGTCGTCGTGGGGGAAACCGGAGAGGAGTGAGGTGCGGGTGGTTATGGCGCCGGTGGAAGGACAGTTCCAGAGGATGAGGAGGTCCTCGAGTGTCGTTGCTGCAGGACAGGGGGTGTTGATGAGGGGCGGGTGGATGTTGAGTATTGGGATTGTCATTGTGGTGATGTTGGTTCGTGTGAAGTTCTGTGAAGGTGTTGGAGTGCTCGTCATGAAGGACTGGGTTGACAGAGGGATATAAGTGAGAAGCTGTCGAGATATCAGAACCCGGGGTCGCTAATCAAGTCAACTATACCTCTAGACCTCGATTTATACCCAGCGGGGTTAGACAGCGTTTGATAAGATAACAGGAGACGGAATAACCCCGCTCGGGGTGCTTATAGGTAGCTGAAGCTCGTTCATGTTATGCGAGAAGATAACGAGCTCAACAGCTGGTCGAAATCTGATAACACTTCCTCCAGGAAAGTCAAGGGGCAACATACAAACAGATTCTGGTTGGGTATATACTCTATCTCTTCTATGTTGGTATTAAAGGCATGTACCTTAGAACATGTCGTCAATAGCCTTGTCCGAGTCTTTCTTGATCAACTCGACCATGCCCTGTTCAACAGTTAGTTATATGTTTCCTCCATTCGTCAACGACTTCTTTGCAGGACTTACCGCTGGCATGATTGGCTTGCCCTCCTTGTCAGTGACATAGCGGAAGGGCATCTGTGTGCTCTCGTGCTCGCTGAACTTGAGCTCGGGGTGGTCGACGTAGGGAATCTTGTCGACGGGGGCTGGGAAATGTTAGTGACAATCCCGCAACGGGAACGGAGTGTGTCTCAAAAGCTGAAGAACAACAGTGAAGAGGACAAAGAGCTGAAGGGAAGGAAATCCAATGACGAAGAAACCATCTGAGAGTGACTTACTCTTGCCCTCAACAACCAGACGAGTGACACGGACAGCAGTGTCAGTGGTCATCTGCACGGGGCCGAGACGGCGACCCTCGAAGCCCTTCTTGCGGAGCTCAGAAGTTCTGTCTGGTTTGCTTGTTAGTAGCCAGTTTTCACTGAGATCGAGATCCAGGACTGAGTTTACCTCTCGGGGGGTCGTCACCTATAATACCATGCAGTCAGTATCCATTGCTCATCAAGAACTTTCCATCTCAGAGCAAGAGAAAGAACAAGACATACCCAAAATACCGCCAAACAGGAAAACATCAAAGGTCTCGCCATCCTCAGGGCTCAAGTCCTTCTTGGCCGCGGGATCAAGCAGGCAGACCCTGCTCTTGTCAGCAGCATAGATCTCCTCAACACCGCGGTTCTCAGCCTTGAAGGCCAGCACAGCGGCCAGGGCCTCGGGGACCTTGAAGCCCTGGGGCAGGGAAGTCAGATGGAACTCGGAACCGATCTCTTGCGATTCCTTGGCGATAGCGAGGTACTCGAGCTCGGACCAGGGGCCCAGCTCCTCGTCGAGGTGCTCGACGATGTAGGTCTTCTTGGTGGCGGCCATTGCTACGGTAGCTGAAGTAGGAATTCCAAAAACCGACTCAAAGGTTGTGCTGGGACCAAGATATTCAGGAATATCAAAAAGGTCAAAGTGAGGGTTAAGTTTGTGTGTAAGTGTTTGGACGATCTCCAAGGCCAAGACTAACATTTTCTGGGTGGAGCTCTCTGATGGTTTGGTGGGGTTCTCCGTGCCAAGGCGGCATGCCGTAACGGTGATCGAGTTCGGCGATCCGGGCCCGGGTTGCCTTGCCCGTTCTCGGAAGCCGGCCCCGCAATGTCTTATATCATCATTCCGGCAGAGATCCCGGCGGTAGGGGCTGTCCAGACCGGAGGATCGTGTACATGTCTAATTGTTATGTCTAATTGTTGTCTCATACACCTGGGGAGAGTGTGGATGAACTTGTAATCGTATATACGAGGAGCTGACGCTTGACTGCCGAGATGAGTCGTGCTCGCGGACAATCGCTCGGTTGTTCAGGTCTGGGCAGATTTTATGAGCGGCTGTTCAGTTCTTGCCGATAGCCGGATTTAGAAACTCTCGCCTGATGTTTTCCTCTAAGGCTGCTCTTTGTCAATCATCAGGGAGTAAAGTTAGTTGTCGAAGAGGTTTACACTCTGTCAAGTCGTGTTAGTGGCTGAATAAGGGGCTGTTTATTCACATCCAGATGCGGTGCCTGAAGATCTGGAAACAACCTTGAAAGCTTCCATAGCGAGTAAGTTGGTGTGTAGTTAGAACTTTGTCCACAGTTGCATAGATTTACACTGAACGTTCATGAAACACTATGATATAGGAGACAAGGACATAAAAAGTATCATCATTCGAAATCGACATTGCTTACACTAGGTTGGAAAGTCGAAGGAATTGACCTCGAACCGGCTTGCGCGTCCATCCACGAGGCATGGACTGAGTGACTGCATGGAAAGACCAGGCCCCCCAGCTTTGTGTTAGGCTAGCATACCGGGATCGCCCAATCCCACTAACAGGGTCCCTTACTTGTAATGAGATTGCCCCCTGTGAGGTCTAGCTGAAATGGAACGCCACTATCCGTGCCGCAGTGGCCTTCATCCCGCGTTGTATTGTCCGTCCACCCCAAGGACAGATTCCCTCTTTACTGTTTCATCCATGGATGCTGTCTCGGAGCAACATCTCGACGTTTTCAAAGTTCCTACAACTCTTGCCGTTGTCGTCGGCCCTCTTCTATCCTCCCCCATGAACGTGGTTGGTGGTGATAGGTAGCCAAACTTACGACAATTGTCCCCCTCCTCCATCCCACCCACCGCAACTGAACCCAGCGACTTGAGTCCAGTTGGTGACCATGGCCGCCACCACCACCACCACCAAAGCTAGCCGGTCCACGGCTAGCTGGAGACGACTGTCGACTCTGATCGCGGCATTCACGCTGTCATGGACATCCAGCTTCGTCGCCGCTGCTGGCTCCGCCGATTACTTTGTCCATGATCTACCAGGCGCACCAGATGGTCCTCTGGTGAAGATGCATGCCGGGTAAGTTCACTGTTGCTGCGAAACCGACATGTTGGGGAACACCAAGGCTGACATGTTCTCACAACCAGACATATCGAGGTCAACCCTGACAACAACGGCAACCTATTCTTTTGGCACTTCCAGAACAAACATATCGCCAACAAACAACGAACCGTCATCTGGCTAAATGGTGGTCCTGGTTGCAGTTCCGAGGATGGCGCATTGATGGAGATTGGTCCATACAGACTGAAGGACGAGAACACCTTGGTATACAACGATGGTGCATGGAACGAGTTCGCCAACGTCTTGTTTGTCGACAACCCCGTCGGTACTGGCTTCAGTTATGTTGACACCAACGCCTATATCCACGAGCTGACCGAGATGGCCGCCAACTTTGTTACCTTTTTGGAGAGGTGGTTTGCTCTGTTCCCAGAGTACGAGCATGACGATGTAGGTGCCACACTCTGAACCTCTTCAATTCGTTATGTCTAACCAATTTCTTAGCTTTACATTGCCGGAGAGTCTTACGCCGGTCAGCACATTCCCTACATTGCCCAAGCTATTCTCGAACGCAACAAGAACGCTGGCCCTGTCAATCACAAATGGAACCTCTCGGGCCTCCTCATCGGCAACGGCTGGGTCTCTCCCAAAGAGCAATACGACGCCTACCTCCAGTTTGGCTACGAGAAGGGCATCGTCAAGAAGGGTACCGACCTCGCCAACAAGCTCGAAATCCAACAGCGTATCTGCCAAAAGGAAATCGCCGTCAAGCCCGACAAGATCGACTACCCCGAATGCGAAGCTATTTTGCAAGACATGCTCCAACTGACTGCTGGCGGCGTCGGCGCCAGCGGCAAGAACCAATGCTACAACATGTACGACGTCCGCCTGAAGGACGACTACCCCTCGTGCGGCATGGCCTGGCCCCCCGACCTCAAGAGCGTAACCCCATACCTCCGCAAGGAGGAAGTTATCAAGGCCCTCAACATCAACGAGAACAAATCTACCGGCTGGACTGAATGCAACGGCCAGGTAGGCATGAACTTCAACCCCAAGACCAAGCCGTCCATCACCTTACTTCCCGACATCCTCTCCGCCGGCGTTCCCATCCTGCTCTTCTCCGGCGCCGAAGACCTCATCTGCAACCACCTGGGCACCGAAGCCTTGATCTCCAACATGGAATGGAACGGCGGCAAGGGCTTCGAGCTTACCCCTGGAACCTGGGCGCCGCGGCGCGACTGGACGTTTGAAGGCGAACCGGCCGGCTTCTGGCAGCAGGCGCGCAACCTCACCTATGTACTGTTTTACAACTCCAGCCACATGGTCCCCTTCGACTACCCCCGCCGCACGCGCGACATGCTGGATCGGTTCATGGGCGTGGATATCAGCAGCATTGGCGGACAGCCTACGGACTCGAGGCTCGACGGGGAGAAATTACCCGAAACGACGGTCGGCGGCGCAGCAGGGAATAGCACGAGCAACCAAGCGGCCGAGAAGGCCAAGTTGGAGATGGCCAAGTGGGAAGCCTACCGCAAGTCAGGCGAGCTGGTTCTGGTGATTGTCATTGTTGCTGCGGCCTTGTGGGGATGGTTTGTCTGGAAAGACAGGAGAAAGACTGCTGGGCAGGGGTATATGGGTGTTGCTACGGGCGAGAGACACAGCATTTCTACCAACCCGGGACCTCATGGGACCCGTGGTAGTGGTGGTGGTGGTAGGACGAGGGGTCAGGGGTTGGAAGGTTTCAGGAATAAGAGAAGCGGGAGGAGGGATGTTGAGGCGCAGGATTTTGACGAGAGCGAGTTGGATGATTTGCATTTGAGCAAGCCGGAGGACCCGCATGCGGATAGTAGGTATAGCATTGGTGGTGCTAGTGATGATGAGGAGGAGCAAAAACCGGGGAAGGGTAGTTCTAGTAGGCAGCCTGGGGGGAGGTCGTGATAAGTTAGTGGTAGCTTTGGGTGAAATATTGACTTGGTTATTCTTATAGACTTTTGGCGTTTCTGATATCCTTGGCAGGCAAGCTGGTACGAGTTTTGGATTGGGTAATTCTTGATACAGAAAACACCATACATATGCGCACAGGACCAACGGTACTACTATATACACAGGCATCTAACCTCAGCGCGCCATACAATACTTACACATTACATAAAAACACAAGTCACGAAGACGTGATGTTAAGGCTTCAGGCAATTTGAGTACCATCTCATCTTGAAACTGATCTGCACATTGAACCATGCCCAGTTGGCGTAAAGACATCAACACCCCTTTTCCTATGTTCGCAAATCCCGTGTCCCTTTAATCAGAAGGGACCATACACGGCGAAGAACACTTTTTTGTAAATCAGATTTGACCCGAAAGCATCGATGTGAAGACTATCATAATGCAACTAACGTAAAAAAAAGAGAAAAAAATGTATCTCAGGATGTTTCTATCCTGAATCTAAAAAGCAAATTTCATAGCCGGGTATCTTGTTGCGAAATCGTCGTGTGTCAGGCCTTCCTTTCATGCTGGTGATAATTTGGCGCTGAACTGTCTCGTTCCACTTTCTCATTTGGCATCCAACTGTTTTTTCTTTTCCCCCCACATCACAACTGCGGCACGTTGTTGAGGATCGACACCTCCTCGCCGACCTTGAAGGGTGGGAGACCTAGGTATGGGCAGCCTGGATTGACACTTTTGTTAGCCATACATTCTTATTCCTTGTCTAAAGGGCAAAGTTGGGGAAGGGAAGGGAAGCTGAAGGACAACATACCAGCACACCTAAAAGCATCTCCCAACGCACAACTACCACAGCTCCCCGTCTTTCCGGGAACCGTCAGATCCAGCTCCAGCAAGTCCTCGCTCTTGAGCTTGAGCGTGTTCAGCGCCTGGTCCGCCTTGTCCCTGCGCGCCTTGTCCTCCGCCTCCAGCCGCTCCGCCAGCCCACACGTGCAGTCCTTGCACGCCCTCCTCTTCTTGCCCGGCTTGGGCTGGCACTCGGGCGGCTGCTGGATGGGGCGGCGCAGGTCCGCTTCCGTGAGGAGCGTGTCCTCGTCAATCACGTCGTCGTCGTCGTCGTCGAGATCGAGATCGTCGTTCAAATCGAGCGTGACGAAACCGACGCCGGCTGGGGCGGCAGTGACGACTTGGGCGACGGGCTGGATGGGCGCAACAACGGGGTTGGGGTTGGTCTTCCTCTTGAGACCAAAACGCAACGGCACGGCTTCCTCCTCGGCGTAGTCGGGCTTGGTGAAGCCATCGGCGCCGGCGACGAGACCGGCTAGCACGGCCTCACGGGCCTCAGGGGTAGCGGTGTTTGTGCCGAGGGTGCCATCTTCGCTGCGCAGATTGCCGCCGGCCTTGAGGGCGGGGACGAGAAGGGACCACACGGCGCGGTTACTGAGCAGGGCCGAGGCTTCGGCATGACGGCTGCCGTCCGGGTCGGTCAAAACGAGGATCAGGTCGTAGGTGGATGCGGGGAGGGTGACGAGACCGGCGGCGAGTCGGTCGAGCATGTGCAGGTCGGTGGTCTCGCGGGGGTAGGTGGAGAAGAGGGCGCTGATGCGCTCCTCGTGGGAGGCGACCGAGGGCGGCGCAACGAGGAGGGTTCTGGGTTGCGACGACGACGACCCCGCGCCCGTGGTGTTGGCGGGGTTGAAGTCGGATGTGAGATCGAGAGTTATGGGCGACATGGTGGTGGATGATGGCGGGGTCGTTCGTCTGGGGAAGATGAAACAATGCGGTGCCCTGTCTGGCTGCTACTCGGGGCAGCGAATTGGGAAAAAGAAAACGAAAATGTACGAGTCTTTTGTTGTTATTGTTGTCGGCGAGATCGAGTCTCTGTCTCTTTTGTTCCCGCGGAATTGCAAGATTGAGAATACAGTCGATTCTCCGATAAGACAAACAGCGATGTGATGGTGGATTGTAACAATTTGATAGGCATTCGATTAGAAATACACAGTGTAGAGATTTTGGGCCTGCAGGTTTCGACGACGAAATGTAAGATCTGCATTACAAATCTTTCGCCACTACGGATCTGCATGTGCGAAAGGGATTAAAAACTGTGCATTGGCCGAGAAGTCAGGCAAATAGTGCGTGCGAATTTAGTCATCAGACAGTGTTAGCTTAACAGCTGAGTGAGATGGTGACATCGATTCACTGACTGAACCACACTGCAATGGCTCTCGGGCGGATTTGCCGATGTCGGACAGCCCCAAAAACGGAGTTGCTTTGACCGACAACCGTACGACGAAAGCACACTGCCGGAATGTGAAAGTGAGTTGGCCATTTCGTTGGTTCTATGAGAAGGGTTGTATAGGTTCAAATGGTTTATATATATATATATCTTGCAGTGAGCGTTGTTTCCCCTTTCGCATCATGCGGTGGCAGGTCGGGAGAGATCCCCGGCCGACATCATGCCACTTGATCTCCCGTTCAGCTCAGGTCCGCGGTCCGCCGTTGCATTGTCGGGGATATCCAGGTACGGCATAGAATTGAAGACTCTCTCACCCTGGTTTGATCGTTGGCGTAGTGCACTGCTTTGAGACCTCTACACTACCTAGACACTTGTCCTCCTCAAGCATAGCGCCGGGAAGGAATCATACCATCGGAATATAGAGGGATGGACGAGAAGTCGCGATGCCATATCTACTGTGGTACACAACGGCATCTGCCCAAGTGTTAATATGAGGGTCTATCTGATGATATTTCCACGTCAAGGCGAAATACGTTTTGGACAGCTTGTCCATTTCAGCTGGTGACTGAAGACATGGTTCATGTCCCGAGGATGAAATGGCTGGTGTTGAGGCTGTATCGAGTTCTGGACCCTTCGATGACGAAGTTGTCGACACAGTCCCCAGTTGAGTCATTGAAGGGTCCGAGTTGGGTTGCCTGACACCAAAGGAAGGACAGACCTGCGATAAGGTTGACGAATTAACGAATCCAATCACGGGCGGGGACGAGTTTCGAATCTGGCCTGATTTTTTTCGGAAGCTCCCACCTGCTGCAGTGGATGGTCACATACATAAAAAAGGGCCCCGGACGTTCGTGAACCGTGACTGAAAAGTTCGTGAGTCTCGTCGTCCAAATTTGCTTCATCCGAATTGCCATCTCTGACACCGACATCGCCTTGATATCCAAGCTATCTATCCTCGAGAACGGACAGGAAGGTTCCAAAGCGAATTGACGATTTGGCAGGCCTGGAAGGGTTGAAGCAATTCGACGCTAAACCGTGACAGGCTTGGCGCCGGCTTTGTGCTCCATACCCCGCAAAATCAGCACCACGGTGCAACGCAATCGGGAGTCCCTGAGACGTGCAGGTGGGGAGCTCTGATGTCACCCGCATTGGTTGCATTGCTAAGGGGAGTCCCGTCCTGTCAGTGCCTGTCAGCTGTGTCTAAACGGACTGTGCTGCTGTGCGAAAGGCGCACCAGCTTACAAGTACACCCCGTCTTGATAAAAACACCAGATGCCACATCTTGGGATGACTTGGCCAACAAAGATTCAATGACATAGATATAGGAGGGCGATACATATGTATTCAGTGCCAATGGCCCAGACCAGAGGCTGAAGGGGAGCAGAGCTGGATTGACTATAGATTCCACATTTCAGTGGCAGTGTTGGTTGTGTTGACTTGGCGGGTTCGTATAAGTGAAGCACAGTCCCAATAACAGTGAACTATCTCCGACCTCCACCTACCCACAGCTGTCAGGGAAGGTGGGGAGATGTGGGTGTGTCCTTCAACTTCTCGATCTCTCAAGTTGAGGAATCCGGATCTTGATATGGATTGGACAAGATGGAGAATGAGCTTCATCCCGAGCTGTAACTACACTACACCGGATAAGAGCAGATGGTTGTCAACAGGCCGGGGGTAAAAAAAAGCCATCATATGCAAATCGCTGGGTGATTTGCGAGGCAATTGGGAATAGCAAAGCGGGGGACTACTTCATCACGTCAACAACTACATACGGTACTGACACTTTTGGAGATTTGGTCACCACAGCTCAGAATGGTGAAATTGGATGGTTGAGATTCGGCATTGGAGCTTGAGACTGACTTGTTTCCAAGATGGAGACCTGAACTTAAACAAAGAACTGGACGTGGGCCCCGCCTTCCCCGTTGAGCTGGGCAAAACGGGCAGTCTGGACAGGTCAGGTCAGTGTCATCGACTGTTGCATCAAGTCGCGTGACTACACACCCGCGGTCCTCCTCACCGATCTCCCCACCACTGTGACTTCCCAAACAGTAGCCGCAGAGCAGATCGTAGGTGCGAGCAACTTCGTACCTCGACCCCTCTTCGACGGAGACTCCTTGTCCCTTCTCATTGGAAGGTTCGGGAGCTTGCCTTCCACTTATAAGAAGAGATGCCCCCATCTCTCCATCCCATCGTTTCTTTCAACATTCACACTCATCACAACAACATCTACCACTACTTACGCACTACTGGTATTACTAGTGCATACTCGACTTTTCCAACCATCTCTTCCTTACTCTGTTTACAATAATACATCATACCCGAACCTTCCATCTTCACTACATCTTGTAATAGTCGACTTCTTTTCCACTCTTCCATATCTGTGACATCACTCCACTCAACACATTCACACTACTGTGAGTTACACACCCCGGTTTCCTTTCCCTACCACAACCAGTCCGGCCACCGACCGTCTCGTCCTTCACATCAGCTATATTATCCCCCGCATGTTGTTCGTGTAACGCTGGCTGACCTTGTGTCTCTCAGATCAACTTGACGACTACTACTGAATAATATCATCAACAACAGTAACGACAACCCCAATTCCACAAACGACTTCTCACATAACCCTGAACCACATCACCTTCAACTACACGTTTCAAGAGTATGTAGAAGCGACCATCCTCTCTTTGTCATGACATTAGTTAGACATTGCCTTACACATGTCTTAGTGACCCGCTCCCACAAGTTCAACGACAAGGCCCATGTTGCAGCTGCCCAGGCTGAAGATGGCTCACTCGTCCCCGTCGAGCACGTTCCCAAGTTCTTTGGCAAGAACGGTTTCGCCGATGCCGATCCCAAAAAGGTTAAGAAGAACGGCGGTGGCAAGAGCAACTGGTGTGTGGCCCTTCTCATGTACCCCGATGCCTCTCACCATGTACTAACATCGCTTCCAACAGGGGCAACGCTGGGATCGAAGTTCTCGACGACCCTGAGTTCAATTTCGTTGCTCGCCGTCACTCCAATGTCAGCAACCCTAGCGTCCCCCATTACTTGGAGCAGTTTAAGACCAAGTTTGAGGTCAACGAGCCCGAGCCAGTCTTCGAAGAGGGTGTCCATAACGCTCCCGAGGAAGAGGAGGTGACCCTCGAGAAGACGGAGACTTCTTCTAGCGGCGGAAGTGTCGATGACGAGCACAAGACCCACAGTGACTAAACTCAGTCCGCCATGACCGTCACACCGTTACTATGATGATGATAATGAGGGACGATATCCTTATACTGGTGACGACGACGAAGCGATACGAAACGTAAGGGCAGTCACCTGCAGAAACTGCGGGATTCCAAACAACTTTGGCGGAGGGTTTCCGTAAGGCGAGGGGTGAAAGAACCCTGACTGGACCGGATCTCTCTATTTGACTAGCAATCATGCCTTGAAACATTGAAAACTTTGGAGGAAGAAATTTCGGATGGTGGAACGATGTGACGCTTGATGCTTGAGATAGCAGATGGGGTTACTCTAGTTAGTGGGCGGTTGAGATATACCGCGCTGTATATTATTGAAATTTAACCACGGCAACTTTGACCACTCTATATCTGCTCCTCCGACTTGCCATTGTGATTTGAATGTTTTGTGATTTGTGCTCCTGGCCAACCTATCTTGATCCTACATTTTGAACCACCATGTCTCAAACTTCTTAACCCGCCTTAACAGCCAGCTCCTTCATCACCTGTCTAGCCGGCTTTGCCCCCTTTCCCTCCACCTTGATTTTCCCTACCCTCAACAAACCAAACTTGCCTCCATCTTCTGGGATCACAAACGTCACAGCCCCCTTATCTTCCTCCTTCCCACCATCTAGTCCCAACCTGGTGCACAAGGCCCAACTCACTCTCGGCTTTCTCTCCGTCACCTTTTCACCATTGGCAGCGGTCGTCTCGACATGAACGTACTCGTCCTCGCCCAACCTCAGGAACCAGGAGAGCGGGTCTGAAGAGGATTCAGTGTGCGGCTGAGGCAAGGAAACAGGCTCAAGTCCCAGCTGTTCGATGGAGCTGGACTTGCCGCTGTTCATACTTTGGACAATCCGTCGGTAGGCTTCATACTTTTGCTCAAGTCCAGCATCGTCGTCAGAAGAGGAGGGGATGAAAAGCTCGGATACGTCCTCGAGAATGATGCGCTTTGGAGATCCCTTTGCTGATTCCTCGAGGGGGTGGGGGTAGTAGAGCGGAAGCTGCAACTCAAGCTGCTTCTCCTCCTCTTCCTTTTCCTTCTGGTCTTCTTTTTTGGTGACTTTCTTTTCGGAGGATTCTTTAGCAGCAACAGGAACTGGAAGTGGGAGATAAACACTAGCCCACAAGGACCCGGCACCGCAAACTCGAGCTCTCAGCGCGGCGTCCGCGGCTGAGTGTTTTAAGATGGACCAACGTTGGTCGGCTTTGGTGATTTTGGGGGCGTGCGTATATCTCTTGTTCTCGACAGGAGAGGGGATAAGAGGGGGGATGGTATTGTCGATTACGGGCGTCAAAGGGGGGACGTGCAGACCCTTTTGCAGAGAAGAAACGAGCATCTCGGCTCCTAGGGGAGCGAGCAGGTCGTGCAGTTGGGAAACCGTGCAGGCGTGCGGGATGGGAATGCCGGGGAGAGGGGTTTGGGCGATGACGGTGCCGGCGTCGAAGGTTTGGGGGGAGAGGGTTTGGAGGGAGACGCCTGTGTGGGAGAGGCGGTTGAGGAGGGCGTGGTGGAGGGGGGCTGGGCCGCGGAGGCTTTTTTTTTTTGGGAATACATCTGTTAGTGTTTGGAAGTAGTTGTGGGTTTGCTTGTTTGTTTTTTTACTTTACAGGGGAAAGGGGGAAAAGGGAACCGGGAAAGGGGAAAATGGGGAAAGAAGAAAGGGGGAGGACGTACTCGGGTAGCAGAGAAGGATGAACGTTCAACCCCCCGTATTTAGCTTGGTTCAGAATGCGTGGAGGAACAAAGAGACCGAAGGAGACGGCCACGATGAGGTTGATGGGTTCTCCATGGGGACTTTGAGGCAGGGACCAGCCGGTGAATGTATCGCGGATGTGGATGGGGAGGGAAAGTTCTTCGGCGAGGTTTTGGATGGGGACTAGAATAGAGAAACTTAGTTAACTTACTGGGTAAGGCACTTGAGGGGGGTTGGGGATAACTAATACCTTGACGGATCTCCTTGTACCCTCTGCCAAAAGCCTTTCCTGGTCGGACCATGACATCAATAGACTTGATGAGACCTGGGTTGGCCTTGTGTTCGGCGTGAAGAGCTTTTAGTGAGTAGCAACTGAAGACATCTGAGCCGCAGAAGAGGATGCGTAATGGGTCTGAGACCTTGTTGTTGGGTTTTGTGCTGTAAGAGCATCGAGTGAATGCTGATGATGATGCTCTTCGAGAAAGAGAGGATAGGGATGACCTCAGGCCCGAGGATATGGTGAGACGTTGGAGTAGCATTTTTACTGCTGATGGTTCTTGTAGGTGGACTTTTCAAGAGTAACTCATCACGGGCTCAAAATCAGTTGAGACACAGACTAAAGTCACTTACACAACCTCGCTCACGGGGTTGAGAGGTCGATTGGTTAACGGATATTATTCCACTGAGGCATGGAATAGCTGGAAGAACAACACGCGGGAACAAGAAGTATAATCCTAGAAACTTGGACTGAGAAGTCTAGGGGTTCTGGATCCGAAATGACTTCTCAATGTCTGCAATTGTCGAAGTGTCTTGTCCCTATTGTCCCGTTGTTGTTGTTGTCGTCGTCAGTTTGTTATCACCATCGTAAAGTTCCACTTGGCGCACGATAGCGGGTTGCAGCAGCAAATACCTCTACCTCTACTGCCCTGTAGTTGCAGCGCTTCAACCCTAATCCTAGGGGACCCCGGCAGGCACCGAGGATCACCAACAGGGGGTCGCGATAGCCGTTGAAGCACGGAAAGGACCCCAGATCTCCCACTGCCGATAAGGGTGGGCGGGAAGGCTCAACGGGAGAGTATTGTACCCGTGGACAGGTGTAGCGTCCGGATAGCGGGCCACCAGCGGGCCATCACCAGCACCAGCGGACCAATTCCACTGCTTCTCTGTGCCAATCTGCTCCGCCATTCCACATCAAATCGTACCACCCAGGCCACTTCACAAATGTGACGCCTCGACTCGGACGCGTGGCACATTGTGCCCATGCTCTAGACTACATGGAAATAAACATACATAGCTAGTCTTGCTGCCGTCCGGCACTGGAACCTTTTTTCCAGGATGGCTCAAGCTTCAGTTCAGATTGGCACTCCGTTGTTGACCACCCGGCAGGCTGAGGAGCTGTAAGTTGTTTCTCTCCTAACGAACTGTCACGCGAGGAGTGCAATTGCTGATGATGGTTTTGGGAATAGGCACAAGTCGATCCTAGCATACCTCTCCTCCAAGAACCTCGCAAGTACGGCGGCTACTTTGAGGGATGAACTCGACCTTGCCGAAGAGTCCTTTGACGCCGAAAAGGCAAAGAAATATGAAGGTCTCCTAGAAAAGAAGTGGACGAGTGTCGTCCGGTTGCAGAAGAAGGTCCGCTACTTATCTGTCCATCCAACCTCTTAACATCTCGCACCTACCTTGGAGGTATGTAGCCAGCTAACATGTCCCAACAAAACAGATCCTCGACCTCGAATCCCGCAACCACCTCCTCCAATCCGAAATCGACAACGCCACGCCCTCCTCCCTCTCGCGCCGCACCCAAGACCCAACCAACTGGCTCCCCAAAGCCCCTCCGCGCTACGTCCTCGAATCTCACCGCCTCCCCGTGACCTGCGTCGCCTTCCACCCGGTCTTCACCTCTCTGGCCTCGGGATCCGAAGACTACACCATCAAGATCTGGGACTGGGAGCTCGGCGAGCTGGAGCGGACCATCAAGGGGCACACCAAAGCCGTGCTGGACGTCGACTTTGGCGGACCCCGCGGCGGGACCCTCCTGGCGTCTTGCAGCTCCGACCTGACCATCAAGCTGTGGGACCCGAGCGACGAGTACAAGAACATTCGCACTTTGCCGGGGCACGATCACATTGTCAGTTCCGTCCGGTTCATCCCCAGCGGAGCGGCCGGTGCGCCGGCCAGTGGCAACCTGCTGGTGAGTGCGAGCAAGGATAACAGTCTGAAAATATGGGATGTCACGACGGGGTACTGCGTCAAGACCATCCTGGGCCATGTGGACTGGCCGAGGGCGGTTTGTCCGAGCCATGATGGGCGGTATCTGCTGTCGACGGGGAGCGACAAGTCGGTCCGCCTGTGGGACCTGGCGGGTGGGAGGGATGCGGAGTGCAGGCTGGTGATGTTTGGGCATGAAAACTATAATCTCTGTTGCGCGTTTGCGCCGCCGACGGCGTACCCCCACTTGGCCAAGCTGGCGGGGTTGGAGAGGCCGCCGCCGCCGAGCTCGAGCGCGGAGTTTATGGCTACGGGGTCGAGGGATAAGCAGATACGGTTGTGGGATGGGAGGGGGAACTGTATCAAGGTGTTGGTGGGACATGATAACTGGGTGAGAGGACTGGTGTTCCACCCGGGCGGAAAGTATCTGCTCTCGGTAGCGGATGATAGGACGATGAGGTGCTGGGACTTGAGCCAGGAGGGCAGGTGCGTGCAGACGCTGACGGGGGTGTATGAAGGGTTTGTGAGCTGTATCAGGTGGGCGCCGCCAGTGGTAAAGGATGCGGATGCCACGGCGGGGAATGGCAGGTCGGAGGGCAGTTCGCTGGCGGATCCGGTGGTGGCGGCGAGAAGGAGAGCGGCCACGGTGGGAAGTGTGAGTGCGAGTGTTCAGATTAGGTGTGTGGTTGCTACGGGGAGCGTGGATGGGGCGGAGGGTAAGGTTAGGATCTTTGCTAACTAGGGGGTGATGGTTTTTGATGATAACATATACATGTATATGGACATTATATAGATATCATACATATGTTATATAGACATGTAGATTCTTTGGGTAGGCAGGCAGGCTACTCCGAAGCACTGAGAGGAGGGAATCGCATCGGTCTACGGATCCATAATGATGAATTGACATAAGGTTCATGGGTTCACGATCAGAGTTGCTCGTTGCGTATAAATCAAGTCGATCTACGTTGTAGGCGAAGTGTTGAACAATAAGGCACACGGAGCCGAATGTTGGTGTTAATGAGATCCCGTCTCGGCCCCACCACTCCGACATTGTATGTGTTGAATCGGCGTGGATATCGGGCCGGTGTCCGTTGGTCAGATCTGGTTCGCGCGGATGCCCACCGCCGGAGGCGTCCGATGGATGGATGACATCCCATTATGCGCTGCCTCATCCAGCCACCCTACATCAACACCGGCGAGAAGGACCTGCAAAGCAGCTTGCTCAAATGCAATGTTTCGGCATTAGACTTGACCCAGGCCGTGGTCCCCTTGGCGATGAAAATAGATAAGTTATCGATCCCGGCCCGGACTCAATGCTCGGAGTCGGTGTGCGTATTGTCGTTTCCATCGGGGCAGGGGCGCCGGGGCGGTTATGTACCTCTAGGTGCCAGTTTATACCTAGCTAGCGGAATGCTGCGTGAGGACGGGACCGAGACCCGAGACCGCCAATAACAACTGCAAAGGCAGGGTGCAGGTATGTAACTGTAGGCAACTTTTGGTGGCGAAAGTGGATTTCTGTTCTTCATGCAATTCATGCAATTGTCCTCGACGTCTGCACCGCCTGCTGCAGCTAAAAACAGCCGAGTGACACTCTATCACTGACTGGTGTTTATACGATTTTTTTTTTTTTTTTGTAGAGGTTATTTCTAGAAGTGCCGTTGGGGCATGTAGCCGCCGCTGGCGCCGACGCTCTTTAGTCAGTACTAGGTAGTGTAGTGGTAAGTGGGGATATCACCAAGAGTCGTCAATTCGTCGTCACAGGATCGTTGAGGTGTTGGTTAGGTCCCTTTGTTTCTGACCCTGCCGAAACATCTTTCCTTTCTTTATTCTTTGCCAAGAAAATACGAAACGAATTGTCATAATGTGTGATCGATGGGTAAGTGAGACCCCGGGCGGGAATTAACGACTCACTATTTTCTAAGCGGCGGCATATCGTTATTTTATTTCTTTTTAACCGTGTACATAGCCATGTGGCCAAGCCGTGGGAACAAAAAGAACGGCAGATTGTTGTACACTATGTACGTACAGTACGTAGGTGGCTGAAAGGCATGTTTTGCATATCACAAATCCACTCTCGTTTCGAATCTTCGATTTGTGTTCAGCGGCGTTACGGAAGTTGATGCAATTCCCGGCCCGTCCCCAACCCGCACCCAGCATCCATCTTCCAGCGGCCTGCTCGGAAACCAACATGATCGCAATCACCCACATCGAGATTCGGTCAGTCACCCCTTTTGCAGACCGGGCGGAGCTGTTCCGCACCATGTACCGCTTTCGAAGATGGCCAGGCGGGGGGACTGCTGGAGTGAAGTGAATGTGTAGTGTCGCATCCAGTTGGCTGGTCATTGCATCTTGTGAATGGAGTCAGATCGGATTGTTGTTCCTGACCCTGGCTTTTGCTTGGGGTGATTTGGACCAATGTCACATCTCACATTCCTGGTCTTTTTCCCCTTGTCCGAGGAGGTCGCAAGTCTCGAGCTTCTGTCTTTATTCACTTGAATAATTTGGACTCGTGATCTGCACTTTTCTTACTGGAGGCGGTTAAGAATGAGAAACGGGAAACAGTGACGGGCATGGTTGGGAAAGCACGACCGTTTATAATAACTGCTGGTCCCCCCGTATTTTGACGAGTGCTCCAATGCGGAGGGAGATTCGGGCTGTTCCATGCTCCCGGTCGTCTCCCCTCAAAAGCCAAGCACGATGGTCACTGGAAACCCCTCTTCGCCACCTCCATTTTTCTTCTTTCCTCCTTGTCTCGCGAAGGAAAAAGGAAACCTCACCCGTCCCTCCCCTCCCCGTCCACTGGCCCGCGGGAAGATCACTTGCCAAGCAAACAATGGTTCCCAAAAAGCTGGGGCCAGCGTGACATTGACTGCCTTGATTCGTCCACCAATGTCATCAGCCAAGTGGAAAAGAGGGTGGCATTGCAAGAAAGCACTCTGCAGAACCTCAACAACCCAAGAGGCACGCCATCTCTTGGACCGGCATGACCTCCGGTTGTCGCGACTCTTTACCGCCTTTATGTACTGTATACCCCTCAGTCACCAAAAGCACAATTTTGTTTGAAAAAAAAAAAAAAAAAAAAAAAAAAAAATTTACATTACGCCTCCACTCTCTCGGGAGTTGCGATGCTACCTCGAAATGGAAAAAAAGTACGACATGACTTTTGATTGTGATATATCGTTCTGTCTCAGTCCTAGCGGCTCATCCCTACTGCTAGCAGTACACTAGTAGTGTAGTGCTAGTGGAAAACTGAACAGCTCCCTCTCTCAACTCAACTCAACAGCCTCCTCGTGCTGTGCTCCTCGGCCGGCCAAAGACGAACAAAGCTGCAAGCAGGACACTAGTGTAAAAAAGGTGACCAGCATAAGGATCAGTCGCGCTGCTTTAACGGGCTCTCCACTGTCGATGTCGTCCGAGGCAGATCCCAACTCCACCAATCTCCGCCTCAGGGTTCCTGACCCTCCTGTTCAACTCACCTTCCTCTTCTTACACCGACATCTCATCCCATCCCCAAAGAACAACAAGCACCGAGTTCGAGACTCTGAACGCGTCACCACCGACGCTTCAAAACACGATTGTCTTGAGTCGTGACAGCTAAAGCTTTCTGGAACTCGGCAACAACCAGGAACACCGATCTTCTTGACTCAGTTCCCCGTTTCAACCTCCGTCTACCTCGTTAGCCTCGATATTCGATATACGCCGCCTTCTTAGCATAACGCCAGCCAACACACGATTCTTTGTTTCAAAGTCACACTGGACTCGCCATATACTGTCAAGTCGAGCCTGGGCAAATGCGCTAGAAGGACCTCACCCCCCCGGTCATGACTTGGAAGGGTCCTCCAAATATTCCCGGCACCCGCATCCATCTTCTCCAAATCCTCCCCTATGTCGCGGCTTGAAGGATTATGGCGACGCTGTGGACGTGATCGAGCCAAAGACTTGATTCATTGCTGCCGGCCTCCTTGACTGGCATCGCCCTGCCAGGCGGCAACATCAACATGGAGGCTTATTCTCACAACCACTCACCAGACGTGCCCGACCGAGGGCCCGCCGTCTTCGTCGTCACCACGGTGACAATATGCTTGGCTACCCTCTTCGTCGTTGCTCGAATGGTGTCTCGTATCGGAATCGTACGCAGAGTCGGATGGGATGACTACATCATCATCCTTGCCTGGCTCATCTCCCTGGCCCTATCCATCACCATTGACATGGCCACGAGGCGTGGTCTAGGTCGTCATGACGTGGATATTCACCCTCAGCACCGGCCAGGATTGAGGATGTGCGAATATGTCTTTTCCATCCTATACGTATGTGTTCTCCCATATCACTTGTGTTAATCCACCCACATCCACTTACATGGGTAACAGAATCCGGCCCTTATGGCTACCAAGACGTCCATCCTCGTCTTCTACCTTCGCCTGGCCAAGAACACGCAAAAGGTCCTTCGGATGGCCTCCTGGGCCGTCCTAGTGATTGTGAACGTTGCTGGAACCATCCTCACTTTCATGAACATCTTTCAGTGCAGCCCGCTGCGAGCTGCTTGGGACATTACGGTCGAGTCGGCCCAGTGTTTGCCGTTGTTGACCGAGTTTATATGCTCGGCCCCCGTGAACATCGTTACCGATCTAGCTATCTTGGCTCTCCCTATTCCCGTGCTCACCGGCATGCGTCTCCCCCCGAGACAAAAGACGATTCTGATCCTTACCTTTACTCTTGGTATCTTTGTGTCGATCGTCGACGTCGTCAGGATCTACTACCTCCAGCAGGCCGTGGGTATAGTATCCATGAACTTTTCAGACGACCCCAGCGCAATCTACGGTCAGAGTGTGAATTTCCCCTGGAACGCATCATTCTCTTTGATGTGGTCGGCTGTCGAGGTCAACGTCGGCATCATCTGCGCCTGCATCCCGACCCTGAAACCCTTGATTATCCGAATCCTTCCTGCCATGATCATCGACCCCGACGGAACTCGCAGTAGCACCCGGCATAGGGACGCCGCCTTCAAGCGGGACAACTCGGACAGCAGCCAACCCGTTACCTCGTCGACGCTGAGCGACTCCCACGCAAGCGCCCCACAAGCCCCAGAGCAGGTCCGTCTACAAAATGACCGACTGTCCGACGAGATCTCCATCAGAGACTTTTTGGCAGCATCAGCCACCAACGAAATCCCTGCATTCGAAGGCAGGACGCCCACCTTCCCGGATCGACGAAGGTTTTCTTCAGCCCAAGAGAACTCCATCTACTTTGGATTCGTGGAAATGAAGAAGCCAAAGAGCATGGTCAAATCTTCGGTATCGGAATCACTCAAGTACTGCACCATCGTCAGCATCCTTTTCTTCCTCTGGGGCTTCTCGTATGGCCTTCTTAACACTCTCAACAATGTCGTGGCAAACGTGGCTCACATGAGCACGGCACAAGCTTTGGGCTTGACAAGCGTCTACTTTGGTGGTGGGTACCTCCTTGGACCTCTTCTCGTCGGAGGCTGGCTGCTCTGCCACGACGAACATCGCCGGTTCAGAAGGAGACGACGTGGCGATATCGAACCCATTGGTGGCTTCAAGGCTACCTTCATTGTGGGTATGCTCATCTACGGCGTCGGAACCATCATGTTTTGGCCGTGTGCCGTCCTCTCGGCCTATGGCGGGTTTATGGCCAGTAGCTTTGTTGTTGGGTTCGGACTGGCCGTCTTGGAAACCGCCGCCAACCCCTTTCTTGTGCTCTGCGGACCACCCGAATATGCCGATATGCGACTGCTCCTAGCTCAGGGCGTACAAGCCGTCGGAGCCGTCCTGAGTGGTGTGCTCGCTAACAACGTCTTCTTCCACAAAATCGAAGAACGAAAACACAGTCCCACTACTTTGCTCGACGTCCAATGGACCTACCTCACCATCACCCTCCTCTGCGTACTACTCGCACTCTTCTTTTACTATTCCCCCTTACCCGAAGTAACCGACCGCGAACTCGGCCGGCTCTCCGAACGCCTCCCCGTCGAACCCAAGAAACGCTCCATTGGCGGTGTGTCGCTACGAACGTGGTGCATCCTTCTCGCCGTCTTCTCCCAATGGTTCTACGTCGCCGCCCAAGAAAACATGTCCGTCTTCTTCACTCGCCTCATGACCACCTTCTCCCCAACGCACGAGCCCTACCCAAACTCGCGGCCTGAAGGATTCGAAATAAGGACACTCAACTACCTCGTCGTGTCACATACCGCCTTTGCCATCTCCCGCTTCATCGCCGCCTACCTTTGCTATTTACATGTGAAGCGCGGGCCCACAAGCCGCTTCATCCCAACCCCGCGCACGATCCTCAGCATCTGCGCCGCCCTGGCAACAGTCTTCATCTTGGTGACTGTCGTCTACAAACCCGCCTCCAACCCCAACCTCATGGCCATCCCCATCATCCTCTTCTTCTTCTTTGAAGGCCCCATCTGGCCACTCATCTTCTCCCTCGGCATGCGCGGCCAAGGAAAGAGAACGAAGCAAACAGCCGCTTGGCTCACAATGGGCGGCTCCGGTCCGGCTTTTTGGCCTTTTGTCTCGTACGCTATTTTGCAAAGAGGCGCAAGCATCCAGACCTCTTTCATCATCGTCGTCATTCTCATGGCCATGACCATGGTCTACCCCCTTTTCCTCACCTTTGTTCGAGACGCGAGAGAAATGTCTGATCATGTCATGGACACCGCTGCGCAGAAAAGACGGCGAAGCGGGGATGTTGAAGACGGTGGTGGTGGTCTGGGCGGATTAGGAGGAAGGGGAGTATTCCTTTCCGAGCGCAGAGGCAGCGAAACCCCAATGACGCTTGACCAAATCATTGCCCAACGCCAAAGAGAAAGAGTCGAAGCTGCACAGAAGGCGGCAAGAGCGGAGAATGGAGGAATGCTCAAGAGGTTATCGCGGAGTATGGGGATCGGCGCTGAGGAGACCCCTGATGAGAATATTAAGAATGAGAAGAGGAGGTCTCAGCAGCAGCAACAGCAGGGTCAGGGACAGATGCAACAACATTTGCAGCCAGAGATGCAGTATGAGAAACAGTCAGGGAAGAAGACTAGTGGTGAAGATGAACCTCCTCGGAAGGATGGGGAAAGTGAAGAAGATCCTATGAACGGAGCGGACGAGGCGAGGCACCCGAATCCACCGGCTCCAGAGACTCCGGAATGGGAAAGGCAGACAGCACCTTGGGACCTTCCGCAGTTACAGCTGGATACGCGAATTTTGGAGGATTGAAGAAGAGAAAGTCGAAAGAGAGATATCTGATACCCTTATGATTGATGACTTTATGCGGAACCGAAAAAGGGAATATATATATTCCAGGGCGTTGTCATCGAATGGATCGACGCAAAAAGGCAAAACACCCATATACATACGTTTTGCGCCACGGGTGGTCGGCCGAATATCAGGCAGGATAGGCGTCGGTCAGAGCGATCATAAGGTACATACATACTTGAACGCACTGCACATACATACATACCATACCAATACTTGCTTGGCACGCTTAAGATACCCCATTTATATAATACAATGCTGCTTTGTTTGTTTGTCCGTTACTTTGGGAACTTCCATCATGTGTATTGAGTTGTCCGAGTGAAGCGACATGGTATAATGGCAAGGGTATGTGATGTTATATAAAGAAGAAAACCTCTGATGGGTATTTCATCTTATGATGTCTCTCTCTCCATTTTCTCTTAGGCCTTTAAAAAATATTGTATGTCTTACGGCCGCTCGTCCACGACAAAATTGATGAGGATTTTCTTTGGCTGTAGCTTTGATTCTATGGTAGGTAGTGGGCGATCGACCAACTGGGCAAGTAAGTGAACCAGTCCAACAATGCCAACTCATCGTAGATAAGAGAGGTTGTTACAAAACGGTGATGGGGATCACGATTATTCGAAAACAGATTGACTAGAACTCCTCTGGGGTACGATTATCCGGGGATTGCATAGAAGTTTGAGTTCAAAGGTTGTGATACAAACGATCAGATGCGCTGCGAGAGGATTTTCAAAGAGCCAAAGTATGATGCACTGACCATAACGTGTTCGGTTTATTCTCTTACAACCATTCGGCAAATGTCTCAACAATCTTGTCAGGTACAAGCGGGCGTTATCAGATAGAAAGCCGAACGCTTTCCCATACCTAGTACATTTTTGGCTTTTTTGTACCGGAGTGATAAACGAATTAGTGCTGGATTGTAGTTCTAGACTATGGACATTCAAAGAAACAAATACCAGAGATAATGCTCGCTTTATAGATACGCTTTATGTGATGTCTTCAACGCTGCCTCGAACTCATGAACCTCAAACCCGATCATACACAGTAAACATGATCCGAACAAAGCTCGCTACAAACCCTCAAACTTGCCTCCCTACTTTGGTACAGCTTCCTCCATCAACTTAATCTCTCTGTCTCCGTCTCCCTCTCCATTTTGTCTTGGTCCGCCACTCACTCTCACTCCCCGCCTCATACCCACTATCACTCGTGTCACTCTCATACCAGTAACTCTCACTCTCACTTTCGTCACTTTCGTCACTCACTGCCTAAGTGTGCACCCACTTCCCATCCTCCAAGCTCTCCACAACCTCATCCACCTCATCCTCCCTCAACAACTCCTCAATCAGAGCCCCATTGACCAAATCATTCTCCACCGCCCTCTTATCCGCCTCCTCCTCTGTGGCCGCAATCCCAGCAGCCAGATGCCTCTTGATCAACCGTTTCCTGGCAACAGGGAACGGCACTCTGACAAAGAACTTGAGGTCCATCAGTTTGGCAGCATCAGACCAGGGTTTTTGGTTCAGTAGGAGATCTATTATTTCCCTTTTGTCAGCTTTACCCGCCCTGTTCCATTTCAGGGAAAATCTGAAGAGAGAGGAGAGAAAAACTTACAATTCCCCTCAAAAACCACCACCCTCACCTCCGGTCTGACTTCGATCCCTTTCTCCACCGGATCCTTCAACGCATGATCGAAACTAGGCGCCCACACCGTTGTTGTTGTTGTTGTATTTCCTACAGTCACCGGCTTTCGTAGTTCCTTCACCAACTCATAGAACCCCTGTCCATCAAAAGTAAATTCCGCGCCGCGTCGGGCGTGTGCGAGTTCCGGGTCGGGCATGGCGGACAGTTGGGCGCGCGTGAGGTGGAAGCCGTCCATGGGGAGGGCGGTGGCGAAGTCTGGGGACATGGAAGCAAGGGGGGAAGTGGTGTAGTGCAGGTGATTAAGGCGGCGAGCGAGGATTTGGGAGAGGGTTGTTTTTCCTGGTTTTTGTGGGATAGGGTCAGTTAGGTTGGTGAGAGGGTTGGTAGGAGGGGGAGGGGGAGGAGCAAGAAGAAAAGGAGGGGGAGAAGGCTTACCGGAGCCGGGGATACCTGCTATGGCGATCACTGTTTAAGGAAGACGGTTAGTATGTTTGGTGTTGTTGTTACTTAAAAAGATGAGGAGTGACGAAGCAAAGGGGATTCAGCGAGGTGAGTTGGTAAGCGTAAGACCCGAAGTGTCCACAGTCACCTGGTGCAGAGAAGGTCGAGATGTACGAGTCACTGAACGAATATAACAGCCATGCTGGAGGCGACGAGTAGTGATGATGGCTGTTTGATGACGGGGGAGATTATGGAAGAAGAACCGGTGAGCACATACAGAGTCTTTGATCCTTGGGTGTGTCGAGAAACTTGTCCCATGCCCTCTCGACCAAGCGATCCATTTGTTCCTCCATATTTGGTGATCTATTATTGACTGCGGATGCTGATAGTTGCCAGATGGTTGGTATGAGATGAGGTCACTTGTAAGCCGGCGATGATGGGTGGGAGAAGATTAAGATATTGTTTACAGATGGACACGTTAAACAACGAGAAAGAGAAGAAAAGTAACAGGGCTTTGTTGGTTGCCAATAGTTGTTGTTGTTCCGTTATTCAAAGCTGGAAGTTGCTATCGTGAAGAAGTCGGTCGGGGAAGGAAAGACCCCCCAAACCCAACGCCGGCCGGGCCATAACATGGAAGTTCGAAGATGTGGGGCCGCCCTACGGAGCTCCACGGGGCCACTGCGGGGCTCGTGGGGAAGATTGCCGCTCCGTTACTTCGGGCTTTTAGGGCTCCGCAATTGCTGTCTTCACTTCCTTGTCCGGAGAGCTTCCAACCCCGGGGAAAGACTTTCACTCACTTACACATTCATTCTCCCCTCGACTTCCACCTTTTCAAACTGCATACAACTCGAGAAGATTTCTACCATCCATACTTCCCAAACCTATCACGAGAATCTTGAAAGTTTTTATTTCAGAAATTCACATCTAAACATCACAACCAAAACCATGTCCCTCGAAGCCGAAGAAACCCTCGAATCTGGCCTTCTAGGCATCGGTCTAGGTTCCGACTCCGAAGACGAGTCAACCACCAACACCAACTCTAATACCAAAACCGAAGTCGTACCCGAATGCGCAGCACCAGCCACAAAAGCAGACAGGACAGCCCTTTCGGAGGAAGCCTTCCAAGAGCTCAAGAAGACTTATCGCGTCAAGGTTGAGAACGGCGAGGTAGGAATTTCCTCCTCTCCTTCTGTTTCTCTTCACTCTTCACATTATATTCCACCTCAGCCTTGTCCTCCTGCTCCTTTATAACCTTTTTCACACCTCAAACCTCCAAACCTCCAAACCTCCAACCCTTTTCAACTATCAAATCTTCCAACTTGCCCTGCCCCCTCCCCCCCACCCGCCCCTACACTATGCTCCCCCCTGCCGCCCCCGTGCATCAAGTCCAACCAAGCCTCACATACACTACATTCACACATCTAACACGCACAAAGTTCCACCATCATCTCCAATTCCCCCTCGGCTCTACCGCCGCAGACGGAAGAACCAGAACCATCAACAAGCCCGAAGCGCAAGAGATTTTGCACGCAGTGGAGGAGCTCTACTTTTTTCGGAGGTACGAGGAGGCAGTGGCGCTACTGAGAAAGGTATGGGAGGATGCGGGGGACAGTCTCTTTGATCGGGATACGACGGGGTTATTGAGGCTGTATGAGACGAGGTGTGAGGAGAGGTTGAGGGGGGTTAATGTGGATGGGCAGTGAGTTGTAGGGGAGAGATAGGTTTGTGGAATTAATGATACCCTTTTTATGTGCGTTTGTGATTACTTTGATTGATATAATGCAGTGCAGTGCAGCGTTGGTAGGTTGGGTTGGTTTGGTTAGAGGTTCAGATGAGATGGCTGTTCGTTCAGTTTGGTGTGAGCGCGAGGTTTGACAAGCAAACATATTTTCAGCATGAGTTCATCGCGATGAACTTTCAAGATACGAACGGCAGTCACGGACAGCGCCAATATGAGGCACACAGTGTTTGAATGAAGGGAAATGGTAAGATGTCTCTTATCTATACCTCAAAATGTGAGTGACGAAAATCTAGCAAATGGTGTGAATACTCTAACTTCCTTCTTCCATCCCTCTCTATCCTGTCCGTCATCTCTTTTGATGATTGCATCCTAGCCGCCGCCGCAACCCGATTTATTTAAACCGTCCAGGGTATGTGTAGCAAGGAGTGTCGTACCCCGCGCATATCCTCGGGCCGTCGCATCGAAGGCCATCAGCACCCCTCGCTTCCTTCAAACCGTTTCGGAAGACCGGAAGCAAGAAATGACAAATGATGATTTTCAGTATTCCTTTGACCTCCATGCTCAGTCCCAAGAGAAATCCCAGAGAATCGGGGGTAAGGGGGTAACTCCGAAAACTCCGCGTCAACACTGCTTGACATGATGGGGATGATGACGCAGAGATGAACACAAAAGATGAGGAAGAGAAAATGCAAGTCTATAATAACACATTTGAATTTGGGATATCGAAATGAATAAAAGCAAGATAAAATGAAGATGCATCGCTTCATCCCCCCCGCCTAAGTGAATAATGAACACCGAGCAACGCCGTCTAATGAAGTTGACTCCAAGTCTATGCTTTTTGGCTAAACCCCCGGACTCCGTACGACATCGCTTTTGTTTGTATGTAAACCCATCAATCGCAAAGAAAGAGAAAGAGAAGTGTGTGTGTGAGTGAATGCATCATTGATGCCGCGCCAAGCCAGGAGACAGACAATGCCTGCTGCACGGAACTGCCCGGGGAGCTTTTTTCAGCTCAATCGCTTGTTTGCTTGCCGCGGGTGCGCGACACGTGTATATGTCGCCAAATGTCGTGATTTGGCGTCGTGATCGAGCAGGCAATTTGATGATGCGCTGCCGGCATTGCTGCTGCCAATATGTGTGATGATGGTGCCGTCGCTCAATTGCCCCGACGATGCAGAAATTCATCGAGCATGTCAAAGCAATCTCGGATCGTAAGGAGAGACTTAGGCAGCCATGCGGATGTTCCCAGCTTGCTCCCTGATGAGGCCCATCTTCTCCCTTTCCCTTTCCTCGGCAAAGACGCGCCTGCTCATGGCCAGCACGGACTCGAATCCTTCCTTGCCCTTAGCCGCGTTCTCCCGGAACCTCTTGACAAGGGTGTCCTCGATGCTGTTCTTGATGCGCTGCCAGCCACCAGCCAGAGCGGTGATCTGGGCCTCCTGGTGAAACTTGGTCTGGTGGTCGGAGAGGGGCGAGTAGACGACGGTCTCCTGGACGTTGAGCAAGTTGCTCCAGGTGATATTTGTGGAGACCATGGTAACGGTCTTGGTCTTGGGGTCGACGTATGAAGTCTCAAACACCTGCGACTCGTCCATGCCGCCGCCCATCATGCTCTTGAGCCATTCCGGAGCAGCCTGACGGCAGGTGATGAGGCGCTCGGTGCGCAGGATGCCGGTGGCAGGGTCAACGCTGCGGCTGATGGTATCGACGGCGACAACGTGCGTCGACTTCTCGTTCCATGGGCAGTACTTCCGCCAGTTGGCAGTCGATACCTCTTCCCATGAGTAATTGAAGGTTTCTGTGTTGGAAAAGACCTTCATTTTGATAGCTTTGCGAAGTGTTTTATTGAGTTTGTTGGTGATGGATTCGTGAGGTGGTGTCAAGATGGAACCCTCTTATAAGTGAAAAAATCGACTCGGAAGCGCCGCGCTGACAAAAAGCAGACCGCAAGAAGGGGAGAGACGATCCTTATGTCGACAATTGCGGTGACTCAAGCGAGCGGTCAGCTAGAAATAGGGCGTGGTGATGGTGGTGGTGGTGGCTGTAAGAAATCGTCTGGACCAACGACAAGAATAGGACTTTTTGGTGGTCAAGGATTGGCTTGTGATAACGCAGAGAGCGGAGGAGCGCAGCAGAAAGTTCTTTCGCAGGGGCTAGACTAGTGACTAGTAGCTGACTGGGACCCTGGGTAAACAAAACCGGTTGATCCGAACAACGGCCTGGAACCTTGGGTTGATCGACGATAACGGAGCGCGTGCCTGGTTTGCTTGTGACACTACCGCTTGTACGTCCCGTCCAAAAGGGGAAAATAATAGATTGGTTGTGATTGTTTGTGGTATGTGGTCGCGTGAAGGTACCTAGGTAGACAAGGCGGAGTGGAATGCAGAACAAGTGCAGTACTATAAAGTAAGAGACACTTGAAAACAGAGTAGAACAAACTTTGTGAAGCCTCAAAAACAGCGAGACCGGAACGGAGCAGAGGAAGAGCGGTTGCGGCCTTTATGACTTGCCGCTTGTCATCGCGATATTCCTCGGCTTTTACCAATTGGAACCGAAATGTGACGCCTTTCTTTTTTTTTTTTTTTCTCCTTCCAGCGTTGTACGCCCCCGCGCGGCCCAGTTAGTGGCTCACTGAGCCCGTTGGTCCGTTCACACCCGCGTCTCACGAATTCTTATCGGGTCCGTGATAAACCCAAAAAAAAAGTGGCAACGCAGCTGCGCAGTCAGCCAATGGGATGAACCACATTTTCCACACTCAATCTCCACCAACCTCAGTTTGGCGAGGTGTGGAAAAAATAGTCCGAACACACTTACACCAAAAATACACTAGAATGTGTTCGGTCTTTTGTTCGCACACCTCGGTTAGACAGGTCGGACACGGCGAATCTGACAAAGCCGCAGACGTCACAGCCGGCCTACCTCCGTCATCCCCAGATGTCGATCACTCCGCCTCCGTGATCGCTTCCGTCACTCTTCGCCGCTGATTGACAATTCGGAAAGCCGTGGAATTTTTTGAGCCTCTGTATCGGTACGGTACGGTTGTGGATCGCTGGGTCCGATTTGTGCGGCCTGCACGGAGTACGAGTGGATCTCTTGGGACCGGCTTGGCTCTCGAAGCTCCGCACATACTCCGGTTGTCCTCTCTGGTCGACGGCCAGCTATATTGAAACATGACACGCTAGTTTTCATGTGCTGAACGAGTTCAAACTTTCAGCGTCAAATCCCTGCCATTAGCTAAAACAACCGTTACAGATTGACGAACCAAGTGTCAAAACGTCCTAGCACTCGGTAGATTGATGGCTGCGCGCTGCTGGGTTTCTGGCTGGCTCGAGCTTTCTTTCACCTCTCCCTATCAAAGCGCACTCATCGCCATGAACTCGTGGTGCTACAATCTTTTACAAACAACATTACAGGAAGAAAACGCGAACCAAACAAATCCCGAACTTTTTTTGTCGTACCCTATCCTATGCTATGCTACCCCATCAATCCCTTAGAAATCATCACCACGGCTGATAACCTCCTTCACGGTAGGTCTGAGCAGAATGGTGTGCTCATACTGGGCAGTGTAAGAGCCCTTCTTATCAACCAATGGGGGATAAGCCTCGACAATACCCTGTGACACAAGGTTGTTCAACTGTAACACACATCGATTAGCAACAGAATGATTCGGGCTAATAGACAGCGAACATCAAAAACTTACCCCGAGAAGATACTTGTCCTGACCCAAACGATCAATGTAACGCCTGCAGAAAGGAAGAGTACCAAAGTTCTTGGTGATCACGTTCAACAAGGACTTGGCAGAGGACAGACGGAGATCGACCTTGGCCGCATCACCACGCTTGGCGTAGTGCGAAACCTCACCCTCCTCATGCACGTAGCCGTTGCCCGTGCTACCGAAAGTCTCAATGGCAAAGACATCGCCTTCCTCCATCTTGGTCTGGTCGTTGCTCTTGACAATCGGCACGCTCTTGGTGCCGTGGATGCTGTAGTGGTTGATGGTGTGGCCGTTCAAGTTGCGGATGGACTTGACGGGAAGCATCTGACCGTTGATCTCAACCTCGTAGCTCTCCATGACCTCCTGGATGGCGGCACCAATGTCGCCCACACGCACGTCGATACCAGCCTCCTTAATACCGGCGTTGGTGGCGGCCTTGACGGCCTCGAGAAGGGGGTCGTAGCGGGGGTTGAAGGCGACAGTGAAGGCGCTGTCGACGATGCGGCCGTTGACGTGCACACCGAAATCCACCTTCATGACGTCGTCCTCCTGCAGAACCATCTTGTTGCCAGCGTTGGGGGTGTAGTGCGCCGCGCAGTGGTTGATGGAGAGACCAGTAGGGAAACCCATACCGGCGATGAGAGCGTCGCCCTCCTCGAGACCGCTGTGGCCGGTCAAGGCACGCACACTATCCTCAATGTTCTCGGCGATCTCGGTCAGGGTCTGGCCGGGCTTGATGCTCTTTTGCGCCCACTGGCGAACCTGTCTGTGCACCTCGGCGGCGTGGCGGTAATCAGTCAAGAACTCCTGGTTGAGATTGTCGAGATGGCGCTTCTCCTCGTTGGTCACCCGGTTCAGGTTATCGTTGACGTATTCGACCTCCTCGCCCTTGGGGTACTGCTTGTTGGGGAAGAGCTGCGAGACGAGGACACGGGGAGGCTCGCTTTGACTGGTCGGGGCCTTCTTCTTCTTCTTGGGCTTTCTCTTCTTCTTCTTCTTGGCGGCACCGGCGGCAGGGGCGGCAGCGCCCTCCTCGGCTTCCTCGTCACCGGACTCGGCATCGCTGTCGTTACCGTTGGCCGCCGCGGGAGCGGGCTTGGTCTCGACTATTTTTCGGATACAGCAAGTCAGTGGTGACCTTTACGGTTGCGCCGTGATGCAGGGTGTCGGGAGGATGTTGAAGTCCATACCGCTGAGCTTGCTAAGCTCTTCTGCTGGGGCTGCTTGAGCTGCCATCTTGTCTGTTTGATGTCTCCTGACCAGAAAGATGTCAAGAGGAACAGACAAAGTGTTTGTTGTTGAAGAAGAAGAAGGGAAGCTGACATTCTTCAACCAAACAAAAGTTCAATCCCCACCATCCAAAGCTCCCAACGTATCGCTTATCGCCCCATTGGATGGTCAGAAAATTGACGGCTGACCACTTACAGCGCTCCGTGCAGGGGCTACAGGGCGCGACGTTCACAAACGCGGGGTTGCAGTGGAACGCCCCAAAGCGCCCTTGAATTGACATGTTCAACGCTGCATGAGCTGACCCGACCCAGCTTGCCCTTGCCGCGTCATCCGGATATTGCAGGCTTGTCCCAATTGAAGGGGATGCATCTCACGGGGCGGGCGGTGAGGTGGCCAGAGCTTCGAGGACATTGTGCCTCGATTATGTCACTGCGTCACCGGCGGCAGGGATCCTGTCGTTATCGTATCAGGCTCGAAGCTAAGGAAACCAAACCTACCGTCAACAAGGAACGTCGATTGCGCCTAGGTGTTTCTTCATTTGAGAGGACATGAAGGATCATCTATGAGCCCAGCGAGAACGGGATGAGGAATGCCAGTTCACTACAGCTCTTTCGGTGCGGCCTTGCGCCCTCTTGGTCGCCAATGCCGTCGTGGTCTCCCCCATCTTTCCACTCCTCCACCCTCGATTATCACCACTGCGAGAGTTAACGTCGCGAACAAAGTCTCCCGCAACTTTACCATTTCGCGTACTCTACAAACCGGCCGTCAAGAGCCTGAACACCACAACAATCACTATGAAACGTTAAACGTTCATTTCGACGCCACTCAGGCGGAAATCAAAAAGTGGCTATGCCTTTTCTTGAGCTTCCTATCGCAAAACTCCACCACACTTTTCTTATCACTTACACCAACTCGCGGTCCACCTCTTTCACTATATCCCATCACCTCATGTCTCTACACTTTCACCCTTTGCTGCGCCAACAGTCCATCTTTACTTTCAATCTCTCCATATACCCTGCCTAGGTATCATCCCTCCTAAGAAAGAACACTGTAAACTAACGGCAACAACAGATCCTTCTACCACCTCTCCAAAACCCACCACCCCGACCACAACCCTTCAGACCCGCACGCCTCCCACCGCTTCATGCGCATCTCCGAAGCCTACTCCACCCTCTCCCACGCCGACAAACGCGCCCGCTACGACCGCGACGTCCTCCGTCTCCATTTACGCGCCCGCGCCCACGGCTCGCACCACTCCTCCTCCGTCGGTCCGGCCGGCGGCCGCCCAGCCTCTGGCCTGTCCAAGCGCCGCTCAACGACACAGGGCGCTCCCCCGCCTAGCTTCTTCAAACAAGGCGGGTACGGGGAGCAGAAGGTGAAGAGGGAGTGGCAACAGAGTACGGGGTACTCTTCACAGCAGCAGCAGTACGGGGGTGGTCCACGTCCGACAGGGGGTTTCAGTTGGGGAGGAGGAGGAGAAGGAGGAGGGGGAGGAGCGACAGGACCAAGACAACAAGAATGGTCCCAAGCATTCAACCCCGCTTCGGCACCTCACTTCAACAGCGAGCAACACACGCGCACCCATGAGCAACTATGGGAAAACCTCAAAAAGTCGCATGCAAGAAGGAGCGAAGCGGCTAGACAGCAGGCGCAGTGGCAGCAGCAGCAAGAAGATGAAGGGGACGGGGAGGAGGGACAACAGCAGCAGCAGTGGTGGTCGGGGTCGGGGTACCATCAGGAGGAACAACAGCCGTACAAACAGCAGCAGTGGGGAGAAAGCAAAAAAGTGATGCCGGAGATTCAGCAGGGAAATTGGGCAAGTTTCTTTGCGGTTACGGCGGTGCTGTTGGTTTCGAGCTTTGGGCCTTATTGGCTGTTTGGGGAGTGGACGAGTACGGGCGGTGGTGGTGGTGGTAGTGGTGGTGGGAAGAAAAAGGGTGGGAGTGGTGGGAGTGGAGGGGGAAGTAGGAAACCGACTGCTGTTTGAGCTGTGGGGATGATGGGTACCTAGGCATTATGATTTGAGCTGGAAGCAGGTTGAGCAGGACTGCGAGACCACAAGAGTAACAGAATTGTGGTAGGTCCAAGCGACAGAAATACAGGTAACGTAGTTCTGCAATTGGAAAAGAACTTTGTATAACAACAGACTACATTCATAGTTCAGCTCTTGAGAAGTTGATGAGGCTTCAGCTGTGTGCCGAGTAACCTCTGTTACAGATCAAAACGCATCTTTGCATGCTAGGTGTTCCCCGTATTAAGGTACCTATAGCTATCGTATCTCCTCTAGTCGAGGTGTATGGTATTGACTTGCGGACAACATGTTGAATAAGCTCTAATCCCCCAGGTTTAGTTAACTGGCTGGGTCTCAAGCCTTACTTTCATTAAAGAATCCATCCCAACAGTTCCGTCCTCATGCTTCACTTCATTGCAAACCCTTGGGAGTTTTGACAGTCTTTGAAAAGTACTGAATGAGCGTGTTTGAAATCGCTTATGGGTATTTATAATCTAAGTAGCGTAAAGATCGCGCTTGGTTTCCGTCTCCAGCCTAATTACAGTAACCATGTCCATCAAAGACGCTACAACTCTATCAAGAACTTTTGGCCCTCTTCGTTACACAAAAGCCCAAACCACTTATACACAAACTCATCCTATCAGTCAGCCACCCGAAGCAGGGCGCAACGTTCGTCATCTTCACTGTCTTCATAAAAGAAATAAATATCACTACTGGAAGGGGAGGCTCCACGATGCCAGCAAAGGGGGGTTATCTATTCCAGTTGAGAATTTGTTCGAAGGAATACTATTACGCCGCTGCTTCTTCACATCTGTCCTGCGATTACTCTAAGACTCGAAGGTGAAGCTGGTGCCAACCTTGTGGGTGGCCTGGTCAAGCTTCTGGGTATCGAAAGAGGCACCAACACCGAGGGTGACGCCCTCACGGAGGAGAACGTTGTAGGCAATGGCAGCGACACCACGGTCGTTGATCTTGCCCTATAAGGTTGGAAAAAAACATCAGGTCAGCATACATAAGTTCCATAAACGAAATGACAGCAATAACATACCTTGACGAAAGAGACGGGGTCAATGCGGTACTTGGTGGCGACCTCGAGGCCGACGGTGTTACCGGTCTTGGAGTTCCAGGTGGCCTTGGAGCCGGCCTCAACCTGGGAGTTGACCTTGTGGTAGTAAGAAGCGGAGAAGACGCTCAGGTTGTCAGTAGCGGTGATGGCAGCGCTGTAGGTAGGGGCGTGGTAGCCGACAGCGGCGCTGTAACCAGTGATGGCAGCCTTCTGAACATCGTAGCCAGCGGAGGCACCAGCGAGGAAACCCTCGTGGCCGACAATGGCGTCAATGTTGGCGGTGGGGCCCTTGAGGAGGTCGAAGAAAGCACGGCCGTGGAAGTTGCTCTGCTTGAAGTGGAGGTTGAACTTGGCGCCGCGAGCGTTGGTGGCGGGGAGGAAAGAGAAGATACCCTCAGCCTTGAGACCCTTGGCGAGGTTGTCGGCCATCTCGACCTTGGTCTCAAGGGCGTTGGCAGTGTTCCAGGTCTGGGTGACGGTCAAGCCTGTTGTTCGCCAGTACATTAGCATTGTCGTGAGGTTCGCATACGGATAATAGTAAAAGCTCAAGTAGAGGGGTCGTCCCCGAACTCGAGGACCGATGATGCCGCCTAGAGAGAAATTCAAGTCTACCGGCGGCCGAACACGCGCTGAAGGCCTCTGCTTTGGATGTTTCACGTTGGCAGTACCATTGTCGTTGGCGGCTAAACTTCCGTCGGGACGACAATTCTTGGCCTTTTCGCTTTTGTGGACGCGTCTGTGAACAATGCAAAAGCCAGGAGGTAGCGGTGCGCCGGGAGGAAGGGGACCATAAGGGGGACCAGAAGAAGAAGACAAAGATGTAAGAGAAGAGTGATATGTACCATTGGGCTTGTCGGTGAATTTGCCCTCGAGCTATCAGTCACGCAAAAGAGGTCAGCTTGGTCTGTTGGCAACAGGAGAGAAGGGAGGGCGTTTGGCGCAACAGCAAGGTGATATGATGCTATCGCGGCATTGCGCCGGGAGCCCTAAGAGAGGGAGGAGGTAACATACAGCACCGCTGGTGACCTTGTCGTGCGTGGACTTGCCGGTAACCTTGAAGGCGACATTGTTGGGGGTGTTGGACTTGACCTCGATGGTGCCGGCAGCGAGGTGGTAGAAGTCCTTGTTGAGGAGCTATATTGCGCGCAAAGAAGTCAATGGTTAGCGACACATTATAGTGCGTGCATGGGGTCCAGGGCCCAATCATGCAATCATAGTGGGGGTGGAGGAGGATGACGATGTTGCTTCATGGACATTGGCATCGACGAGCTATCGCGAGAGGGGGATGTGTAGGTATGGGGAAATGCCGCTTCAGCTTTGGAGCTTGGACAGCTTTCTCCAGCCAAACAGACAAACACGTCTCTCGATGATATCGATCGAACAGGTCGCCGTCATAGCTCGGGTGCGGAGGACAGGGAGGCGTGATTTTTGCTTACGTCGTTGGCCGACTTGGCGATGTCAGAGAAAGCGGGAACAGCCATTGTGAAAGATGTTGTGTGAGGGCGACACGGGTATGATGGTGAATGGAGAAAGTGAGGTTGCGGAGTTCAAGAACGCGAGCTGGAGACGGAAGTCGGGAGAGAAAAGGCTTGCGGTTATGTTGCGCGCGGCGGGGAGCAGCAAGCTCGGGTCGGCTGCGACTGACGGCGGGGGGGGGGGAGGGGGGGCGCCTCTGGTGGGTTCTGGCGAGCCTGGCGACTGGGTTGGGAAGTCGGCGTCGGGTCTGGGAAGCTCCAGCCGAAAAGTGGAAATGGAAATGTTGGGAACACCAGAGACCCCAAGACCAGGTGCAATGTCCCGATAAATTTCTCAGAGGGAGTCGTGATTGGTCTTTCTCGCCGTGTGCATCTGGCAGCTCGGCAGCGCTAGGCTCGCCATGACAAGCTTGAAGCAGCACCAATCGCGACCCCACGCCATTGACGAAACCAGCCCGTTCATGCACACCATTAACCCTAACCCCTTTTAGCATCATTGCCCCCTTTCACGACTTCTCCAAAGGTAAACAATCACAGACTGAAGGCATACCATATCATTTGCAGTCAGCCCTTTCATCTCGATACCGCAAGTGCATTTGTGTCATCCGGAGAAGGTTCGCATCTCATAGCACCTACATAATGCAAGTATCTTCTATCTATCGCATACGCATAATTCTGTGTCATCCCCTTTTCTCGTACTTACATCTTGATTACCGTCTGTTGCTTGGAATAGGTCTTACCTAGGTTGTTTCACTTGTCATGTATTGCAACTGAACCTTGCTCGATACGAAGTCAGTCCCATACAAACGATCACCGTCGTTCACTAAACAATCCACTTGCTTCTTTAAGCATATCATGATTTTTTTGATCACTTTTGTCTTCATTTCTATGCTGGGTTAATGGCTAGTATAGATATACGCGATCCGTTTATTGTGACCCCATATAACGCCCTGCATTGTAATCCCGATGCCAAGCTTTTAAACATTCCAATCCCCATTTTCTTTATCCATGGTTTCCCTTTTTATTTTGTTTTTTTCTCGTTTAGCTTTACTCGTCCACGTGGTCATACTTGGCCTGGTGAATGGAGATAGCTCTACCACTGGGGTCGGTCTGCTTGACCCACTTGGGAGTCCACCTCATGACGGTAGACGCGCACGAAGGGGGGAAGTGCTCGTCGAACATGCAGCGGTACCAGTAAGCCTCCTTGGTATCGGGGATGTCGTCACCCCACTCGGGCTTGGGGTTCTTCATCATCTCGTCCGTGACTTGGAGCTCGGCCTGGTCCTTGAGAGCGTCGATCCATCCGTAGCCGACACCGTCGGAGAACTGCTCCTTCTGGCGGTAGAGGATGTTGTCGGGAAGGTAGGCACCCTCGGGCTGGTCCTTGGTATCGAAGGCCTTGCGGAGGATGTACTTCTCGAGCTTCTCCTTGGTGATCATCTTCTCCTGGGGATCAATGTTGAGCGCAACCTCAAGGAATTCCTTGTCGAGGAAGGGCACACGGGCCTCGAGACCCCAAGCAGAGGTGGACTTGTTGGCGCGTAGGCAGTCGGCCAAGTGGAGGTTCTTAACACGACGGACACACTCCTCGTGGAACTCCTCCTTGTCGGGAGCGCCGTGGAAGTAGAGGTAACCACCGAAGATCTCGTCAGAGCCCTCACCAGAGAGAACCATCTTGATACCCATGGCCTTGATCTTGCGAGAGAGGAGGTACATGGGGGTAGAGGCACGGATGGTGGTGACATCGTAGGTCTCGAGGTGGTAGATGACATCGGAAAGCGCGTTAAGACCATCCTCAATAGTGAAGGTCATGACGTGATGCTTGGTGCCGAGGAACTTGGCGACCTCAAGGGCGGCCTTGTTGTCAGGGGAGCCGGGGAGACCGATGGAGAAGGAGTTGAGCTGGGGAAGGAAAGTGACGGTCGAGAGCTTGTTCTCATCATCGATACCAACCAAACCCTCACCCTTGTCCTGGGCCTCGGGATCAACCTCCTGGTTGAGGGCAGCCTGCTCCTCAGCGAGTTTCCTCAGGCGGAGAGACTCTCTCTGAGCGATAGCAGCAACCAAAGAGGAATCAAGACCACCGGAAAGAAGGACACCGTAGGGAACCTCAGCCATCAGACGTTTCCTGACAGACTTCTCAAGGGTCTCGCGGAGAAGCTTGAGGTCGAGAGGAGTCTGGGGGCACTTCTTCTCATCCCACCACGAAGGCTCGAAGTAACGGGTGGTCTCGCCAGTCAAGCTGTCGAAAACGTGGCCGGGAGGGAAAGCCTCGATATTGTCGCAAACGGGGTGGAGGGACTTGAGCTCGGAGGCGAAGTAGACGGTGCCGGGCTCCTGGGTGTTGTAGCCCTTGTAGAGGGTGGTGATACCGATGGGGTCGCGGGCGGCGATCGTGCGGTCCTGCTTCTTGTCGTAAAGAACGAAAGAGAACATGCCATCGAGGTGCTTGGGGGCATCGATGCCGTGCTCGAGGTACTAAATCGCATTGTAAGCATTTTTTTTTTTTCTCTTCATTCATCCTCTCTTTGACAAAGCGCGGAAACTCACCAAAGGAATGATGACCTCGCAATCTGAGGTGGTCTTGAAGTGGTAGGGGTTCTTCAAGTGCTTGCGGATAAGACGATGGTTGTAGATCTCGCCGTTGGCGGCAACGGCAATGCTCTCGTCGGCGTTGGTGAGAGGCTGAGCGCCACTCTCTGTTTTTACCGTCAGTTTCGTTTGGTCTCTTTAGGCATTTTCCATAGGAGCAGGTTTTCCTTTGTACGCACCAACACCGACAATACTGAGACGTTCATGGCACAAAACTGTGTGAAGCGTATGGTGTCAGCCAATTTTGTTCCTTTTAATCAACCCCAATGAGTTCTCGGGTTCGATAAAGAGTGTCCGTACTAGTGTTGTGGCAAGTGACGCTGCCGCCTATATTAAAAAAAGACAATTGTTAGCCAAGTGCTCCAGAGCTGTCGGGTCATCAATCACATTGCGCAAGCGCGCATTATCGCATTTGTTTATCTATGAGGATGACTCAGGGGCATTTGAAATGGGAATGAGACTCACTCCAATCAGGACCACGGTGACGGATGCTGTAGATAAGATAAAAGTGTCAATCGAGTCAATTCCTCCTTGGTTTGCCGAAGCCCGGTCGGGCGGAAAGGTGGGGGAAAAGCGCTTACGCCTTGGAAAGCTTCAGAGCCGTAGGCTTGAACTTGGCGACATCTGGGTGGCTATTTGAAATATCATATTAGTTTATACAATCCTAAGAAAGGACGGTTTTCTGTCGCGAGCATCGTTTCTTTGTGCAGCTCGTTTAACCTCGGATGGACGGGGCGCTCGTGTCTTGGCGGAGCAATTTTTGGGTCGCAAATTGTTATCAGATGCGCTGCCATTGTTGCCCCTCCGTTCCGATTCCGCTCTTCCCCAAAAGGTCGTCTGCGAAACGACACATGCGATGACAGGTGAAGGTATTGTAGGAACACCACAAAAACTTTGGAGTCGCAACTTACTTGTGGCAAGCAAAGATTCCGCACATCTTGACTGTTGGTCGGAGTAGCTCCTGGTATCTCTGAAATTGGGGCCTGAAAAATGATGCTTGGCGCTCAAAGGCGGAGTAGATGGTACCGAGTTGGCGAAGAGAGGGCTGCCTTTATAACTCGGGATGGTCGTCTTGAGACTGCGGGATGCGCAAAGAACGACGTGGATAGCACAGAAGCTGAGGGTGCAAGCTAGACGAAGGCCGGATGGGATGAAATGATGAGAGGAAAAAGAGAGAGAAAAAAAAAAGCCAAGAGGGAAAAAGGAACGGGAAGTACAAGAGGAGGGTTGTTGACTCAAGAGTCAAGGGGCTGGCCGTTTAAGAAGGGCCAAAGAGTCATAGATACGCGGGCACTTACGCATCTCTTGGCGAAAGATAATGTAGTGTGGTGATGTGGTGATGAGCCGACGGAACCCCAGAAATCGGATCCAAAAGTCCAGTCTTGATACAGGATGAATCCGCACTTTGGCCCCCCCAGACCCATTCAAAACACTCCATTCAAAACTCCATTCAACCCCGGCGGTCTCCTGTGGTCTCGCCCGAAGGGTGACTTCTCTTTTCCTAGATCGTGTTCTTTGACTCCACGGAAGCATATGATTAACAGCGTGGCAAGCTCAAAATACTACGGCGTATTTTAGCTGCCACTATTTTGTCCAGGATATTGCCAATTCCCACGGCCCATTGGTTGCTTGGCTCCAGCACACTGGCCAAAAGACGGAGGAGGCGACAAGCTCCAGAGCCTCTTGTTCCCTTCTGCCAGTCCCTCGCCCCCAAAATCCGTCACAGCCCAAATCTTGAGGCCGGTGTCGGGACAGGCTGGTCCCTGAGATTGTCTGAAAAGGGACGGTCAATGAAACCCCACATATCGGTCTCAGTCCCGCAGGCCCGCGTCCGCCAATCCAGGGATTACCTCCACCGGACTGATAAGAGAACCGCGGAAAGCCGTGTACCTTTTAGAAGCCATCATCAGCCGCCGAGCCAAGCATGTTAGCTGGCGCCACAGTGGAGAGAAACGAACAGTAAATATTTTCATCACAGTGTGCCGGCAGATTATGTGCCTGCTGCATGGGCTGACAAGTCCTTCCAGCTCTCAACGTCATCGTGTCAACGGCATAAAGTCCAACTCCCTTACAAACCTCAAGTGGGGGGGCGGCGACAGGTACCCCAGGTTTCTCCGCAAGCGGAGCGTGGCTTGCAACCTTGTCGTGAGGTTAAAAACTTCTTAAACAAAGTGAAGGCAGAGAAAAGGCTAGTGGTAAATCATGTACGGAGTATGTGACTGAGAGACCATAAACTGGGTGACCGATATTCTAGGTCCTCCGGACGTGAACTTCCTGTGAAATAACTTTCCCTTTTTTTTCTTCTTTTTTTTTTTTTTCCTTCTCGAAACGCATACCTCTCCCGCCTTGACCGAAGTATCTGCGATTGAAGATGACTCATGAGGGTTCATCCCACTAATTCCACTACTCCTCGGTCGAACTCGACCGCGAGTTTGGTAGATTGGAGATCTAGGTCCGAGACAGCAAGTATTGAGCACGAAAGTTAGGCGAAACGGACTGATCCATGGGGCGCAGCGTCGGTAATTTTGTTTTTTCTTAGACTCTTGTTCCTCGATCATGAGCATATAGAGCAGCCCGAAGATTGAATCGTGCGCAGGATCGCTATTAATGAATGAACTCCCTCCAAATGCCGCCGCAAACAATGAATTGGTATCCCTAAACTCCGTGTCCCAGTCCAGCAAAACAAAACTGCTCTCTCTTTTTCACCAAGCACCCTCACAGTCGTGGGTTCCCAATCTATGGGGCGGCATTCTCCCGCACGACGCGCTTGATCCGACGTTCATACTCCTGACGATCTTTCTTGAAGAGATTGTACGCCTCAGCCTGGGCTGGGGACTCGGGGTTGGGGTCGTTGAGCAAGTCTTGAATGCCGAGCAGGATCTGCTTCATCGTGATGGCCGGCTTCCATGCCTCTTCTTCGTTGAGGATCGAGAGACAGACCGTGCCCGATGGGTAGACATTGGGGTGGAAGAGAGGGGGGACAAATTTGCCTGCTCAGACGCCAACATGTTAGCCATGTGATCGTGGGAAGAGGGGATGAACGAGGGCTAGCTTTCGGCGTACACTTGGGGGGTTTCGTGGGATATTCTGCATGCAGAAAACGTCAAGTCAGCACGTGTAATTTTTTTTTTGCTAAAGGCACCGACCGGTGCAGGGCGCATACCATCAGGGAAAGTGACGGTCAGCTTGAACAGACCACCCTCCCAGATTGTCTTTTCCTTGCCAGGAATACCACATTCCCAAATCTTCAAGTCGAGCACACCCTGCTGGTTCTTCTGGGGACGGGCATAGAAGCCAAAGGGATGGTCCTTTCGCCACTGCTTCCTAGAGGGAGAGAATAAGATTGTCAGTCTGCTGGACGTAGGTACACTGTTGCGCGCGATGCTTTGCGGCGTACCGTTCCTCTTGCAAGCGGTTCTGGCACAGCGCCATGGTGGTTGATGAGGTTGACGTTGACGGGGTTTGGCGTCGGTAAAAGTTGAGCGGTGGCTGATCAACGTGGGATTTGAGTGATCCCTCGGACGGGCTGAATGCGACGACGATTCAACTTCCACGGCCGGCTTCTTGCTAATGCAATGACGGCGCCGAGAAACGTGGGGATGCGGCTGAAGAGCTGCTCGGGTTGGTCACGGGGGGGATGGGCGCGGATCAGAAGGTGGAGTGTGGAAAGGTCCTCTGCAGGTCAGAGATCCAATCCTATGGGCCACGCGATATGTAGTGTAGAAGCGTGGAGTATGTAGCCCCGCAAGGTGAGAGGTGGGAGTGATTTGGGGTTCGTAATGCCAAAAAAAGAAAAGATGAGGGTTCGAATATCTGGAGTATATGCGGAGAATGATGCGCAATCTGAATGGAATTAAGTGCTTTCTGGGAACCGACTGTGTCTGATGTAGTAGTTTTCGATTCCTAACGAGGCTGGAGGAAAGTTTCAGTTCGCAAATGGCAGCAAGTCGAAATGGTGGCAGGCGACGCGTTCGATGAATTGCGCCGAGCGGCCGTCGCTCAGTTATTGCCTGCCGGACTCGGAGTTCCTGTCGTCTCGAATCAGGAAGGCGGAGAGTGGGTGAATGCCATCGATGGGAGCTCTCTCCTTCAGGTTGTACTACGAAGCTTGTCAACCATCTCACTTAAAGTGAATGGGGCCTATTCGGGTGACAGCGTGTAGACTCCAAAATGAGCTTGATCCGCAGCCACACTAGCATCAGAAGATGGGATGACAGCGGGATGCCTGTTACTTTCAGTTTTCAAGCAACCTGATATCGTCAAGGAATATTGTCTGAAGCTGGAGGTGGTGTCCCTCGGCACACAGCGTACCCTGGCGGGCAATGGTGGGGTAAATAGTTCAAGCAGAGATGCGGGAAAGCGCCATGAGTGAGCCGAATTGCACATGCAAAGGAAAACCCCCCCCTTCGTCATCTGAACCTTTCTGAATGTCAATCTCCCTCTGACTTCTCTCCCTTGTTTTCTCCCACTGATCACCCTTTCTTTGGAGGTTTTGGTTCGCTTTTTGAAAACACAATATTGAATTTGCCTATCCCAGAGAGGTTTTGTATACCCTCCTGATATACCACTCCGCCTTGCATTAGCTTGCCCTGGTTTCTACCCCAAACAGACAACTTCCCGCTTTTACCTCTCTCAAAGAGGTCGTGTTTCAACGTGGGGTCAACCTTTTGCCCGAGCATCTGCTTCGTCTGTCGGAACGAGGCGCATCCACGACCGATCGACGTCTTTGCGATTTACACAACATTCTTAAACACCCATACCGCGCAATGGCTTCGAATAACGCCGGCGCAAAGGAGGAGGTGCCCAGGAAGGCCACCGTGGTCGACGAGTTCGACGAGGACGTGTCCGACCCGGATGAGGATGACCTGGATGACCTGGATGACATGCTCGATGAGTTCGCCGCAGTAGACCTTCAAGCCAAGAAGCCTTCGGGGCCAGCAAGGCCAGACGCCGCTGGGGCAGATGGTGCCAAGGGGGAAGATGATGTCCTGTCCGAAGAGGAGTTTGCGAAGCAGCTGCAGGCCGGCATGGCTGATCTCCTCGGGGACATCGAGAACTCGGTAGGCGCAAACAATTGCAATACCCCAATTTCTGCGGCTCTAGCTAACTCTGAGCCAGCCTGAGCTACAAGCCCAGTTCGAGAGCATATTCAAGGAGCTAGGAGCCGCCGCCGCTGCTTCGGGTGCCGAGACACCTGGTATCCCCACCCCAAAGGCCGAGACTTCGACCAAGACTCCGCCGTCTTCTTCCCGCAGAGCCTCGGCCGCGGCCTCACCATCGAGCAAGAATGCCGAAGCTTCCTTCCAAGAGACCATCCGACGGACCATGGAGCGCATGCAGACCTCTGGCGAGCAAGCCACGGCCGCTGCCGCAGCTGAGGGTTCCGATGATTTCCTTGCTGAGCTGCTTAAGCAGATGCAGTCGGGTGGCCTTGACGGCGAGGGCAGCGAAGAGGAGTTCAGCAAAATGCTTATGGGAATGATGGAGCAGCTCACACACAAGGACATCCTGTACGAACCTATGAAGGAACTGCACGAGAAGTTCCCTGGCTGGCTGGAAAAGAACCGTGCGACAACATCCAAGGAGGATCTCGAAAGGTACGAGTTGCAGCAGAAGCTGGTGAGCGAGATTGTGGCCAAGTTCGAGGAGCCCAACTACGCAGATACGAGCAAGGAGCACCATGAGTACATCGTGGACAGGATGCAAAAGGTACATTGGCCCAGCAGACCCCGATACATTCGACACCGCCAACTGACACCCCTTGTGTATAGATGCAAGATGCTGGCCAGCCTCCCAACGACTTGGTCGGAGACATGCCCTCTGCCCAAAATCTCGACCTCCCCGACGATCAATGCGCCCCTCAGTAATTGTCTCAACACATCCAAACAAAAGCCTGCAGCGAGTATGATACCATGAAGAGTTAGTCGCCATCGACAAATGTTGGGCAGTCTATTGTTGTGTGCCCTTATATCTACTGCCATCTCAAGAGCAGCACTAAAGTATGAGGATATAGAGCACTTAATGAGATCATTAACTCTAGTGATCCTGCACACCCTCGTGTACCGAACCGTATTCTTGTTGCATATACCCTTCTGATCTGAAAATGACTATTGGCTGTGTTCCTTTTGTGTCTCCGAACACAATCAATCCTCGATGAATGTAGCCCGAACTCCTTGTCCCATGCAAATGCAAGCTATGAATCCAATATGTGCCCCACGATATGAACAAAGCGCAAGAAAACTATCAACCGTCAACATGGTATTTACCCTCCCATCTCCACGTCGTCCTGATTGTGGTGCTGATGCTGTATCCCCGCATCACCACCACCACCACCACTTGGTTGTTGTTGCTGCTGTTGCTGTTGCTGCTGCGCCAAAACCTCCATAAACAGCGCATCGTACTCATCATCCTCCCCCTCCCCCTCCATATAATCATCCCCTCGTTGTTGTTGCTGCCCTTGTTGCCCTTGTTGCCCCTGCTGCCCTTCTCTTGCCCTCAAATCCTCCTGCGCCTGCTGATTAAGCGCCAACAAGGCCTCCAACTCCACCTCCTCCTCTCGCGCAATCATATCCGCCATATAAGCATCCATATCCTGTTCTCCCCCGTTCCCTGTCCCTGGTGGTTGATCTTCCAACAGTCCTTCGAGAAATTGTTGCTGGTGGTTGAACTTTGCTCGTAGTTGGGCGAGTTCTTCGATTTCTTGCTCGAGAGCAGAAGCAGCAGAACCGTCACCACCGCCGGTACCGGTGTGGAATTGAGAGGAGTTGAAAGGGTCGGGAGGGGCGGAGGCTTCTTTTGCGAGGCGCAGTTCGCGGTTGAAGCGGAGCCATTCTAGTTTTAGGAGCTGTTTTTGTGGTCCTTTCTTAGCATGGTTGAATTGGATGGGATGGGAGGGATGGATGGAAGATCTTGGGGTATGGGATCGAAGGATTGAAGGCATGGAAGAAAAAAAGAAAGAAAGAGGGAAGAAAAAATACAGAGAGAGAAAGAGAGTAGGTAAAAGAAAACAAACCTCATTCTCTCCACCCCTCCTCTCCCACGCCTTATCGTCCGCTCGTTGCCTCACATTCTGCAAGAACAAACGCCGTCGGTCTTCTTTGCGGTTGGAGGAGAAGGAGGGATGGTTCATAGGTCGAGAGGGCCGGGAGTTGTATTTTAGGAATTTGTTGTTGTTGTTGGTGTTCCCCCCGTCTAACTGCTGTTGTGCTCCATCTGCCTGTCCATGCTGACCTGAGGCTTGCCCTTGTCCCTGTCCCTGTCCCTGTCCTTGACTTTGCAAAAACGACCCAAAGATAGGTGATGATTGTGACTGGCCTCCAAAGATCCCTCGTGGTTTCGAGGTCGGTGAACCTGGTGGTGAAGATCGGGACATTGAATCGAATGGTCGGATGGGCGAGGAAGAGAGGGGAGAGCTGATTTTTGGTCGGTATTGGGGTTGGTATGGCGAGGAGAAGGAGGTGGTGAAAGAGGGGAAGGTCGACGGCGTTGGCGTATCACTACTGTTGTTGTTATTGTTGTGGTTGTGATTGTGATTGTTGCTTAAGGAGGAGGAGGGATCTTGGACTTGGCCAAAGGAAAAAGCTGGAGTTGAGGTGGACATTATGACGACGGGGGCGGCGTCACTGGAAGCGGAGGAGGCTCCGGTATGGAAGAAAGACATAATCTGGTGGGATGACTTGGCACTGAGTTTGAGGACGTTGGAGTTGTTTCGATTTGTTGTGGTGACTAAAAAGAATACGAAGTACCGGGCGTGGATATCTTTCTCGTCCCGGGTTGTCGCTTGTAAGTGTGTAGGCAGCAGAGCCAAAGAGGTCCGCAATGCGGGTCGGTTTGTGAAGAAGACGGGAGTCGCGGTGTGTATTGTACAGTTGTTGGATTATTGGATATATATGTACAATGATACTAGGGTCTTGGTATTGAGATCACAACATGCAGTTTTCAGACGCAGTCATGCTTCCTCAGACGTGCTTGGACATTTTCTGTGTGCAACGTGAAGATCGCGTCTTTCGCTCGGCGAACCGCGGACGCACGTGTAAACTGGGGGGTACGCGACGGTGCCATAAATGACGGGATTTATTTGGTCCGCCAAGTGTCAGGGTTAGGGTTTAAGCACTTACATCTCACGTTTGACAACTGCAAGACACTCACTTTCCCATTTCACATCAGAAAAGAAACCGGTCATCTTGCCCGACAAGGTTCTTCCACATGGGCCCGCTGTGCTCGACATCGATGTTTTCTTTTTAAAATCCTCCTTTCCGACTAGCCCCCCGATACATCCTCCTTATGATGCTCTTCTGTGCAACTTATTTAGTAAAATGTCCCCTCCGCCAACCGTGAGTCAAGCCTCTCGCCCAGTGCAGCCTGGCAAGAGGTCACCAATTAGGTAGTCGACATCGACATGGACCGTCCTCCAAGAACGCCTGCGCCTTCTCGCTTCCTTATTGGCAGGAAACAATCTCAAGCCAATGCATCCTCGCAACGGTTACAAAACCAAGAGACACCAGATCCAAACCAGGCACCACAAAATGCAGCAAGCAGAGCACCAAAGTTCCATGCAACTCCACGTTTTCATGCCGGAGCTTCATCGACGCCAAAACCGTCGTACCGGACCTCTGCGGGCTTATCCTCTACGCCATCCGCCATAGCAAGCTCCATCAGAAGCCGGACCAATGTCCCAGAGAGACGAAGTCGATCTACGCTGGAGTTCATCGATGACGATCTGTTGCCTGTAGATGGAGAAAGCTCACCCTTTGCTCGCTATCCCGGCTCGGTGACACGGCCAGGGCAGGCGCCAGAGTATCCAGAGCCGATCGAGTTTGACTCCTCATTCGTTTCGCAGTCGCCGATCAAGGTCAAGGAAGAAGATGCGGATGAGTTGGACCGGGAACGGTCATACAAGCGACGTCGTCTTTCACCGGTTATTGACCTCGATGTTGAAGAGGTGGAGGCTAGTAGCCCACCACTTCCCTACGAGGGTGAGTGCGAAGGTCATGAAGTGGAGGAACTCATTGATGATGCAGAGTCCGCGGTTGATGAGGGTTCTTCACCGCCAAGGGCACTGGAACATGACAAGGATGTAATCATCTCCAGCCCGCTTGCTTCCAGTGACAGAGACTTCGAAAAGGTAGACGAGAGTGTTGCCGGCAGTCACTCAAGTGAACCTCTCTCCTCACTACCACCTCGAGGCATTCGTTCACATGAGTACCGCAGTGAGTCCGAGGAGGGTCTAGAGGGCGAAGACGAGGATGATGATGCGGACGAGAATCAGCGGATGAACCCAGACTTAGGAGGATTCCACGGGAGCGATGAGGACCACACTCCCAGAGCAAATCCACAAAATGCCTCTGACGTGGAACCAAATACAGACGCAGAAGATCACGACCATGAACACACAAGGCGAAACTCGTGGTCAACATCCATGAAGCCCAAGGGCCAAAATCCCTTCCTCAGGGCACCTCGCTTCAAGCCCAAATCACCCGGTCCCCCAGACCCTCCGCCAGACGTCTCTGTTCACCATACCCTTCTTCCTGACATCTTCTCGCCCCAGCGTCATCGAGGCGCTCGCTATGTGCCCGGTGGGCTAGCATCTGAACTACGAGAATGGTTACTGGAGGTCAAGGGAGGCTCCAGTACTGAACCGACTCCCGTGGCCGCTACTGCCCACCTTGCCGTCGAGACCGTAAAGAAGTGCGGACCTGGGATTAGTATGACACTTGTTACTGGTCGACCAATGATTGGTGGACCTAATGGAACCAAAGTACCCAGGAGTTATAGGGCTTTGCTAGCTGGTGATGGGAGAATGGAGGGGCTTAGTGGAAGTGGTGCTGGTGTTGAGAGCAAGCCGGAAGGAGAGGAGGAAGGTGCGGATGAGCCGGGCAGGAAGCCGTTGGTACCCGGCGCTATGGTAGCGATCGCACCACCTGCTTGGGATATTGACTTGGGCGAGGAAGAAGAAGATGACCAAGGTGATAAGGGCAAGTGGGCGGTTGCGTATCGGTGGGATGTGCTTTGAAAGAGATGCCCGAGACGCCGTCATCTGCTCCGCCTCACTGAACGGCCCGATATTATTCGAGATGTCGGTGACAGGTTATATGGTTCGGGTTTATTGTTGCCGACTGTCACTATGGCGTTTGGGGTAGTTGGATGAAAGTCGGGTTCCTAGCATCCTCTTAAAAGAGCACATATCAACACAAGTGTAAGATGCTACCTGGTCGACCCTTCAGTGGATCCAAACGCTTGGCATCATGGTATCTTGAACACTCAACGAAACTTTCATGAACACAAGGGCAATTGTTCAGACTTTCATCGATACCTACTCATAAGCAATCAAAGGTTGTGGAACCAAACAAATCGTTGAAAGAAGTCTCATGTCACAGTCCAATCTGAGGCAGAACCGGGTAGATATCAAGTATACAAAAGAAGAAGATTCAGTTTCCCCTTGACATTGGCATCCAATTCAGGCTGAAAGCGGCTTTGGCTTTAGGCATGTAGGGAAGGCAGCCGTGTTTGATACGGGCGTCCCGACCGTTGGATCCGAAGAACGACTCGAGTACCTATGCTATCTGCCCGACAGTTTGACAGGCCAATGTGGTAGCACTGGCTTCTGATATTTAGGTGGTTGCATCAACCTCATTTCTACGTGGGCTGAGAGATGGGAGGCGGACCCCAACTTGAGGTTCCTCTGCACTCAGTGGCCTTCCATTTGCCTGCCTGCACTCGGCCCTCAAGGTTCCCGACACCCAATTCCTACGTTTCGAAATATCCAAGGATTCGTGACATGGAAAGCACGTTTAGTTTAGCGAATGCGAATGGCAAGGATGACCCCAAGGGGGAGGTTTCCAGTCTTTTCATGTCCAGTTTTGGAAGGCAGCACGCTTGAAGAAGACTTCCAAGGAAAGTGTCAGAACTGACAATCGAAGGAAGTGCATGAAAGAAACGATTTTCTATTGGAGGACTTTTACACGGGAAATTAGAACCAGAATGCGGAGTCACTGCGGGGACCCCTTGTCACGCCTTCCCCAAATTCGGCTCCCCCTTGTCTTTTTTTTCCCCAGGACTGTTCCTGCCCCGGATTCCAGCATTGACCCCGACGATGACTCCAGTGGGTCAACGGCCATATTCACAGACTGAAGTGGGAATCTCGGGGTTCACCGTGTTTGGTATTGGGAGTTCTATTTGTCCTTTTCTTGCTATTTCCTGTCTACAGTAGCTGGGAACTCAGTCCTCCACATCATGTTCTACGACCAAAGAAATCATTATCCTACACGTCTGGTCTCGTCGAGATCCGTGATAGCATCCATCCTCTTGGGAGATCTGGAGTCAAGGGTGGTGGGACATCTCGCAACCAGCCGCCTCCTCTCCTACATATCTCCAACTTGCACCAAGTACCTCACTCCCACGTTTTCCCTCCAGTCAAGAGACAGAGAGGTACAAGGCACTTGCTCCAGTGTCTCGGTCGTCCAGAACCACTTGAAGTCTCTCCACTAGACAGCCTATCTCTCTCCAGTTGGTCTTCCCAGTTGGTCCTCCCAGTTCTCTCCCACCCCGTCCCGCGCGCTATCCGCCCGGCCAACCCCCTGGTCTATCTGGCCACATAGCACGCGCTTCATCGGTAATCCGTCGACAATCCGTGGATGCTGATTGCATGGCCCTGGCTGGGTTTGACGGCTGATCCAACAGTCTCGGGCTGTGGAAAGGGGGGTCTTCTCAGACGGCAAAACCAACCAAGCACTCGGCGGAATGTTTTGTTCTGACCTTGCTTGGCACTGCGACTGAGTTCGAGGCCGATATCCCCGGGGCTGGTGAGAGAAGTTGATAAGACCAAAGGCCACAACAATCCGGAGCTTCACTGGTACGCATCATCTACCTTCGCCCGACCTACTGACTTTGCTCCTGACATTGTCCTTTTTTCCCCCGTCTTGACGGATGCTACCTTGATCTACCTCAGCTGCACCACTCGCGGCTGTTTTGTTTTCCACCGCTTGCTTGGGCCCCGCTGAAGACGCCACAACCGATACTTGGAGCTTGGCCTTTCTTATCAACTTCATCCCATACATCAGAATATCGATTGGAGCAGCGACCCCTGATCCGTATCTGTGCCGAACCTTTTCATCATTTTTCTGTCTGGCGTCTTCTCTCATCGTTCACCTTGCATCTCACTCGATAAAGCCTGAAAGGACATTCGAACCAGATGCCGAGGACATGAATACCAACACAGTCTGACATCAACTTCCGATATAGCCAGCCTTTGTTCGCCTCATCAACACATGTTATCAATGCGAATTCGGTCTTTGCATGACCAAAGAATCTCTTGCCGTCAACAACATTTCGTATGACGAAGGACTGCGTGGAAAACAGCAAACCTCTTCCAAACCAACTATCGTGAAGGCCATGCGCACTAGGTTTCCTGGGTGGGATTTTGGCATCAGGTGGTCGGGTGCCCTTGAACAAAAACCATAAGCTCAAACGAACATCTACGTGGACACCCCACCGGACGACTTCTCCGAGGCATCAGGATCATTTCGCATGTTCGGTGGAACTCGGCTCAGATCCACAAAATGGTCAGCATACAGCAGGCAGAGCCGGCACCGGCACTTATATCGGCGCCAGTGCCAAGCACTATTCCTGCTCATCGAGCAATCGACCTGGTCAAGGGAAGGACAACTTCGCCGGCGGTTGGCAACCTCCCGCTTCTGAGAGGGCCTCGCAATGGAGATACGAGAACAGCCGTGATTGTTTTTGGCCAGGGCCAGGAGAAAATTGTGGCTGTATTTGCCGAAGTCTTAGGGAAATCTTACCGGGTGAGGAATGGGTTCAAAGACGTCTCTTCAGATGATCGGGATTTGGTGGTTGGCATTGCCGCAACACAGGCAAAATCCGACATTGCAGCTCGGGACAGGACCTCGATCGTCGCCATCAACGTCCATTGTACCAGCATGGGCATGCCTCCAGACGCATATCTCTCCGCTCAGTGTGACTACGAATTTCTATACACAGAGGCACTTTGTCCTAGACGGGACCTTTCACGTTTTGTTTCTCACACACTTGGGCAGCTGAATCATCACGAAACCCTCATGGCCAAACCACGGACATACTTCATTTCGACAACCTTCCCCGACGTACATGCTGCCCTTCCGAATATCGATATCCTAACTGTGGGTGCAGATGCTGTTGAGATCAGGGTTGATCTCTTGAAAGAGCCACTCGCTGACGGAACTTATGCTCCGGTTCCCAGCTTGAGTTATGTCGGCGAACAGGTGATGCTGCTCCGTCAAAGGACAGAACTGCCAATCATCTTCACCACCAGATGTATGGCCGAAAATGGGCGTTTTCCGATGGACAATCCTGATCTATACTACGAGTACCTTTACAGGGCAATCCAGTGGGGAGTGGAGTACATCGATGTCGAGATATGGCTCCCGGAGAGGATCAGGAGGAGGCTTTATGAGCAGCGTGGCAGCAGTCGCATCATGTCCGCATTTCACGACTTCTCTGGGACTTTCAAGTGGCCATCAGCAAGGGCAGAAGCAACGTTCCGGGAATCAGCACGGTTTGCGGATATCGTCAAAATGATCGCCATTATTAACGACCACAACGAAAACTTTGAACTGGAGTACTTCCGCTCTAAGATTAAGGCAGAATACCCCGATGCGCCGCCACTATCTGCTGTCAACATGGGCGAAACTGGACAGTTTTCTCGGACCTTGAACCGGGTTTTCACACCCATCACCCATCCTCTATTACCGATAATCGCCGCTCCCGGTCAGTTGAGTGCTTCCGAAATCAATCAGGCTTTGTCCTTACTTGGACAACTGCCGAGAAAGAACATATACGGAATCAACACCCCCTCTAGCCGCATATCGACCCCTCAGGCACCTTTCTATGGGAAGTGTTTCAACGAACTAGGTCTGCCCCACCACTTCTCTGTCATGGAGAGACCCCTCAAAGGTTTCGCCTCTGTGGAAGCGTGGTGCAACCAGAAGAACTTTGGTGGTGCTTACCTCTATCCGGCTGTTTCTTTTCAGCATTTGATCTCGAATAGTGCCTTTTTTGCATCCATCAACAATGGAACGGGGCCGATTCTCAGCGATTCAGTAAAGCTTATTGGCATGGTGGACACAATTGTGGTTCAATCTAAGGGCTCGCTTTCTGCTTCCCCTGCACCGTCCTCAGCACCGTCCAGTCCAGGACGTCACCAAAACAGCGAGTCAATAGGTTCCGTTGCTTTGTCGCAATCCGGTCTCCCACCTACCACGGTTTTGGTCTTCGAAAATGCTGCTTGGAAAGGGATATTGAGTACACTCACTCGCGACTTTGCTCCTTCGGCTTATTCTGGGCGTGCCGCCGTGGTTCTTGCTTCAAACTCCGACGATGCTGCCAGTTCTCTCCTTGCGCTTAAAGCTCTGATGGTGAGCAAGATCTACACAGTCGGCTTCAAAGCGTCGCCAGTTGTTGCCAGGGATTTCAATCTGGAGCCCTTCGACAGTCTTGAGAGTATGCAAAAGGCCCGTACGAATGATGCTAATCCCGCCAATCATGGTGCCTCGCCTTTCGTGGTCGTGAGCGCGTTAGCCCCGGAGAAGAGTAATCTTGTCGGTATGCTGGTCCGCGTCTTTGGCTCTCGGGGCCCATCAACGTCTCGCAAGGTTTTTCTTGACCTTGCTGATGGATCGTTTCCTCGAAAAGGTGATCCTAAATTGATTGCAGAGCAATGCGGTTTTGCTGCTTATGGTGCTGAGGACGTCATGGCTTTCACCACTGTCGAAACGCTGCGTCTTCTTGTTGGTCAGAATGTCCCTTACAGCTTTGTACGTCTGGCCAGCGGACGGCCAATGTGTTGATCTTCGCACAAAGCATTCTGATCTACATCTCGAGACGCACTCTGTGCAAAAGACCCGTGATCTTCCGCTAGCTATCTGCATATTCTCGGTGGCGACCACGAGGAGGTTAGTTACACAAAGACTCCCTCATATGTCTGCCACTGTTGGCTACCATGACTGACATACCTTTCCA